GAATAGTAGCTTATTCTAAGTAACAAATAGTAATACTATTTTTATAAAAAACCTGAATCTGATAAATTTGACAATTGAAAATTCTATTTCTCTTTTCTAGATTTCTCAAGTTTAAAAAATAGTTATTTAGAATTTAACCATATAAAATGTGAGATATTATTCTTAAAATGGGTAATAAAATATTTGGAGTACTTTATTTTCAATATAAAATAGCTAGAGCATTTAAATTAATTCAGTTACTATTCAGAATTGTACAACTAATATTACTTTAAATAATAATATTTCTCAAGGTTTAAAAATATCTTAATTTATTGTCTTTTACATGAATGCGAATAAAAATATATCTTCAATAAATTTAAATGCCTATAACAACTAGAACTTAATGATTTTTGATATTTCTTAAACATACCTCATGCAAGGTGTAGGTTATATATAAGTTGTTAATGATACTATAAGGTTTTAAGATGTTGTAGTTAGTTATTGTACTAGTGTACAAGGATAAGCCTTAAATAGAATATAAACAAGCTATTTTGAACTAAATTAGTCATCATTTTTCAACAACACATGCTTGAATTCATATGGTTGTGCATTTGACATATATTAAACAAGGTTTTAATTCACTAAATGTGTTTTTATGTATTTATAATCAGAATATGGTGGAGCAATTAGCATAAAAGACAGTCCTTAAATTAATATAATTTAAGAATCAAGCTTTTAATCCAATATTGCAAGCTAAGGAGGATCAATATACTTATACTCCTCAAATCTTGAAATAATAAAAACAATAATTAGTTAAAATAATGCTCAAGTTGGTGGAGCAATAAGGTATTTAAATTTAATACCAGGTTTTATAACAAAAGAGTAGTATCTAGTTAATAGCTTGAGTCAAAACAAAATTGAAAATAATTAAGCTAAGATATTTGGCCAAAATATAGGTTCATATCCCAGAAACATTTAAATTACCAACATGAATGAAGGAGTGGCTTTTAAATTTATTTCATGTAAAATTAAAAAAATATAATAATGAAATTTTTAAATATCAAAAATAAATGATTAATAATTAAATTAAAAAATTTCAAAAAAATTTTAGACTTTTTTTAATTAGAACCAAACATTTATTTTAAGATTATCTACATAGTCAAATGATTGCTTTATTATTTTTTAATTTTTTTTTTTTTTCATTTATGAAGAAAATAATAACTTGAATTTTTTTTAATATACAAATAAAATATTTAAAAACAAATTGTTTTTTATAAAAAAAGAAACATAGAGTTTAATTGTATACCAGATAGATAATTTTATGAGCGGTGGTAATTTAAATTTCAATATAAAAATATATGATGAAGAAAATGGGGTTGTTAATCTGAATTAACTTGAATAAAGTAGTCAAGAACTTTAAAGCGAATTTCAGTAATATTAATTAGAATGTATTTCTTTAAACCCTAAAATTATGTAAATCAATGGTAATAAAGCGTCATATAACTAAACTGATATTTCATTCACATTTTAAAATATTTAGCTCATATCAAATCCATAGACTTCTTCAGAATTTTACATTTAAAATAATATTATTTAAATTCCTAATCCTTAAAACACAACATAATTTTTATTGGCACCCCTATAAGTTAAATTAAATGTTAACTTTCGTTAGTGCTTAGTTGGTGAAATCATAATTAAAAGGTATTAAAAATGATATTTTTTATTTAATTAATTAATTAATTTATCTACAATAGCACTTAAAATACTCCATCATACTGCGAATTGTGTCCAATACAGAAATATTCATTAATAACTCCAGATCCTAACTCTTAAAGTGAATAAACTTGCAAACTTTGTCCAGATTCTTGTTCTTATTGCTAAGGGAACAAGCTTATATTAAAGAATGGTTATTGGAGAGAAAATAATAATACAGATAATATTGTAAGTTGTGTTCATAATCCAGATAATTGCTAAGGTGAAAGTACTGATAGTATTTAAAATTGCAGATAAGGATATATAGGTCCACTTTGTGAAACTTGCGATTTAAATGGTAAAGTATGGAAACAAAAATACATGAATAAATAGCTGTATGAGTGTATCCCATGTAGAGATTCATCAAGCTAGGCATACATATATTTTTCTTCATTGATTGTAGGATGTTTATATATTATATTTGGAGTTAAAGCAGCTCGCCAGATGACTTTAATAAAAGCCTAGAGTTATTATCTTAGAATGGTTGGACTAGCAAGTATTGGAAACAGTGAATCAACTGATAAATCTGACATTTATTTAAAATTTTATATGCATTTTATTTAAATTAGTTCAATAGCTTATCAGATTTACCAGCCTTAGTTTTTGAACATAATGTCATTAGGAATTGGTACCCCAATTGATTTTTTGAAATTTTCTGCCGATTGCAGAAGTATTTTTACTGAAGAATTTTTACCTCATGCATATGGTAGAATCATTTGGTCATAGATAATATCAGTAAGCTATTTCCTGTTGCTAACTACTATTTACTATTTCTTGTATCTGGCTAAATATTTTAAGAGATTTGAAAAGAGCTTAATTGTTACAGGCTTAATTTTTATATTTTTATTTTTATAACCTAACATTATCTCTGGGCTAGTTCAGATTATATCTTGTAGAGATATTGGAGGAATTTAGTATCTAACTGCAGATGTTACTTTAAAATGCTATACTATGGAATACTACTCTTATATATTAATCTTATTTTTACCTTTATTTTTGATATGGGCAATAATAATTCCTTTTATTGGGATTATTGTACTAAAGAAGAAAGTTAGAATTCTTAACTATTGCTCAGTTAGGCTATCATACGGTTTACTATACTCAGAATATAAGAAGCAAACATATTATTGGGAATTTGTAAAGATAAACCTTAAATTAATAATCATATTTATCAGTAACTTTTATAGTTAGCAAATTTAATTTAAAAACACTCTTTGCACAATGATTTTGTTTTGCTACTTAATGCTTTCTATTTTTAAAGCTCCTTACATAAATGTAAATTTTAATCGTACAGATTAATACTTATGTATTACACTGATTATCTGTCTTTAATTGAATCTTTTAGTAAACACATCAGAAAACGACATATAGTTTTAGATTTGCTCATTTTTGCTTTATGCTCTACATTACTTATTTTCCAGCTTCTTAATAATATAAGTTTTATTAGGTAAAGTGAAAAGGTTTCTTTTCATTTTTGGAGAAAAATATCCAATATTTAAATCTAACTTTAAGCATTTATATTTGAGGCTAGGAATTAATTCATTTAATAAAATGAGGACATTTAAAAATTGGGCAAAAGCTATTAATTTGATTGGTACTCATTTATTAAAACGAAATCACTTATAAATGCCAGATAGTGCCACTTAGGTTAGAAATTCATCTATATTTTTTAGCAAACTCTAGAAGAAACACTCTGTAAGCTAAAACTAAAGTCCTAATACTTAACTAAACTCTGTAAAACTACCAAAAAGAGGAGCTAGCGCCTTTAAATGTAAAAATTAAAATTTTATTGATTATATAAATTAGTTTTTTTATCAAAATAAAAGTAATTTCACAATACGATGAAAGGAAAAAGGATGAAAGCGAATACACATAAACTATATTTGAAAATGAACATACCTTAACTTTAAATACAAATAGATTAAATAGTAAAAATTTTTAAACATTTTTATTTTAACTATTTAAAATTTAAAAAAGCAAATCATGTTAAATAAGAAGATAGTGCATAATAAATATTTACTGACAGAGTGAAAAAGAAACAAATAGGAAGAAAAGAGCTTCACCAAAATTATTAGTTTAAAACAAAAAAGAACAGTGAAATATTTAATTTAGATCTTTAAGATATGTGATGATAAAGTTTATGATACATAACATCCTTTTTAAATTTTATTAATTCTTAAAATGTTTTTCAATAAATTTCATAACATTAATTTCCAAAATTTTGTTTTTTATTTAAAAATATTTAAATACTTCTTATTTATTTCTGAAGTGAACTAATTAATTTTGATTTTTAAAGAATTTAATTAGTTTTAGAAATAAATTTAAGTGTTTTTTTTTATTTAGATTAATTTTAGTTTTAAAAAACACCGAATTTATGGATCCATTCATTTTCTTTCTATTTTACATTTAATATTTCTTTAATTTTAATTGTCTAAAATATATATATCAAAATATTTGCTTAAAATTTAAATTTATTAAACATCAAATGCCACAATAAAAAGAAATCCTTTATGAATTTTTATAGTTTTTTAAATATTATGTTATCATATCTAAAAGATAATTAAAGAAACATATTAAAAAATATATTATTCCTCATACACTACTTGTTTATTTAATTTAACACAATAAATTTTATTTAATTTTGTATTTTTAAGCAAATAGATTTAAACAAAAAAAGTATTGTTAAATTATTATAATTTTCAATTTTTTATGTAAGAAATACCATTTTGTATTAAATCATTTTAGTAGCCATTTTTTCAAGCTAATTTGGTTATTTTGAAGAAATAATCAAGTTAATATGCCTATTATATACACTATTTGCATCTGGATATTAATTTATAAAAAAATAACTACTAAAATAAGCACATTAAAAACTTTAATCAATAAATATCATAATATTATTTTGCTTGCATTAGAAATACAAATATTATTTATAAATTTAAAAAGAATTATTTTATATAATTTATTATTAAGAGAATAATAGCCAATCTTTCTATTATTTTTAAAAATTAATTGTTTCCAAATAATTAATTTTCTTAAAAATAGTATTAATTTGAAATTTTTTTATTCTATTAGATACGATTAAGCATATTGCAAACTCATCTGATAAGAAAAGTAAAATAAATTAATCCAAAATTTTATAAATTAACAATAAAATCTAATAAATAATAATTAAGATATTAGTAATATGAGCACAGACAAAAGAAACTCTTTTTACTATTTTAGTAAATATTAAAGAAGCTTATTTCTAAGAAGTTATATATGATCATATGGTAAAATGCTAATTTAAGGATATTACAATCAACAAACCCAAAGATTGCAATATACAGAATTTAAAAATTTTATAGACAATAAAACAGATGGAATAAATGATGCATAAATATAAGCATAATTTAAAATATTTGACAAAAATAGAAGTGGAACTATTTCTTATGAAGAGTTCATTGCCATATTTGCTTAAATTAGGCACATTAAATCTGATTAAATCAGCAAACTCTTATAGTAGAAGAGTGTTAATTCATAAGGAAGCAATTAAAGCAAACAGTAGTAATTGTTCTGACTTTCAACGTAAGATAAGAAATGAATCCAATTGCAAATCAACTAAATATTAATATAGACTTATATGTGAAAGATACTAAAAAAGTTTAAGATTTAAATTTTGATTTAAAAATATCATATTAATACACAATAAAAATTTAAATCCCCTAGCTTTACATGAATTAAATGAATCCATAATATTTACTCCAAATAATTATTAAAATTTTGAAGGTTTTGTATTTAGAAAAGATAACTTAGTATTTATTTTTAAAGCAAATACAACCTTCCTTTATATTGAGGAGATATCAAATTTATATAATTTATTAAAGCGATTATTAAACTAGAAATTAAACCAAAATTTTATTTAATTTGCAGAATGAATACATTATTAAAGAAGCAAAAATAAATCTTTAAAAATATGCTTAAATATCAAAAGATTAAAATAATCAAACATTTCAGGGCAGAAAGCTTTTACGTATTTTATTAAAAAATTATTTAAATTATGATTATTCTATTATGAAAATAATAGCATTAAAAAAATATAGTCTGTAAAAGGTAAATTTTTTTGAAAAATGTAAATTAGAAAAAAAAATGAAAAGAAAAATGTTTCAGCTTTCAACATAATTAAAATAGATTATTATGCTCAAAAAATAACTAAAAATACATTTTGATGATGGAAAGATATATTTTTATTATCAATTATATAAAGGAATTGAAACAATATTTATTTTTTTTAATTTTTACTAATTTGATAAATTACTATCATTAATTATGATAGGATTAATAAGACTTAAAAAACTATAGAAAATTAATTAAAATGTATAATTAATCAATTTTAAAAATTATTCAATAAATATTTTTATGAAAATATATCAAACCAATCAAATTTTATTGATAATCAATCTAAAAATAAAAATAATTATTAAATGCGAGTATTTACTATTTTAAAATTAAAAATTTTTATTATTTGTTAATAATTTTTTTACAATTTATTGTTTACATTTTTTAATTAATGTTTGTGCTCTTTTTATTTTTATCAAATTTTATTGATAATCAATCTAAAAAAAAAATTAAATGTGAGTATTTACTATTTTAAAATTAAAATTTTTATTATTTGTTAATAATTTTTTTTACTATTTTTTGTTTACATATTTTAATTAATGTTTGTGCACATTTTATTATTAATATACAGAAGTTCTATTTTAAAGACACACCTTACATGCCAAAAATAACTAAAGAATATATATAATAAAATAAATAATTTACAATTCAACAAATGACATTTTCTTATAACCTATCAATTAATTTATCTCTTAAAAAAAGAAGTAAAATATAGATTACTTTCGGTTTGAAATTATTGTGAAATAAAAATTTTAAAAGGATAATCACTCTATCAAATATATATAAAACTTAATTAATTAACAAAAAAGTATACAGAACAAACAAATACCAAAGTTAAATGAATTATATATCGTATTTTATTAAACTTATTATAAATCGTTTTATTATCACATTTTATTAAAGACGCCGAACTAAAACTATTGAAAATTATTGAGGATTAATTAAAATGTATAATTTATCAATTTTAAAAATTATTCAATAAATATTTTTATGAAAATATATCAAACCAATTAAATTTTATTGATAATCAATCTAAAAAAAATAAATTTTAATTGTGTATGATTATCTACTATTTTAAAATTAAAATTTTTTATTATTTGTTAATAATATTTTTTACTATTTATTGTTTACATTTTTTAATTAATGTTTGTGCACTTTTTATTTTTAATATGCATAAGTGCTATTTTAAGGACACACCTTACAAGCCAAAAAGAACTAAAGAATATATATAATAGAGCAAATAATTTACAATTCAACAAATGACGTTTTCTTATAATCCATCAATTAATTTATCCATTAAAAAAAGAAGTAAATATAGATTACTATCTGTTTGAAGTGATAGTGAAATAAAAATTTTAAAATGATAATCACTCTATCAAAAATATATAAAAATTTATTAATTAACGAAAAAGAAAACAGAACAAACAAATACCAAAGTTAAATGAATTATCGAATTTTATTAAACTTATTATAAATCGTTTTATTATCACATTTTATTAAAGGCGCAGACCTTTTTTGCAAAAATTTATCTCCTAATGATGGCTCCTGTATCTAATGTAATCAAAATTTCACACTAAATCAATCCAATGGGTTATGTATTTCCGATTGTGATTAGAATTTATACTTAGAAAGTGATTCCTAATAATGTGTACCATCTTGCAAATAAAATGAATTTGGCTATCCTGATCAAGGCGTTTGTTAGCAAATACAGTAATGCCCTATTCTTGTTGATTTAGGCTAAGATTTCCATTCTGGATTAGCTTCATAAATAATAGTAGATGACACAAATTAAATCATTATTAGTATTAGTAATACAGACACAAATATCAAGTTGTGGAATTCAGTAAATGGAATTCTTAAAACCACTTTTTCTGGTCACACCTAGCCTGTTTTGAAGATCTATCTACTTCAAGATTCTAATCAGCTTCTATCTTTTTCCTCAAATGGTGAAATATTTTATTGGAATTATTCTACTGGAGTTTTGAATAAGTAATAAATTGTAAATTTTGGATAGCTAACAAATCTGAGTTGTGTTAATATGGTGTATGACTTGATAACTTTGTATGGATACTAAGGAGAGTTTTATATCTACAATATGTAAAATAAAACATATAAAAAGTATGTAGGACATACAAATATTGTTTTAAATTCAATAATAATTAGCCCATCTAGTTTTATCACATATTCTTTAGATAAATCAATCATATTATGGAGCGAATCTACTTCTACTTACAGTTTTTAAATAACATGTCTACATGATTCTACACCAGCTGGTTTTACTCTACTAAATTTTAGCTCAAGTTCCGGGTAACAAAGTTATCTTTTTTCATTTGGAAGCTCAGGTAGTGATTCACTAAATCTGTCTATTTCGAATTTGCAATCTATCTCTACTTAGTGCAAATTATAATTTTAAGGCGATTTTACCTAGCCAATATTAAACGTTTTAGGAGACTCAAGCTCCTAATCAGTGATAGTTTATTCTTCTGCAGAAGTTTTAATTTATGGATTTAATTCTGATACAAACAACTTCATTTAATTACAAAAAATAAGCGAATAGTTTTTTAATTAAATGTTATTTTCCCCACTATAAGGCATATATATTAAAAATAATAGTATTGTTTTATATACTTAATTTGGAAAGTTTTCTATGTCTAGCTATGTTAATAACCAGAGTACTATTTAGTCTTAACAAATAATTTAGACTTAAAATTTTACTCCTATTTAAATTAATATGCAAAATATATAAGGAGCTATAATTGATGAGTAAAGTAATCAGATTTACATCTTTGGATCTTCAATTCAGTAAATTAATTTAAAAAGCCAAGGTGTTAGCTACATAATAACCAATTTACCTATTCCATTTATTCGCTAAACTTAGTCTGTACCTATGACGGTCTATGAATACTCTCAGAATATCTTTGCTAGCACATCGTCAGATGGTATGTCATTAAGCTATGATTTGTTAACTGGCTAAGTTTTATCCATATTTTGGCATCCTGATTATAAACTAAGCATAAAATAACCATAAGGGATAACTTTATGCTTATCAAAAGGTTTATTTGTATGTGTTGCATATAATGATTAATCTATTGTTTGCTATCATGCTATTAATATGATTGTTTACTTTAAATAAATTTTTTATGAAAAAATATTAACTTTATACAGTGATGATATTAATGGATTTGTTTTAATTAACAGTTTAAATTACTTATAAATAATAGACCCTTTAAATTCTAAGATTATTAATACTATTAATAATCCAGGATAGTTTTATTATCTTGCCTTATACTCTAATTTAAATTTACCTACTGTGTCAGAGAATGGATATATTATTAGATATAATTATCCTGAATTAACAATAAAAGTATAAACTGATACTTCTAGTATTAATAAAAACTAAGATAAGATTGTAGGATTTGCTTTTGGAGCAAGCCAAGATGGTTACTCAATATTTTATTTCCGAAATGGATTAGCTATATTATACGATGAATAACTAAATGTAATACAAATTTCTAACGATAATGTTCAAATTAACAAGGTAAAAATTATTTTTTATAAATTGAAAAAAAATGGTTCATTTTAAAATCAAAATGAAAAAAATTTTTTTAAATAAATTAATTTTCCATGCCTTTTCATAAAAAGCATTTATCCACTTTTTTTTAATTATATTAATTTTTTAAAATATGTAAAAAAATACATTCATCGAAGATTTAGTTTTTATACAGAATATATTTAAACAATCTTTGATAACTTATATTTATTTAAATTTTTAAAGATTTTTTAAGACCCATATTGATTTATTTTATAAAAATAGTGTGGTATAATATAGGAAGGAAATATTTACTTATATTACAGTTGCTTGAACTAAGATGGAAGTATAACTACTCATGGAATTGCTTAGCCTTTTTATTCTAAAATTTAAGCTATCTAATTTCCTATTACAATATCGAATATTATTCCTTAATATAATAAAGTCATATTAACTATTGATGTAGGTTCATATGGAGGAATATTAATAATTGCAGATTCTCTAACATAGTTAGCTTAATATTAATTTGATTCTAGATCTGCAATTACTGCATTCGATACTGATTCAAAAAATTAAAGGATATTTATCTCAAATACAGTAGGAGATATCATGCTTAGCCACTTTACTCCAGACACTTACTATTACATATAAAGAAACGAAAACTCTGTGTTATAGAAGCTACTATTAATAAATTCTCAATAAAAGCTTGTTTCATTGTCAAATATAATTACTATTTATGATTACTTCAGCTACACAATATACAAGTAATTTAGATTTCAAGAGAATTTACTTATTAGGATTTATTTTATTTTATTCAATTAGGTAAAATACCAGAGTTCATAAGAAGAGTATCGTTGATGCACTAATTATAGAGGACATTCAATTAATTATTTCTTATAATTATGATATTTCAAATAATCTCTAGGCATGGAATTACAATACAGATTAAAGTCAATCACTTGTTGGACATTCAAAGGGAGTAAATGGTGTGTAATTTATGTAATAATAAAATATTATTTTATCTTATGATAAAGCAGGATAAATTATTATATGGAGCTACAATCCAGATTTATCGAAAATTAAGATTGTACAAAACCTTTCTTAGAACTAAAATAATGAAATCATTAATTTATTTTTGTTTACAAAATATACTAACATCTTTATTTCATTAGATATTGTTGGAAATGTTTTTATGACCAACTTTTTAAATGGAAGTATTGTGAAAGCTTTCAAAGTTTAGAATATGAATGCCATGATTATCGATGAATTATATGATAGAATATTTTTATATGGAAGCAGCATTGAAGTTTATAGTGCAATAACAGGGGTTAAGGTGTAAGAAATAATCGGTTTTGATAATTAAGTTTAACAAGTAATATTTAAGAACAATTATATAATAGCATATGGAACTGTAAATATTTAATCAATTTCTCGTGATACTTTAGTTGTTTTATTTGCAAGTTAATTTAAAAAAAATATATACTCTTTGACAGTTTTAATTAATTTTGTTGGTATGGTAGGAAATAATGTTGATAGCTCAATTGAAGTTTGGGACTATACAAGTGGTGTTATGCTTTCAGAAATTAAAAATCAATCATATCCTTAAAATTTAGTGAGTATATTTCATGATGAGCAATCTTAGCTGTTTATTGTATAGAATGTCGACAGATATTTATTTACTGTAATACCTTACTTTAATTCTTACATTTAACAAAAAGATTTCATGTTTGCTCCAGTTACTATTTCATACATAAAGAGCTACGTCTTTGATTTTTATAGCAATATTCTAATCGTTTGCAATGATGATACCATTATAGCATGGCAATATTATGCATATGTAGGCTTCTAAGGTTAAGCTGTTATAATACCTTCTGAATCATTGATAATGTCAACTTATCATTCAAAACAAGGTAATTTAAATTAATTTTACTTTAAAATTAATTAAATTAAAACTAAATTTTTAATATATTAATTAAAAACTATGTTTTATTTAAATATTTTTATAAAAATTTTATGTTAGATGTTATTACATATGCTGATTTAAACTAAAATATTTGGTAGGCTAGCTAAAACTAATTATACTATAAGCTATAACTTTTATATTAACCAAAATAAATTATTTTGCACACAGATACACATTTGGTAACAGATGGAATAAATTTATATAGCTATGACTCTAATTTTAAATTAGCAAGTTAATTATAAATATACCCCTTTAGCATTTATTTAGATGAAACTATTCCATTCATTTTTGTGTAGACTTATAGTTATTAAATAATCTAATTATTAATAAATACAACCAACTCAGGTCTAACATTTGTTAATATTTACAGTAATCATAGTAGTAGAATAGTAAATTGCATTATAAATACAATTTATTCCCATATTATCACTTTTGATGTTACAGGACACCTTGCTGTTAACAATTATAACACTTTTAAATCCATATAAGTTCCTTAATAGAATAACTAAATCATTAGAGATTTACAAATTGATTTTGAATTTAAAAGGTATTTTTAACAAATTTTATTTTTTAATACTAAATAATGCTTAACAAAAATATTTTAAAAAAAAAGATTAATAACTTGTTCTTAAGACTAAACTTCCATTGTGTTTTCTTATGATAACGATACCCCTCTAAGCCTTTTATATTTGCTATAGTAAAAATCTTCTGTTGTTTAGGCATTAATTGATGCTCCAAGACAATAAATTTTGATTTGGACTGATTTATAATTAGCTATTTAAGTCAGAAATCTTAATTCTACGAATTTAGACTTAATTAAAAATATTTATGGACCTGGAGATTACCAAGTACAAATGAAATTAAGTTAATAATGGAATATTTTAGCTATTTTCAATTAATTTTAAGTAAATCTGCATGATAGAAATGCAAATGATGCTATTATAAACTCACTGAGAATGCCTTCTTAAATATACAACATAACAGATGTCTAATTCATTTCTTAATCTTTGCTTCTCATAAGATCTAAGGCTCAACTTAACTTAGTATCTTTTTCATACAGTTAAATAGCTATACAAAAATCTTTCTCAATGCAATTTCCATTATTACTATCATTAAGTTATAGCGATCAGCTAATAATTAATATAAAAGGAATAAATCTATTCACTGTATTTAATTATACATTCCCATACTCTAGTGATCCAACAAATACTGATTATTCTTAATGCTACTCAAATCTTCAAAGAACATCATCTTACTTTTAACTTAGTTAGGATCTCTCAACCCAAAGTATTTCCTTTTAGAAAGTCTCTCAATCAATAAATAATATTGTCCTAAATATTCAAATGGATGATGAACAACCCTTTTTTTTTGTCTAAAAAAGCATCAGCCTTGGAGGTACTTCAAGCACTTAGTAATTTTATGTGTATGATAAAAAATAGTAATCACAAAAAAACAGAATTAATTTGGCAATATCTTCTTTTGAATAGTTTAATATGCCTACTTTGACAATTAAAAATTTTAATTGGAAGATAGGAAATTAAACAACTTACAACTTTAATAAAAACACCCAAAATATTATTTTTGTTAATTCTACATTCTAAGATAATATTGTTGGTAGTTAGTTTGTAATAAATTCAATAAATTCGTTGATGATTGATAATATGGAAATTATAAACTTATAGCTTAGTTCAATAGGATAAAATTAATAGAGAGCGTTATAATTTTAATAAAGTCAGAATAGTAGCTTATTTTAAATAACAAATAGTAATACAGTATTTATAAAAAACCTTAATCTCACAAATTTGATAATAGAGAATTCTATTTCTATATTCTATATTTAGCAAGTCCAAAAAATAGTTATTTAGAATTTAACCATATAAAATGTTAGATATTACTCATAAAATGGATAATAAAATATTTGGAGTAGTTTGTTTTCAATATAAAATAGCTAGAGTATTTAAATTAATTCAGTTACTATTCAAAATTGTACAACTAATACTAATTTAAATATTAACATTTCTTAAGGTTTAAAAATATCTTAATTTATTGTCTTTTACATGAATGCTAATAAAAATATATCTTCAATAAATTTAAATGCTTAAAACAACTAGAACTTAATGATTTTCGATATTTCTTAAACTTATCTCATGCAAGGTGTAGGTTATATATAAGTTGTTAATGACACTATAAGATTTTAAGATGTTTCAGTTAGTTATTGTACTAGTGTATAAGGATAAGCTTTAAATAGAATATAAACAAGCTATTTTGAACTAAATTAATCATCATTCTTTAACAATACATGCTTGTATTCATATGGTTGTGCATTTGACATATATTAAACAACGTTTTATTTCACTAAATGCGCTTTTATGTATCTATAATCAGAATATGGTGGAGCAATAAGCATAAAAGACAGTCCTTTAGTTAATATAATTTAAGAATCTAGCTTTTAATCCAATATTGCAAGCTAAGGAGGATCAATATATTTATACTACTCAAATCTGGAAATAATAAAAACAGTAATTAGTTAAAATAATGCCCAAGTAGGTGGAGCAATTAGGTATTTAAATTTAATACCAGATTTTATAACAAAAAAATAGTATCTAGCTGATAGTTTGAGTCAAAATAAAATTGAAAATAATTAAGCCAAGATATTTGGCCAAAATATAGGTTCATACCCTAGAAATATTTAAATTACAAGCATGAATGAAGGGGTGGCTTTTGAAGTTATTTAAAGTAAAATTTTTTAAATTTAATAATGAAATTTTTTATTTAGAAAATATCAAGAATTATTATTTAATTACAAAATTTAAAAATTAGAATAAAAAAAAATCTAAACTTGTTTTTAAATAGAGTTAAAAATTTTTGGAAAAAGATATATATATATGAGAAATCGATTGATAATTTTATATTTTTTTGTGTTTATTTTAGTAAATAAATAATAAAAATTATGTTTTATAATAGAAACATAGAGTTTAATTGTATACCAGATAGATAATTTTATGAGTGGAGGTAATTTAAATTTCAATATAAAAATATATGATGAAGAAAACGGGGTTGTTAATCTTAATTAACTTGAATAAAGTAGCTAAGATCTTTAGAGCGAATTTCAGTAATACTAGTTTGATTGTGTTTCTTTAAATCCTAAAATTACGTAAATCAACGGTAATAAAGCTGCTTATAACTAAACAGATATTTCATTTACATTTTAAAATATTTAGCTCATATCAAATCCTTAGACATCTTCAGAATTTTACATTTAAAATAATATTATTTAAATTCCTAATCCATAAAACATAACATAATTTTTATTGGTACCTATGTAAGTTAAATTAAATGTTAATTTTCGTTAATGCTAAGTTGGTGAAATCATAATTAAAAGGTATTAAAAAACATTTTATTAAATAGTTTATTTATTTATTTATTTATTTATTTATCTATAATAGTACTTAAAATACTCCATCATACTGCGAATTATGTCCAGTACAGAAATATTCTTTAATAACTCCAGATCCTAACTCTTAAAGTGAGTAAGCTTGTAAACTGTGTCCAGATTCTTGTTCTTATTGTTAAGGGAACACAATCTTATTAAAGAATGGCTACTGGAGAGAAAATAATAATACAGATAATATCGTAAGTTGTGTTTATAATCCAGATAATTGCTAAGGTGAAAGTACTGATAGTATTTAAAATTGTAGATAAGGATATATAGGTCCTCTTTGTGAAACTTGTGATTTAAATGGTAAAGTTTGGAAACAAAAATACATGAACAAATAACCTTATGAGTGCATTCCATGCATAGATTCATCAGGTTAGACATATATATATATTTCTTCATTAATTGTAGGATGTTTATATATTATATTTGGAGTTAGAGCAGCTCGCTAGATGACTTTAATAAAAGCCTAGAGTTATTACCTCAGAATGGTTGGATTAGCAAGTATTGGGAACAGCGAATCAACTGATAAATCTGACATTTATTTAAAATTTTTTATGCATTTTATTTAAATTAGTTCAATAGCTTATCAGATTGAACAGCCTTAGTTTTTGAAAGTATTGTAATTAGGAATTGGTACCCCAATAGATTTTTTGAAATTTTCTGCTGATTGCAGAAGTATTTTTACTGAAGGATTTTTACCACATGCATATAGTAGAATCATTTGGTCATAGATAATATCAGTAAGCTATTTCCTGTTACTAACTATTCTTTACTATTTCTTTTATCTGGTTAAATATTTTAAGAGATTTGAAAAGAGCTTAATTGTAACAGGCATAATTTTTATATTTTTATTTTTATAACCTAACATCATCTCTGGGCTAGTTCAGATTATATCTTGCAGAGATATTGGAGGAATTGAGTATCTAACTGCAGATGTTACTTTAAAATGCTACACTATGGAATACTACTCTTATATATTAATCTTATTTTTACCATTATTTTTGATATGGGCAATAATAATTCCTTTAATTGGGATTATTGTACTAAAGAAGAAAGTTAGAATTCTTAACTATTGTTCAGTAAGGCTATCATACGGTTTGCTATACTCAGAATATAGGAAGCAAACATATTATTGGGAATTTGTAAAGATAAACCTTAAATTGATAATCATATTTATTAGTAACTTTTATAGTTAGCAAATTTAATTTAAAAATACTCTTTGCACAATGATTTTGTTTTGCTACTTAATGCTCTCTATTTTTAAAACTCCTTACATAAATGTAAATTTTAATCGTACAGATTAATATTTATGTATTACGCTGATTATCTGTCTTTAATTGAATCTTTTAGTAAACACATCTGAAAACGGCATATAGCTTTAGATTTGCTCATTTTTGCTTTATGCTCTGCATTATTTATTTTCCAGCTTCCTAATAATATAAGTTTTATTAGGAAAAGTGAAGAGGTATCTTTTCATTTTTGGAGAAAAGTATCCAGCATTTAAATCTAACTTTAAGCATGTATATTCAAGGTTAGGAATTAATTCATTTAATAAAATGAGAACATTTAAAAATTGGGCAAAAGCTATTAATTTGATTGGTACTCATTTATTAAAACAAAAGAATTTGTAAATTCCAGATAGTACAAGATAGACTAGAACTTCATCAATATTTTTTAGCAAATTTTAGAGGAAAAACACTGAAAGCTAAAACTAAAACTAGAGCCCTAATAATAAACTAAATTCTTTTAAACAGGAAAAAAGAGGAGTTAGTGTCTTTAAATGTAAAAATTACAATTTGATTGATTAGATAAATTAATTTTTTTATCAAAATAAAAGTAATTTAACAAAACGAAGAAAGGAAAAAAGATGAAAATTAATTCACATAATATATAAATGAAAATGAACATACCATAACATTAAATACAAATAGATTAAACAGTAAAACTTTAACGAATTTTTTATTTTAACTATTTATAATTTAAAAAAGCAAATCCTGTTAAATAAGAAGATAGTGCATAATTAATATTTACTGATAGAGTTAAAAAGAAACAAATAGGAAGAAAAGAGCTTCACCAAAATTATTAGTTTAAAACAAAAAAGAACTTTGAAATATTTAATTTAGATCTTTAAGATATGTGATGATAAAATTTAGATACATAACATCCTTTTTTAAAATTTATGATTTCTTAAAGTGCTTTTCGAATAAATTTTAAAATATTTATTTAGAAAATTTTGTTTTTTATTTTCAAGTATTTAAATACTTCTAATTTATTTCATAAGACACTTAATTAATTTATGATTTTATTAAAAAATTTTAATTATTTTAAGAAATTTAATTTAATATTTTATTCTTTATTTAGATTAATTTTAGTTTTAAAATATCCGAATTTTTTATTAGATCCATTCATTTTCTTTCTATTTTACATTTAATCTCTCTTTAATTGTAATTGCCTAAAATATTTTTTATAAATTTTTATTTAAATATTTGCTTAAAATTTAAAAGTATCAAACATTAAACTCCACAATTGAAAGAAATCTCTTATTAATTTTTATAGTATATTAAATACTATCTTATCTTGCCTAAAAGATTAAAGAAAAATGTTAAAAATATATTATTCCACATACACTACTTGATTATTTAATACAGCACAATAAATTATATTTAGTTTTGTATGTTAAAACAAATAGATTTAAAGAATAAAATTATTGATAAAATTAATCTGCTTTTCAATTTTTTATGTAATAAATACCATTTTGTTTTAGTAGTCATTTTTTCAAGTTAATTTGATTATTTTGAAGAAGTTATAAAATTAACATGCCTATTAGATACACTATTTACATCTGGCTATTAATTTATAAAAAAATACTTACTAAAATAAGATCAATAAAAAATTTGATCGATATTTACCATAAAATTATTTTGCTTGGAACTGAAATAGAAAGATTATTTTTAAAATTTAAAAAGAATCATATTATATAATTTAAAAATAAGAGTATAATAGCCAACCTTTCTTCTATTTTTAAAAATAAATTATTTACAAATATTTAATTCTCTTAAAAATAGTATTAATTTGAATTTTTTTCTATTCTATCAGGTAAGATTAAGAATGTTGCAAACGCATCTGATAAGAAAAGTAATATAAATTAATCTAAAATTTTATAAGTAAACAATAAAAGCAAATAAATAATTATTAGGATATTAGTAATATGAGCACAGACAAAGACACTCTTTTTACAATTTTAGTAAATATTAAAGAAACTTATTTCTAAGAAGCTATATATGATCATATGGTAAAAAGCTAATTTAAGGAATATTGCAATCAACAAACCCAAAGATTGCAATATGCAGAATTTAAAAAGTTTATAGACAATAAAACAGATGGAATAAACGATGCATAAATATAAGCATTATTTAAAATATTTGACAAAAATAGAAGTGGAACTATTTCATATGAAGAGTTCACTGCCATTTTTGCTTAAATTAGGCACATTAAATCTGATGAAATCAAGAAACTCTTATCGCAGAAGAGTGTTAATTCACAAGGAAGCAATTAAAGCAGCCAGTAGTAGTTCGTTCCGACTTACAACGTAAGATAAGAAATTAATCCTATTACAAATCAACGAAATATTAATATAGACTTATATGTGAAAGATACTAAACAAGTATAAGATTTAAATCTTGATTTAAAAATATCATAGTAATAGACAGGACAAATGGAAATCTAACCCTAGCTTTACATGAATTAAATGAATCCATAAGGTTATGGATATCCTCCTTTTTAATAAAATTAAGGCATTCCTCAACAACAATATGTGCCTAATCCACTTATGGATGATGACGACGATATTAAACAATCTTCTAATACAAATAAATATCCTAATCTTTATTCTCCATTTAATAATTAGCCATATAAAGATTCTCCTTAACACTATAATCCTTAAAATCAATAAGTCCCAAGCTAATAAATTTGGAGAGATTCACCTTAATTTAGAAATTCTCCTTAGCACTATCAGCCCTCGAATTAGATAGTTTAAAATAACTAAAATTAAAGAGACTCCCCTCACAATTTACATTTAAATCAATAAGGCATAAATCCTTAATAGCAACTACCTTCTTATAATTCTCCAGCCCATTTATAGTATAGAGACTCGCCTCAACACCAGCACTTTTAATAGTAACAGCAATAAATTCCTACTCAAGTTTAATCAAACTAGCAAGGGAACAATATTTCAAAATATCCTTCGTTAAATAAACCAGGAATTTAAAATGAATAGGAAGTAGTTAATGGATTGATAGGTAATAATGAACCAGATGTACCCTTAAATAAAAAAGACGAAGACAGAATTGTTTAAGAACTTGTCCCAGAAACAAATTTCGATAGTTTGATGATAAAATTAGAAACATTAAAATAAATGCACTTAAAGAATTAGATTAACTTGTTTAACTTAAAAAATATTTCAAATGCAAGCAAAATTACATTCAGGGACTTAACTAAATTTATAAACAGTAGTGGCGTTTAATTAACACAACAAGAGGAACAGTTTTTAAAAGCTGCCCTTGTTGACAAAAACTCTGAAACTGTTTATATAAAAGATTTTTTAAATCTTTTAGGTGTAAAAGAGTTGAGCTAAAATAAAAAAAAAGATGTTATCCCTACTGTTAATGTAAATTAATAAAAATAACCTAACATAATTTATCCTCCATTAAATATTAATTCACCAGTAAATTAGCTTCCATAATAAGAATTAGTAAATCAAAAATAGGGCAATAATATTCCAGCACAAAATTTCTTACAAGTTTAAAATAATAAAAACAACATTGAAGCAAGCCAAAAATTATTTGATGTAGCAGGTGGGCAAAAAATAGATGTGATGAGATCATCTATTTAAACAAGAAATTTATATGAAATAGATACAAAATCAAAAGGTTTTGATAATTTTGTGAGAAAATTTAAAGAATACTAGCAATAAAATAAACCATTTACTGATTCAGAATTTCAGCCTGTCCCTGATTCAATTATAAGAGATTCTTCTTTTAGAAAGTATTATGAATGGAGAGAACTTAGTGTAACATTTGATTTATTTTAAAAATATTTATTTCACTTCATCAATCAATAAATCAATCGATTTAAGTTATAAAAAATTATTTTTATAATATTTAGTGGAAAAGACCTGCTTAGATTTTTGGTCATAATAACTATTAGATGTTCTAGAAAATGGAGTCTATGAATACAAGTAGAATAGGTTTAGGAAAATTGATAGCTCCATAAGATATTGAGTAAGGATAGTTAGGTGATTGCTATTTCCTGTCAGCTGTGTCTAGTTTAGCTTAAGAACCCCAAAGAATTATGAATTTATTTATAACTCGTATAAAAAATAACATAGGTATGTATTGTGTTAGAATTTGCTTTGATGGAGAGTGGACTGCGGTTTATGTTGATGATTTTATTCCATGCAATAGGAGAGATACTCCAGCTTTCACTAAAGCATCTGGAGAAGAAATTTGGGTACTTATCCTTGAAAAAGCTTGGGCCAAACTTTTCAAAAGTTATTATTCAATCGAAGCAGGTTACTGTAGAGAGGCATTAAGAGATCTTACAGGTGCTCCTACGAAGAGTGTTATGACTCTTGAAACAGAGTATGATGATTTTGGCAAACCATAAAAAAGACCTAACGAGAGTCTACCAATAATTTTAAAAGAAGCCCTTTCAAAATAAAATAAATTTGTAGTTACAGCCGGAGCTGATGACGAAGATGATTTAACTAGATCAACTGCTGATAGACTTGGTTTAGTAAATTCTCATGCATATAGTATAATAGGGTAATTTTATATTTCTAATTTTAAACATATTAACTTATTTTATATATATTATCCTAAAATAATCTTCAGTTATTGATTTCTCTTTAAAGAGGAATTAAAATATTAGTAAAGAAATATTAAAATATAATTTAATCTAAAAATATGTTTCAAGTTTTAGATGGAGATAATTTTTTAGAGCAAGCAAATTATTTTTCTTTAAAAAATTAGGATAAACACAATTATAAATAAATTCAATTTTCTAATTTAATAGTGTCAAAGAAATCACCCATCCTAAGTTAGGAAATGTCACTTTATTGAGATTGAGAAACCCATGGGCTAACTAAGAGTGGAAAGGAGACTGGAGTGATGATAGTCCTTGTTGGACACCAGAGCTTAGAGATTAACTAAGAGTAAAGAATGTTGACGATGGTATATTTTACATGAGTGTAAAAGATTTTATGAAATATTTTGACGATGTGTGTATATGCTACTATCATGATGATTATCAATATAATAGTATCCGTATAAATAATTCTACAGCAAAACGCTCTGCTTATACTAGATTAAGAATAGAAAAAGAAGGTACATATTACATATCAATAATATAACCTAACAAAAGGCATTTTGAAAATGTAAGTAATTATAAATATTCGTGTAGCAGACTTTTTATTTCTTAAGTTACTGGACCAGATGGAAAACCAAACTAAAGATATATAGGAGCTATTTAAAAGAGAGATAGAGAAATTTTTGTAGAATGTAATCTCACCCCAGGAAATTATTTAATCTAATCCAAAATTTTTTGGGAAACAAACGCAGCTAATTCTTATGTAGTATCTACATATGGTGTTGCACAAACTAAGTTAGATTAAGTTGATAAAAATTAAGTTCCTCCTTTCATGAATGAATGTTTGATTCAAAAAGCTCGTAAAAGTACAAAGCTTAAACAACTAAGATAATATCCTGAAATATTAAAGGAGATTCTCCTAGAAGTAAAAGAAGGATTTGGTTATTATTATGTCTAAAATAATTCAAGTAAAACACTTGATATGGAAGTTAATTTTACTTAATCGGATAGTATAAAACTAAGAAAACCAAATCGTATGCCTATCCTTAAATTTGTTGTCCCACCAAAAACCGAATTCATAGCTCCATTTACAGTTTCGTTTAAAGGCTATAATTTTAAAAGTAGCGAATCCTATACTGTAAGCTGAAAAATGTTTTTATTATATTTCTGTAAAATTTAATTTGCAACAAACACTCTAAATAATTAATGAATTATCTATCTATTTTTTAAAATTTATGGAATTATTTTTTTTATATGAAAGGCATTATTTAAAGTATTTAAAAAATAAATAAATAAGGTTAAATTTATAAATAATTTATTTCAAAAATCTGCTAAATTAATTAATTTGTTTAGAGTATTTTTTTAGAATAATATCTATGTATTAAAAATAGATGTCTATCATAAAATAATGCATTAAGAAAAATAGTACTATTTAATGGTGTATATTCAAAGATTAAATACATATTTTTAATTATACTTACTATAAATTTATAATTGAGGATTATTTTTTGAAAAAAATTAAAATTGATAATTGATTGTCATTTGCAAAAACTTGCGCAAAACACTAAATAATAAGATGATGGATGATAGATATCCTTTCAATTAAAGCAATCTTTGTTTATCAATTATCTTTTAGAATTAATTTTCTCTTTCTTTTCAAATAGTGAAATATAAAAATTTAACTCTTTAAAAAAAATTAAAAAAAAGAAGTAAAATTAGATAATAGGAAAAAAGCAAGATAAATTGATATTACAAAAAACAAACAAAAATGGTTGATTCGGACACAGAACAAATTAATAACTTAGTTTAAGCAATTTAAGACTGTGAAAAAACATAGGAAAATATAGAATGGGTATACACCATAACGGAAAAAGATTATGATTTAATCAATCTTTTTATCATAGCATTTATGGAATAGTTTGAAGATATCCAAAAAGCAAACTCAATATTAATCGCTTTAAAGTAAAAAAATTGACAATTAACAAACAAAATTTACTTCCAAGCTCATTTTTATTCAATAAACAATAGTAATATGTAAAATAATTTATTATTAAACAAAAAGGAAACTAAATGAGTTCGCTCCAGACCAAGTTCTGCCTTAAATGAGAGAAAATGAAAAATTCCCTATTGCTATTTCATAATATATCATAAAGACTTAAAAATTAGAAGATTTAGTTGGTAAGCTAATTTAAAAATTCTTTTTTTTAAATTGAGAATAATAAGCAAACAAAAATTTTATTAAATAAAATATTTTTTAATTAATTTATCTCTGATATTTAAAATAGGAGAAGCATTCTTACTTTTAATTGATATTTTCTAAGTTTCTAGCTTTAAGTCAGTTACTAATCAGGCTTTTATTGAAAGACTATTTGATTTACTGCAAATTATCAATGATGAAGAAACTTTCCATGCAATCATTAAAATATTTATAAATATTTCATATGAATATAAAAGTCCAAAAGACAATTTGGTAATCAGAGTAGCATCTTCTCATTAATATTCAAGATATTTTAGTGAAACAATTATAAAATTCTTAAATAAAAATGAAGATGATTTAATCATAAAAACTTTGCAATTTATTGAAGATATTTATAAAGTACAAAGTGATTTCTTCTACTCTCATGATTTTAATGTATTAATTGATGTTTGCATTAGAGAGATTAATAACACTAACAAAGAAAATTTAAGAGAAAAATTCATGGAAGTCTTACATGTTTTAACTGATACAGATCAGTATAAAAAGAAACAACCACGTAGAGAATCCATTTTTAGACTTGTTGAAACAATGTAATATGCTACAGTTTCTGCAAAATCTAAAAACATTTCTAACGAACTTAAAGTCACTCTTGACAAAATTTGAGAAATATATAAAAGAATATTTTAAGAAATATTTTTGAAAATTCAATCCATTTTAAATTAAATTTAGTTAATTAATTGATAATGTTAAATAATAAACAAACATTTTCTTTTTCAATAATACAATTTAGCACAATTTAAATTATTTCATCTTTTATTTTATAGCTATAAAAAATTAATTGTATTTTTATATTTATTTGTTAATTAGAGTTTCTTATTATGCTTCTTCTTTATTTATTTTAGTCTTAATTTTTTTTTTTTGCATGTTTTATGCATTCAAAAGAACAATATAGATTTCAACTTTTATTAAAACTTATTTACTTTTGAAAGAAAATTAAGTAGAACAATGTTTAAAACAATCTATCATTTAATAAATTCTATTAAAGTTAATTTATTTTCAAATGAGTACAACAAATAAATTAATTAGTATTTTAAAAAAAGAAGATAAATCCTCTGATGACATTCTTTTCTTGAAAGTTTACTTGTCAAAAAATAAGGTAAATTGGATTAAAATGCTTTTTTTGATTAAAGCTTTTAAAAATATAATAGTTTTTCTAATAAGTTTTTGAATCATTTAAAGCTAGTCCAGAAATCAATAATGAAATATGCAGAGCTGTTAAATATGAGACTTATCCAAAATTTTCTATCATTTTCAAATAAGGAGACACTAATTGCGATAAGGCTTATATTATATTAAAAGGGAGAATCATGATATTTATGAAAAATACGATTGATGTATTTTAAAAAGAAGGTGATACAAATGAAAATTAATAAATTGAATTAACTACAAAAAAATGGATAGTAGAATAATTGCTAGAAAGTTAATTGGAAAAAAATGATGAAGCTGCAAGAAATGAAGTCCCTGAATAAGATTTTTTGGCTGTGTTAGGATAATCTTATGGAAAGCTTTTGATTGAAGTGGATGAAGGAGCTCTATTTGGTGAAAAAGCTCTAATAGAAAACAAGCCAAGAGCTGCCACCATTTGTAGTAAAACTCCTTGTGAATTTCTCATTCTTAATAAGTAAATTTTGCTTGGACAAACAAAATATTAATAATTTATTAAATGTAAAGAGAGGATTTTGAAATAGTATAAATCAAATATAACAAGGCACAACAAGATAAAAAAGATTTTATTATGAATAAATTTCCATTTTTAGGTAATCTAATTACAAGTGGCAGAGTGTTTGAGCGAGTTGTTAGATTTTTTGATGAAGAAACTTACCACAAAAATTAAATTATAGTGAAAGAAGGCATTTAAATAGCACCAGCAAATTAGAAACTCTTTGTTATTGTACAAGGAGAAATATAACTCTATAAAAATATTGTTAAAAAAATAAATAATCCTCATTCTTTAATAGAAAAGTAAATTGAGCAAATTCACATAGCAACTTTAGGGTAATCAGAAGTATTTGGTAATTTTATATAAAATTAGAATTAGAAACTTAATAATAAATAATTATATTAGGTGAAGAATTGTTAGAGACCCAAACCGAGGAGAAAAGCTATCTTTACACTGCAATTTGTGTTTCACCTAATTCTTAATTTTTAACAATTAATATTAATATTTTAGAAAAAAAAATGCCTGATCAAATGAAAGATTTTATTCAAGCAAACTATCTTTCAAAGAAAAATCTAAGAGAAACAATTCTTTTGGCTCACGATAAGCAATAAAAAGAAATAGAAATAATGAGAAAGAAAAATATGAAAGACTAATTTGAATTTGAAAAAAATTTACTGGTAAAAATTAGAAAAATACATGTAGAATAAGAGCAATAAATTGAATAGGATATAAAATAAAATAATTAATCAATTTAAGAATCACCAATCAAAAACAAACAAATTCAATATAAATTTATCAAAAAAAATTCCTTTGAAGAAAAATTAGGTGAGTGCTCAAGCTTTAACTAGCTTTAATCAAAGTAATTTGTGTCTTATAATCACTTTGAAGATTAGCATTAGATTTAAAATAGGGAATAAGGTGAAACTTTTTAGAGCTAAATAAAACTGCATAAATTAAATGAATAAAATTTGTAAATTAAATAAAAATAATCTATAAGAACTCAAAAATCTATAGACAGTGATGAATTATTAGATAAGCAAAACGAGAAATTTTTGGTCATTTAAGGAGATACCAACTAGCAAAATATGATTCTATTTCATTAATTGAGGAGCGATGTAAATGAAAAAATAAAAAAAGAGGGTGGTTATAAAAAAGATATTAATTTTGGATTTTATTATGAGAGAGAAATGTAAGATATTGAAAATAAGTAATAAATGGAAATGAAAAAATGCAACCCATACCCTTTCAAGCTTATTGCTAACAACAAGCATCTCAAATAACTTGAAACACGTTTAAAGCAAAAAAAATTTCAATTTGCTGATGCATAAGGTATTTTATCTAAAACAAAATACTATCAAGCCAAAGAAAAAAATGAACTATCGCTTAAATAGATGATAGAAGAAGGATTAACAAAGAGTAAATTTTATCATGATGAAGCACCAAAATAAAAGAAAAAAAATGAATCACCAAACTAAAGCTTGAATAAATAATCATTCTCTTAGATGTTGAAACGATCCTTTGAAAAAGAAAAAGATTATAATTAAGACTAATAGTAGTGTTTGCAAAAGAAAATAGGAATCAGTAATCTCTTCAAAGATGAAATCAAGGCATCTGAATGTGGGGGTAAAGTAGAAAATACAGGCAGAAATTTATTTGCATGCTCTCATAAAATTAAATTGCACTCAGTTCTAAAAAGAATCTCTGATAATTATTAATAGCATGAAGAATATTATGAAGATAATGAAAACTTAGCATAAATTATTAAGTTATCCAAACATAACTCAGATCAATAATATAAATTTTATCAAATCAGTCAAGCTAAAAAGAGCTCTGTTGAAACCAGGAAAATTTTAAGCCGTTCTCCTATTATAAGAAAACTTAAGATAGTTCAATATTCTGCTTAACATGGAGGAGGAGTCTCTATACCTTCAAATAAAAGGCATATTGTAGAAAATAATCCAAACTAACCAAATAAAATTAGACCATCCTCAGATGAAACTAGATATAATAAGAGCAATAATTCTTTGAAATAAGTAAGTAGGTACTTTTATCAAAAAGATTCTTTTGTTATGCAATCATCTGCATAATCATGCACAAAAAACGAAGCAAACAAGTCCTTAAGTCCACCATATTAAAATAGCAATAATTTTAAAGCAAACAAGTTGAGTATTAAATATATGTAATTTTAGTAAAAGTTACCCAATAACGATTTAGCTACATAAGATTTATTTTAAGTAGAAGGAAATAACTCTTAGGGAATTCAAAGATTGCATTCAAGCTAAAAGCATAGAGGACCTAAAAATACAATTACAAATTTAAAGCTCAAAGAAAATTCTAAACATTCTGAATTTAGTTTTGTAAATAGTAATCAACCTATTGACTTAAATATATCAAAAGAAAACATATAGAAAAAGATAATATTAATGTAAAGTAGCTCATTTTATAATAATTAGTCTATTAAAGAAAACACTACACCACATAAATAGACAGGATTCAAAATTTAAAGCAATGACGATATCAGCTTCTCTTAATAATATCAGGAGTAGAGTGTAAAGATGGAGTAAAGTTAAGCTCATGAAGAAAATTAATCATAAATTAATTAAAATGAATAAATTCAATAAAATACATCTAAATAGATTATTAATTCGAATGATGATACTAATATTTTATAATAATCAAATGAAATTTTATCAGATTCAAAGCAATTATAGTTATAAAAAAATTTATCATAAAATTCGGTATATAAGAATGAAGCAAGCGATTAACTTCATGAAAATAAGCTTAAGTAAAATATTAATGAGACTTAATCTTAATAAGAGCTAAGTGGTAACTAAAATAAACACGGGATTGATGGTAACTAAGAGAAAGAGTAAATTATTGATAATATGTCTAAAGATAAGCTTGCAGATAGCCAAAATATTGAGTAAATTGGTAATTTGTTAGATGAAAAATAATTAAGTGTCAGTTAAACTTATATAAATACTGAAAATAATTAAAAGCAGGTTGACTAAAATAATTAAATAACATTCAAAAATTCAAGGATACTTAATCAAAGCGAGAACTAAAGCATAAATGAAAATAAAATAGAGAGTAATAGTCAAATAGATTAAATTTAATTATCTCAGAAAGAAAATAGTTTGAAATTAAGCAGTAAAAAGAGCAGTCAGAAAAAGTTAACCCTATCAAATGAAGTTTAAAATAGTTAATAAGATGATAATAGTTAAAAGCAGGTTGACTAAAATAATTAAATAACATTCAAAAATTCAAAAATACTGAATCAAAGTGGGAACTAAAGTATAAATGGAATTAAATCAGAGAGTAATAGTCAAATAGATTAAATTTAATTATCTCAGAAAGAAAATAGTGTAAAATTAAGCAGTAAAAAGAGCAGTCAGAAAAATTTAGCTCTATCAAATGAAGTTTAAAATAGTTAATAAGAATAAAAAGAGTAATAGACAACAAGCATAATTGAAGATATGAATCTAAATCAGGAATTAAATGTCTCATAAGCAACTAATAATAATATAAAAGAGAACTCTTCATCTATTGAGCATACATAGGAGTCTTTTAAATAAATATAAAACAATACTAATCAGAATAAATAAAGCTCATAGAGTTAGCAATAATAAAAGTAATCAAAGAAATAATCTACGAATAATTAAAAAAAATAAACTAAAAAAAAATAAAATAATTAAGTACATTAAAAAGATGATAAATCTAATATAGAATAATCTAAAAATTAAAGCCAAAAAGTGATAAAAATTGATGAAAAAAAATGATTAAATTTATTTTTTTATAATTAATAAGTAAAATAGACAAATTATTTATCATTAAAAAAAATTAATTTAAATCTAAATTACAAAACGCATTTAACTTAAGTTTAACAAAATGAGAAATGAAACTATTAAATAAGTTGAGATTTCTCTTTTGATAATTTCAAAGAAATTTTTAAAAATTTTTAAAAATCTTTTCAGAATATTTTATTATTTATAAAAAATAGTTTATTTAAAATATTTAATTAGCTAATCAGTTTTAAAACAAATTTTTTAGAAATTTTATATGGATAATTTTGATAATTTTATTAATTTATTTTATTTTTTTGGATTGAGTACCTTTGTAATAGTTTTGGAATAAACATATTGGCTTTTGAAATATATTTTTAAATTGCAAGAAGAAACTAAATTTAATATAAATGTATGAGTGTTAATTTGTAAGCCAATATTTATAATATACAATTGATAAATTGAAAAATATGATAATGCGAAATAAAAGAATAAAATTATGCAATTGATTTGTTACTATGAATAAAAATTATTATAAATATTATAAATAATAAGCATGAATTAATTAAGTGACTGTAAATCAATTTTTTCTATTTTAGTATAAAATAAATACAACAAAATTTGCAATTATTCCTAAATATTATCTAAATTTAATTTCTAAAAATCTAAAAAAATAAATAAACCGAAAATGTAAAAATTATAAAATATACTAAAATAAGACAATAATTGTTTTAATCAACTACTTTCAAATATACTTTCTTAAATATTTTAAATAAATTTATATTTTTAAATAAATGATAAAACACATAATTAAAAAAATGCTTCGCTTGACTAAAATAGCTAAATTAAAATATTTAAAATGTAAAAACACTATATTTATTTATTTTTGATCTATTTTATAGAAATCTGATAAAAAATAAAATGAAAAAAAAAAATACAAAAATGATAAAAAGCATCAAAATTAATAAATTTTGTGAATAATGTAATTGAAAACGAAAATAGTTACTCTGCTTAAAATATTGCAATTAATTTGAATATATTAATTCGCATATTTTACATTTTCTTTCAAATCAAATATATGGTTAAAATAAACTTCAATAAATCTTCAAATAATTAAATCTCCAAAATACTTGATTTTGATATTATTAGAAAATTAATAAAAAAAAAATAAAAGCTAATATCTTCAATTATCAAAAAATAAAAATATGATTATTGGTTCACAGATAAAACTTGAAGATTTATCAAGATCAGAAGAGAGTCCTGCTAAAATGCTAAGCAGCAGAGAGTAGAACTATATGGATGATGATATATTAAATGGTGCTCAGAATCGAGAAAAAAACTTTAAACTATAATTAAATGATAAATGTATTCTTTAAGAGCAGTAACGAAAAAGACTGAACACATAGGATAGTTATATTCCTGCTCCTTAGACTCCAGAAGTAATTAAAAAAAACAGTAAAGGTCTTTAGCAAGTTTCTATTAACAACTTCAACTAAAGTATTACAAGTCCCTCTTAACCTTTTTAGAGCTACGACTTAGCTTAAAGGCATAAGAGTAGTATTGGGACTTTAGCAACAGGTAAAAATGAAATAGTCAATGTATCAAATAATTTCTATAATATGAAAACTGCTTGTTCTTATACTCCATAAACGCTAAAGATTAGAAAAGAGTCTAATAACATTTATAGTGGTTATAAGTTAGAAGATGAAAACATGAAGTCTCTTAAGTAGAATAACGATTTAGATCAAGATATTAAAAAAAATAATTTACATTAGATAAATCTTTAAAGGGAATTAAGTTTTTAATAAAGCAATAATAATTTCATCAATAACCCATCACCCAATTTTATTAACTTTAATTACAATAGTAGCAACAATGAAAACCAAGAAAACAATAAAAATGAAAAATTTACTATCGCTAATCACCTTAATTTACAAATTAATTTATTAAAAAATGCAGAGTAAAATCCCTCTGAATAAACTAACTTTGCACCACATATAGCAATGAAGAAAGTTGTAAGTACAAATAACAACGAAGGAAATGATGAGAGTGAATACAATAAAGATAATACTAATTCAAATAAAGCAAGAGGTGCATCTAAAGCATCTTAAACGTAGAGAAAATCAAGATTTAGTGGAGTACTTGGCAGTGCTTTTGGAAAATCAGCTAATTCTTCTGATATTCTAAAAAATATTAATATAATGAAACATGCTAGGTAATTTATGAATAAGCTGCTTAACTTTACAATTCATTCTAATTTTAAGTATCTAAAATAAAAACACTATGATTTTATTGGAGATCTCAGTGCTTTTTACAACCCTGAGGAACACGTCTTTGTAGAGGGAGAAAATAGTTTGAAGAAATCTAGTTTGCTAAATAAATCTAATAAGTCATTTAAGTCTTTAAATTCTAATTTAATTAGCAAGTCTTAACTTTCTTAGCAAACATTTTTTTCAAGTTAAAGAAAGGAATTTAATAAATTTATTGTACTTCTATTTGAAATCCTAAAGAGTGTTCCTGTGTTCGATCCAGAATCTTTTTTTTTTATCATTTGGGATTTGATTATGCTTATATTTTAAACAGTTATATTTCTATTCATTCCTTTATCAGTGAGCTTTTAATTAAATATTCATATCCCAGGCATTTAAACTGCTGGCTTTTCAGCTATAGCAGGCAGTTTCTTTTTTTTAGATACTATTCTAACACTCAATAGAGGAGTCTATATCAGTGGGGTTGCTGTCTTAGATAGAAATGTAATTCTTAAAAACTATTTGAAGAATATTCTATTTACTGATTTTGTTACTCTTATTGCTTTATCTAATATTAATGAATATCTACAATTATTAATCCTATTTAGAATATACTACATAAAAGTTTTAGTCAATCGTCTTGATGACCACTTTTCATTTAGAATGAAATTTTCAGATGTCATGTAACTAGCATAAATGATTGTTTCGATTATAATAATAGCTCATTTATGCGCCTGCGGCATACATCTAGTTAGTAGACTTTCAGTTGAACTTGGCGGATATCAAAATGCATTAATCATAGATTAAAGGTAAGATAATTGGATAAATATGTATATCATTTGTCTGTATTTCTCCTTGATAACAATGTCAACAGTAGGGTATGGTGATGTAACTCCTAAAAATAATATAGAAAGAATTTACATTATGGTTATGACTCTATTAAGCTCTGCTCTATTTGGTTATGTAATTAACACAATAGGTTAGATTTACACAAAAAAGGCTTAGAGGAGAGCTATATTTGAACAGAAAAAATTTGATATAATCACATATATGGGAAATAGAAATATTCCAAAACACCTTTAAATGAGATCAATAAAATTCCTTGAATATATATAATTTTAAAAAGATGAAACCCACATAAAAGGATAAGCTATTATTGACTAGCTTCCATCATAACTCTCTTAAGAAATAAAATAAGAGTTTTTTGGTAAGATATTACACTCAAATAAATTGTTCAACTCTCACTTTTCTCCATAAGTCATCAATTAATTAGGTAAATTATTAGAAATTACAAAAATTGGCAACTTAAAAGATCATCAAATTTATTTTATCTATATTACCTCACCTCAAAAAATAATTGATGGAGGAAAGATAAATAATCTTTTGCATTCAATTATTATTTGAATCATTTATTTTCTACCACTAAATTTAATTAAGCGTTATTGTTAATTAATTAATGTAAATCATCTCAAAAACTTAACTTTTTTAATTCTACTAATTCTTAAAAAATAATAGCTTTAACAATGAAAGAGTTATCCCTTGCTCCAGGAGAGTATCTTATCTAGTCCGGATAAAATGATAACAGAATTTATTTTCTTCTTGAAGGGTGTGTATCTATATATGTTTAAACTCGAAGCGGACTGCAGAAGAAAATTGTAACAATCGAAGAAAAAAATTATATGTTTGGGTAAAAATATAGCATTTAGAATTCAAAATTTATTTTTACTTTGGTTGAAAGTTGAATTATAAAAGATTAAAAGAAAATAGTAAAAAAAAAAGAGGTCAATTTTTAAGCAAAGCTTTAATACCATTTTAAAAAGTAAATGGATCAAATTGAATCATCATACAGTACTTATTATTAAGAATTAGTTTTTTAATATTCATTAAATTCCAAAAAAAAATATGAAGATACAAATTATGATAGGTATAAATGGAGTTACTAAAACAATTTAAACAGGCTAAAATATTCTGAGAATTATAAGCCTTAATTTAAATATTAGTGTAATGCATTTAAGCTTAATTTAATTAGACATTAATTTGATAAATCTAAAATATCATTTTATCATAGATAATTATTTAAAAATTTTAATTTTTTAGCATTAAGTTATTTTGAATAGATTAATAAAATGAATTAATTGATTTGAATAATATTTCTTAAAATATTAATTTAGAAATAATTAAAATAGTCTTTCACTTCTTTGTCATCAATTAAATTTTTATAAAATATTTTTTAATTAATCTAATTTAATTTTTAAAATTTAAATATTTTACTCATTCTGTCATAAAGCAGTAAAGAATTATTTAATATCTCAACCATTTTGCATTGCTTTTTATAATTTAAATAGCATATTTATCAATTATTTTATTGATTAAATTTATTAGTTTATCTTAATTTTAAAAAGCTAAATTATATTTTATATATAGTTAAAGATCATTTTTTTGCTAGTAAGCAAGAACTAAATGGCTGAAATGTGAAAAAACCTCTAATTTTGCATTTTGTGAACTAAAAGATTTCAAAGAAATTTTATTGAATTATCCTAATGAATATGAAGTATTTTGTGAAATTAAGGATTCTATTATCTTTGAAGAAAAATCTGCGGATACTTAGTGTGCAAGCTGTGACAAATTTTCTCATAATTTTTCTAATTGCCCATTAATTCACTTAAAATTGAATAAATCTAAAATAATTTACGCACAATGCTATTCAGAATAATAGGTGAGACAGAAATATTAAGAAAATAACTAACCATTCATTCGTAAAAGAAAGCTTTATCAATCATTTAGAGACAGACAATTAATTAGATCAAATCTTAAAAAATTGAGAATTGAATATGCAAAATAATAGCTTTTAGAAGATTAAAAAGAAGATGCATAGACTGGAAATTAGTCTATGACAAAATTTTTAATTTAAGAAGAAATAAAAAGTTATGAATAATATTTTTATACAACTGTTGAAGATAAGTAATTCTTTTTAGGTGTTCCAGAAATTAATGCTTATTTACCACTAACATAAAATGAAGAGTAATATTTGCAAAATGAGCCGTTTAATTAATTTCTTACATCAGATAATGAAGAAGATTATGATGCTGATTAAGGTATTGAAGATTATTTATCAAGTAATGACAAAACTGTTAATGATAAAACTATTGAAAACTTAGATATCACAAATGATAACAAAAGTGAAAAAATTAATAATTAAGTAGCAAATTTCAATTTAAACACAGATAAAAATGCAATATCTTCAATTAACTCAATTTCAACATCTCAACAAAAAACAGAACACAACAATACAATCAAGTAAAATATTTTTTCTAAATCTCATATAAACTCAGACGAATCAACTTTTGAGTTAAGAAAAAATAATCATTAATCAAGTTTAATTAAACTTTAATAAGATGATTAAATATAATTTAATATAATTCCTCATTATAACTCTGAATAATCTATTCATTCAAGTCTAAAAGAGCCTTAATAATTTTAGTATACGAAGCAACAATCATCTTAATCAGTTAAATTTTCTTAGAATTAAGTTTATAATAATTAGAGTTAAGCTAACAAAGATCAATTAATATAACCGCTTTAATAATAAAATCAGCAATTATAATAATCTCTTCCTTAGGTCTTAAATGATCAAATTCTAAAATTGATATGTTAAGCTATGTAGTTACAGTAAAGCAACTAAAGTGGTAATTAAGGAAATAATATTTCAAATAATTAATCTAGTCTTACTATGTAGTAACCTACAGTCTAAAATATTAGAAGACCTTCATTTTAAAGGACTAAAACAAGGAAAGGTACTCATAAAAAATCAGTTACTATAATGAGATCTAAGACATTTAAATAAACGATATAGCCAATTTTATAGAATGCTCAAAATATTACCTAAGTGGATAGTCATTAATTAGATATCTAACAAAAATAAAGACAATAATAATTTTATTTCTTTGACTTTGAAAAGATTAAAAATATGGTGAAATATTTCCCAAAATATAATCTGCAAAATGTTATTAATATTCAAAACAAATACTTCAAGCTAAGAATGAATAGTATTAGAAAATCAATCAAAAAAGAAAATAACGTAGATAATAGAAGCCCGACATTTATAGGTAGACCTTCTATTTAATAAGGTCTTTCTCCTACTAGAAAAAGGAAAGAATAGCGTTCTAATGCTATAAACTCACCTTTCTAAATAAGATGCAAGCAAGTTAAGCAAACGATAGTCCTTTAAAATTGATCAAAATAATTCAATATCAAATTATTAAAAAATAATTTAATTATATTGGTTGAGTCTAATATTTAATTATTGTAATTTATTAATTTATGATTAAAAAAATTAAGTATGATTCATGTATTTGAGAATATCCTATAAAATGATTAAATATATATTTAACAATTTCATATGATCAATTCTCTCTAAATTTCAAATAATATTAAATGTTTTGTTAAGTAGCAAATTAATTCATTAAAAAAAAATTAATTATTTCAATAATATTTTTTATTATTTTGATTGGATAATAAGCATTTCAGATTTTATCAGATATATTTATTATTACACTGATTTTTTTACATTTATTAAAACAAAGTAATCAATTTTATAATTACTTTTTGAAGAAGGATGGATGAGAAATATAAAATATATTGATTAAATTTTGAATTATATTAATTGAAAAAGTACAAATATTAGAATTTGTGATAGATTAGATAAGATTACAGAAAAATTAAATTAATTTTAAAATTATTTAATATCTCAGACAGTTGTTATTTCTTTTTCTTATTTAGCAGACATGTACTATTTAAATCTTCTACTAGACTTATAGAAATAGAAAGCTACGACCATAGTAATACCGAAGAGAACACCAAAAATAACAATAAGAGCAATACTCCATCCAGGAGCACTGTTATCGCTTTCTCCAACAGTTTATTAGGTTTAAGGATTTTATGTTTAAGTTTAAGGAATAGGATTGCCACATTATACATCATAGTCAGGAACAATAAATGATTTGACTCTATTTTAGAAGTCAGTCAATTCACAGTATGTTTAAGATTAGTCACAAATCTTTTAGTATTCACCATTGTATTTGACTTAAATATACTTTTTATTATCCTTTGTTACAATTTCAAAAACGACATTAGAAGCAAAGTCAGTGTCTTCAGTGATACAAACTTTTCCATCAACAGGTTTAAAGCCATTTTTTATATATTCAATTACACATTCGTAAGAGACAAGATTAAGTCCTTGTAAAACAGTATTGATAGTTGTATCATGAGCGGAAAGGACAGTGAATATAGGCTTGTGGCTATCTCCAATATACTTTAATAAATCTGAGAAGAAAGGAGTAGGAACAACTTTTTTTTGTTATTCAGTTAAGAAAAAGTTTAAATAAAATTAAAGATGGACAGCAGCTTTAATTTTTTTTGATAAGTCAGCATCTCCATAAAAAGATTTTGATGAATCATCTTGAGCAGGATTATCATTCCATAAATTACATTAAAGGACATCTAACCAGTCATAAAGTGTAGATAAAGTAGATGAAGAAGCCTTAAATCCATATTTCGAGAAAAGCTTTTCAAAGTCTAAAAACTATTAATCGAAGAATTATCTATATTCCTTAAATAAAGGTCCATTTGCAGCATCATTTCTCCATTAAACACTATTTTGGCAAGCGTTTCCATGAATAAAAAGAGCTCCATCATATTGATTCTAGACAGTTCTGATAGGTACTGGTTGATATGCATTTGTAACTGAATTGTTATCACCTGGCTAGCTTGCTAAGTTACTGTAAGGAGGGTTAAGATGTTTGGCTTTATCATTATTACTAGTTATACTATTTAAAATAGTAGGTCCTGTTCCTGCAGGATAAAGACCAGCCATGAAACTCTAAGCAGACATAATTGTTCTATAAAATTAAAATTATTATTAAAAATTTGGAAAAAATCTTAAAATACAAAATTTAGATTATAAAATAAAATAATTAATTACCTATCAGAATCAGTTGATCTAATATAGAATTAGGGGGAATAGAATTTTTCAGGGATGAAATTTTTATTAGTAAAATATTCATTTCTCAATGAACTTCCTAATTAAAAGAGCTATCTTGCACCAACAGGTGATAGTTAACCGGAATTAGTTTTTGTCTAGTCAGTATTGTAGATAGGAGCATTGGAATTATAATTTGGGTATCTGGCACCATGTCTAAAGACAACAATTACTTTATTTAATTAAGCACCATCTAATTAGCACTAGGTGGCTATAGAAAAAACTACTAATAAAAGTAAAACTTTAGCTGACATTTTTTGCTATTTATTCCTATTTATTTTCAAAATTTTATTTAATATTAATTATAAATACTTTATGATCCTTCCTCTTTATAAAGTATAAAAGTTTACTAATATGAACTTGTTGGTAATACTTACTTTTAATTTAAATGAATTATTTATCAATAATTAAATAAATATATGCTTAACTTGATATAAGCTTAACTCTATAAATATTAATCTAAAACTTACTTTAATTTCAATTTTAAAGTACCTTTGTAAAATACATATGCATAATTCCATGCTATCTAAAGTAAAGACTAGTAGATCAACTATATACTTAGCATTATACAATATTACTACCAGAATTATATGGAAAAGATAGATGATTTACAATTTGTTTTAGTGTAACAAGATATAAATAATACATTATAATTTTAAAGCATAGCATTTATTACTATTAACAATCTCTAAAAAATTGCTTAACCAAAATTGAACAAAGTTAAGATAATTAAAACCCCCCTTAAAGTAATAAAATACTATGAATTATCGTAAAATACGTTGAAATATTGAATAAAAATTTGAAGTAGAACCAATTTTTTGAAAAATAAATGATTGATAATTAATTAATTAATTATATAATTAAAAGGTAAAAACTAGAACTATTCGGGAAATTAAATCAAAGAAGGGAGATCCACTAAATCATAAATTAAAATATATTCCCCCACCCACCTAAATATATCAAGCATATAAATCGTTCAAATTTATTTTATGATGCTTTTATCTACTAATAAAAGCAATTAAATTTCTTAATAAATAAATAAAATGATAATTTTATAAAATTTGTGTTAAAGCTAAGTAAAAAGTATGTTTAACCTAAAAAATACTTGAAGCAATAAAAGATATAAAATTTTTATTTTTTTATGAAAATGGTGTTTTATTTACAAAATGAAATAAATAATACAAACATGATAAGTAATCTGATTTGTAGTCTAAAGAAAAAAATACAATTAATTTTTAATTAGAAGATATAAATATAGAACTATAAAATTATTTATAGAATTAATAGAAGAGCGTTATAGTTATTTAGTACTCACATATTCTTTTCATTTTTCTAAATTGATTTTTCTTTATTTTCTTTTTAAATTTTAGATAATATGTTAGCATTTAAAAAATAAATTTCTACTCTCTTAAAATGAATGTTTAATAAAAATTAATCAAATTTAAACCATTAATTATTAACAAATAAATAAATTATTATAAATGTTAGTAAAATTAATTATCATATCTAATAAGATGTATGTGTTATTATTTAACAACTTTAACCTTAAAACTAGAACAAAGTATTTAGGTTATAGAATTTTTAAAATTCAAGCAAATTAAATTGACTATATGAAATAAATATAATTACATTATCTTAAGTTAAAAAATAAATTTAGATTTTACTTCATCATACTTTTATATTAGATAAATTTAAGAATTCTAAATTGCACATTCTAACATAAATAATAAAATTTACAAAATATAAAAAATGTATTAAATAAGTTTTCTAAAAATAGAAAAAAAAGCTTAACCTTTTTAATTAAATTAAGAAACTAAAAATTTAATTTTACTTTTCAGAGATACTTTAATTAATTCAAAGATATTTGTTTTAAAAATAAATAAATAAATATAATTATATTAAATTTTATTTTACACAAAATTATAATAAGGAAAGTGATAAGTATTCATTCTTTTATTGTTGATTTATTATATATATTTTTAATTCTTACTTAGTGTTTCAAATTTTAATTGTTTATCTTGGTGTGATTAAAAGATTAGATATTTTCAAGTTATTATTGTTATTAAAAGTACTTGACCTTCCAAGTTATTTTAAAGAGATATCTAAATGACTTGTAACATCCTTATTAGTTTTATTTACATTTTTTCTATATTGTAAAATTTTTCTAGCAATCATTTCTATGTTAACAAAAATGCTATAGCCAATAAATATTAAATTAATTATTTAGATTGAATTTTAATATTTAATAAATCTTTCTTAATCTATTTAATCTAGGTATACATAAGTTAGAGTAATTATTTAGTAAACGAATGCTATAATTTCATTAAATAATAAATAGATTAAATCTAGTTAATGTGTACTATAAGGTTTATAGTAAACAAAAAGTAGAGACGTTATTAAAGAAGTTATTATTAAAAGAAATAAACTTACTTTTAGGTTAATAGAGCATATTAAAATAGTGATTATTATTTTTCTGACTTCTAATAAGAACCAAAAATGCTTATGAAATTTAATATTATTTATAATTAAATTATTGTTGATATAAGAATGTACTGTGTTTAGTTCAATATCTTGACGCTTACTAAGAACAAAAAAGTAGCCATATGTCATAAAAGAAATGATAATAATTATTATAAAGATGTAAGAAATTATTGAAATAGGAGATTAATTTTATAGTAATTAGGTATTAAATATTCTTCCAAATAATTGCATGTAAAAGTAGCTGCTAAAAACTCTGTAATACTTTATAAATATATTCCAAAAAATATAGTTGTATGTCTTTGATTAATATATATGCTGCTTGTGTTTAGCTAAGAACTTAGTTACTGCAGAGACTAATACCACTAAAAGAAACAAAATAATGAAACAATATAAACTATCTGCAGTTTATTCTGTGAAGTTTGAGTTAAATTGTAAAATTTTAAATAAATTGGCTTACTGATTTTTTTCAATATCTTCTGTTAGATTTATATTTAGATAATTAAATATTGAAAAATAAGATAGCAAAAGTCTTACTTTAGAACTAACTATTCCAAAGTTTCCTATTAATTATAATGTATAAATGTAAGCATCACAAAAAGGGTGAAAATTTGTAACTAAGAAAGGTAAACTAAAAATAAAATATAGCTGTATTGAGTAATCTCCCAGTTATTGGAGTTCTTAATTTGCGGTTAGATCATCATCCCAGCATTAGGCATAATCTTATACAGAAGAATAACCTGGTTTACAAGCACATGTGTTTTATTATTAATCTAACTATCTTGTTGTTGAAGCACAGCTTAAACATTCATTACTTGCACTTCCGAAGCACTTATCACACGAAAAATGACATTAACTATTTTAATCATCCATCTGATTTGATAAGCAGTTATTGTTATCATTCTAGCATTTAAGACATTAAGTAACTTTTGAGGGGTCATCACAGTATAAACAATTTTTTAAGATTTTTGAGCATTATGTGCAAATTAATTATGAATTACAATAAGTTTAGCTAGGCTATATGCTCCAACATTGATTATTGTATAAATAATATCCAGACTAACACTAATTACATGCTCTGAGAGTAGGAGATTGAGCAAAGCAAGATTAGCAATTAGGTATATTTGAATCTACACATTATTTATTAGTGTCACAACAGGTATTTATTGGTTACTAGTCATAACATAGATTTTTATATAAAAAATTACCAGAAATGCATTATGAGCAATTACCTGCTTAATCTTAAGTTTAGCAGATACCAGAACTTTTGCATTCATAATCTATGCAGTTTGCTTAGTCAGGTTTAGTTTTTTAGCAATTTTGTCCGAGTTTATATACATTAGGTTAGCACTTTTAACAAATATTAGCATTTTATTTGCAATCTAAGCATAATGAATCTGAGCATGCTTAGCATTATTTATTTTAATCACAATAAGTACCATCAGGTTAATTTTATAAGCATTAACCATTAAAAAGATATAAACTACTTTAGCACTAATTACATATTTGTTCAGAATTTTTTGAGCAATCTAAGCAATTTGTATCTATACACTTTGTACAACTATTATTGTTATCACAATATGTCTGTGGAGGTTTTTATGGTAGACATGTACTTTAAAATAAATATTATTTATTTTAACAAGCAGTACAAGAATTTTTATTTTGACTAGAGCAACTAGCACAATTTGTGTCTTAACATGGTGTAGTGCATATATAGCTTAAGTTTGGTTATTTTTCGCAATAATATCCCGATGGTTAGCTTTTTTAACAAGAAGCAACAAATAAATAAACATCAGCTTAGCATAAAGTACAGCTAGAGGCTTAATTAGAACAAGCTGCACAAGAAGTATCACATAGACTGCAAGTTTTATTATTCAGATAGGTTCCTTAATCGCAAAGAGTAGCTTATGAAATACATACGTTTTTATTTAATATTTCTAAAGGTGGATTACATTATTTTTAGAAAATAGCTATTCCTTAAGAGGCTATAGAAATTACTGTTGTGTTATACCATACATAATATGAAATAGAAATTTCTTAGTTTTAGTTTTAGAGTGTGTAATTTCCTAATTGAAGACGAGGGTTATTAAGTTCGTTGTTTGGAAATTTTTTGTAAACAGTAAAAGTATTTAAGCCAGTAAATAAGTTAATAAAATTTAATTAATTTGATTAAACACTATGATTTAGAGGAATAATCAAGCTTAAAGATCTATTAAAGCTTTAATTTTAATTATAATAATCACATGTATTTCCTTTATCAGGATCATTAAAACATGAAATTTAGCTTGCATCTTCAAAATTGCTTTAATTTAATAAATCAGTTTAAATATTTCCATAAGGGTCTTCATTTATTTCTATGAAATTGTACTAAACAGATTAAATTAGTAAAGAACCTTTTTGTTAACTAACTGTAACATTAAAACCAGTTAAATTTTAGCTAGTAATTTTAAAATAAATACTAAATTTATCATTTGAATTAGTATTTACTTATTTTTAAGTTTCAAATCCTGTTAAAAATGCCTATACTTTTTTAAGTATCTAACCTGCGACTTGTGGTAATTAATATTGAACATAGAAAGTATAACTATAAAAATTGTTATTTAACTACATATTAACTTATTCAGTTAGCATGTCTGAAATATAAATAAAATTGTATTAAGTAGTATCAATTGCAAGATAGTTTATATAAAGTCCGTTTAGAATACTTCCTGTAAAAATATTTAAAATGATATTGAATGTGCTTAATTATGTCATTTTTTAAATATTAAATTTAATGTATGGTTGGTCATACTAATTATCATATCTATTAATGCCTACTAAAATACTTGGTGGTTTTATAAAAGAAGTCTTAAAATTGAATGATCTACTTTTTGAGAAATCGTTTTATTGAGTTTCATTTACTTTTAAAAATTCTTTTAATGACAAAGCAAAACCATAATCAATATATTATATATTATTGGTATAGACTATATCTGATTTCACATATTCTAATAAATTGGTGAGTGATGATAATACCAGTAAAATACTTACTTTTTAAAACATTTATCTCATTATTTAGACAAATCAAAATTTATTTAAAACTACTCACTCAATTAAAATAAATCAATTTTTGTAAAAAATGTTTTCCTTTTTGCAATAGTTCCGATTCTTAAAAGTCAAATGAGTCTTAATCTTTCTTTTTTATAGACGAAATTTGAAAATTAATATCTATTTTTTGATTATTAAAGTCTGTGAATGACTGAGTATAGTTAAAACTAAATCATTTTCAATTCGTTTACATATTTATTTGTATTAATTTCACAAGTGATACGTATGAATAATTTTAAAATTGATTAATAATTACGTATTTATTAATTTATGATTAATTAGCTATAAAAATGATTTAAATGATTAATTAATTGATTGATTTTAATCACAAATTTTAATACAAAAGAAAAGAAGTGATTTAATTATTTATCTTACACCTGATTTAGTTTTATAGATAACGTTTATGTTTTTTTAATTAATAACAAATTATTGATGTATTAACAATCCCTATACTTATTTCCGAGTGGCTAGGTTTAAGAGTTTTTTAAGCTGGGAAAATAGTAAGTCAGTTAACTTAATTTAAGAAATGATATTCATATATAAAGGAAATTCAAAAATTATTTTAATTTGTTAATTAGCTTAAACAGAAAGATGTGAATTTTTCTTTAATAGTAGAAATTATTATTACGAATGAAAAATTTAATCTGAAATAATTCATTTTTTTATTTTAAAATCTATTTATGAAAATTAAAAATTTATTAAAAATAAGCAATCAAAAATTAAAAATCTGTATAATTTTGTCATTTTTTTAATAAATTTTTGAAGAATTTTGTTTGCTTGTTTAAATAGTTTTGATAGGTTAACAATTTTATTTAAATTATTTGAATATTTAATATAAAATTAACAAAATTATAATTAGTTGTAAACTAAAATAATGCTCAGATTTGAATGGTAAGTTTTATTTTAATTAGCTATTAATTTCACTTAAAAATCTGGAAAAATTCATTCTTTTTTACAAATAATAGCTAATTATTTCTGATACTTGATTAAATTTGATATTATATTATAAAAAAATACTCAATTAAGTATTTAATTTTCTAAAAAACAAATATACTAGTGTTTTTTAAAGTCTTTATTTTTCGAACATTGCTATATTTTTTTGATAGTGTAAAAAATCAAATATCTGTTTATCTTAAAAATTACATTCATTAAATAACTATTAAGTTATTGAAGAGCTTAAAAACCTTAAAAAATTTATTTAAAAAATATAAAAAACACACATTTTAATAAGACTTTATGTAGGAGTTTTATTTAGTTCAGCATTTATCTCGTTATTTCAAACAAAAATTTCCCTAATGACAATAATTTTTGTCTACTTGAAATAAATTTTTTAAATAAGAGGAAAATATAAATCTTATATTCATAAATTACACTCAAATCTAAATTTATGTAAAATTAATTAATTTATCCCTTAAAATATCTTAGTTTATTTTTACTTTAAGCAAAATAAAATAACAAATCCTAAATATATATATTTTAAAATTTATATTGTCTTTTTTTATAAAATGTGATGATAAAAAGTTATTTTACTATTAAATTAGTTAATCCTTATATTTAAATTTCTAAAAATGATATCAAAGGTATAATTTTATTTTAAATTTACAAAATGAAATATTACAAATAAAAAGTTATCGTCTCAAATCTAAATATCTTTTTTTTACATTTTAGTTGTTTTTTTTAATGTTTTGATTAAATATTTTAGAATTTATATAAAGGGCTAGACTTAATATAGGATTTTTTCAATTTAAAGAATAAACAAAAATAGATTTTTAACAAATAATCAAAAATCCTTTAATAGGCAGAATCAACAGACTAATGATTAAAATAATAGCAAGTAAGAATTGTGAGTATTAATAAATAAGTGATTTAATTATTTCAACAGTATTTAGTAGTAAAATACTATCTTTCGAAAAATAGTTTGTATTTTACTTTAAGGTTTTTAAATGAAAACAAAAAATAATTAAATTGGCTTCAAATAAAAAAAAAATTTCTTTTACAAGAAATAAAGTATTAATTAATTTATTATCAAATTAGGAAAAATGTAAATAGTTTAACTTTAAAATATTTAGGTATAAAATATTTACTAGAAATAATATATTTTTGATTCTTAAGATATGATTTATAAATTAATTTCATGCTAGTATATTCTATTTTTAAAAAATGTGAATTGTACTATTACATTTATTAAAAAAAAATAATCAAACGTAATTTTTATATTAAATCTTTTATTTATGACTGATTTAATTACTCAATTATTGAATGTTTATCAAATTATTAGTTTTCAATAGTTCTAAAATAGTAAAGTTATAAAGAGTCAAGTGATGTAAAAAGAAGATGTAGAAAACAGAAAGATTGATGCAGAAGACATCTCTTCAGATGATTAAACAAATTTCTTAAACGAAAAAGGGAATTTGATGCAATCAAATGCATTATCTTTTGAAACCAGCTAAAATAGATATGACAAAGCTAATAAATAAAATCAATCTAATAAGAATAGCAATAATTAACAAGAATTTGAATATTTTTTTGATAATATTTTAACAATAAAGATTCCCTTTACAAAATTAAAGTATGAAGTAACTTACTGCTAAACTAGTAAAACAATTTTAGGTAAATTTTATTTTATTTGTTATCTTTTGAATGTTTTTAAACTTATTTTTTTAAACTAATTTATGAAATATATTAAGGAGGCGTTATGCTTTTTTTTATTATTTATGTTTACTATATGCTTTATTGCGTTTTCACTGAGACAAAGAAACATTGAATATGGGCAAGAACATTCATTCCAATCAACTTAAACCAACCTATTATTAAAATCAAATTATTTTTATCTAAAACAAAAACACTTAAAAGTATATATACTTTAAAATTAAACTAAATATATAATCCGAATGTATTTATTAACTAATAGTAATAATATTAATAGTTAATATTGGATAAATTCTGAAAATCTCTATATTTATTTATTATAGTTATTATCTTGCAATACATCAAAGAGCATTTCTTTATATTCATTTTAACTAAAAACTTGTTAAATCTACAAAATTTTATCTTGTATTGTATTATAATAGATTTCACTAAATAGAAATGTTAAAAATTTATATTTTTAGATGGTAGATTTAATCATTTTTATAATAATTTAAAACAAATACTATAAAATTATTTTTAAAATATTTTTAAACAAATATCTTTTCGTCAGAATAAATTAATTTATTGGTATCTACAAATATTGTTTGTATGTATAAACTAAAAGCAAAAAAAAATATTTAGAAAATATATATGACTATTTTTATATAATTATCTTTTCAGATATTTCCTCTTCAACAGTTTTATCAAAAAAGCCTAAGTTGAAAAGGTTTATCTTATAAATACATTTATTTTATAAATTCAGACTATAAAGTAATATCATCAAAGTTTTGATAAATAGATACACCATGATTTATTTTTGGTATAGTTAAGTTTTAGAAATTTCTTAAATCTTAGGTTTATTAAATACAAACTAAATAATAAAATCATGATTTAGAACTCAAGTAAAATTTTGAGTGCTCTTCTCTTTCCAGGATAGGGAAGTTAGTTTGTTGGTATGGGAAAATATATTTTATAAGACTAACAACATAAAGATTGGTCTTAAAAACTAGTTAATGAGTATTCTAATATACTAAATAAAGATATGATTAAGCTGATGCTTGAAGGACCATAAGATTAGATTAATTTGACTGAAAATGCATAGCCAGCTATTTTTATAAATTCATATATTTCTCTATTAAAGTATATGAAAGAAAATCAAATAGAAGATATATCTAAAAAGTATACTCATGCTTTAGGGAATTCAGTTGGAGAATATAGCGCTTTAGTAGCTGCATAAAGTATAAAACCTTATGATGCAGTCAAGCTACTTTAAAAGAGAGGTTAGCTAATGCAATCAGCTTGTTAAAATAAGAAATGCGGAATGCTTGCTATTTTAACATAGGATGTAAGCATGATTGAAAACATGATTTAGAATTTGAAGTCAACCTTATATCCTTCTGAAGTATTTTAAATAGCTGTTTATGCATCAAATAAATAGCTTATATTAAGTGGAGAGTAAGCTCCTCTTAAGCAAATTTAAACAGATTTAAAGAAAAATCATAGGATGGCTAGTGTATTTCTTTAGGTATCAGCAGCTTTTCATTGCTCTCTGTTAACACCAATTAAGGAAGATTTCAGAAAATGTTTAGAAAGCATTTAAATTGAGAAACCTAATTTAAGAATATTTAGAAATACAGATATGAAAGAATATTTAAGTAGAGAAGATATAATAGAAGGTTTAGTAGAATAATTAGATCACCCTGTATTATTCTAACAATCTTTTGAAAAAATTATTAACTATGCTTTTAATTAAAATTCTGAAAAATATGAGCAAATTTAATTCGTTGAGCTAGGAACAACAGGATTGCTTTCTAAACTAGGTAAAGACATTTCTCAAGGATTTTTAAAAAAAGAAGACATTAGCAGTATTATACAATTTATAAATGTATATTGAGCTAAACTTAATAGAAATATTCCTAAATACTAATTAAAAATCAATATCAAAGTTAATTAATAAAAATTAAAATTATATTTTTCATTTAGAAAATATTTAAAAAAGAAGAGAGTTAGTTTATTTAAAATTGTTTTTTTGTATGTTTAAGTTTTATCAAAAAGTAGTTTTCACTATATATGGAAATTTCATAGCATAAATTTAAAATGGTGTTACTTCAATTAGGATAGTAGAATATAATTAATTAGTCATATCATAGACTACCTTATTCATTAAAATATTAATTTTATGATTAAATAGTTAATAATGAATTTATTATTTTATAAACAGATCAATTATATTTTTAGGAATAAGTTTCATTCGTCCTAAATGATTGTTTAAATGATTTTTGCATATAATATTACTTAAATACAATACACTGATTAATTTTTAACTTATGAATGTATATATATCTTTCTATCAATCAATTAATTAATTATTTGATGAATTTTTGATTTGCTTTACTTTTAAATATATTAGTTTTTAATTGAGTTATAATTTAATTAAGTAGGTATACAAAAAAAGTTAATACTGACTTTTCTACACATTTAAGCTCAACAATATAACAGAATAGTAAACTCTTACGTTGTTTGATATCTTATATTATATTATATTGAAGATCTTGGGATAAAGCTAAAATGAGCAAATTAATAAATGGGAATATGATAGATAACAACGAAAACAATAACATTTTGGCAAATAATTAAGATGGTGATATTGACTTTTAAGATTAAGATGGAGATTAAAAAGTAGTTATCGAAGATGAGTTTAACAATTAAAAGTAGGAAAGAACATAACCAAATGATCCATTTTAGACAAATAAATCTTCATAATAAATCAATAACAACTATTCGTACATGAGTAAATTCATAGGCTATTGCCGCTACTGCTTTTTTTCTTTCTTTAATTCAATCGCTAGCAATTGATTAGATATAGGAATAATTTAGATATAATCATAGGCTAGCTAGTATTGAATATGAATTTATTATAAAAATTATTAAATAAAAATAATAAATATTTCTATTAATTTTAGGTAATAGCGATAAATAGTTTCTTTCAAGTCAGTAAAATCTGTAGTATTATGATAAATATGATTACAATGCAGATTAATAACCTCCCTAAATGAAAAAAAACGTCGTTGAAGCATATAACAAGCTATAAGACTATGTGTTAGTAAGAACAATTTAAAATAGAATTAACAAAACAAAAAATTAATAAAGACTATTCCATTATATAAATTGAGTATTTATTTATCTTAATGTTATTAAGGATATACACTAGCAAATCAATGAGAAGATGAAGAAAAGCGAAGAAGAATTCTTGTTTGTATTCAAAGAATAAATGTACACTGTTTCAAAAGAATTAAAAGCTCTTAAAAAGAAAATGGATGATGAGTTATTACGCCAAAAAGCCAATGATAAAATGAATATCTTAACTGAAGAGAGGGATTATTTCAAAGCAGAAGCTCTAAGATTAGATAGAACATGCAAAGAATAAGAGAGATAAATTGAAGAGCTTCAATTCAAACAAAAAGTTCTTACTGAAGATAAAAATTATTATGAGGGATTTGTGATCGGTAATAATTTCGATAATTGAATTTATATGGATATAATTATTTTAATTCTTAAAAAAAAGAAACTAAAAAGGAAAATAAAGCATTAAAGTCTGAACTTTTACAGTTGTACAAATTTAGAGCAGCAGAATAAAAAGACACTTAACATTAAATTTAGCAATAGGTTGGAAATATGTAGCAATATAATACACTAAACACGGGTGTAAGTTAGTTGCTTTAAAATTAGTAGGCAGATTTTGTTGATAATGAAAATATATCAGACACTCGTCCTTTCACATCCTAGAACCAACGAAATGAAGATATATTTTTGAGTGAAGTAAAGTATAATATGTCTGGAAAGAATAATAAATTTACTACAGTCCCCACTTAAGTTTCTTCAAATGTTCAAACTCAATAAAATTTTTTCTCCTCTCAAAGAGCTTAAACACATCATTCTAAATCAAGAGTTAAATTGCTTGATAACAATGCTGGGAGTATACAAGAATCTAGATATTAAACTTATGGTAGTGTTTAGTAACCTATGAGTGAAATTGAAGAACTTCAATAAGAGGTAGCATTATTAAAAGAGGTAATTACAGATTAATAAATATGATTTTTAAAAATTTAAATTATTTAAATAAAAAATTTTTCAATGGATAAATATTTGTGTAAATATTTTAAATTTTTTATTTATTTTATAGAACGAATAAAAATATATAGAAACTATCAAATAATTGAGAGTAGTTATAGATAAAGAAAAGGCTAATTCTAAGTAATTTATATTAAATATGTGTTGCTTACCTTCATAATATTTTAAACAAAAATTAGAAAAGTGAAAGCTAATCTTTCATAAACTTATTCTTAAAGATCAGAGCTTGAATAAATTTTATTAGATTGTATTCATGAGACAAAAAAAGATATTTAAAGAAGGAGAGCAACTTAAAAAGCGTATATTTTTTTATAATTAATATGAGCTTTATCTTAAATTTAAAAATAATTAGAGAATAAATTGCTTTGTAGAATGCAAATTTAAAAAGGACATAATCTACTCTAAAAGGATAGTTATAGATATTAAATGACGAAGAGATTCCTTTCTCCTAATTCAGCAACAAAGACAAATTGTAATCACTCAACCTTAGGATTTTATTTTATTAAATTTTATATTTTATAGAAAAACATTAAAACTCTTTATAAGCAGTGATAAGTTTTTAGATTAAATATACCAGCTAACTTTTGGCCATAGCAAAATACCTAAGGTTGAAAAAGAAAAGCTTCTATAAGAAACTTAAGATGACCCTTAAATAAAGCTAAAAGATAAAAATAAGTTTTACCTTTCTGAGAGTTGGAAGTAAGACGCTCAGAGTGCTTCTTAAATATTTTAAAATTTTAAAGGATTCAAATATAGTTTCAAGCCTTAAAGTATTAATTAATTTTCTGTTAAAAAATAATTTATAGTTAAAAAAATAAATTTTAGCTGCTTAAGGAAGTAGGTAGATCAGCACTAAAAATTTAACTTCATCACATTTTAATTTTACAGAAAAAACTGGAAAATCCATAAATCTAATTTAATCTTTGTAGATAGACCCTCAGTTAATTTAGACTCCATAGATTACATATAAACATAAGTTGTACAAAGATGTTAGTAAAGAATTCTAGCAAAAGGCTTCAGAAAATAAAATATTAATTGGGATATGAAAATCAATTTTTAAACAAATAATAAGATAAATCTATTAATTTTTGTATGTGTAAATATATTTATAATACGAATTTAAAAATTTTAAATAAATAATTATCTATTCTATTAATTATTTATTTATTAGCTAATTTTAAATTTCTTTTTATAACAATAAAATTTAATATCAATCTTTAAGGTTTACTTTAAAATTATCAATGTAAAATTTATAACTCAAATGTATAATTTAATTATTTTTTAGAGAAAATAGAATAAAAATCTTGTAATGAATTTCAAATTAAAAAATTAATTTAATTGATAAATTATTTTTCAGAATAAAAAAAAAGCTTAAAAAATAACAAAAAGAAGGTCCTACTGGGATTCGAACCCAGGTCAAGGGATTTAGAGTCCCCAGTACTAACCGCTATACTATAGAACCCACAACTGAAATTTATGTTTTTCATAATTACAATTATATAATAGCATGAAATAAAAAAGATATTACACTAAAGAAATTCTGTCATTATAAAGAATTTATTAATCTATTAATGAATCTAAGTCATTACTAAATTTTATCTTATCAAATTATTTGTTTCAAAAAAAAAATCAGGTCCTACTGGGATTCGAACCCAGGTCAAGGGATTTAGAGTCCCCAGTACTAACCGCTATACTATAGAACCAGAACATGATATAATGAAAATAGAAATTCTTCAAAATATACTTCTCTTCATTTTAAAGCTTTTTAACTTTCATATTTTTTCTTGAAAAATAATAATTTAGTTTATCAAATTAAAATAAATATACCTCTTATAAATTTTATAAATTGATTATGAAATAAATTTAAAATATTTTAGTTATGCCAAGAGAACATTATACTTACTTTATCTTTTTACATGAAAATTAAATGTATAAGCCATTTAATATCAAATATATGTCAAATAACTTTGAGAGAAAAAAATATAAAATAAATCAAACATAATTTTATAATTTTACTAATTATTTATAAAATTAGTATATTTTAAAAGTAGGATAATATTTAAAAATAAAAATAAGAAAATAAAATTATATTAATTAGACTAATGGAAAGTATTAAATAAAATAAAATGTTTGTAAAAGAATAAATTTAAATTATTTTTTGAAAAAATAGAAAATATAAAAAATTGTAAACAAACAAATTTTTTATATCAATTTTTTCATTAAACTAAATATAAAGTATTTTAAATATTTTATCAAAAAGCAAAGGTCCCACTGGGATTCGAACCCAGGTCAAGGGATTTAAAGTCCCCAGTACTAACCACTATACTATGGAACCGGAACACAATCTAAGTATTCTAATAATTTTTTATAAATAAATGAAATATTTTTAGCATTTATTATTGTTTAGAAATAGATTTGATAGTGGGTATTGATGTAAATAATAAAAATTAAAGTCACATGCTTTTTTAGATGATATTAATCATTTTATAATACCATTTTAAGAAAATTTATTTCCATTTAATTTAAAACAGAAAAAGTTTTAATTTCGAAAAGTATTAAATATTTTTATTTTAAGTAAAAATAAAAAATAATTAAAAAGTGATTTAAATAAAATAAAATATTAAAAATTTTTAAAAAGCATTCATTTTTTTTTCTTAAATTAAATATATTTAGAAATATCTAAATTTTCTTTTAAAATTTAAGTTATATGCTAGTAAAAGATAATATGAAAAATTATATTATTACACTGAACACATTAGCAATTTATAATAATTTAAGATGATTTCATAAATGGATAATAATCAAATTTTTGTATCTTGTAAATGATAAAATTAGCACAATTTAAAAAAAATAACAAACGAAATAAATGTTTGTAAAAACAAAAACTCAACAAAATTTTCAGTTATTAACATTTTGTTATTAACGAATTTATTGGGTTATACTTAAATAGTCTTTATAGTTAAAGTTGAAAGCTTCACAAGAAGGATTTATTTAGCGATAATAACCTTCGTAGTCCTTTTACTTTTCTTAGTAATTAAATTGTACATCTGTAGCTTAAATAAATGGAAACAAGAAATTGGATTTGTATTTCTTAAAAGCTGGCTAAATTGAAGCTGTGAATGTATTAATATGAGTCTAACCTTAAATTATTCTCTATATGGAATCGAAATTGCCTGATTTTTAGGTTTTGATTTCTATTCTTTTATCGAGCTCACTAATTGGATACAAAATGTTTTCATCTGAGAATATTGAAATTAAGAACTTCTCTGTTAAGGCTTTATAATCGTCAGGTTTTACATCATACTATTTGAAAATCCATTCCATTTTTCTAGGTTCAACAAAGTTTTTAATCAGATTTTAGCATTAGAAGAAAATAATTGAAAGCTCTTCTTAGGTAAATTTTATGTTACAATTAGGGAGAGTAGGATATTTTTCTTTTCTTTATTAAATCTATCTATTCAAAATATTCATGTACAAATCAATACTGGAGTTAATTACTTAGAAGTTTGGTTATTCGAGAGCATAAAATTAAAACAGCTTTCTAGATAGTTATTAGAAAATATCAGTTGGCTACATTATTTTTTCAACCAGATTTTATTAGTATTTTTCTAGTTCTATTCTTTCTAAATGAGCTCTCATCAAGAATTTCACATCTTCTATATCCATTGAATAGCTATATTAACGAGTGACTCCTGCTCCTCTAATTTTCCAAGCTATGAAAGTATCGATTTCAGGTTATCTACCTAATTTAGAGGTGATTTTGCACATGATACCATCACTTATACTTTATCCTACATATCTTATGATAGATTTTGCAAAGCTGAGTAGAGAAAGAGCTGGATGAAGAACAAATGCACTTGCCACACTGGAGCCTACTTAGTAAGTACCTAAAACCAAATCAAGTACTGTATTAATTAAAGGTAAAAATTAATAAGTTTGATATCTTTAGTAGTTCTCAGGATAATAGTACCCTGACTTTCTATTAGGAGAATCAAAATCCCATAATAGAAGATGGATAAGCCACCTACCTACTAAAGTTACAGGAATCCAAGCCCATGAAGTAATTGCTAATATGAAACTAACAATACTATTAATTAAAATAACTACAGGCACTCCAACTCCAACAAAACTGATTGATATAACAAATCTGATTAGACATTCTATATACTTAAAAATACGGGCAAAGCTTTTTCCGAAAAGACCTCTATCAGGTTGAGCTTCAAAATCTTAGATAGTTCTTTTGATTCCTTTCAAAGATTCTATTAAACGAAAGATATAAGGATATATTAAATAGCAGCCTACTACTTGACCTGTTTATCTATTAAGTGATTAATCTGCATAAAATGGACGTAGCTTGAATAGCGCTTTTAACCCAAAGTAGCTATTCAAAAGATTATCTATTAATGTGACAAATGTATTCTTTGTCCAAACTTTGTACCTAACTAATTGCAAAACTAATCTCCATCCGAAGAAGCTAGTAGGAGTTTTGTAAGTCTTACCATAATCAAAGAAATATTCGATTTATCCGTTTGATTTAATTTGGTTTAAGACCCTGTAAGGCTTCATATTTTATTAGAAAGTTTCGAAAACTCTGCAAGGCTTTGTATTCTTTTTTTGAATTCTGCTGTAATTCTACTTATACAAACTCTTCAGTTATTCCTAAAATTGAACAAATCTATTGAATAAAACTACATATGAATCAAGTTTGTTTTCATTTAATTCTTTAATTATTTTTTAATTGAACTCTTTTTACAATTTTATTTTCTTTGCTTGAACTAACTCGTTAATTTTATCATTTTTCCAGAGTTATACTCTTGACCTTATTTAGTGTCTTTCAGTTATTTCTTTTGATACTTAATCAGTATAGTTATTTAATTCTTATTCTAGCATATAATAATAGCGCTTGACAATCTAAGTAGCTGTTATTAGCTCTATTAAATGTTCTTAAACTAGCTGATCTTTTATATACTTAGAAGACCTAATCATACTAAATAAAAGCTTTTGTTTCTCCAAATATATTTCGAATAGAGCATCGTTTTCTTCTATATTTTTTTCTTCGAACTCACTCAATCTACTTGCTTCTAATTTATTTGCATCAACTTCAAAATCTTGAGTTAATTTTTCAAAACCTTCAAGCCTATTCCTTATTTCCTACTTTTGCTATTCGTTAATATCTTCGCTTAAAGTCTTTCTGTCATTTTCATTTTTAAAAATAAATTCAAAGAAGCTTGTCTTTATTTCTGGATGATGCATTTTTATGGTTTCTTTATTCCAGTCTCTTATAATTTCATCAACTATTTAGTTTTTATTGTACTTTTAAACTTTTCTCACACCAAAAGTTAAATTGAGTATCTTAGAAGCAACACTGGCTATGCTAATAAATCCATCGAAAAAATTAGGAGTAAGTATTTACTATAAAATATGGTAATTAAAGGCAAACCTCCATCCTAATCTACACTTAATTTAAACGAGCTAGTGAAAACAACTACCAATTCCTGAAAACCAACATTACTTTATATAATTTTTTCCTCTTACGATCCAAGAATTCAATCTCCAAGTTGTAGAAGAATCTTCAGTATTTCCATTGACAACAAACTATCCTGTTTATTTAATAGATGCAATTTATTCTGGAGTTAATCTATTTAAGGCTTGATTTCCATAAACTCTAGGAGGTTAAAAGAATTAAATAGGAGCTCTATCTCCTTCAAATGCAGTCTTAGGAAGATTAAACTTCCAGTCTTTTTATTTTTCCCATGAGTACAAATGCTATTCTAATACATCATCTATTTTTTTTACCAGAATTTGAATTTCTTATGTGTACAAATCCTACTTTTCATTTGATAATTCTTTTCTTCTTTTTTGATACTATTGGCTAATTTAAACATATATTTTTTAAGGAAGATTATAAAGCTATTCATCATCTAAACTAATTGGATTGTCTTAACCTTGAATATCCTATATCACTCCAATTTAAGGTTAATCTTGCTAAGCGTCTTACATCTTTTTGTATTTGATTGATATATTTAAAAACGAATAACTTTTTAATTATTTATTTTTTATTTGATTTTCTAAATTAAATAAATTATACAAATAAACTATTTATATATAAATAAAAAACTAGTTCTGGTGTAAAATCTCTATAGTATAAACATAAAATAAAATAGATCCTTAAATCAACTTTCTCAAAAAAAAAGTATACTTTCAAGTTAATATAATATTGTAATTAAAACTTTTGATTTAAGTCTTTATACAAAACTAGAATATTCTAAAAAAAAGCATATATTCTAATTTTAAAATAAACAAATACTCTGATAAGGTAATAAAATAGAAAGTTTTATTATTTTATTTTTAGTAGTAATTATTTAAAAACCAATAAAATATTAAATATTAAAACAAATTGAATAAACGAAATTAAAAAAATCTTTACCTTTTGATTATAAAGTTTTTTTAATACAAAAATATGTGAATTTAAAAAATTTTAGAGTTAAAAATAAATTTCATTCATCCAGTTAAAAAAAAATAAATCAATTAAAAATATTTAATTTACTTACATTAATTATTTGGTTAAATCTTCAAAAAAAAATTATTTCTTTCTACTATACATTTGATGAAACTCTATTATTTTTTTACAAAATATTTCTCTTACCATTTGTTTATTTATATCAATCTTTAAAAAAAAGTGCTTTAAGAATTCAAATAAAATATCTAGTTAGTCATTAAAAAGTATAATAAAGAATAATATTTTTTTTAAATAAAGCAAATTTTAATAGTGTATAAAACTACAAAACAATGTAAAAGTTACTTTAAGGATAATTTCTAACCATTTTAGTTATTTTTAGAATATTTTAAATTGTTTTTTCTGCTGATTGCTCAATTTATACTCATCAATAATAGTGTTAATCTAATAGCAATTGTAATTGGTAACATGATACAACGAAGGATTAGTGTCTAAATACAAATTAAAATTGTGGAGATTTGAGCAATAATTCAAAGTTATGTCTAATCGCTCCTGGTTGCTAGTTCTTACCAGGAAAAGAAGGGTTTTGCAATTAAAAAGCATCTTTAGGTTGTGATTAGTTGGGCATAAGTGATTGCTTGAAAAATACTAATTGCATATGGACTTCAATATAAGATTGTGAAAGTCATGGTTCAGGGTTTGGATGCTCAGGATTAAATGAGGATTAATGCAACTAAAATTTTGATTTTTGCTAATCAAATTATATTTGCAGAGATGTAGATGGATAAAAATGCAAAAATTTAGCTAAATAAGATTGCTTGACAGCTAACAATTATTGTACGTATTAATCTGTTGTTTCAGAATCTTGTTCTTATAATAAAGGATTTTGCGAAAACCTATCTTCTGATGACTGTTTAAGTAATTAAGATTTTTGTTCATTTACTTAAACTACCCCTTTTACTTGTGTTGATAATACTTCACCCAACATATGTGCTTAAAAAACTATAGAAGATTGCTAAATGAGTAGTAAATATTGTACTTTAAATGTGCCTACTTGCGTGCAAGTAATTCAATGCTCTAACTTTAATAATTAAAGCGATTGCACAAGTAATAATTGTAATTTTGATAACGTATAAGGAGTGTGTTCAAGTCCTGTTGATTGCACTAAGCTAGGTTTGAATGATTGTTAAAACAACCCTCTATGCTAATAGCCTACTCCAACTTGTTAAAATAACCCAACTTTTAACTGTTCTATTAAATCTCTGATGGACTGCAAATTAAATTAATAATATTGTATATACACTCCTCCTGTAGGATAATGCTCATCAAATGGCATGTGTTCCAATTTAGCTGGTTACGAATGTCAGTTTTACTAGAACCAGTGCATATATACACCTGAGTAAGGAACTTGCACTATAAAGAGTAGCTTAGGATGTTCATAAAAGAGTAGAATGGATTGCGTTAGCTTTCCATATTGCATATCTGTATTTAGCTCATGTTAAGATATCCAAGGTGATGTTTGCTCAATAATGAATAAAAATTAATGCACTTTACAAGGATCTAAATGCTAAGTAAGCCAATAGGGTTATTGCAGTGATTCAATTATACAATGTCCTACTGATATTGCTTCATGCAACAATAGTTAGTAATGTGAATGGGTTGGTCAGATTTAAGATATATGCTAAGCTTCTTTAGATTGTACCACAAAATCTTCAACTGATTGCTAAAATTCTCTGGATGTCTGCAACTATATTGCTGGAGGTTCATGCATATCTATTAATTAGAATATAAAAATCTTTTCAAATAAAATATTATTTTCGTTACTAAAAATGTTTTTAATTTACATCACTTTATTATGACCTAAAAAGTATAATTTGTATTATGTTAGTTTAAACTTAATGCTTAATAAACATTTAAGTGTCTGATACATAAATAAATATATAGAATATTAAATGTTTATTAAATTGTTTAATGTTAATAATCTTTAAATTAAAGTAAATTTGTTTAATTATTTTTTTGTAAGCAATCAAGCAATCAATTTTAATATCAGTAATAAATAGAAGTCAATCTAATTAATTATTAATTATTCCTTTTTACAAAAAATTAGAAAATTAAATTTAAATACTTTATAAAATGAATATGATTCTTTTCATAATATTTATTTTACATTTGATATTGACATTTATTCGTTGTGATTAATGCTCTGCTCTTTAGAGCTAAGATAGCTGCCAATAGACAACAGGATGTAAGTGGGTAGAGAATAATTCAAATATATTTTGTACAAGTAGAGACTTTGGATGCAGTAAATTAGATTTAAAAACTTGCAGTGCCAACGATAAGTGCATTTATTAACCTGCTATGAGCGGAGGATGCTAATTAGATAGGTCTGTTTCTTGCTAGGGTTCATCTTATATTTAATGTCAGTATTTAGGATAGAGATGTAACTGGTAAAGCATATTTAAGTGTGAAAACTTTTCAGATGGATTTAATTGTAGCTCAAAGAATTAACAATAATGTACAAATTCCTCAAATTACTGTAGCTCTTAATTTTAATGTTAAGCATCAAAGGATTAAACTTTATGTAGCTTCAAAAATAAATCTGATTGTCTTGCAGCTAGCTCTTATTGCTAATACAGTATCACTACTCCTTAGAGTTGTAATGATTTAGGATCGTATTGTAAGAATTTAAGTGGTCCTGATTGCATGGCTGATTCTAATTTTTGCAGTTTTTAGCAAGTAACTCCATCTTCTTGCACGAATAAATCTGATGCTTCTATCTGTGGAAAGCTATCTTTGAGTGATTGTAACAATGCATCATAGTTTTGCTATTAAATTCAAACACCATATACTTGCACTAATAAAGTTACGAATGCCACATGTGCTGGTTTATTAGATTAAACTACTTGTGCATAAAATATTGGTTGCGCTTGGATAAATAATATTTGTAGTATTATAGTAGATTGCACTACTTTAAATTAGCAGTAATGTGAAAGTTAACAATACTCCTCTATTTGTACATCAAATCCTTCTTAAACGGTTTGTTAAAATAAATAAGATTTCGGTTGTTCATAATACAATAGCTAGAGCTCTCTTTGCTAATAATACTCAAGCTATTGTTCTTATTAATAATTTACTGGTAACTGTTCTTCAAAAAATTATTGCTAAAATTTGAAATAATCAGATTGCCTTTCTGCCTCAAGTAAGTGTGTATTTTAACCAGAAATAGGAAGCTGTTAATTAAGTAGTAATATTAACTGTAATGGATTAAACTAAGCTACTTGTTAATCAACTTCTTATTGTGTGTATTAATTTTTGAGTTGTAGTGATTAAAATTAAGACTTATGCTCAGCCTTCTCACTAGACCAGTGTACTGCCAATAATAAATTTTGTGATGTATCTATTCAAGGAACATGCTAAGATAATGCTTAATTAAACTGTTAAAAATATTCATAGTAGAATTGCTCATAAAACTAAGGTTGTGTGTTTTATAAAGATACACCAGAATCATGCTCTAATATTGTTAATTGTTCAAAATTTAGTTAGCAAGATTGCATATAAAATTCTGACTTTTGTATTTATACTTCTTAGAATGGCATGTGTTCTGCAGATTCGTCACAAGTTGCTGAAAAAAGTTCAATTTTATTAAAAATAAATATATTTGCATTCCTTCTTTCTGTAATTTTATTATTATGAATTTAACTATAAAATTTTCAATATGTTAAATTATTTTAAAATTAAATTTACACTAAAATAATAAGATAAAATTTTCTATTTTTAGTAACTTGAAAATAAAAATATTATCAGATGATTATTTTAAATACTTGATTAAAAAACAAATATAAAAAAAGTGATTAAAAAATAAATATAATATAAATAAAGTATAATATTTTTGAAAAAATATTGGTTTTAATAATTTATTACTGCTAACCAAAAAATAAACAAGTTATTTTATTTTTCAATTAAAATTGAAATTTCTCATTTAATTTACAAAATATTCACCATATTTTTTGTATATTTACTCAACTTATATCATTAGATTTTATAAAATTATAATTTTATTAGAATAAGTCCTTCAATTTTAAAATTTTTTAATTTTTCAACTATTTACTTTTTTTTTGGGGTATGTTTTAATTAATAAAGAATATTTTTGATGTTTTATAAAATTCATTTAGAAAAATATTTATATATTTATTTCATATTACAGATTTTGATAATTGCTTAATTTTTCAAACCCAAGATCTAATTAAACTTATTTGCTAATATGGTTTAAAAATACTGAGACTAACTAAGAAACCCATAACTAGTTTTAAAGAAATAAAATTATTCAGTTTAACTGTAAATAAAAATTGATTTGTATTTATAAATAGATATTTCTTTAAATAGTAGGTCTTAATTTTAAACCTTATCAAAATTGAATTTTTATTTTCTTATAAAAAGTTATAATTTTGCATTCTGAATATATAAAATCTTAGAGGAAAATAAAATGTAAATAAATGCCTATAAATAAGAAAAATAAGTGAAAGATATTTAGAAAATATTTTTTGTAATTTTAATTTATTTTAAAATATATTCATCAAGTATCAAGTATGTATTAAATAAAAATACATGATATTTTTTATAGTTGTTAATTAAGAAATTTTTCTATTTTTTTTTTTGATAAGACAGACTACTAATATTTTTCGAACATCAGTGTTTTTGATCGAAAGTTTAAAATATTAAATAAATACTAATTTTAATTGAAAAGTGAATGGATTTTCTTTCTATTCTATTTAATTTATCAATAAATTTGTTTATGATAAATTTACAATTTTGTTTCAAAGTTTATTTTCTTCACAAGAAACTTTTTACTGTTGTTTTGAATATTGCTATAAATTATTATTTGATAAACCATTTTCATTTTTCTCTTCCTTTTGGTTATTATCTTCCCTCTTTTTGTTATCATCATTTAGTTTATTCCAAGCATAATTAAATATGCGCTTTATAAATTCATCAATGTAGGGAGCTGCTTTACTAAAAAGCATGTAGCAGTAGTGAGCCATAAAAACTCCTATGATAACATCAATTGTGTAATGAATTCTAAATCCAATCATAACAATAGCCATGTATAAATTTACCAAGCAAGTTAATGCAAACATATAATATTTTTTATTTACAAACCATTCACATGATACTAATGTTAAAAAACCACAGTGACCGGACCAAAAGAAATCACTGGAGCGGCCATATGGTACTGTCAATGAAGGGAAGCCTGGACTTTCCCAATAAAATCCTTCTGGAAAAGGGAAAACAACAAAATTTTAGACTATATTTCTCAATACGTAAAAGAAGGCAGTTGCATAGAGAAGTCTACCAGTATTTATTCTTATTACCCAGTATCCATACATGAATAGAAAGCTTAAATCCATGCATAAACTACTGCTGATCTAAAATCCCTTGGCTGATTCGTGATTATCATTAACACTTTGATTCATTGAAGAGAGCCAATTATACATAACTGGATCATGAATTATAGGGTAATCATCTTTAGGAACACCAAATGCCTTTCCCATAAACAATACTCCAATCGCAAGAATAAAAATGCATATTTTGATGATATTATATCCCTTTTTACTTAAATTAAGTACAGTCTTATTCTTTATTTTTTGCTAAAATCCATTTAAATCAGATGCTGTAGAAGAATTACTATTATCTCTTTCTTTTAAGGGTTATTTGTTACCTTCTTCCATTTTATTAAATAGTCTTAAAATTAACTTTCTTTGATTTTAATTCAATTAGGAAATGAATTATTATTTTTTTAATATCAAAATAGTTATTAATTTTGTGGATATCTATTGTATATGATCGAAATTAAGTCAAAATTTTTTGAGCTTACTTCTCTCTGTGTGATGATTTATTTATATTTCTTTTGTAATTATTAATTATTAGCAATATGATACTTAATTTATGCTTTTTTTTCAATTTTTTGACTATTTCACTTTAAAAAAATAGAAAGTAATTTACGAAGTATAAATATAAAATATGTAAAAACATTTGTCCACTATTTACATCACTAAAATTATAAATATATTTAAATTACATATATTAGTATATTGTATTTAAATAATTTAACTATTAATCGCAATAATTGCAATTACTTGGAATTCTATTTGTTATAATATTATATACAATAAAAATCTCTTAAAATAAAGAACTATGTAAGAGATATTAGTAATCTTTTAATATCATGTAATCAACTCAAATATTATTTGTAAATGCTGAAATTAATTAATTGATTATTTTATTAGTACTAAATAAATAAATTTGTATTAAAATCTAATTTTAAAATACTTGTTGTCATATAAATTTAAACTGTTCAGAAATATCTAAAATAATTTATTTTAATAATTAAAATATATTGCTAAATTAATAATTTAATTATATTATTGTTAAACTAAATGTGATACAACAATATTTCTTAATTAATTTTACCTTATTAAAATTTGATGCAACAGTATTACATATATTTTTTATCAAGATTTTAGATTACAATAGTTGCTTATTTTATTGCCTTACTTCTTATTTTAATTTTGTTAATTTATTATAACTAATAGATAAATCAGTATTCAATCTTCGATTTTTCATAAAGACCTAGATTTATTCACACTTCTTTTTTTGATGAAATTGAACTTTAATTATTTTGAAAATTTATCTGCTAAAAATAGAAGAATTTATTATTAAATAATCTAATCCACTTTAAAATATCTATTAATTTATACATTTAAAAATATTTATAATACTTCTTTTTTCATTTTGAGATAAAAATGTTATTCAATCAATAAAATTTAATATTAATTGTTTTAAAGAGTTCAAACAGAAGAATTTGTGATTAAATAATGAACTCCACTTAAATAAATATTTAAAACAAATAAATACCTTTAAAATCTAACAATTAATTAATTATTTTACATAAATTTTTGACTAAAACAATCATATTATTTTTAATTATTTGAATGAACAAAACTTAACTTATTATTTTTGAAATCAAAGAATTAAATATAAAAACACTAATTGCATAAAAGAATTAATATAGACACAAAGCTATTTCTTTCTAAGCATTAATTTTTCGATTTTTTAGTTGAATAATTAAAATTTTTATTTTAATTTTTGTTTGATTTCATTTACTTAATTTATTTAGTTTTGCATTTATCAAATTTATTTACTATTTCATATCATATAATTAACTTTTAATTTCCAGTTATTATCCTTCCATGTCTTATTCTTAATTTTCTCTATTACTTTTGTTAATTAATAAAAGAAATTTCAAAAAATAAAACACTTGAAATTATTTTAATTACTTAGGAAACCATTACACATCTGATTGAATTAATTAAGAACTAACATAGCTTTCAATACCTGTATATTCAGTTTTTTCTTTATCGCCAATATATGCTATGTAATATACGTAATGCCAAATGTTATGGATATACTTGTAGTGATGAGTAAATCCCTTAGATAATTGAATTTTATCATATGACTGCCTAATTTAATGTAAATTAATAATATTTATCAGATCTCAAAAAAATTAAAACAGTGTAACTATGTAATTTGTAAATGTACCTATCTTATCCGCAAATGATGCAATAATTTAGAATATCATAGTTCTTTTCTTCTTGATGCTCTCTTAATGAAGCAAATGTATCTATAATAATACCACTTAGAATCTCTATAAGTAGGAGACTTACAAAAAATGCATACATAAAATCGTATACAGCCCTGTAATTAAGGCTCCATCCTTAATAGTCACTAGATTACCTATTTAATATTCCTACAAAACCTCCATCATTTTTGAAAGTCATATCCACTATCATGCTGAAGCATTGCCAGAGATCATCACACAGATTAACATTATTTCCTGCATTTAGTTAGTCATAAATTGTAAAATAACCAATAATAGCGAAGAAGTATTGGAGTAGCACATAAACAACCATTGTGTAAAAAAGCTATTTTCTTGGAACCCAGACAGCCTTAAATACATTTCTCAAAAGAGGATTTCTAATAAAAAAATCTAACAGAAGAAGCGCAATAAAAGCAAAATTAAAAATTCCTAACACTGCAATCACTAAAAATGTTAACCTATAAATAAGTTGCACATCTGAAACAAAAAACTTAATCTTATAGAGATACTTTTTTAGTATAGAGTTTTGTAAGTTCTATTTCTTTATGAATTAATTTGCATCCTTTAAACAATAAAATAATTTAAATTTTGAGGGAATGTAAAATGAACAAAAATTGTAATATTACTTGATTAATTAGAGGAATGAATTTGCTTGCATAAAAACCAAATATGAGAAGATAGATAACAATTTGTATGAATTCAAATATTATTTGCACATAGAAAAGAAATGTCACAAAACTTTCATGGCTCATAATATTTAAAGATAAAAATGTAGGATACAAATAAAATTAGTGATCTTCAGAAGTTGTTGCTAAGAAGATAAGATTTTAGAAGAAACTCTGTTGAATTTGAATAAAAATAAGTTATTTAAATAAAAATAATAATTTCAATTTTTAAATTTAATTTTCTCATTTTTTTTGTTAAATTTATGGAAATTCATTTTATTTTATTTGAAATTTTCATTTATTTTTTTAAAATGTTTCTTTCAAAATTGGTTGGTCTACTCAAATAAAATTTACAATTTTATTTAATATTTTTTAATAAATTTTATTATATAAATAAATCATATTGAAAGCTAAAAAAATATATTTACCAAATAAGAAGACAGTATTCTTAGTTTTGAAGTTTTAATATTTAGTTTATTAAAAAGCTCTCCCATTATAAAACTTTTTAATTTAGTTCTTATTTTATATTCTTATTTCATAGAAGCTATTATTTTTTATGATTTGATCATTAGATCTACTTATTTAGTCCTTTAACTAGTACGATCTATATTATCTACTAATTATTTTATATCATCTTTTGTTAGACATTCGCAGTAAGGGAGGATTGGGAAGTAAACCTGTTATATTCTACCATCAAAACTAATTTCGACAAATCCAGAGTGATTTATAAAGAATACTAAACTTTAAATGAATTAAGAAGTATCTTATTTTATGTCTGATTCACTTAATGTAATCTTATGGCATTAACCTTCATTTTTGTCATTAAATAGTGAGTAAGCAAAGGTATTCTTTTTATATCGTTCAATTTCTAAATTTAGAATTTTTTAGATATCATCTATTGTTTCTTAGTTTAATTCATTTAATTATCTGTGAAATTCAATTTATTACAAAGTTTGATCGTATGAAGATCCATCACTACTATTATTAGGATATTACTATTAGAACATAAGCGAAGATTGCTTATACTAAAAATACTCTATAACCTTTCTAAATATCGAATATAGTTTAAACCCACTTTCTATGATTAAACATGTGTTAGCCATGAACAAATCTATTTAAAATAGTAAGTAATTATTATTTTTATAGATATTTTAATTAACATTTATTTATTTACTTTCATTTTAGTAGTCATTCATATTTGTGCTAATTTCAACATGATTAAATGCTTCTGAGTTGTAATTGTTTCCATATAGAGACTTATAGTTTTTGTATATAGCAATGATTTTATCAGTAATTACTGATATTGGCATAACTTTGAGCAACTTCTACATATTCCTATAATCAATATTACCTTCAAGTATGCTCTCAATAGTAATTAAACACTTATATTATAATCTGCTCACCATCCAATCTTCTTAATATTTTCCGTTTGCTTGCAAAGCCAATTTCATATGATTTGAGAATTTAGGACTAATTTTTTGCAAGTCTTTTTTCAAATAAATGTTAAATTAAATTAAAAGTAAATGTGTCATTTAAAAAGCTACATGAAATTATATGATTGTCATAATAGTTTAGTTTTACACAAGCTAAATTTTTAGATTAAATTAATGGATTTTCTTAATTTAAACTTTATTAGCTCACAAACACATTTTTCTAGATATTATTTTAAACTTTTTCCTTCTAAATCTCATGATTTTTAATCTATTTTTAATTATTTTTCTTATAAAAAATTAGCGAAAGGGTTTATTTACTTTTAGTAATTTTGTAGCTATTTCTAAAAACCTTCCTTCACACAAAGCTATCTGATTTTCCTTGCAAGGACCCTTTAGGTTATAATAAAATTAATTGTTTTAAAATAGAAGTTTAAAGCTTTAAATATTTACCTATATAAATTCAGTTAATGTGTCAAAGCATTACACTAATTTATCATAATTGTTTTGGTTAATATTTTCTACAAGTGTTTCTACAAGTTATACAATAATATTTATTAAATCATAGCTGGTACGTGAACCTGATTAAGTATGCATATAACTTTATAAGTTTTAATTATGATTTTCAGTAAGTAGCTATAAGAATCTTAAAATTCTTGTTGTTTGATTAAAATGTCTATTTTTATAACAATATTATATTTTCTTGTTTGCAAATTTTATTCTCTCATTTAAAGATATTTCTCTTCTTATATTAGATATCTCTTGACTCAAATGGCTGTATAATTTATAGAAGAAATTCTCACTTTCCAAATTTTTAAGAAAGTACTCATAAAAACCATCCTAAATTTTCTAATTTTAAGAATTAAAAATAATAAATAAGACAAAAAATTATATTTTTTTCACAATAATATTTCACCTAATTTCCACCATCTAAAAGCTCAATAGCAAGATTTATCAAAGCAATGAATATTGAAGGATGTGTTTGTTCATTACATAGTATACTAATCAAAGTATTTAAATTCTCCTACTCTTAAAATTGATTTTGTATCACAGACTACTCCTCCGTGTTACATTTTTCTTTAGACCTATATTAAAACAAAAAAAAATAAACTAAAATAACAAAATAATTGAATCAAAATTATTTAAATTTTATTTTTGATTTTTGAATAAATCATTTTAATTTTATTTTTAGTTTTTTGAATAATTTATTTTAAATTTATTTTAAGTTTTTTAAATGGATAAAAAAAGTAAAATAAATTTTTTTACCTTTTTTTTATTATATCAATAAGTAGCTAGATAAGAGTTATTACTATATTTCTACTTTACGGTATTTCATCTTTGAGAAAATTAGAGTTATCAAAATTTTTGTCTAAAGTGGCTTTTATAAAATACATAAACTTTCTTATTAGAATATCAAGGTGATTGTAAGAAATTTTTTGTAATTTTGGATTTTCGTTTAAATTTTGTTAATTTTCAGAAAAACTCAAGAATGCCTAAGTAAGCTTATCTATTTCTGGCTCAATAAACTGCTATTTGATTTTTTCGTTAATTAGCAAGTTGATGCAAATACTTCTCCAATTTTTTTCAACATCGTCATTATATTTCAAAGATCTTTAGTCAAGTATATCTTAAATTGGAAGATCTATTATAAACTCTATATCTTCATCGTTTTTTGATTAAAATTGAGGATCAAACTAATTATTTTTTAAATTCTCTTCTTAAATTCTTTGCATAATTTTTTTTTCTATTTAAGTAGCAGACTAGTTACTTATTAAATTAACTTATGTCTGTCTGGCAAATTCTTTTATTGCATTAAATTAATACAAGCTTAGTTCATTTAAATTGTTTTCATTAATAAATGTGGAGAAAAAATGAAGAAAAGTTGCTACAAATTCCGCAATAACTTACATCTCTTAATCTTTTTCAAACACTCCTGGCATAACATTATTTACCCCTTAAATATAACTAGTGGTAAAGCTGTATTTATTTTTTTATATAAAGCTTATAATAGGTAGTACTACTCCAAAAATATAGCTAAAATAATTGGAATCAAAGCATTATTCTATATTAAAATATTAATCACATATGATCTTTGCTTGAATTTCATCACCCATCATCTTTCCGTCGAAAAACTGAGGTTATTTTATAGATTGATTAGATTTATTTTAATAAATATTTTAGAAAGTAACCTCTCTTTCCCTTACATGAAATTGATAAGGTATATGAAAATCAATGTTTAATTATTATTGCTATTATTGAAAATTATTTTCCTTTTATTTCATTAAATCAATACTTTTTTCTTACTCTACCATTCCCTTTTGAAAATTCAAATTTAATCTGTAAGCTAAGCAAGTTCTTTTATTATACTTAAAGTGATCAATATCAGCCTAAGTAATGTTTTTTAGTTTTTGTGTTTCTATTTTGATAAAATTAATTATAAAATAGTCATTTCTTATCTCTTAATAAGTTTTGTCTTATCTTAGCCAAACTACGGAGGCTAACTTTAACAGTTATTACTTCAACATTGTATTTAAGATGTACTTATGAGTAGATCTTTGACGGCAATTAAGAGAGAAAATATCTTTCCTATTAAGTAATTCCATGATATATTTAATACTCAAAGCTTTAGACATAATTATTTATAAAATTTAGTGCTTTTCGTTTAAGTTTTCAAATAATTATCCTATTAAGTTTAAAATTTTTATCTAATAAGCAATAGGAACATCTCTCACTGACTTTGCATCTTTCATATCAAATATAAACTGAGTGTTTAATTTGATTTTTTGATTATTTTCTTGTGAATTATTGTAAGTTTGTTTGTTTTATATGCTTTCTTAGCTAGTTTTTTAAGCTTAGTCTTGATTAAATTGTTCATTTTCATTTTGATCATTAATTCTGCTTTTCATCAAATTTTGTTAAATGCTGATATCATCTTTTTCTTCTTCATTTTCTTAATCACTATCACTTAATTCACTCAATTTATAATTGAATTATTATACCTATTAAATCTTTAGTGAACCCATCTCACCTTGCTTTTCTGCAGGTTCATAAATACTCTCATTTAAATTTTTAATACCTTCAAATTCAAAAAATAAATTTTTTAATGAAACATTATCTTAATTTAAAAGGGGTTTGTTATTTTAATTTTCTTGAACATTATCATTATTTTCATTAATAGTATTATCCTTCTTTTGATTTAAGCTAAAATCTTATTATAAGGGAATATTTTTGAGATCCTTTTAAGGTTGATTACTTTCTTTACTTTAAGGAGATTTATTATTTGAATTTTCAGGAGTATTAGGATATTTATTTTCTGCAAGATTCTCAATGATAGAGGGGAGGGGAGTTTATAAGAGATGAGCTGTTTTCGTTTCTTGGTTATCTTTACTTTATCTGTTCGGAGTAAATACTTCAACTAAAAACAGTAGATTTTTAATATCATATTAATACTTCTCAATTATTGCATTTAAAAATTTTTCAAAGTTTTATTTTACTGGTTTACATCTATAAAATAAAATAATTTCAAAGAATTCTAAGTAAATTGGGTCATGTCCTCCTTTTTTTTAGTCATCAGTTATTTTCCAAAGAAATTACTATATAATATCATCTCTTAGAGAATAAATTAGCTTGTGATTATTCCTGTATAATTCGCATATCAGAGATGTTTAGCCAAGTTCAATACAATCCTTTTACTGATCTAAAAATAAATCAAGATAATTTTCTAAAATTTTTTTGTTTTTTATATTGTTGTTTTAAACAAAAATCTTCAAAAATTTATAACAAGTTTCAATCATCTTTGTGAGTAAACATGTATTTCTCTAATCTTCTGTTAATTCTTTAACTATGTACTCACTTTCTTTAATCAAATTGATAACTATCTCATATGTTCTCAAATTTCTTAAAATAATCTGTCTCCCTAATGAGATTTCATTTATTTTTCCTCTTTTTATTTTATAAAATTTTAAACTATAAATATTAAATAAATCTAAGTATTTTTACTTTAAATAGTTGATGTTTTCTTTATCTGGGTTGTTATTAGGGTCGCAGAAGGTTATGAAAGACTATATGTTATTAATAACTCTGTGTATTACAAATTTGTATTCAAATTTTGGATCAGCTATTTTATCAGGAGCTTTTAGCCAAATTTCTGATTACTCACAATCGAATTTAAGCTATGTAGACTTACTTTTAATCGAGTTGAAGGCTTGTACTTCATCTTTATTTGTTAAAATTTAAAGATGTTTAAGTTGCTTAAAGATCAAAGCACGCTAGTTAAAGCATTTAAATATCAACTTAAGTATCAAGAAATTTAAAGTGTAATCATCTTCCTTGTAAAAAAGTTAAATTAAAATAGGCAAAATTGGTCGATTATAAAGATTATCAAAGTCTTCTAATATTTAAAAATTCAGATTTCCAATATTATAATTTTCATAAGGTATCTCAATGTTAGATGGTCTTTGTCTTTTATAGCTAAATGCTGGTTTGAATAAATTTTATGGTTGCTCTTAATTAAAATTGGCTGTATTCTTATAATTATTATTTTGGCTTTAGGTAAATTGGTTTATTGATGTTTTTTGTGGTGGTTGATTTTAAAATTTTGAAAAATACCTTGATTACAAATTATTCGACAAAACAGACTCTTTCCTTTAGTCTTTTTATTCTTTTTTGGTTAAATTAGAATTTTTTTGGTTGATAAAATTAATAGAAGTCTACATTATAGGAGGTAAGTGATCTTCTAAATTTTCTTCAATCATTAATGTGATTCTCTGCTCATTTTCCAAGAAATATGGATACTTCTAACTAACTTGATAAATAAATTAAACCATTTACTCTATGTAATAGTCTTCTCTTAGCTCTTAGTAATATATTAGCATTCTCAGCAAATTAACTTTAATTTATTAAACTATGTCTGGCTATTTTAATTATATAACTCCGTATACTCTATTTGTAAAGCTCAAATTTTTCATTCTATTTATTTCATCTATTTCTTCTTTCTAGCTTCTTCTGCTGATTTCAACTTCTTAAATTTTTTTGTATATAATTTTTAGTATTTTGTTCTCATGTCTCCTGAATGTTTTAACTTAAAATCCGCTTTCATTCTTATCGCTTATACCTTTTTGTTGCTATTATGTCTCAAAATTAGCTGTTGTCCTATTCGTATGATCTCTCTTAAAATTAAAAGGAAACTAAGCATTAAACATATTATTAGGCATTTAATTAAACAATAGATTCTATTCGATTTAAATTGTACTGCTTTTTTCTCTCTATTTAATAGTCTCTTATTGCATCATAGTTAATCTGTTCTTTAAATACTGAATTGGATTATCATTATCATCAATATCTTGAGACTCAATATCATAAATATATTTTTCTTCAAATAAACTACTTTAGATTAGCCTTATGATATTCTCCATAAGAACCCTAAAAGGAGATTTTATTTATCTAAATGTTTAAGTTTGTTATGAGTTTAATGGTTTCTTAATTATTTTTCCTTCAAGATAAAAAGATCCAGATTTAGAATTTTTTGTATTAGATAGAGCGTTGCTCATATGAATAGAATTTTAAATAGCTTCTTTGTACTATTCAATTTATTTCTCAAAAAAGTTAAAGGAAATAAGCTTTCTTACTGTTAAAACCATATTCAAAGTCATTTCATCGCAATACTACAGAGTAAGTTTCTCATTTTAAAAATATGATTGCACGCTCTTACTAATTATTTCTAGACTCTACTCATCTAAGCTATCCTTTATCTAAAGAAAATCCTCTATAATTTCAGGTTAGTATTCCAAACTTTCTTCTAAACCAAAAGACTCTCTCAAATGATAAGAATCTTTTATATCAGTTAACTCAATTTCTTACTTTCCTATTAATAAGTTTAAAAAAGTAAATTATGAATTTAAAATCAATTCTATTTATCTATTTTAACAAAAATTTTAATTATTTACTAGCAGAAACTTCGCTTTAATTATCAGTGTATTCTGTTTACTCTTTTATTAAAGGTTTGTCGAGATTTATAGATTTTTCAGATTGCTCTAATGGATTTGGAGGTTCAGTAAAATTCTTATTAGCTACCTTCTTTTTCTTATAATTATTTATAGTATTTGTAATTTTTTCATAAATAGATTTAACATCCTCATTTTTGAAGTAATTTGAGGATGTCTTAGGAGAATTCAAAAAAGCTTTTTAAACTTATGGAGATTATTCAAATACTTTTGTTAACATTGGAATTATTAAGACAGTTCTAGGCTTTGAATTAATATGTAAATGCAGTAGTATTCTTAACAGTGCTGCTCTAATTTTCATGTGTATATCTAAATTCCACACATACTTCATCAAAATTTTATCATAAAAGTATTTAATTAAGAAGTTCTTGATGGAGTAATTACGTCCATAACAGAGGTTAGAAAATAAAATTAATTACTTCTCAAAATAATTGATAAGTTATTCTGTTTATTTAGGAGTTTTTTCAAGTAACAAGTAGGTTGGAGTTGATACTGAGAATAGCTCTGAGAATTCTATCCATTCTAATTTATCTTACTTTTCCAACCCTACCATTAAAAAATCATCACCATTATTTTTCTCAATCTTAATAGGAATTATTAATCGAGAATATATTCTCCATTTCGGATTCTCTTCAGTATATCCAAAAAACTTTTAAAGTAAATTTTTTATCAGTTATTAATTAATAGTAATTCCCTCTTCTTTATAGCAGCAAAACGTGTTTAATATATCAAGAAATTCATCAAAATACTCATTTGTACCAGGGGATGATACATGGATTGAAGTTTAACTTTTCAAGTTTTTTTTCTTTTTTTTTGTTGATTAAGCATTTAACAATAATTCAACAACTTACTAGTATCTATTTATAATAAAATGAATCAGATTATTCTTTTTATAATCAGAATTGCTTTTTTAGCTCATTAATTTAGAAATACTTATCATTTTATCATTTAAACTATTATTGAAGCTTCCTAATCTTTAATTACTAATGGACTCACCTATCAAGCTACCTTTTTTCCTCGAGTATTAGTCTTAGCTTCCAGTTGTTCTGCTTTTTTATAATCATAAACAATAAATTTTATTTTAACAAACATTTAAAAAAATTAAATTTAATAATTAAAATCTTCCAAATAAATGCTGTTAAATTTTCAATCTAATTTTACAAATAATTTCTAGCAAAGAAATATTTTCTAATTTCGAGAATTAATAAAATTTATTTGCTCAAATTTTTTAAAAGAATTCAAAAAATTTTTAATAATAAACCAATGATTATTTAAAAGAAATTTTACTTGAGAGTAGGTGAGTTTATTTTTAAATTTGGCAAATTTATTTCATAGTTTTATTTGTAAATTAATGAAAGGAGCTTTTCATTGCTTGATAAAATTTATATTAAACATTTAGTTGCATTTTAAATATATCCTATTTGATTTTTAAAGACAGTGAAGTGCTTCACACACTATTCAGAGTTTTCATTGTTATCTTGGCAAAGATTTTAAATTAATTCATAGCATAGATTGCAAATCTTTATTTTTTCTTTTAAAAAATAATCTGTCTCTTTTTGTTTCATTTCTCTATAATTACTTTCCTATTACTTATATATTTTAGTGAGCTCAGTTTAAAACTTAGATTCGCTTAGTTAGTCTATTAAGGCTTATTTTTTATCAATTTTTGTTTGAGCAGGATATGTAGGTGTGTGCTACCTTATTAAAGGTCTCATAGAATTTCTATTAACTGCAGCTTGGATATTTTAAAAACTAAATTAGTTAGATTATCTACCATATAATATGTTTTGCTATGATGTTTGCACTTCTTCTAAGATTTACTCTTGATTTAGAAGCAGTATTTCATTTAGCTACTCTTTGCTACTAAAACAGTTTTCTATGATTTTGGAGAGTAAGTCCATATAACCTTACTCTCTAAGCAGCTTTTGTCTTTTGAAAGTTCTTTCAAAGTCAGATCCGAAATTTTAATTAAACATGTAAGCATTCTCAGATGATTAATTATAAATGCTATTTAAATCTATGTCTCCATCAAAGCAAAATCTTTATAATAAAATTAAACCATTAATTAATTAAGCAAGAATTATCTTCTCGTTTTAATTCAGCTAAAGTTCTTCTTATGATTTATAAAATTCATTTATATTTTAAATTTTGTTGTTATACTCCTGTTCTTGTTCTTATTTTTTTATTAGCAAATTTAAACCAATTTTAAGCTAAGGCTTGCACGATTTTAGATATTAACACTCCCAAATTTCAACATCGTTTGCAATTGTAAATCTAAATACATCTTCTTAACACTCTTTTATAATAAAACATTTTGTAAATTTTGTAGATATTTTTTAAAATAAACAATTTATTTTTTTTCAAGCTTTTAGATTTGAAAAATTTATTTACGATTTTCTTTTAAAACAGGACGATATAATATTTCTGAGTATTCAAAATTTTATTAAACTGGCTCCTTTCCTAGTATTCTTTTAGTATTTGAATGAAAAATTTAGAAAAATGAGTTTTGAAAAACTGGTTTAGTTGATGAAGGCTAATCAATAGCCTCAAGATAAAAATATGATGCACTAGTCTTTTACTTTTCCATAACTATTCTATTACTATTAGAAGTTGTATTTTCATCACTATATGCCAAGTAATACCCTGTATTAATATTCTAAAATCTAATAATTTGTTTGTAAGATATTTCTTTGCCATTTAGTGGGTCTATGCCCTCTATTTTCCACAGTCCTACCGAGTTGTTATATTTTTAATTATTATCGCTATGCTCAAAGTAAATAGTATCTTCATTTTATTCTTGCTTTTCTGCACTAAAGGCTATGCAATTGTTTAATTCATTGTAAATCATCCAAATTATATCTCCAAAGTATAGTTTTTTAGCCTAAAGTCCTTCTCTGTAAAGCAACACTCTGAATATTACCATAATAATTTTCATAATTTACTTGATAGAAATTCATCTTAAATAAAATCTTTTACCTCATTTTTGATTTTCTTTCCATCGACATGTAAATTTGTTTTGGATTTATTTGTTAATCATCTTCGTTGTGATCTAATTCGACTTATATTGAGTCTTTAAGATAGCTTTTATGATGGTTTAATGTTGGAAACAAAATATTCCCTTGCAGCTAATCTTCTATAGCAATTCCTAAAGCTTCTTTTTAGTCATATTAATTATATGCTGTAATATAGCAGTCAGTGTCATACATAATATATTTATCTTTTTCATTTTAGTAACTGTAGCAAGGCTAAACTCTTAAGCGAGAATTAACACTTGGAGTATCACTTAAATATGCACTTTTATGAGTTATTAAATCAAATAAATATAGAATTTGATATTGTTTTATTTTATTCAATGAAATTAAAGTTCTCATCAAGTGATTCAAAATAATTTTATTTACATGATGCTATCTTATTCCATTTTAAAGTTCTTTTTAGGATCAAATGTGAAATATTTTTTTGTTTTTAAGTGCTCTAACTAGAATGCTTAATTGTATTAAAGAGGAGTACATTAATATTTCATACTTTTCTCTTATGAATTTTTAACTTGACTTTAAAAATCATCTAGAATCTGGTTGACGCAATCTATTTTATTTTTTTAAATATAATTAAAATTATGAGGTTAACATTTAGAATGAACTTAAATCATTTATGCAATCTAATTGCATATTTATGCAAAAACAATATAATAATTAGTCTACTTAACTGCTACTATTATGATGTATTCAAATTATATATTGGGTCAAACATCTCTTCAAGTTAGGAAAAATACTCTGCTATCGAAGAAACAGGGACTATTGTGAATAGGCAATCATTAATTAAATTAGCTTCGTTTATTGTTGAGTCGTGAGATAAAAAAATATCTTCATCAACAAATCCATTAGAAAACAATAAATTCTTTTGCTAGTAATAAGCAGGCTTTAAATAAACAATAGCCCCAAAATGTAGATGTCTTTTAAGATTAAATAAATTTGATTGATCTTCTTCATCCACATCTTAATGTTCTCTCTAATCCTGGTACCATGATTTATGTAAATTTTAGCTTGCTTACTAGTTATTTATATTATTATCTCTTAAACTCATTTACTTGTGAACTTATAATATAATTATTTACTAGTTTTAGAGATATTAGTATCTTTATAATTTAAGTAAAATAATTTGTAGTTTAAAGCTTGTTTAAATATTTGAAAAAGCTTTTTATTACATACTAACATATAAAATAATATTTACTACCTTACTTAAAAACTTACTTCTATTATTCTAAAAATACAAAAAAACATTTTTTTAATTTGTAAAAAATAATTAATAAAATTAAATTGTTTTGTATTTAATTTTTAATTTATAAAAAAAATATTTGTTTTGTTTATTTGATAATTAAATAAAATATTCTTAGAATTAATTTTCAAATATTTTCATTTGATAGAAAAATCCTTAAAATAATTTATTTAAATTTGTTATTTACTTTAACTCTTAATTTCAGATTAATTTCAAAATATTTTGCTACTTCCAAAAAATAAAATTGAAAAATTTAAATAAACATATGTGATAAATATTCAAGTAAAAAAATTAGGATTATTTTTATTTATTTCAATTTCAATCATTTATTTTTTAATAAGAGGAAGAGTTATTTATTTAAAAAACTTTAAATATGAAGTTAGTAAAACTTTAAAAAAGTTTTTAATAATTTTATTAAAAAATTTCTAACATTTTTAAACCCTTTATTTATGAAGGTAAAAAGAACAAACAACGAAGCAAGTTCATTAATTATCGTTAAAAGTTTTGAGTTGGTTCTATTTAGCAAATATTACTAAATATTTCTATCATTAAATTACTCAAAAATAGAAATATAAATATTTAAATATTGTAATATGAATAAGTCATTAGGTTTTTATATTTACCTTAAATAAATATATTTTATAATAAATTTCACAATAGTTTTTGTCTTATTTAGCAGCCATAAAAATACTAAATTGTTGTATAATATATAAATTGTGAATCTTTTTTAACTATTTTGTATACAAAGAAAATTAAATGACTAACGTAATATACAAAAAATATTATGTAAAAAATAAAAATTAAATAGAATTTTTATTAATACAAATAAATATATGATAAGTCATTTTTTTTATCTATTTTGAAAAATATTTAATAAAAATTAAAATTCTAAGATAAATCTTGTAAGGAATAAGTATATTTGTTTGTATTTTTTTTCTACTTCTTATTTATATAAATGTTAGCTATTGTACTAGAAACTTTAAAATAAATATCTGTTTACATTTTTTAAATTTTTGATTGAAAAAAGATGATTTTTAAAAAAATACCTAATAATATCAAAAGTATAGTAACACATTATAAATATATATTTAATTTAGCATCTATTTAATAAAAATTAGAGGTTTTCATTATTATCATATAAAAAATGATTGATAAATCAAATTTTTAGGATATATAAAGCCATGTTGATTTATTCATCTAAAATTTGTACTATTAATATTAACAAAATATTAGTATTTTATCATAAAGATGATATCTAACTTTATAAAAATGGCAAATAATTTACATTAAAACCAGAATATATTATTTTTTTAGACTTTACTTGTAATTATAAAATTATTTTGTTACTTTACACAAAAATTTTACAATGTTATGTAAATAGATTTGCTGATTATATAAAGGATTAAGCTAAATATATTTTACAGAATCAAATTGAGAAAAATTTAGAATAAGGCCTGCTTGATCTCAAATTATATTCTTCGAGTGAATGATTTTTGAATTGTAATACCTAATAATAAGAAATGTAACTAAGAATCAAAAATATGATCATGATAGAAAATAAGTATGATTAATAATTAATTGTATGAGATCTAATTTAATCAAAATTGAGTGGATATGAGTTTTTTTGTTCTGACAATTAAATCAATATATTAATTTTAATTCATTAAGGTAGAACAAATCTAAGTGGTTTCTTTTTACTTAAAAATATTTAGATTGAATTCAAGTTACACCATATAACTGTAAAAAGTAATAAAACCCACTTTGCTATTTTCATTCTTTATTAGACATTTTCTTTTTTAAAAATGAAGAATACTCTAGGTAATAAACAGAAAAAAACATTTTACTGCATATTTTTAAGATATATATTGCTGGAATGAGCTTGAAGATTTGTAAAAATAATTTATAATTTATTAGATTACTTTATTCTCATATTTTTACTTAATAATATTGATAAAAATTAATCAGATAATTTAATCATTTAAAATTATATAAAATCAAAATTTCAAAAAAATAGATGAGAATTCAAGCTAGACCTTTGAATAAAGGCTAGTCGAATTTCTTTTAAACTAAAATTTATTTTCTACTATTCGTATATTTCTTATTTATTTATTAAAAGATCATAATTAATTCATCAGAAATTAATAAAAACTATATACAGATACAAATTAGCTAGTTTACAATATAATTATTTAATTATAAAAACAAATAAAATATTATAAAAATTTTTAATTTCAGCTTATAAATAATCTAGGTTTCAAAATGAACTATTTTTCTTTAATCACTTACTTCATATTTTTAATAACATACTTACCTAGTATAGAAGTATATGCTTAGTCGGTAGCCACTTTGCCTATGCCCACTAATTATAAAGCTTTGAGCTCAGCATTTCTGAATTCAAATAATATATTGATTTGTGCAAAAACTCCTTAAGCTGCAGGAACAAATGGCGATTTCTTATACAGTAAATACTAAAATATTAATCAAAATCTGTCAACCTTTTAATAATAAATTCAAAAAAAAGTTTATGATCTCTCTCAGAAGAAATCACAGTACTTCCCTTTAAGCTGCTTATTTGTTGGTCAATTATCAGTAATTTTCTAAATATTCTGAAAAAATTAATTTATTTAGATATCTATTTAACTTTGTCTTTTATTAAACAAAGGATGCAACCTTCTTTTTAGCTGACCAAACAACATATAAATGTACATTATTTTTTATTTTTCTGATTAATATTAATAAGAAATTTTATAAAAATGGAATTAGATATTTTATAAATTTATTCTAATTAATATCTTTAATATTAGTTTATTCTTTTAGCAGCAACTAAGTTTCTTTAATCACATCTTATAAAATATCTTCAAACCAAGGTGGAATCGCTTTCTATAAAAACTTAAACGATGAATAAGTAAAATTCTAAACATTTTCGTATTTTATTTACCTTGAAATTATTAATAATAGATCTATTTATCTTTTAATGATGGCAGCGCATACTGTAAGAATTTAATAAAGAATTCTAATCTAATCAATTCATTTTTATGATTTTAATAGTTGGAAGGGCAAATAATCTTTATGAATTGAGATATTGTGATCAAACACCTGTATCAGACATTGCATTTGTAATATTAGCCTTTATTGAATGACTATGACCAATAACTTTTCTAAAAATATTAACTTGTAAAATATAAAATAGAACTAATACTATTTGTTTACAGCTTGCGGCAGGTTGCTTTTAAGTATATTTTTTTTATTTTGTTATATAAGTTAAATGAAATTAATATCAAATACAATTTTTAGTATTACTATTGTTAATGTAAGAAAGCTGTTTTAGATGAATAAAGTTAAAATAGAACTATTTAAATAATCGCATACAATTTGTTTACTGTATGATTTTGCCAATTAATTAATTAAAGTTTATACAGCTTTTAACAATATTTATTCATCATAAATCATTAATTAATTCATTCTTAATTTAAAAAAACAAATTTATTTTTGTTTGTCTCTTATTTTATTAATTAATTTTAAATATAGCTTGGGACTTGAGGAATTTGTCATAGTAAAAATCAAAAGTGATCACACCATTTTCCAAATATTCAACATCTTCAATTTATTTCTTGTATGGTCTACCAACTGTAATTTTTAATATTTTTACATTTCCCTTAAGTATTTTAATTTAAAAATCATAGAATGATAGCAATATTGATATTGTTATTTGTACAGCAGGTCTTCTTATAACCAGTACCACATAAGTTTTTACCATGGTTAATGGTAAATACGATTCTTCAACAGCATGGACAGCATTTAATTTATTGGAAACCACTTCAAATCTTTAACAGTTTGGTAATGGAGTCTCATATTTAAATGGAAATATTTTAAAAAGTAAATTGATATTATTACAAAGCATTCATAAAATTAACTTTGTAATCAGTATAAATAGGATCATTTTCTTATTCTTCCATCTTGAAATATAATCTCAAGAATTACTAAATTTAACAAGTAAATACTTTTTACATATTAAATTAAGTATTTAAAGTATTTTATTAAATTAATAGCAAGGAAGCTAAATAGTAGGTATAGATCAAAACTCAAGTCAGATTTAAAGTAATATTTTAATTGGAGTTTATAAACAAATAAATAGTTTTATTTTAAATTAGATAAACTATTAAAATAATATTTGTCTGTCTTGAATAAAACTTGTTTTTATTATTTAAAATAGTTTTTAATTTACAATTTTTTATTTGTTTTTATAATTTAAAAGTTTTCAGTAATTTCCCTACAACTGTTTAATGGAAGCAATGTAATCCAATTTGCTTGACTTGTGATTAGACTAATTAGTGCACAGAGTGCTATTAAAGTAAGAATAGAATTCTTTTAAATGGAACCTGTGTATGTTAGAAAGGATACTACTAAGATTAAAATAATAATTGTGTAAAATGCAAACCTAATTGCCTTGAATGTACATCCGCAGATGTTTGCACAATATGCGATTCCTCCTTAAATAGAGTATTAAATTCTAATGATTGTGTATGCTAATAAGGTTTTTATGAAGATTTACCAAATCTTTTTTGTTTCTAAACGGGATAGTGTCCTGCAAATTGTTTAAATTGTGATAATCTTGGTAAATGTATCAGCTGCGATTCAACTAAACACTTTATTTTACAAAATTCAATCTGTGTTTGCGAATAAGGATATTAATTTAATTAATCTACATAAAATTGTGATTCTATTTGTTAGTCACCTTGCTAATCTTGTATCCCTGGAACAAATTAATGCTAAACTTGTATGAAGGATTATTATTTTTTGGAAGGAAATTGCATTTAAAACTGTCCTAATTAGTATTACTAAAATTAATCTACAAACACATGCGATACATGCTAGGTTAATGGATGCTATATTTGTTAAACATCAGCTAATGTTTGCAATCAATGTAAATAGAGCTATTTTTAAATGAGTGAGGTATCCTGCTTATTAAACTGTCCTAGTGGATATAATCAAAATAATACTGAATAGAAATGCCAACAATGTAAAGTCAAAGGCTGTAATACTTGTAGATAGTCGATTAATTCTTGTGATTAGTGTTAAAATGGATTATATTTATTAAATAACTAGTGCTATTCTTAGTGCCCTAGTGGATTTGCTACTTAAACTGTAAATGGGGTTTAACTATGCTAGGATGCATTAACTTATTATGATGTTTATCAAGAAAAAGATAATTAAATAAATATTAATTTCAAATCTAACGGTAATATAGATATAGATTTGCTATTGTAAAATCTGAATGTTTATATACCAGATATTAGCTATAGCATAAATAAATAAATCAACAACTCTACATCTATTTTAGCTACAGTTATTTTAGCAAAGGAAATTAATTAGATATTGCCTTCTAATGTAACATTTTCAAATTCATAGAATTTGAATTTAGCCTACAGCTCAAAATAAATACAACTAAAGTTGGTTAATTAGCTTTCTGGTTCAAATAAAATCGCTGCTCAAGCTATTTCTACAACAGCATAAGCAACATCAAAAGTCACACAAGCTGCTATTATCCCTTTATAATTATCTGGTAATTTTAGATTTATCGCCTCTCTTGTTGATATCAGTTAAATTATCTACGTTATGTATTTCCTTCAAATAGAGTAATTGATTTTTTTCAAATATCATTTTTTCAATAGCTTTAGCATTAAAAAATTTATATTTTCTCTACACTTTTCAGCAAAATTTAAACTATAAATAAATAATTAAATATTTTTAATAAATGAATAGTATTCCTTTAAATCTATAAGGTTTCTTTGAAGGATTGGAAGAAGTCAAGGTTCCTTTTGTTAACTTTTTTGGGTAACTTTAGAAAAGTAATAAAATTATTTATAATGCTCCTGAAAAATTTGAAGAATAAGATATTTAAGGATTTTTTTTGGATAATTTTGGTAAATATTTTTTAAAGAGTTTAAAATAATAAAAAATTAAAACATTTATTTAAAATCAATCGTTAGGTGATAATATGTCATACGCTTTACTGATTATTGGTATTCATTTATTTGTAAAATTCATAGTCAGAAATGTGATACTTAAGAGATATGAATAATCTTTATCTAAGATAAGTAGATCTGTTTTAAACCCTAAGTTTTACTTAGATTTGCTATGGAGTATGTTTTAGGAGTTATCAATAGCTGTTTTCCTTTAGATCTAAGTAATTCAAAATGTTAAGTATGTATAAGAAGTGATAAATTACATATTTTTTGGGATTGGATTTGTTGCAATTTTAATTCCATTTATCTTAATGTATATGATTAGAAAAGAAAAGTATGATTGGATAACTGAGCCTCTATCTGAAGAAGTTAATAACAAATTTTATATCATATTTTTATATATACGTAAAATGTATATAGTAATGACTATTACCTTAGTATAAAATGCTCCTTTAGCTTAAATTATCTTAATATCTCTCTATCATCTTGTAACTTTAGTATTCATTTACAAAGTGAAGCCTTATAAAGAAAAAAGTGATAATGTTAGACATTTTATGTAAACATTCCTCTTTTTACTATCCACCCTTTTACTGATATTTTTCTTGTAAAACAATCCTCAAAATAATGAAAGTATTGGATTCGGATGGTTTGTCATTTCTATGTTTGCTTGTATTATCTTAATAGACTTTATTTTCTTCTTAAAAGAGACCTTCAAATCCGTAATAGAAAACCTAAAGAAATTAAAAGAGAAACTATCATCTATTATAGATTTCTATATAACAAAGAAAAACAGTAAATTAGAAGAAATGCAAGTATCAGAAACTTATATTGGCAATTCTGAAAAAAAATAAAAAAACTTACCAGAAATTTAAATTAATGGTTAAAAAGCCTCAAATATTAAGGTAAATAGATACAATTTTTTATCAGATGTCAATGCTAAAAATAACAACAATAATAATACTGGAGCAGGTTCAGATGAGCACTCACCAATTTCAATTCAGCAATAAGGTATAACTTAAGGAAAACCTACAACAATGATAAATAGTGATAAACTTTCTTCGAATGATATAAATATGGAAATTGACTCTTCAAGCCACACAAAAGATTTAAACATTGATGAAGTTGTGAGCTCAATTAAAATTCCTTCAAAAGATTACCAAAAAAGTAATTTCTTATCATTAGTAAATTCATAACAAAAATTAACTTGTAGTACCTAACAATTAAATACCAATACAAACGAGACTTATACTCCTTAAAGCACATAATATAATCTCTAAAAGAAAAATACTTTAAAGCATATAAGCGATAGCCAGATATCTAATCCATCTATATTTAAGAAATAATGAAATCATATATTGTTTATATTATATTTTAAAATAATTATAAATAAGTAAATTTATTTGTGATAAATGTTATTATGGTTTAATATATATTTTAATAATCTTTAAATTATTTTTAATTAACATATTACTGTAAGACATTTGTTAAATCTTAAATTTATTATGATATTTATTAATTTAATTTCTCAATTAATTAAGTAAGATATTATTAACAAGTAATTTTAAATTTGTGAATTAAATTATGAAACTGTTTTATTATTAATTGTTTTATTTTTGAAATAATATTCTTCGAGTGAATAATTATTGAATTGTAATACATAAAAATAAGAATTGTTGTTAAAAATTAACAATAATATGACTATGATTAAAAATAATTAAGATTAATAATTAATTTTATGAGATCTAATTTAATCAAAATTGAAAATTGAGTGTATATTAGCTTTTTTGTCAATATAATATTTAAAAGAAAAATACTTTAAAGCATATAAGCGATATTCGTATATCTAATTCATGTGTGGTTAAGAAATAATGAAAAATTTATATTGTATACATAATAATTTAAAAATAAGTATGAATAAATAAATTTATTTTGTGAAATATATATATCAAATAAATGTTAAAATTATTTAATATTTTAATTTATTTTAAATATAATATGAATTTAAATCATTATAGTATAAAGTACTAAATTTATCAATAGTTATAAATTTTTTTTTTTATAATGAAAAATCTTAAACATTTACAATATGAATGGTAAAATATTAGAAACTGTTGCATATTTTATTATTATTTTTATTTGAAAATTAGTTTATAAAATAATTTAAATTATTTTAGAAAGAATATTTTATGAATGCTTTTCGTAGTAATACATAGGTCTGTCACACTAAGTTTAAAAAAAAATATATATTTTTATTTTAATTAAAGAATTGAGTTATAATAAATTAAAAAAAAATACATAATTAATAAAATTTTGATTGTGATATTGTAATAATACATTTTACAAAAGAAAAATTTAAATAAAAATTAGCTTGATATAAAAATCTATTTATTTAACTTTAAGAAAACTTTTATATGTAATTATTAATAATAGTAGATTAAAATTAAATAAACAACTTTATATTAAAAATATTTCTGAATTATGCTATCTAAGCTATAAATTATATGTATTTTATAAATTTTAGTTTTGAATTTCAGAAGCTTAGCGATTCAATATTTATCTATATTTAATATTTCTTTACTTTCTCTGTTTATTAATCTTACTAAAAAATGATAAATTGTTATTTTAATTTTACATTTAAATATTAGTTTCTTATTCAGCAATAATTAATGAAAATGAAATATAATCATCTTAAACTCTTTTAAAATTAGTAATTGAATACAAAGTATTTCTAAATAAGCAGTATAGTAGTATATAAATAAGTATTTATTTATAAAATAATTATAATTTAGTTAGTAATTATTGAATCGATTATTTTACAAAATTTAGTCAGTTATTATTATTATTATTATTATTATTTATTAATTATATATTTGGTATTTTTTGAGATAGTAAATGCGTCCACTCATTTAAATTTATCCATTTATCTGAATTAGTAGAAAAATCAAAATATATTGCATGTGCCGCAAGATTTTTTTTATTATGAAATCAGTTTAATAGGCTTAATACAGTTTATTTATCTAATTAAATTCGCAAATTCTTCATAAATTATAAAGTAAGATACATCAGTCTTCCATGAATATATTTTAGAGTGTATTTCAGGATTACTTCTATCTAAATCTAAATTTAACAAAATAATATTTATAAACATTTCACTATTAATTATCATTATTAATTTTTTACTTAAATCTGAATATATTTATTATATTAGTTTGTCTACATTTTCTCTAGGAATCGCATTTACTTATTTATCTAAGCAAGCGTTCCAAATTTTTTATGTTCTGATGATCAACTTGTCATCCATACAATCAATTATACTATCAAAAATTTAATAAAATTAAACATTAATCGCTTTGAAAATATAAAATATATATTTATTTACCTCTCAGGACTTATTTCTATGCTTTCTCTCTTGTAAATTTCCCCAATATCTTTTTTGTACTCAGTCAAGTAAGCAACTAAAACTGAAGAGTTTACATACTTCTACTTCTCAAACAAAATAAATCTTTCTGTATTACTAATTTTACGATCTTTATTTAAAAATAATTTTATTAATTTAGTTTATGATTGCTTTTAATTTTTTCTTACGTTCCTTATAAACGGAAAAGAAGTATTCTAGACAAAAAACATATCTTATCGGATTTAACACATGGAGATCAGCAGTTGGATTTAAGTGATGCGAGATAAGTACAGCTTCTTAAATTACAGCTATTTGTTGAGCATTTAACTCTATTGGTTTCAGTTAAATAGAGTCAGTTGTTTTCATTGATTAAAATTTGTTTATTGACATTTCTTGATAAATTTTTAAAGATTTTATATAATTTTTGACTTTTTTTGTTATTTTTTTAATAAATGTTTATATATTAAAATTTGCATACTGTTTCCCTTTTGTAAGCCATTTGTTATTCAAATAGGTTTTATATTAGAGACTTTATTTATCATTAAAAATTTTGTGAAATTCTGAGAAAATTAAAAATTTTTATTTTATGTATTAGAGAACATTAATTTCTTTCCAAGAGTGTTTGATATTTGTTATATTGAATAGTGAATACTAAACATAAAAGTGAATAAATATTTTAACTATGATCACTTAAAATTGATCAATCATTTTTATTTGGTATATTTAGTATTTAAGTAGAATAAGAATAAATTCTTCTTCTTACTTTTCAACTCATTACATTCTTATCAGTGTAAGATAAAAGCATTCAAATATATAAATTTTGTTAGCCTAAAATTACATTAAAAATTTTTTAATTTACAATAAAGAGATTTACATTTTCTTTGAAAAATTCTAATAGAATAATTGTAATTTGATATTGTTAATTAATTTTATATCATTGACTTTATCTTGGTTAATAATTTTAAAACTCCATTTCCAGTTTTAAAAAAGTACAAATCCATAATTTTTTGAAGTCATAATATAAAAATATTTGATCTAACATTGAAATTTTATTGAAAAAAGTAAGAAAATCAAGAAATACCGTTCAAAGTTGTATCATAACCATCAATACCTAAGGATAAAACTTAAGTATTACCATTGAATGATATTAGTTTTAAAAAGAGAGATCATTCTTTTTTTGAATTAAATTAGCTAAATAGATTTTTTTTTTTTACTAAACACACACAGAGTATCATTGAATTACTAGATTTAAAATCTTAAATTTTAGTTCTGATTATATAAATGTTTAATTTTTTCCATTTTAGGACCATACTCGATTGCTCTGATTACAGTGTAGTAAATTAAAGACGCGCAAATTCAGTTATAGAGTTTATTTGATTTATGAATCTCAACATAGAATTGAGGGTTTTGATATAAAATAGAGAAACCCACTCATTTAAGTAAAAACACTTAATTTAGCTGTCATTAATTTATTTGTTCAGTAAGTTAATAAATTTGTGCTTTTTTTGTTATTTAATTAACGCAAAAATTAATATATTTATAAATTTGATTAAAAATTTATAAATCTGAGTTAATTATAATATAAAAATTATAATTACAATTTTAGTAAGAAAAAATTGATTCCTAATCTAAATTAAATTTGTTTCAGTAAATGCATTTCAATCACTTAGCTAAAATTATTTGATAAAAAAAGTTGAAAATTATCTAATAATAACTTAAATTAAATTTTATAATTTATCATAGATCATTAACTTTATTCAATATTTTAATTTTTCAAATTAATTCTAAATTCATAAAACATTAATAATTAACTTTAAACATCGTTTAAAAAACAAAAAATAATTTAATTTTATTCAAATTCTTGTTTAAAAAATAGAAATCAAAATTTTTGATTTTATTTTTTGAGGTATTCAATCTTAAAAGCTTTAATATTCTTTGTAATATCTCTAATTAATTGTTAAAATACTTTAAAGCAAGTAAGAAGGATTTAGTAAATTTTATTTTTAGGCTGTCATTATGTAAAATTCAAAAATAGATTGTTAAAGTTGAAAATATTTAAAATAAATAGCTAAAGATGAAAACATTAAAAAATCGGATCTACAATATATATATATAATAATATAAATTATACTTTTTAAAAAAGTGTAGTGGTAGTTTGTTATATTTTATTTGTGGATGGATATATATGAACAATTATTTTTATATTGTATTTATAAAATTTGATAATCATTAGAAGGCATAGTATATATCATTATATTCAAATGAATAGAGATAATTACTTGTCTTAATGGCTTTTATTGAAAATTTTGTTTATAACAGTTTTGTTAAAATTAATATAATAAGGTATTTATGATTCTGATTTATTTTGGGTCTTACTCCAAAATATAATTAATTATTCATAATGTCTTTAATTGTAATTGCTTAACAATATCAATAGCTAGTTTAATATTGGTTTATTCTTTCTTTAATAACTCTATAACACACTTCCCCTCACTTTTTAATTATGGTTGAATATTTTCAATTAAATTTTCAGAAAATACTACAAGAACAAGATGCTTTTTTGCTCTTCTTTAAGAGGTGAAATCTACTATTAATTTCACAAATAAGGGAAGCATATTCATTGAAAAAGATATAGAAACTAGTTTTTTGTTTCCATGCATCTACAAATTCCTTGATTTTAGGCATATCAGGATGATTCTTATCAATACCATAGGCTGAAAGAAGCTAAAAAATTGGCAATTCAGCATCATTGCTGCTTATAAATCCCTCTTATTCTTCGTCAAAACTAGACCAAGTTTTTTCAATTTAAATAATTTATTTCTCAGAGAGATTATCTGCTATATCTGATTAGTTATATAATCCCATTGAGCGAAGTTGTAAAGAGGGTTAGAGTTTCTTCATATTCAAAATTATATCAACAACTTTGCGGATTTCATTCATTTATCCATCAATATGATATAATTAAAAGAGTTCTTTATCAAGAAATGAGAAATCTTTTCTAGATACTATTTAAAGATAGAAAATAAATTAATTAATTAATTAAAATTAAGGACTGGATATAAATTTAGGTTGCTGTACTGGAAATTTACTTGTGTTCAAATGCATATAAATTAAATAGTATTTTTTTGATTATATGCTCCAGTTATTGTTATAATATTTAAATTTTTGGGGCGTTGATAGGATTGAAATTGGTACTATGTATTTAAAGTTAAATACACAAATTCAATAGAACAATTTTATAGAAAAATTAATAAAAATTACTCTCAAATACAGAATAGAAGTAGTAGCAGATGAATTTAGCTTCTTCATAGTTAAGACTTTCCTTTTAGGCAGAGTAGTCTCTGCTAATGATGTTCAAGGCTTAGTTGATAGTCTTCTATTCATTGGGAGTAAATTGCTCTGAATAATATTTGTATTTGAAGATTTAAGTTTTTTTTCTTCTTTTAACAATGTTGTCAATTTAAGGATCGACGTATTTGCTCATAATGGTTAGTTAATTGTATATTTGATATAAGTTTCTATTACGTATTTTATGTTTTTTTATATTTTTTTTGTTTTAATTATTAAATTAATTATTATTAATAAACAAATCATTTACTTTCAATCATTTAAATTATCTCGCAATAATTAAATAAATTAATAAATTGCGAAGGGGTGGGAAAGAAAGAAAGAAGTCAAGTAGAAATCAGAATCTAAAAAGAAGCGAGGCTAATTAATCATAGAGATTACAAGTCTTATTAATTGATAAACACAATTTACAATTCAAAAACCTACATTCATTCATAATAAATTAATTAATTAGCTTCGTTTAAATTAAAATTGAATCCAGTGAATTCTAGGATTTTGCACTGAATATGTGATTAAAAATATACTTCAGAATTTAATAAGAGTGGGCTTCTTAATTGATTTGCTTTGATAATCAAATACTTTATTTTATGTAATAATGTTTCTAATAAAGTCGGACCTATAAATGTTTGTTTGTGATATCATTTCACTATGTTGAAACTCTCAAAAAAATGATCCTTAAAAAGAATATCTAAGCATAAAATAGTTAAAAGTTAGATAATTTAGAGAGATATAGTCATATCTAAGCTAAATCCTTCTTTATTGTTTTAAAAAATAAAAAATGTTAATAAACTAGTAGTAGCTTGATATATTTATCTATACTAATTATTTTTACTTATCTTATCTGAAAATAATATTAATTAATTAACAAAGAATCTTTTAAATTATTGAGAGTAAATATGCAATTAAAAATGTAAATATTTTATTTTATTCTTTACAATTTTAAACTATACTTTTATTGTCTTTTTATGATTAATCAATAGTTAAAAAATAAATACATTCAGACTAATTTAAATTTTTTCCCTTCCTAACGCTCGCACAAACATTTGACCATATAAAATTGAATCTCTTTATAATAAATTTAAGGTGAGATATTGTAATATGAATATTTTATCGATTTTTAATACATGAGAACTGTAAGTCTAATTGTAAAAATTACTTTTGTAGACATATTAAATAACCATTTATAAGGATTTGGGTTTTTTTCATGCACCTATTACTAACTCATGTAAACAATAATAAATATCAAGATAAATATTGTTAATAGCATATAATCAGATTAAAGTGGCCAGTTGTGATAATTATGCTAATTTATTTAACTTTTAAAGAAGTTAATAAACTAAAGATGCGTTTGACTTAAAAATTTAAGGGTAGCTATCAAATAATTTATGATTATTTTTTATGTTTGAGTTTTACAATATGTATAAGTTAAAGAGTATTTAATAATAGCGATTGGAAAGACTCTATTTATCAAATAATTGGATGGTAAAATATATCAAAAATTTTAATTTACAGTAAGGAAAAGTTATAGGTCTTTTTATAAATTTTGCTTTCAAGAAGTATCATTTTATGCTAAGTCTGATTTTTAACATCTAAATCATTTTTTTCTCAGCATTACTTTAAATAGAATTACAAAATGACTAAAATAACATTGACTTTAATTTAGAGTAGAAATATTACTATAAAGTTACTAGCATTTTTTAAATAGCTAGTAAAAATGTTAAAATAAATTTCTCTAACTAAATAACTAGAGCAGGCTGGTCCTTTTTTTAATATTCTGAATAATATGAGTAAATTAACTAAAATATGTTTAAGATAAATTAATTTTTATGAAAAAAATAGACAAGAAATAAAGTCTATAAAACATTCTCTTGAAAGTATTCTCTATATAGGCATTTTTTGATGATGTTCAGTAATCATTTTTGAATGTAAAAGTGATCATCTATAAATTATTGGCAGCACAATAAATCCAAGCTGAAAACTATTACTTGAATTTTAAAAAATCTTATGTATAAGTGAGAGTATTAAAAATAGGACAAATCAAAAATAAATGATTAATTATAAAATGTAGTAACAATAAAAGATTACCATCTATTTTTATTATTAAATTGAAAAATTCACTACTACTTTTTAAAACCAATTAAAGTCTTTTATATTAAATATTTGTAATCTCTACCTCTAATTAAATTTCAATAAATACTTACCAACCCTTTTTTCTGTTCAAAATATCAATATTTTACATAATGCCTATTACTAACACTATTAAAAAATTTAACTAACTTTCAAGGAATTCTAAAATTTAAATTTGTTTTATCGATCTTAATATTTGAAAAGTTAATAGTTTTAAGGTAAACATATAAATTACTCTTTCTATCTAGCTTATTACTTAGAGTTATTATAAATAATATATTATTATTATTATTATTCTTGATATTCATCTTTTCATACTTTTTCTTAAATTGCTTTAACATTAAGTTGTAGTAGAACAAAAACATTAGTAATAGGATCCTATATAAATGTATATCCATTAATTAAATGGTGCTGATAATATATTGTTTTATTTTTCTTCAGATTCTTCTTAAAATACTTCTTAAATCTAGATTTATACATTTAGAGTTACTTTGAATAGAAGTTGAGAGTTTATTAAACCCAAAAATTTTAGTAAGAATATTCTACACTATAAAAATATGATTATATTTTGTATTAAACTAGAAAAGGTATATGCAGATAGATAGGGTAGTCAAATATACTCGTTTGAAATTTTTTGAATAAAATTTATCAAAAAAATACTTATGATATTTAAAAAATTGAAATCAAAAATATATTTAGATAATTTAAGTATTTATGAATTGTAAATTAAAAATTTTTTCCCACTTGATTAAGTATTTTAGATTTGTTTATAAATAGTATTGGTAATAACTTGTTTGAAGTATTTGAAATATTTTTCATAAACTAAACCACTCACTAGAATACAACGCTAATAGTATATTTAGAAATTGAAAAAAAGACTTTGTAAAATTATAAAGTGAAAAGCTAAACAAATTAGCTATTTTTAGAAAACTTTAAAAATATGTGCTAAAGAGCTTTAAAATATTTAAATGGAATAAAAAATAATTCTATTTATTGCACAATTATAAAATAAATACAAATGAATTACTTCATTTACAAAATGATAATATTAATCTATTACCTTTATTAACTTTTAATTTTTAAATAAATTTATAAAATATCTACCAAATTTTAAGATACTAGTAGGTCTTAGAAAGAAACAAAATAAATTTGAGAGGTCCAGTTCAATTTTTGATATAGACAAAATTTCTGAACTTTGATGGTAATTATAATTGCTATCATATAGATGTGAAGCATTCTCTTATTTATTTATCTATATTTTAATTAAAAGATGAGATAGATTTTTGAGTAGTTTGAATCACTTTTTACTAAATCATTATTTCATTTTGAAAAAATCTAATCACTTTCTCTTACTATTTAAATCAAATTATGCAATTTTAATTCACCCCAATTTTATTGTATGGTAAATTATTTAATGGTCCAGCAAGTATTATAAAAAATCAAATATAGATAATTCATTTAATAATCTAGATCATTCGAGTGTGATTTTTCTTATAATAGCTCTATCTGTTTCTGATAAAATCAAAAAATAATTAAATTAAATTAATTTATTATTTATTTTCTTTATTCTTTTTCCCATTCTTTCTATTTCTTTGAAAATATTAATATAAATATAAAAACCTTTTTTTCTTCTCAACTATTTAAGGAATAATACACACCAATTTTACAAGTATTTGAGTTTTAATAAAGGAAATGAATTTTTACTACCTCTATCAATAAATTTAAAATAAAAACTATTCAAAATTTTATTCTATGCACTTATAAAACTATCACTTTTGATTTTAAATAACATTTTTTTTAATTTTAAAATTATCTATTTTAAAAATCTTAGAAGCAATTATAGTAGTGAAAATAAAATTGTGAATGGATTTTTAGCTTACTGCGATCTATTCTCAATTACTTTTAAATTTATTCAAGTTCTTACTTTTTGATAAGCTTTAAAATTGATGAAAGTAATTTAATATTGCTGCTTACAAAAAGATTCACTATCATTTTAATATTGATTATTTTCAAGCTGTTATTAACTTTGAGTAAACAACACTTAATTAATTTTTAGAAATTTTCTTTATGGTATTTTTCCTCTTAATTTTATTAAAAGTTCATTCAAGGAAACTCTCTACCATAAGAAGTAACCAAATGCTCTTAATTTATTTCAAAAAATGCAATCTTCCAATATTTCAATTAGCTTCTGACTATTGAATGAACTAAAAATAGATGTTTGTTGAAATCTACTTTTTTAAAATGCCAACATATTTATAATATAAATATAAAAAATTAAATCAGCCAGTTATTTTCCTGCAGCTTAATCTTTGCTTAAGCAATTTATATTTTTTGAATAACTGAATACTTCTTTTGATATTCCCGCATACTTTAGTTTTCAAATTCTTTTTTATATTTTTAAAAATTATTAAAAGTCACTTTTGTATTTAAAAATATTAGATATTAGGTAAGTAAATATAAGATGTAAGAATAGACTGAGAGTGAAAATTTATTTTAAGGAGAGTAGTTAGTTTAGCTAAATGAAGTAAATAATTATTTCAACTTATGCTTTTTTAATTAAAATGATTAATAATACTTTATCGTGTTTTTTGTTTGCATTATCTAAAATTGTATTAATGGTTGATGATTTTTTTTTCTTCCTAAAAGGTTAATAATGCCTCAAAAGAAAATCAATAAGGAATACTTTAAAGTGAATAGCCAAGCTATAAGTAGAAAGAGTATTGGAATGAGCGATACAAGTTTAAATAAACTTATTATGATTGGTATTGTGGATATGAAGAACTAAAACCTGTCTTTGAAAAATGCTATAATATCTCTAAAGACGCAAAAATTTTAATGATTGGTTGCGGAAATTCAAAGCTGAGTGAGGATATGTTTGATGATGGTTATATAAATATTGTTTCTACTGACATATCAGATGTTGTTATTCAGTAGATGAAGGAGTAAACTTAAAAAAAAAATATGATTTTTGAAGTGCAAGACTGTACAAATCTCACCTACTAAGACCAAACATTTGATTTTGTATTTGATAAAGTAATAAAGCAGCTTTATAACAATATCAATTTTGGTATTTTAAGAATTAATAAAATAAAATATTATTAATATAATTTTATATTTTTAATATTTATAGGGAACTTTAGATGCTTTGAGTTGTGATAAAGAAGAATAAAGTGTGAATAAAATGCTATCAGAAATGATGAGAGTCTGTAAACCGCAAGGATCAGTAATCATAGTTAGTTTTGGGTAATTGCATGAAAGAAAAGTTGTTTTTTAAGAAAGTCTAGGCTTTTAAAAGTACTCTTATGAGCTCTGTTAAAAGTATCTCTCTATAGATTCTTAACTAACAAATATTATGCGTCATGTTTCTAATGGTTTGCCTATAAACTTAGTCCTTAAAAACAAAAATTTGCTTTTATAAACTTTAATAGAACTTAGAAGTATTAAGGGTTTACTAAAGAATGAAGTAATCCAAAGCTTAGCTATAGATTGGGAATAAGTGACACAAAAAGAAAATGCTCAAGAATTTTAAATTTAAGATGAATAAAAATTAGAATAAGGTAATGATTGTTTCTAAAATACACAGAATGAAAATACAGCTTAAATATAATAAAATACAAATGAAAAAAATGATATCAATAATTCTGATTAAAATGATTAACTTAGCAACTCAAGCAATAAAATAAATTAGGAAAATAATTTATAATAAAACCTAATTAAGAAAGAAGAATAATCTGAGAAAGTGAATAAAAAATAAGAAGTTATAGATTAAAAATAAGAACAACCATAAGAAAACGAATAAGTAGATAATATACCTTAATAATAAAGTCAACATATTGAAGAAGAGTAAAATAAAAATGACTGTTCATTAAGTGATCAAGAAGAAGAAAGCGATTCAGAAGAAGATAAATAAAAAAAACCAAAATTTAGAAGGTAAACCTAATGTTTTATTTATAGGATAACTCACAAAAACTGAATTAAATTATTTAAAATTATTAATTAAAATATTTATTTTGTTCAATTCTTGTTTTGTTTTGAATTAACTTAAAAAAACTTAGTTGTAATTTTTATAATTTTTAGCCAATAAAATGTAAGTAAAGTGATAAATCTGTTTTATTTAATTGGTTTATCTTAATATCTTATTTAAAGTATATTTGTTTGCCTAAAGCCAATCAATTAAATTCATTTATTTCCTTTATTATTTTAAGATTATTTGATATTTTCTATAATATTTTGAGATTATTATTAAATTACACCTCACAAGACAATACATAAAAGATTCAATTATATTTTTTTTATTATTAATTTTATTTTGGTTGACTTCATTAAATAAAAAAATAAGAAATATTTTATAGAAGATTAAACATTTTAAAATAAGAATACATCTTTTTTTTCAAAAGTATAAATTAATATAAAATATCAGAAAAATGTAAAAATATAAATAATAAAACCAATTAGATAGCAAGTCAAAATAGATTAATAATTTAGATATACTTCAATTTTATCATAAATATGTTTTAAATCACAAGTGCAAACATCTTCTGTGCAAATTCTACAAGTTTCCCCATTTAGAATATAACCTGGAATACACTTAAGACAAACACTTCCTTAGCATTTTTGACAATAATCAGTACAAGGTGTACATCTATTTCCTTTGAAATACATCCCATTTATACACTGCTTGCAGTCAGTTTTCGAATTGCAACTTATGCAGTTAGGAGGGCAAGGTATACATTTGTTTTACTAAAAATAAAATCCCATCTTACAAGTGATACAAACCTTTTAAAAAAAAATGTAATTTCTTGCTTTATAAAAATAAAGATAAAATAATTACCTGGTTTGAAATGCAATTAGCACAGCTGGTAGGGCATTTTGAACAAAATTTAGATATTGGATCTTGATAATATCCTGGTGCACATTGATCACAAGTATTATCAACAGTTCCGCACTTAATGCAAACCCCTAATGGATATGAGCTGCTACCTTCAACTCCTTAACAATTAATGCAGTTGTTACCAATTAGTTGATATCCTTAATTACAACTAATGCACTAGTTACTATTTGAAGACTTGCACTTTTAGCATTTAGAGTTCTTACATTTAGTACATGTCGAAGAACTTGCATCCAAATAATAACCTTAAATACATTACTCACATTAATTTTTAGTTTAAGAACAAATAGAACAATTTTAACTACATTATACACATTAATTATATTAACTTATATACCCAGCATCACATTAAATGCACAAACCAAACTAGTTGCATTAAATACAATTTTTTAAACAAGATTAACATTGATTGTTTTTAAGTGTATAATAATCCAAACATTTAGAACATGTTCCTGCTTAATCATTATTGCAATTTGCACATCCTTCTTAACATTAATTACAAACTTTATTTGGAGAAGGAAGATAATATCCACTTTTACAAGATTAACATTCATTTGATGAAGTGCAATCAATACAACCATCCGGACATTTTTGACATTAAAGAGATGTTTAATCAAGATATGTTCCTTTTTCACATTATTAACAAACATTTTAATTCTAACATTAAATACATCCTTCGGAGCATTTTTAGCAAGTCGAAGTAATTTAGTTCAAATAATAATAAGGTAGGCACAGCATGCAAAAGTTTGTATCGCAACATTAAGAGCACCCTATTTAGCATTTTAAACAAACGCTATAAGATTGTGTTACTTAGTAAAGGTATTCTCCTTATGTGCAATTGGTGCTTTTCTATTATTGTAATCTCAAGCTTTTCTAAAAATTATTTTTTTAAAATACTTATCTTGAATCTATTTATTCATCTTATTTATATTAAAAATTGAAACTTTCATCGAGAACATTTTATGAGTCACATTTAACTTTAAGTATTTGGAAAAAAAGCAAGGTGTAAAGAGTTTTTAATATTTTATTCCTATTCATTTAGAATATTGCTCAATAATTTTTTTTTTGATTTAAAGTTTTTAATTCTAAATTCAGGTAATCAAAATATTTATATTACTTTTATTAATATCCTTAATATTGAAAATTATATCTTAGTACTCAATAAATTCTTTGATTACCTAATTAAAACCAAAACACATTTTATTTATTCTGAAGATAACAAATACAGGTTAATTTAAGCAGTAACCTTCATAAATACTTTAGAAAAAGCTAAATTAAAAAAATATATATTTTAATTAAAAATCTATTCTGAAAAATCATTATTGGTTAATCTTAGTAAATAAATAAATTATATAAATATCTAACATTTTTGTAATTTAAATGGTTTTTTAATCTTTATTTAAAACCTTTTTTTATTGAGGAAACAAAACATACAAAACTATAAGCTAATCATTTATTTTTAATTTAAAAATTAGTTGGTTGATATTATTATTTATTTTTTTTTAATTTAAGAAATATTTTAAGATAATTTAAATTTTTTGACATTAATTATTATGTTTTTAACAGTAAATTTGTTTTGTTTAAATTTCAAGCTATTAATAAAAAATAAATTGGCTTTTACTTAAAAAATGAATGTGTTAAAAATTATAGCTTTAAATTAATTTTAATTTAATTCTTTATAAAATATTGAATTTTAAGAAATATTTAAAGAAATAAAAGCATGATAGAGTTGTTATTTTTGTAAATATAAATTTTTAAAAGAAAGAAAATTAAAACGATGAAATATATTCAAAAGATTATTTTTGAATATGGATGGTGAATAATAATGAAAATTTAATTTTGATTGAGTTGATTGTTAATATAAAAATATAGTTTTGAAAACAAAAAAGTTATAAATTTTGAGAGTTTGTTTTTTGTTTTGGTTTTGAAAATAAATAAATAAATGATAAGGGTAATAAAGATAATAAATAAATAAGGAAGGATTTATTGAAAATGAATGAAAAAATAATAGAGTAAATAAAATGAATGAAAATGATTAAAAAATTAGAATAAATAATATAACTTTATTTGGAATGATGAAGAAATAATAATAGTTATATATATTTGCTTGAAGAAAGGAATTGTAAAACCCCTGTTAGTGAATAAAAGATTAATAAAAGAGAAAAGTAATAAATAAAAAATCAATACAAATAGTCAAACAATATCCTTCGTTAAAAGAAAGAATACCTTATCTATCTTAAACAGTTAGCAGTTTGAAAATGTCAACAATAGGAAAATCTCAAGTTTCATAGTCAAAGACTGGCAATAATCCCTTAGTCAAGTAGACTATTTCAAAGGCTGAAGCAATTCAATAAAGAGAGCAATTACGTCAAAAAGTTTTATCAATTTTCTTGAAAGATTATGCCAAAAACAGTAAATCTCTTTAGACCGCTATTGAATAAGAAGTTGATAACTTCTTTAAGCACGAAAAAGTTAACGAATCTTCCTTGAAGGATTTAAAGGCTAGAGTGTAAGCATTAGCTTTAGGAAAAGCTCCATCTTCAGTAGGAGCAAAATCAGTTAATTAAAATGCCCATGCAGACGATAACAAATCAGTTCGCAGTTAAGTTTCTTAAAAATCTCATGTCAGTGGAGTTTCCCAAAAGTAATTTATTTTTTTTTTCTTAATCTTAAATAAGAGCATAAGAAATAGAAAATTCAAGCAAAGAAAACACTTAATGCTATTAATGGAAGCTTTAAAACCTTATTTAAGAATAAAATTGAATTAGTTGGATTTGTTTTATGACAAAAAATTAATTATTTTACTTTTTATATTTAAAGGAATCAACAATAAAATCACAATCAATATTAACAACAACATGATAATGTATCCCATAGAGATGAAGATGGCCTAAGTGTAACCAGCTCTAAGGCTCCTTAAAGTGTTTACTACTTAGAAGGTGATGAAGATGATGAATGGGCTGCTATTGTCAAATTTGACACTGAACTTTTTAAGAAAGAGTAAGAATTAGAAAAGCAAAGAAATGCTGAATTCAAAAAGAAGATGAGAAATGAATTAGACAAGCAACTTGCTGAAAAAGGGTCTAGAAAATAACATGAAAGAGTTGAGAACGATGCTTACGTAGATCTTTAAAACCATCAATTAAATGTTTATGATGAACGTGAGAAGTAAAAGGAATAGGAAAAGCAAGCCAAGATCATGAATGAAAAGCGTCAAAGAGATAAATAGGTAAAATAAATAAAACGTTTAAGATTCTATTAAGATAATTAAAAAAAATATAATTGAAAATAAAAAATAATATAACCAGATATAAATAGTTAAATAAGACAATCCTTTAAAGAAATCAAACAAAAAATTCACCCATTTTCAAATCATAAATTATTATAAAAATAAGAAAATTATTTTTTTAAAAAGACATTTCAGATAAATTAATATTTATTTTTTCATTTTTATTGAAAAGGTCTAAGATGAAAACCTCAGAAGAAAGCTTGAAAAGAAAAGAGAAAAGGAACTCGATGCTATGCTTGTTGCTAAAATCAAGGAAGAAAAAGAAATTGAAGAAAGGGAAATATTAAATAAAAAATTAAAAGAAAAAGAGAGACTTGCTTAAATGATGAAGGAAAACGAGGATTATAGAATAAAATCTGAAAAAGAAGCAAGAGATGTAATAATTTAAAAATTCATAAAATAATTCTTAAAAATATTAAAGAATTGATGATTAAATGTTATTTTTTTATGTAAAGGAAAAAGCCAATGACATTAGACTTTAACAAGAGTACACAAGATTAACTGAAGAAATGGAAGCAAATAGAGAAAGAGAAAAGAAAAACAGAGAAGATAAGATTAAAAAAATCATGAGTGCTTTCGCTGACACTGTTGTCAAAGATTAGAAGGCCATTATTAGAGAAGAAGATGAAAAAATGATGCGCCATATCATAGATTAAGAAGAGAAAGATCGTCAAGAAGAACAAAGAAGACAAGAAAACCTCCGTAAACAAAAGCAAGATATGAGAAATTTCTTAAACAAGCAAATAGATGAAAAGAATGACAGAAAAGTTCAAGAAGACCAAATAAATAAAAAGTAAGCTGAAATTTGGGCTAAAGATAGAGAAAACTACATGGAACACGAATAAACTAAATAAACCTATATTAAATCTGTTAATAAGAAGCACCAGGATATTTTAAAGCAATAGATGGATGAAAAACATAATCCTAAAAAGGGAAAAATGAATGTTAATGAATTATTACAAAATAAATAATTATTCGAAGAAATAGCACAAAAGAATGATAGAATCTAACTTAAGAAAGCTGATCCTTCTGCTATTAAGCGTTGAAGTTCCAACAAACAAACAAAAAAAACAAAAATACAATCATAACAAATAACAATTAAAATTATCATACTTTTATTTTTTTTAAATTTTTTTTCATTAAGGTAGAAAGAAATTTAAAATTTATAATCATAGGTTTTTATCAACAAACTAAAAATAATCAATTTTATATTATCACTTTAAGATTTTAATTTTATGTTTTGCATGTTTTGATGAAAAACTTGTATGTACACCTTACTTACCAGCTACACTTTAATATATATCCTTAAGCTTATTTATAACAAATATTCTTTAGTTTACATCTTAACTATTTTTAAATTAATTTAAAATAAAAATATTATTATAGCTAAATCTCATTTTATTTTAAAAGAAAATTTTAAATTAATTGTGACAGAATTATTTAATTTAAATTATTAACTCAACATCAAGATCTTCAGTAATAATTTAATATTTTGAGTTTATTATTTTATTAAAAATAAGAAGTAAATAAATATAGAATATTAATTGTATTTAAGCAACTTTGAAGCTAGCTACTTATCAGCTTTTTTCTTTGATTGGATTGTGCAGTAGATTTGTTAAGAAAATTATTTTTCTTTTCTTATTTTATTTTAAATTCTAATTACCATTATATGAATTACTAATAAAAATAAGAAGTAAATAAATATAGAATATTAATTGTATTTAAGCAACTTTGAAGCTAGCTCTTTATCAGATTTTTTCTTTGATTGGATTGTGCAGTAGATTTGTTAAGAAAATTATTTTTCTTTTCTTATTTTATTTTAAATTCTAATTACCATTATATGAATTACTAAATAAAAATAATAAAAAAAACTTTTTTATTTAATTTTTAGTGTTTAATATAAACAACTTTTAAGCTAGCTTATCAGCTTTTTACTTTGGATTGTGCAATAGATTTGTTAAGAAAATTATTTTTCTATTAATATATTGTTTTAAATTCTAATTACCATATATGAATTACTAAATAAAAATATTAATAAATACTTGTCCATTTAAATATGTTTAGAGTAATGTGAGGTTTTGAAGCATTGATTTAAGTTAAGAGTATTTGATAAAATATAAAGTTATGATATAAAATAAGTAAGGTATGTGTATAAATTTTGATTTATATAATAATTATTAAATATTAAATATCTATTTATTAAAATATATATTTATTTTTTATTTTCTTTAAATCTTTTTTATTTAAATTTAATTAAAATATTTTTCATTGGCAAAATGTTTAGGTTTCTTCTAAGCAAAGTTTTTTCATCCCTTGATTTATCTCTTTATGTTCTAAATTTTCTGCATTTACTTAAATTTATCTTAAAGATTTTATTGATTAGTTTTAATTTTCTATTTCCATGTTCTTTATTGTTTCATCTTTTTCACGTAATTATTAGACCAGCTTTTGGACTATTTCAAAAAGAGCTTCGGGATTTTATTTTTATTTATTTGCCTCTTTTAGTATTGAATTTAAATTTTTATTTTCTTCAATAGACTATATTTCATCTTTCATTGTGGTTAAAGAACTGCTGATAATTCCTAATTATAATGGTTACTAATAACATGAAGTGTTTTGCTAAATAATTATGTCTTCTAAGGAATTTGTTTTAGCATTTTCTATTGATATTTGATGAACAAGTTTAATGTTCTCATTAGAAAGAGTTTCTCCATTTTATTATTATTTTTCATCAGTTTAAAGATCAGAATTTAACACTTCTTTTGGATTTTAGGCTTAATATATTTTACTGAAATAACTTTTTTAAATTTCTGTATATTTGAAAGAATGGTGATCCTTTTCTAAATCAGATTTAGGGACAATATTAGATTTAGATAGATTATCTAGGTCATTTAGACTGTTCTCAAGGTTATTTTATGTCACAGAAGTAACTGATTTATTATCAAATTTATGATCATCTTCATTTGTTTGTTCATCAAGAATTTTATCTAAGTATTAAATTAAAAATACTGTAAAATAATGAAAAATTTAATAATCTAGGTAATATATTGATTATTTGATTGATTGATAAAGGACTAACAATAAAGATAAAAAATAATCTAAACAAGTAGAAAACACTCAATTAATGAATCAATGAATGATATTTTGTTCGTTTACAAATCTTGCCTGATAAAATAAGAGTAAAAATTTGATTGATTTATAATCCATTTGATTTTAATAATAACTTTGAAATAAAAATTCTTTGATTGCATATTTGTTTGTTTGTATACATGATAGTATTATAATAATAATTTATATATTTATCAATCAGTCTTGCAAACAAATTTCTTTTAAGAATATAAATTAATGATTGAAAAACTTACCTAACATAGAGCATCCATAGTTTTATTTATGGACAGACTCAAGGGTTAATTCGTCTAAATTTTCTATTTCTTCTTCTTTCTCTGAAATATTTAACTAATCATCCTCATTTTCGTTATTTCCAAAATCAAAAATCTTTTGATTAATTATATGATTTTTTTCTTCTTTCATTTATTCTTGATGGGTTGCAATTAAATCTTCATTTGTGATGCGAATATCGTCTGAATTATGTAGCTACTCAAGCTCAAAGTGATTAAATTAATCATTTTAGCAATTTTCATTTTGAAATACTTCATGGCTTTAAGTACTTTACTTTTAAAAGCGCTTAATATTTCTTTTCTATTTCTTCTAGCACTTATCTTCTATTTGTTTTTTTTTATTTGGGTTGTTAAAATGATTATTTATAGAAGATTGATAAGATCCAGAGCGAGCTCTGAACTGGTAATCAGTAGAGTCATCACATGTACTAGCAGAGGAGTTGAAAGATTGCTTTCTAAGTTTATTTTTAATCTAGTGTACATGATTGTGGTTGTAGCTATTGTTATTGTAGAAGTTGAACTACTTGTGATTGTGATTGCTACAAAAATTATTATTTTTAGTAAAAAAATTGATAAATGGGCCTTTTTGATATTGATGAGAGTTATTGAATGTCTAAAAGCTTCTACTTTACTATCTAATAATGTTATTATCTTAGTAAAGAGAGTCTGTATCAAATAAAGGTGTATTTGGTGTTGTGTTAGAATCAACTGAAAATGTCGAGCTTTACTGTTGTAGTTTTAATTGAGGGAATGCTTATATTTATTCTATTTAGTTAAAATTGATAGAACGTTTTGGCTAAGATGATTGACACTAAGGCTAAAGATTGATCTGATTAAGCTCAGGAGAACAACCAAAATTCATCCCCTATTAATGGTACTTTTAATAACTGTTTATTTGAGGTGAGTGAAAAAATGGCTTTGCCTGTGGGAATATATCATAAGCATTGTTGTAGGCACCCGATATTGATTCAGAAGCCATAGAGGTGAGCTATATAGTTTGATTTTATGAAGCTTATTAAGGAGTTTTGTTTAAGTTATTGTATATCTCTTTGTTGTTTTGGTAATATTAGTATTAATGTTATGTACTGAGCGCTGATTTCGATTTGCAGTCTTATAATAATTTCTATTAAGGTTAATACTACTCTATGATTATATTGATAGAGCTCCCCATATTCATAGTCAATTAATTATTACTCATGTTTTTATTATCTTTAGGAAGGTGAAGTGGACTGAGTTGATAATCTAAATAATTTATTTTTTTTTCCATGCTTTGTTTTTTATCTCAATTTATTATTAAAATTTCTGATTATTTTGCATAATTCTTCTTTCTTATTAAAAGCCATTTATAAAAGCAATGAATTTGCTTTAACAATCCCAAAAAAAACATCATGCATACATGCATGCATGCTGGTTGATTTGCATGCATATAAATCCTGATTTGCTTCATATTTTATATTTAAGAAATAGTATTATTATATTCATTTAAAATATCTTTTGAATAAATTTGTGAGTAGAGAGAGAGAGAGACATTGTTTTAATATTAGATAATAATTATAATAATTTATTTCAATATACCCACTCTACCATATTCATTTTTGTTAATATTTAAATTTATTATAAAAATCAAAATGACTCATTAAATATAAAAAATTACTCTCTCTTTATAAAAGACTTATTTAAATTATTTAATTTCTAAAATGAGAGTAAAAATATATATTTTTTTTTGTTAGTTTTTATAATTTTAGTTGTTTATAATATATTAATTTATGAAGAATTCATTTTTTAAATAAATACAAAATATTTATTAGCTTATAGAATAGACAAGATTCCTTTTCTGTATCTTTTAATAGTAACTAATATTCAGTAATAATATATATAAAATAATATAGCTAATATTATTTTAGAGATTTGGTATTCTAAATATAAAAAGTAAATTCAAACTAATTTGAATTGGTTGTAGTGGCATAATTAACCGTTAGAGTAAACTTAGCCAATTTCTAGATATTTAATGTTTTCTACCTAAACCTTCTATATATGATATAAAAAAAATCTATAAAACAATTTGAAGATTTAGAAAAACAACGGATTTGTTTTTCTTAGCCTTAATTGAAATAATAGAATAGTTTATTTTAAATTAAAATTCTTATTAGTTTATTTATTTTTAAGTCTTTTAAGTTCTATTTAATAAGTAGTTTTATTCTTTCATTTTAGAAATGCTTTTACTCTAATTTTTTAATTTTTTACAATTTATTAAGAAGGTTAAAATAAGTTAAGATTGTATTCAAATTATTTTAAAATTATCCCTTTAAAATAATTTAAAATATAATTATAAAACCAATAAATTTTATTAAAATGATTATTTTTATCTTATAGAAATTAAAATTTTTAAAATAAAATATTTAAAAATCCATTGAACTTCAACAATATCTCTTAAACATTTACATTAACTTTTATATTAAAAAATTTAATTAATACAGAATTATAAAGGTTATTAAACACTAAATATATAATTGTTTACAAATTAACTTAAAATAAAATATGAAATATCTATTATAATATTCTTATTACAATTTGTGTTTTCAAAATTAAATTTTTTGTGCTTATTAAAATTCCTAAATGAAAAATAAGCTTTTAAAGTGCTCGAATTAGATATCTGTTCTATTTTATAAAGTATATCACAATATGTTTTATTAAGAAAAAATAAATATATTTCTATTAAAACTCTTTTAATGCCTATTTTATTTATTGTAAATTTATAGAGATAAATATTTGGAGATTTTTAAGTAAATATATAATTCTAATTTTAGTTAATTTATTAAATATTTATTTATTATATTTAAATAAAAGTAACAATTTCTTGTTTAAGTATAAGATTAATTGATTTTGTCACTATTAAAAAATGAAGAAAAAAATTCAAATAAATTCTAGATTTAATACCAAATTTGTTAATATGCAAAAGCGAAATTTTTTAATGGTAAATTTTAATATTTTTATAAAATAAAAACTTATTTCCTTTATTTAGAAGTTGTTTAATGTTTAATGTTTAAAGATAAAATAGATATAGATTTTAATTTTCTATTTTTAACTTCTAAATAAAAACTTACTCTGTTTAATGCACTTTGTTAGAAATAGATAAATAAGTTAACTCTAGTTGGGATCATTAGTGCTCTTAATTAGTATCTTAGTATATTAAACTTGCTCATGAAATAATTAAATTCTCATTTTTTGCAAATAAGATATTAAATAAGTAATAATAATTGCAAAATATACTTTAATTAATTTAATAGTTTTTGATAAAAAATTTAAAGAATGTTTGTCTAAGAGACATTTCAAAAGGTTGATATAACTATTTCTTGCCGTAGTTTAAAAGATGCAGATGTTTTTTCCAAGAGTGATCCATTAGTTGTTGTTAGAATGAAGAATACACAAAATGGAAGCTGGTATGAAATAGGAAGGACTGAGACAATTTAAAATAATTTAAATCCAAATTTTAAACGCAGTTTGCAATTAGATTATATGTTTGAATAAAAGCAAGAATTACACCTATAGGTTTTAGATAGTGACGGAAGCAGCTTTGATCACTTAGGAGAAGCATTTACTACATTAGGAGCTATTGTAGGAGCAAAAAATAACACTTTAATCTTAGATTTAACAGATTAAAAGACTAAAAAAAAAATTAATAAATCTAAAATTATTCTCATCGCTGAAAAAATAAACGATTGCAATAATGTAATTTTTACATAGTGGAGAGGAGTAAAATTAATGAATACTGATGGATGGTTTGATAAGAGTGATCCTTTCTTAAGATTCAAAAGAATAAGAGAAGACAACACAGAAGTTTTAATTCATGAAACAGAAAAAATTATGGATAACTTGAACCCAATCTGGAAGCCTTTTGAATTGCCTTTAAATAGACTCTGTAATGGAGATCATTTAAGGCCCATCAAAGTAGAATGCTGGGATTGGGAAAAAAGCTAGAAGCATTAATTTATTGGAGAATTTACTTTTACAATTGACTAGCTAAATAGCGGAAAAAAGGAGTTCGATCTAAAAAATCCTAAATCAAAAAAACCTGGAAAAATAGAATTAACAAGTTACAGGTTTATAGAAAGACCAAGCTTTTTAGAATACATCAGAGGTAATACTTAGCTCAATTTAGTTGTGTGTGTAGATTTCACAGCTTCAAATGGCGCAGTGAGCACTCCTTAATCGTAATATTATTTTTAAATTTAGAATTTATTTTTCTTTACTTTAGATGATATTTATCCATATCTAATAATCATTAAATACATTAAAATTATGTAAAAAATAATCTGTTAATATCTTAGATAAAATTTAATTTCTTTAAGCGAATTAACAAATTAAAAAACGCAAAATTTATTAATATTTTTTAGTAATTCAATTAAGCAAAAGATTAAAAATACACAAGCTCAAACTTTATTTAAAATAATTTTTGATTGATTCTTATGTAAATTTATTTTTTTCTATTAAAAGCCTTCATTATTAAAACCCATAAGTCATGAATGCCTACTAGCAAGCTATATACTCTGTAGGGGAAATTCTTTTAGATTATGATTTTGATAAAAAAGTTCCATGCTATGGGTTTGGTGGTGTTCCAAGATATCCAACTTTAACTTTTCCAAGTGCTTAACATTGCTTCCCCATGAGCGGAAATCCACAAAATAGTGAAGCTTTCGGATTAGGTGAAATCATGAATTTATATAATTATTCTTTGCAGCATGTCAGCTTAAGCGGTCCAACATTGTTTAATCCCATTCTTCAAGAAACAATTTAGATAGCTTAAATGTGTAAAAATTAAGGTTCAATTGTCTATACTATCATGCTAATATTAACTGATGGTGAAATCCATGATATGAATGAAACTATTGATTCACTTGTCTATGCCTCCAATCTTCCTCTATCTGTAATTATTGTAGGTATTGGTAATGCAGATTTTGCAAATATGGAGCGTTTGGATGGAGACGATAGTGGTTTAGTTAACTCAAAAGGATAAAGGGCTACTCGTGATATTGTGTAATTTGTCCCTTTTAGAAACTACAAAGGAAATGGATAAGCCCTCTGCAAAGAAGTTCTTGCAGAAATTCCATAATAACTAGTATCTTATATGACCTAAATGGGTATAAGACCATAACCAGCACCAGCAATAAACTAAACTTAAATTCATATGAATCAAAGTGCATATCCATAAAACAATATGCAATAATAACCACTATAAAATTTGGCCTAAAATATGAATGCATTCCTTTAGCCTCACATATAGTCAGTCGAGTAATAGCAGCAAATTATGTAATTGACAGGTTAAAACTTTTAGTATCCTCCACCTCCTCCAGCAAATGACTAATAACAATATGGTTAATATCCTGTACTTAACAATTAACCAAATTAGTAACCAAATCTACAATATCAATAACCACCATAACACGCTTAGTAATAAGGGATAATGTCTCAATCTATGAATTACAATAACCCTAACATAAATCAAGGACTTCCTCCTTAAAATATGATGAATTATACTATGCAACACAAACCAAATTGAATTAAAGCATTATTAAGTTTAAACTAAATAAATAAATAAATGCATACATGTTTTTTAATGTAAAATGTAAATTATAAAAGGCAAACAAAGATTTTTAATATAATATTCTATTATTTTATTGGTTGAAAAAACTTTTTGATATGAAATTAAAATGTAATTTTCTCTCAACTCAAATTTATTATTACTTTTAAATGTTTATTTTATTTTACTCTGCAAAAAACTCTACTTCAATTAAATCTGGTTCATTTCTTATTTTATTAGGACCAAGAAGAAGACAAATTTCATTTAACCTTTAAAACATTTTTTCAGAAAGCTAAGAAAAGCTGCAAGGATCATCTGAGCTTTTTATATCATAAATATCGTCTAAGCTGTAAAGAGCTTCAGGTTGAAAGTAAGTCAATTTTTTGCTTAGAGTCATTTTTACACAAGGTTTGATTAATATTTTGAGAGATTTATATAAACTTTATTAATTTAAGCAGATTTCTATTTCAACATTTTTTTCTTTAAAAATGCTAAGGACCCCTATTAGCACATACTAGATCATATTCTCATTGTTACATATAAAATACTCTAGATTTTGGGTTTCTTCAGTTAAATGAGAGTCTATTTCTCGCTTCATTTTTTCTTCAGCAACTCCTAAATTTTCAAATAACTCACAAAGTTATTTTTAAGAAGTTGATAAAGTTTCATTTTTTCTATTTGAAGAGTAAAAAATAGCATTTGCTTAATTTTGTAAGTTATTTTGATCTGCTGTTTTTGTTAATATCTCTTTTTCCTCTGTATAATTATTGTTATTGGTTAATTAAGTATTCAGTCTACATCTAGGTGAACTTAATTAGGTATATATAGAGTCAAGACGCTCTTTGTAACATGATTGCTAATAATTGGTTGTTGGGGAGTCAGAAACGAGGACTTTTTCTCTTAACCCTTATTCATAGTTACCTATAATATTACAAAATGTATTTACTTTCTCTAGTGTTCTGCATTCTTAAGAAAAAGGAATTGTATGAGATAAAGTTCTTTTTGCTCCTCTTTTTTATGTTAAAATGTTTTTTATCATGATATTATGAAGATTATTATTAGATTAATTATTGTTATTATGATTCTAATCTCCTTCATTATCCTTATCTTGGTAATTATCTATATCATTATTTATGAGAATGTTAGAATTACTAAATTCTACTTCATTCATATCACTAAAAGGGTCTAAGTTTATTTATTTTTTACTGAGAATGGTGTCTTTTTCTTTTTGATGTCCAAAAATGCTCTATTTGTTTATATATTGCTTATTTGAGTTGTTTTTTTAATTATTTTTATTGATTAAGTATTATTAGTTTAAGTGATTATAAATTACTCCATTTATTTAATCTTTCTATTTTTGTGAAGGGACTAGATTAACTTAATTTAGTAACTTTAATTAAGCAACATCAGAATTATTCATTGACATATTTGGTTTTTTAATTTATAAATAAGTTAGTTCAATGTCTTTCTAATTCTCAATTCCACATTGAAGAGAACTATTTGTATGACTTCTTATAAATTTCTGAGGAGTGCTTTTTTTATCTTATTATTATTGCTTTTTTTCTACAATAGTAGGTTAAGTGATTTCTCTCTTATAATTAACTTGTTTAATGCAAGGAAAGATTTTTTTAATATCTTCAATCAAATTGCATATTGAAAAAGTATTGAATGTAATTTTTAAAGGGTCAATTTTAGTGAAAGCCCTTATAATATGTGAAATATAAATGATTTCTTTTTTTAGTTTGGGTTATTCAAAGGAAATATCATTGTAAATATCATCTATTTTTGACTTTAACTTAACATAAGAGAGTGAGTTAAGGATAATATTTTATTTTATATGCTTCATTTTCTAATGATACAATGACACAAAGGTGATGTCTTCCATTGAAATGGCAAGTAGAGGTTCTTATAGCATAAGTGGAACAATACATACTTTAAAGTATTATTTTTGATTTAATTTTTCATCAAAATAAGAAACTTCGACATGCTCATTTGTTTATTAGCCCTGCTTTTTTTCTGCAAATGATTGCTACTTTTCGTTTACAGATAATTTTTTAGAGTTATTTCTGCTAAATTTCCTTAATTTTTTTCCAATATCAATCTTGCTTTAATTAGCAATACTTGTCCTTGAGGGGTTTGTATCTATTTTAAAGCTTTAAACTTTCTGTGCTGATTAGTTTTCTTTTGAAAACGATTTAGTTTTGTTCAAGTTAAATGTAATATTTGAATTTTTATTTTCTTCGTTGTAGTTCTCAAATAGCAAAGCATGCTTATCCAATAAATAATCATATAGGGTAGGTGTTTCAGTGTAAGGAAAGGAAATAGGTTTTATTTTACCTCTATTAATGATATTTTCTATGTGTAACTGTTTCAAAATTTACACATATTTCTCATTAAAATTTGATTTTTTAAGATCTCTCTTTTCAGCTACTTTCATAAATTCTGCTTAGAACTTTTTGCTTGAATCTATTTATTTTAAATAAAAATATTTACTCTAAAATTTAAAAAATATTTTAATCTTTTTCATTTTGCTACTTTTAAATCTTGAAAATAAAAAAAAATCTTCCATGTTTAAGTTTATTAAGAAAAATATTTAAAAATGTTATTAGTAAGTCTATGGTTAATTATATTGATATAAGTTAAATAGATCAATATATTTTATAATTAAAAATATACTTTGATATATAGATTAAGTTTAAAATAAAGGATTTATGTAATTTGAGTGGTGAGTAAAAAGAGGTAAAGAAACTTATAAGTCTTAAAATCTAATTAAATTTTACCATAAAGTTGTATCTAATGTGTCCTATAAACAAAGCTCTAAATAATAAAATGAGCAGGTACAGTTTTTTCAACAACAATCTGCCATCTTTCAAAGTTTTTTAAAACTAGAAATAGGAGTCTTTCTTACTTGACATGCTAGTATCTATAGGCAATCAAAAATACTCCTAAAATGCAAAAGTAAATAATAAAAGCTAAATCGATGCTAAGTAGAGTTATAGGAAAAGCTAAGCAAGTAATTATTGCAGTAGATTCCATTAATATATTTTAATATTCTACCAAAATAATCATCATAAAAGACTTTAGTTTATACAAAAATAAATTAATAATTCAAGTTGGATTAGAGTATAAAATATTTGATAATATACAGCTCCATTAACAAGTGCCTTCCAATTTTCAATTGTATTTAATATAGCTGAAGTAATTTAGTAAGAAGTGAATACTTAAAAGGAGAAAACAATAAGAAATCTGAATCTGTAAGGCAAATAATGCAAGCCAAGAAAAAATCCTATTCCTACTCCGCCTGTTATATATATTCCTGTTATATTTAGATCTGAAAACTAGCTTATGATGCTCCATATTATGTATAAAACAGCAAGCATTTTAGCAAGCCTAAACTATTTAAATAAGTAAAAGATTGAGTAAAAAATAAATTAAGAATATACTCTAAATTTAATATAATTAATTTTAAGTTATAAATTTACATTCTGCTTGTGCTCCATAAAGTCTTTTTCAAGCAAGGAGTTCTTAAATTATAAAATATATTTGTTTAAGTCTTTTTTTTTGTAGTACTTCATAATCAACCACTTTCCAAAAAATTAATATGCGATAAATAATAGGTATTGATTTTTTAATTAATATATCAATTAAAAAGGAAAAAAATTTTGAGATTAAAAGTTATTTATAGAAGTAGAATTTTTGGTTTATTAAAAATAGATTCTGAAAAATAATAATCTTTTAATTAAAAATTGCTTAAATAAGTGTTTAGCTGTAATTTAATAAATAAGCATTTCTTCACATTTCTTTATTTTATAATTCCTTGAAAAAAATATATAATTAAATGCGTTTATTCATAGAAATATATTAATTAAGTTCATAATTAATGTAATGCATTTTTACATAAAATATCTTCCTTATAAAATTTAGTTTATTTGGATATTCATTTTATTTTGTATTAAATAAATTATTTTATTATTAAAAAAATAGATTATTTTTAGATTGAAATAATTTATTTTTTCAAATCTGATTGTAGATTTTTTGATCCATTCAATAAAGTAATAATTAACTTGAATTAATTTAGTGCAGTAAAAATTTTAAGTAAAATTTGTTTGAATATTCATTTTTATATTATATTAAATAAATTATTTTATTATTAAAAATATTTGTAGATTTTTTGATTCATTCTATAAAGTTATAATTATCTTGAATTAATTTAGTGCAGATAAAAATGCTAAGTAAAGTTTGTATTTTATTTTATGCTACAATAGAGAATAAGACTTTTTTGAGAAAAACGTATAATTACAATAGAGAAAGAAAGAATCAAATAAGATCTAAGTTTTTTATTTATTTATTTATTTATATTATTATTTAAATTTTTTTAGAAATTTTTTTGAGACATGAACATTTTTGGATTGCTATCAATTATTTATTATTATGTTTTTAATTAAGTTTTAAGTTGTTTGTTTTTATGAATTTTAATTATAATAAGATTTCTGATTAGAAATCTACCTAATCTAAATTATTAAATATTTTTTTAAATTCATTTATAATTTTCTTCCAAATAAAAAAATTCAACTTCTAATTTATTTCCATTGAATTTAAATTTATTTGGAGATATTTAAGAAATAATTAAGTTAACATTTTCTATCAACTTATTTTTAAGTTAGTCATATTTGCTTCCTTTTACTCCTAAGATTTAACCTAATTAGACCGTGTTAGATGGGTTTTCAATTAAGTTCATCATGCATTTATCATGTTCAAATTAAAATTTTATTGATTTATAAAATTGAGTTTATACTTAACTCACAGTCAGACAAATTTCATTATGTCCATAAGAACTTGCAAGAGAAACTAGAACTTATTTCATCAAGCTTATATCATTATATATTGTGAAAGATTTTGTGAGGTTTAGCTATGCATAGAATTTATTAGATTTTTAGCACAGTCTATCATAGATAGTAATTGGAGAGTTTATAAAAGAAGTTTGTTCTGAAATAATTATTGAATTACTCATTCCTTTAATTTTATCGCTTTTCTCGTTAATCTAATTATCTCCAAGCTATTTCAAAAACTTTTAGGCCATCAGCTTTTTAGGAAACAAATAAGTCGGACTTTCTCCTCTAAAGCTATAATCAGCTAACTAAGTTGTTTAGTTGTGAATAGCTCCATGTGGGTTGTTATTGTTCAAGTTTTCAAATGAAAAGTTTATATTAGAAATGTTTTACCCTTAAGTTTAGTTCAAGGTATCATCTTTCTTATTAACTCCCAGAGAAGCATATTAATTATTTTAATAAATTGAGTATTCAGTCTAGGAACAGTTTTGTGTATCTTCGTTATGGTTTTCGTGTCTGTTTTGCTAAATTTTATTATTTGATGTGATTAAATTTTATTCATGCTCAGTTTCACTGTTTTTAAACATTTTTTTATTTTCATTAATTTTAGATTGGTTAGTTTAAGAAGTTTGTATCAATTGATTTTGGGAATGTTGCAGCTCACATATAGTTTTAACATTATTTATATTAGGAATTATTCTATTTGAAATTTTTTTTCTTTCATAATTTATAAAACCATCTTTACCGAATTCAGGCAGAGCTATTGATTCGTTATCAATTTTGAATTATAATCTATCGCTATTTTTAATACTAAAAACTTCTATATTTTCATCATAATTTTAAAGGTCTGAGCATGAAAGCGAGGTAACTAAGCCCTTAAGCTTCAAAAATTATTAATTTTCACTTGATTAAATTCTTTTTGAATTCTATTTGGAAATATTCAAATTTTATGGATAAGCTTCAAGTTATTGATTTTATTAAGTGAGTAGCTTTTTATCAACATTAAGCTATTTAATGTTAGAGAAAGTGTTAACAAGGGATTCTAATATTTCATTGAGTTAAAATGAACCCAGTTCTAATTTATTTTTATCATTCCTTTGTTGTAAATTTAAAATCTCTTTTAAAAATACTAGCTTTTTATTGATTTGCTTCAATAATTTGTTTGTTTAGCCATTTAAAATTTTTTCCAAAGATTCTAGCTAGTGAGAAACAAATATTTGTGATTATTAATTAATCACCCCAAGCCCTTTTTCCTTGATTTATTTTTCTTTGATTAAATGAAATTCACTTACATCTTAAAAGGAAATTGAAAGAAAAGGTTCATGTAAGAAAAGGGGAACAATATTCACCTTAAAATATTAATTTTTATCAAGCTTTTTATTGAAGAAAACTACATTAATTGATTCATTTGTCAAATTTTATTGTTTTTAATTGCTATTTCTTCCACCAGCAGTTGAATTTATGGAAATATCACATTTAGAGGCAATTCCCTGCTATGATTGTGGCATTTATGAATTTCTAGGACTATTTATAACTCCAATGGGGTATTATTCTTCATCATATTTTATCTTTTTTTATCTGTAATTACAAAAAAATAATCTTTTAAATAAATTAGCAAAAGTGCAATTTGGTTTTTCTATTTTTCTAATTTATTTGTTATTTTTGACATTTTCAAGCCACCAATTATACACTTCTACGTGTTTTTAAAGCAAATAGCTGAACAGATTCTAAAAATCTTCTGATTTGCTATTACTGCTTATTTAATTAATAGTATCAGCTGTAGAAAACCTTTTCACTCTCGAATAGTTACCAATTATCTTAACGTCTTTAAGAAACTACAAATAAATATCATTTCTTAATTCTTGCTTGATTGCTTTTCCTGTATTACTCTAATTTTCTTTAATGAAATCATTAAAGAATTTCTTATTTTAATCTATATTAAGATATTTAAAAATAGTATTAAATATTTTTAAAAAAGCACTTGTATAAATTTAAAATTTTTGTTTTGCCCTTAATTTCAATTAAAATCCAATCTAAAAGATCCCTAATGAAATTGATCAAAATTTAGCTGCAATATTAATTCAAGTTGTAAAATATAGAAGAAAAAAAGTAAAATTTAGTCAAACATTGGTACTACAATTTGTATATCTTTAAGAGCAGAGTGAATATTACCAAAAATTAATTTGATATTTCTAAAAATAAATTAAGAATTTGATTTGTTAGAAAAAAAATCTATTTTTCAAATTTATAAATTTAATTGTGAGAAAATACTTCAAAAAATCTGCATTAAGTTATTGTAAATTTAAAATTAATCATTAAATAATTAAGTGCTCGAATAATTTGATGAAATTTATTTTAAAATAAATATTTATTTTCAATTTTACTACCAACTAAAATAGTTATGTGTTTTATGTAGTTTAAGTGTAAGCATAAAACAAAGTTAGAGTAAAAAATTTAATTTTTGGAGATCAAAATAATTGTGCTTGGAAAAAGGATTAGCTTTATGCAAAATTCTCTCAATTCAAAAAATTGATATTTGTAAAAAAAGTTAGCAATTATTTAGTAGGGTTTATGAAATTTGTCTTAAATTGTTATCAAAATATCAAGAAAAACAAATCATTTAGCATTGGGCATTTGAAAATCAATAGTGATTAAAATAATCAATCAATTAATCAATCATTCAATTTAATAATCTGAATTTAACTTTCATGCTAAAATAGACCTTTATATTTGATATTAAAAACTAATAGTTAATTAATTATTTACCATACAATTCCATGCTAAAATTTCTGTAGCACATCGACTAAACAAAAAAGTATGCTGGCATTGTTTTTTCAACAACTTTTTACCACTCCTAAAAGTTTTAAAGTGCTAAAAATAGCAACCTTTCTTGCTTATCATATGAATATCTGTATCCAATTAAGATAAAACCAGCAAACAGGAAGAAGCCCATTATGTACCAGTCCATTCGTAAAACTACAATCGCAAAGATAATTGAAGTCATAATTCCAATAGATTCAATTACAATATTTTGATAATCAACAAGAATCCAAATTATAAAAGCCTTTTTGTTAAATTGATAATTTTGTGAATAAATAAATTCATTAATCATATATAATTTTTCTACTGCTCCATTCATTAGACTTCTCCATCCAGGCACTGAAACAGTGAGCTGCAGACAAATTAAATATGTTACTAACAGCTGCTTTGATAAAATAAAGTATTTTTTATATCTGCGAGACACTAAATTGTATCCTAATATAACTATCACATCAAAAGCTGCTTGAAATATTCTCCAAAAGTCAATAGAGCCTGTAATTATTAGTAAAATATTCCAAACAAATGATTGAATAATGAGTACTTTAGCAAGGTGAAACTTTAAGATAAAAAAAAACTTTTCAAGAAAGAATGATACCAAAATATAAATAAAAGAATAATTTTGGATTGATAACATATAAAATATATTACATTTTAACTATTATAAAGAAATCTCTCTTCCAGTTCCTCATTCTAATAAGTTAAAAAGTACCTCGAAAGCTAATTTTTTTTGTAATATTTCATATCAATGCAATTTCTTAATAATTCTTATATGCTTTTTACTTTTATATCTTTTGATTACATTTTATTAGAAGGCATCTCTTTGATTTCTCTAATAAAATATTGATAAATTTAATGAAGTCGTCTAGCAATACTAATCTCCTATTCAACAGCAAATAAAATCAAGACTTTAAAATTGAAAAATGTCAATTTGATACCAACTTTTAATTACAAATTTACTTCTCCTTTATTTTATCTTTACTTCAACTTTTATTTTTAAAAATAGTTAATTTTTTTTTAGTTTATAAAAATATTATATTTTTAAATATAGCTAAAATTTGATATTGATTTGTATCTACAGATTTTTAGTTGTTTACAATTTCTTATCCTATAAATTTCTATTTAAAATTTTGATTACTTTTCACTTCATTAATTTAAGTAATCATAAATTTAAAATTTTGCTTTTCTTATGTATGTTAATAATTTATTAATTTTTTTAATGAATGTAATTCCTTTTTAAAAAACAAAAATAAGATATGAACCATTTTATTATAATTTGTTTACTTTGATTACTTTTAATTTAAAGTGAAATTTGTACTATTTTTCTACCTTCTTTTTTTTTTGAGTTAATCAAGCGAAATCTAAAAATATTTATTTATTAATTTATAAAAATTTAGTTTACAAATTTATTTATGATATGTTTTGATCAAATCAAGAAAAAAATGACTTATATTTTTATAAATCCTGAGATTTATTTTTTGTGATAATTTTTGATTTGTAAATAGAGATAATTAATTTACTTCCTTTAATTTTACCAAATTTGCTAATTTATAGATAATAATCTCTTTTGGAGATTAATTTACTTTCACTTATCAATCCGCTTTTTATGAATAACTATTTAGTTCAAACATTACATTTTGAATAAATCTTTTATTAGTAAATAATATTAAGATTTATTTAAAATAATCTATCTCATTGAAAATTTCTTTTTTTATATTTAAATATAGTTACATTTTAATATGGGTTTTCATTATTATATAAAGTATTTACTTTTAATATTGCTAAAATATAACTAAGTTGATTACTATTCTCCATAAATAAATTATTGAAATATTTAATAATCTTTATACTTATAAAAAAGTAAATTAAATTAATCTTCATGCTATATAACTATTTCTTTTATAAAGAATGGCTATTTTACTATAAAATAATAGAAAATTGCTTATCAAAAAAGATATTTACTTTTTTAATTCAACTATTCAAACTTATTTTCCCAAAAAGTAAATTTTGAGTGAATTTTTTCAATCTTTTCTATTTATCAGCTATAGCAAAAACTAATAATTTAAATATGTCATTTTAAACACTTAATGAACTAAAATTTAGCATATATTATATTTCTGATAATATTTCTAAAATTTTAGAAACATCACTGTTTAAAATACAAAGAAACCTTAATGAATAATGAGAAATTATTCATAATACTAATATAGAATAATAACATTTTAAATAATTTAAGTAAGGTAATCTAATAGTAATTTATATTTTAGTAAAAGAAAGTTGAATAATTAAAAATTAATTATATTTATGTTTTTTATTCCTAACTGATTTTGTAAATAGAGGTATTATTTATTTTTAGAAATACCAAAATTATCAAAATATTATTGAAAAACTTTTTTTGATAAAAATTCCACAAAAAAAACAAATATTCTGTAAATAAGTTTGTTTTAGGATATAAAATAAAACTATTTTACCATCTAAAATAAATGATTAATTAATTTAAAAAAATAATTTATAAAAGATAAGTAAATAAAATAAAAATATTTAATTTTAAAAATAAATTTTTTAAGATTGAAATTTTTTAATAAATAATTTAAAAATATTAAAAAATTATTAATATTGTTAAAAAACTCAATAAAATAATTTATCTATAAAAATAAAAAATATGTAAATTATAAAGTATATTTTAGTCTTTTTTATTTAGATTTTAATGGCTTTCAAAAGTTTCTATTTAAGGTAAATGTTTTGTCTACTTAAATATTATATTTGCTTTCTGATTTAATAGAAGCTTTTATATGAAATAGATATGTTGTTTTTAAAATTCAATTTTGTAATTCTAGATAATAATAAATAATTTATGGCTATAAACAATATGTCATTCTAAATGGTCTCTCAAAATCATAGACACTTTTATTTGATTTCTTAATATTTGAAAGAGTTGCTTGCTTTTTTGATTGAATTTAATTAGAAAAAATAAGTAAAAACTAAATCATAATAAAATCAATATAAGTACTAAAAATGGATATTAAAGAGTGTAGAAGATAAAAGTTTTCAAAAAATATAGTTCAATAGGGACAGTCTCTTGTCTTTAGACATGACAGAACATATATTAGAAGATAATGTCCCTGTTGTGTTGATCCTTCTATAGATGAAAAAAAGAATCTAATATCTAAAATAAGATCGAATTTGGAAAAGAATATTAAAAAATAACCCTATGCTCTTATTGAAGTCATATTATGAAAAAATCGCATAATTAAAATAAAATAAATAGTTTAAATAAAATCTCCAATAAACTAAAAAATATTTATTAAATATCATTATCTTATCTATAAATTTACTACTATAATAAATGCAGTTTATATTATTTATATCAAATTAGTTATCTCTAGTCTTAATAAAAAAATTTAACTAAAAAAATAAATCAATAATTTTAAAAAATTAATACTAAATATAAATAAAATAAATTTACTTAAAATCAGTTTTTTTGTAGTAGAAATTAATGTTAATATAAAAGAAACAAATTTTAAAACATGAAGGAAGTTATAAAATGTTATTATCTAAATATATCAGTATATTAGAATTAAATAAAACAGCCACTAATAAATTAAGTAAATTTATAATAATAAATTCATACAATAGATAATAAATTAAAATATAAATAAATACTAATTAATTATTAAAACTCAAAATGGAAGTTTGATAAATAATTTATTTTCACTTTTGAGTTTTTTATTTAACTATTCTTTTAATTTTTTCAAACTCAAAAGCTTATCTTTTTCAGCTTAATAACATTTATCATTCCTACTTAAACGATTTTTATGTCTAAAAACTTAGCTCCTTCCAGTCTATGTGTAGCTTTTTTGATAATCTATAAAATTAAGTTCTTTCAAATCCATTATTTTAAATTAAACAGCTATAAAAATTATTATTTTATATTTAATATAAATATTAGTACATCTGAATTTTTAAATTAATAACTTTATATTATAATTTAGGAAGATTTATTATATTTAATGTGCCTGATCAAAAATAATCTTAAGATTTTCTACATATTTTTAAAATGAAATGATAATAACATTAATCCACTTCTTTTCTATCTTTAGAATCATTTTTAACTCTTTCATTCAAAATATCATGAATAAAATCCATTTTAAACTCAAAAAAATCATAAATTTGATAATATTAGCCCTTAGTTTTTCTATCTGGTTTTATATTTACTATTGAATAAAATTTAAAGTATCTCTTGTTTTTTAATTGAAGATTTATTATAATTAATTTTTCTGATAAAAAATAACTAAAGAATTTTTATAACTTTCTAAAATTAGTTGATTTAAAAACTATTTATCTTATCTATTTTTTATATCTAATAATTAAAATTACTATAATTATAATATTCTACATACAAATACTGATCAATATTTACAAAAATCCAAATATTTAAAACTTATTTTAACATTTTATTTTATAATTTAATTTACTAAAACAATTAATAATTGAGTGCTTGCATTTTATCTTTAACAAATAAATATTCTTTATTAATATTAAAATGGTAATTGCTAATTAGTTAGATTATTTAAATAATAAAAATAATTTTAAATTCATTTACAGATTTTAGTAATTAAAAAACAAACAACTTAATTTAAGAGCTAAATATTTTTAAAATAAAATAAACTATTTATTGAAATATATGTAAATATAAAGTAAAATGCATTTTATTTATTTATATTAAATTAATTATTTAATTATAGAAGTATATTATTTATTTATGTTTACTATTTATATTTATTATGATATGTTAAGTTCTTTCAAAAGGGAAGGGAAATAAATATTTAATTGTTGCTTTTCAACTTTTAGTTAATATTTTATTTCATATATGAAATGCCATATTTTTCTTCTCTCTCATATCTGTATCCATATCGATATTTGAAATTTGCTTATTAATCATGTCTAAAGACTGCAACTTATCCCTTTTAGACATATTTTTTATCAAAATTATTTTAGTTGATTTCTTTAATATCCATTTCTTTCTTTCTTATTTATTTATTTTTTTATTTATGTTAAGTTTTGTTATTTTAATGATTATTAAATTTTCAAATCCTCAAACAGTTGCTTTTATTTTAGTTAATTAAAGTGGATACATACCAAATATAATAGATAGTTTTTTGCTTTCTATTTTATTTTTCTTGAAGAAGCAAGTTTTATCTACAAAATAAATTCAGTAAAGTTGATAGCGAAACTTTTTGATTGAAATAGATTTTCAAAAATAACTTATCCTTTCAAATTTAAAATGTAAAGAAAAAATGTCAGTAATATTTGAATCTTTCTTCATATAATAAAAAATATTTTTTTTACTTAAAGAAGTATGAACAAAACATTTAAATAAAGTTAAAAATTCATCTAATTTACAAATTAGATTAAGATATTATTGAGGATATAAATGTTTATTTTGTTTGCGGATTAAGCAAAATGATATCTTTATGAGATATTTAGTTAGCTGATATTAATAAATGAACCTAAATTGCTTTTAACCCAAATTTGTAAATATTTCAGCAATAGCATCAAATAAATTTACGATAGGTTAAAGTGGATTTACATAATTAATCTACTAGATACTTTTAATTTTTTTTAGTGTTTAAGTAGAATATTAAAGTCAATACAATGTGAATAATTAATAAAATTAATAAAATTATTAAAAATCTCAAAATGGATTTAAAGGAATCAAATTCTTAAAAGTTTTCTAAAAATGTTAAAGAAAAGGGTGGAAGAGTTGTATTTAGACACACTAAATATTCTTACTGCAACTGCTTTAACTGCAAAGGAAATTATCCTCCTTCTTAACTAATAGATTTGAAAAATATTAAGTAACAATTAAATAGAAAGATAAAATACAATTCACCTAATTATGATGATTTGAATTTTTGATGCTTGACTAAAACTAGATGCTTTTACAAATGAAATGTCTTATTAATAAAAATTACATTCAAGTTTTATAAGTTATCATTCTTATAAAGTCGACACTTTAATTTAGGGAGAAAAATCAATCAATCAAATAAAAAAATAAAAAGAGGATAGTAAATTAATTAGATGCCATCAAAATGATTTATTAACCACATTTAAAATAACAATCAATTTATAATAATTAATTAATAATAAAAAGAAACAAATAACTAATTTCTATCAAAACTTTTGTTCATTAATTTCTGCTTACCATAAAAATGGATATTAAAGAGTGCAATAAACAAAAGTTCTCCAAAAACTACAAATAAAAAGGTTAATCAATTGTATATCTCCATGATAATACTTACTCAAGACACTTTTGCTGTGAATTTTGCAGTTCATACCCTTTTGGACAACTTAGAAAATATGAGACATAAAAAATAAAATCAATCCTCAACAGGAAACTAAAAACTAACTAACAATACAGTGACATAAACTTTTGATAATCACAATTATTGAGAGGCATAATCAAACTATCCTAATTAACTTTTAAACAAAATTTAAATAAAAACATACTAAAAAATCTATTAAAAATCTTATTTATTCAAAGACATTCATTCGTTTGTTTTACATATTTACATAATAAAATCTAAAAAATTATAACATTTTTTAATTTACCACAACAACCTAAATTTCTATTTAATTTATTTTCACTAAATTTATAATATATATAATCATTTTATTTATAAAAAATATCTACAGGGATAAATCTTTAATTAAGATTATAATTTTTTACAAGATAAAAAAACGAACAAAGTATTTTTGAATAATAAAACAATAAACAAAATAAAAAAGAGAGTTTGATATTTTTGAGGCATTAAACTTTTTATTTTTCAAATATTTAATAAGGTTTAAACTAACTAATTAATTTTTTCTTTTTATGTCTATTTATTAATATTTTTTAAGTATATTATAAATATAAAACAATAACCATGAAATTATTTTTATTAGTTTTTTAAATTTTTCAATAAAATTCAGTATTATTATAAACAAAAATCATAAAGAAAGTTTCTTAGCTACTTCCCATATAATTTCTTTTCGGTAGTTTTAGCTAATACTATCAAGAGCAGGGATTGTTAAGATTGCTAGTTTTTCTAAATATTTCTTCTTATTTTCTAGAAGTTCCATGTAACCATTTAGTAGGTCAGATTCAGACGGTGCTATATCAATACTTTATAAATAATTATTAATATCAATTCTCTTATAACAAAAATATAAATATACTTTTCGAATTCTATGTAATTGTAAACACATTGAGTCTTTTAAATAAGCAATCTCAACAAATTATAAATGCTTCTGCTAAATATTGGAGTCAATTCTTCACAACTTTTTAACAAAATTTAATACATTAAGAGATCATATTCTTATTACTTACTTTGATAGAGATAACCTAAAACTCCATAAGGGTTGTTTAGATATAACTTTTACTAGTACTTCACTGAGTTATAAGAGAGATGTGTCAGTTATTTACCACCTAATTTTTTTTCAATAATTTAAGTTTAAGCTATTAAAATAATTAAATATATGATTATTTTACATTTCAAAATCAAGATCCATTACAATTAATGTTTAAAGATTTTATAGAGTGTTCAATACAATGCAATAGTCTTCTAAAGATTAATTTCCTAAATTTAGGCTTTTAAATAAGTTGTAATTTATTTAATAAATCATATTAAAATTTACCCACAAAAGTTTGTAATAAAGCTTTTAAGATTTTATGATTTTAAAAGCATGAATTAGATTCCATTACAAAGTATTTTGAAACTTTAGGCATTAATATTTTACCAACTATTTATTTATTTTATAATAAAGATAAATAAATATTATTAAAAAAATAGATTTACAAGCTAATACTTAAGTAGAAGTTTTCTAATTTTTTTGCCTATATATTTTCAATGATATTGGATAGTAATTACAAACTAAATTAATCGCTTCTTCTCCAACCATATAAATTTAAGTAAAAACTTTAAAGCTCAGTTTTTGATAAGTAATTATGCAAAATTTAGAAAAGATATTAAAATCCTTCAGGTTAAACATCTTTCCAACTTATTTAATTAAAATTTTGTAAAAATATTATCAAGATAATAGAAAAAATAAATACTATTCAACGTTAACATAGATTTCTTTAGTTTCTTAGTTAAATTCAAGTATTTTAGATAAAATATTTGAAAAATATATTATATTTTAAGTATCAGCAAACTCCCAGCAACTTAAGTCTAGATAAATACTCTTGAAGCTCATTTTAAACCCTGATTTTTCATTTATTTTTATTATAATTTTTTCAAGAAGTTCTAGATGCTAATCATAATCAGATTTTAAACTATTTTTAAAATAACCAAAATAAAATGTTTTTTTTTATCATGAGTAATGAATTATTTCAAATTAAAACAAAATATACCTTTGGTTTATATATTGAAAAGATTGATAATATTTTAAATCTAACTTTTCTAATTCTTTTAAAATATCTAAATTATTATTGCTCTCAATAAATGTATCATTCAATTTTATATTTTAGCCATCAAAAACAATTTTAAGAATAGGCAAAGTGATATAATATTCTTAATTCTCCATACTTTTTAATATACTTTAAAATCAATTATCTTGAGCTTCTTTTTAGAAAAATTAATAATTATTTTATATCAAGCTCAGCTGTTAATAATAAATAAATAAATTATATCAGTATATAATAATTCTTTCAGTGATTTCAGTATTTCTTAAATGTAAAATTAATAACAAATGAATATCTTTCAATTTAGAAATTTTATTTTTAGATTAAATTTGTTTAATTACTGTAATTTTATAAAAAAACTATGTTTATTCACATTAAATACTTAAAAATAATTTTAAGTTTAAAATTATTTCTTAAAAAATAAAAAAATAAAATTTAGCTGATTTTTATAAGTTAATTACATGTTATTTAAGATAATTCGCTAGTGCTTATCAAACTAACTAGAAAATAATAAATACAGCTATTAGAAATATAATAATTAACTTAGTTAATTCAGTTTCTTTAAAATGTTAATAAAATATTTAATTGAATAATTTTCTATTAATGAAATTATTTTTATATTTATTATTGGTATTTTTAAAGTTTAAATAATAATTTAATTTATCTCTAATATTGTAAATTTTAATAAATAAAACAATTTTTATAACAAGATGTGGAGATTAGCTTTATGTAAAATATGTTTAACTTTGTAAAAAAGTACTATTAATAATAAGATTTACTTTAGTTTTTAAATTTAATAACAAAAAAATCATTTCAACATATAAATAATATCATAAATATATCAAATTTTTAAAATTTTTAATTATAAATTCATATATAATATATATTTAACATAAATTATTTTATCTTCACCATTTAGTTTAATTTTTTTATTTTTCAACTACTTCATCCTGATTTTAATCTATAATTATTATTATTTATATTATAAAAAGAAAACATTAAAGTTAATATCTACCTTATAAATTTATCAAGCGAAGCTAAAAATTGCACTATCTCAATGAAATCTAAGAAATATCATTTGTTTCTTATCTAATAAGGGGTAATTCTAATTTTATTATTATTAAATATTAAAAAAATAATTTAATGGTTAACAATACCTTGATTTCTAAGTTTTGGAGAAAGTTAATATTTAGTCTAAAGTGTTAATGGTTGTTGTGATTGCTTTAAATTATCAAATTCACTGTTTATAGTTTCATTGTCAGCTTATTAGCTAAATAGCTATACCTTAAATTAATTTACTATTTTATGTGAGTTAGATATCAAAGATTCTTATGATTATTTTAAACCTGTCTTAATAGCACTTTATCTATCATTTCTAATTTCAAACATACTCTTTAGTTAAATTCTTAATTTTTTAATTTTCAAAGCTGTTTTAAATCTAATAGTAGAATCTATTAATATAAATTTAAAAATCTAAGGATATTTAGTCTTCATTATATAAAGACACTCTTAAAATAAGTTTCTGTTTTATCTATTTCGAGAAATAGGTTTAAAAAATGTTAAAAACACTAATTTCAATACAAATTATAGATTTAACATAATTATAGCCAATTAAAAAACGATAACCACAGTATAATATTAGCCAGTTATCAAAGACTAAACTAAGCAGAAATTCAGAGTTGATATACTTATTAGAATAGATTAATTTTCCAATTGATTATGTAGCTAATGAGTAAACGGATTAATTCTCATCTGAATGTAATTGTACAATATCAATATCTAATTAACTATGCAAACCTTATTTATTATATTTAAATAAGTTATTAAATAAAACTTGGTTCCATAATATTTAATTTACCTTTAAAGAAAGATAATCTTACAAGCAGATTGAAGAAATCATAACAGTACTTTTATACAATAATCTAACAAATTCCCAGTAATAGTATTAATTCTTATATGGTTCATAAATAAACTAATATGAACTTTTTTATATTTTAGAGAGATTTTAATTGATATTTTATCTTACTTTATAAAGAAAATAAAATGGGATGGTAACACATACAACAATTATCACTGGAAAGCTAAAAATTAAGTTATAAATAAAGTGTTCAGAAAAATCCCTACAGCTTATCAAAGTGTCGATTTAAGCATATTTTTCATTTCCAATATTTATACAATTTATTGATTTTATTAATATAAATATCATGGATGGATAAAAATAGAAATAAAAGAAAATCATCGTAGTTTTTTAATATCTCGAAGGAGTATTTTTCTTAAAAAGTAATTTTAAAATAAGGTTTATTATTTAATTAAGTAAATAAATGACAAAAGGAAGACTTAATGAGCAAATTACTTTAGCAAACCACTTCGGAATTCTTATTTGACTAGGATAAAAACAATCAAATATGTTTGTTTATATTAATAAAGGATTTCCTCCAAAATTTGATGAAAATTAAATAATAGTAGGAAATTAGAATGAAAGACTGCTTAAAATAGATATTATTTGCAAATGATCAATTAGAATCTTTGAATATACTGTAGAATTAGTCTTATATACTAATAAAAATAAATATAGAAAAGTAATTTTAAAATTAAAATATTTTTACCAGAATTGTTGAGATAAATAAGACCCATCATTTTAATATAGTAATTTTATAGGTCTCTTTCTATTTAGTTAATGATCTTTCTATTACATATGTAAATGTACAAAGTTAGCAAAATTATGAATATTGCTTATTCGAAACCTGCTAATACTATCATATCTGAGCATTTGGAACAATTAAAATTTTTGAAAGTAGTAGAATATCTTTATCCCCAAATATTACCAAAAAAATCACATTATTCACACAAAGGACCAACATAGCCTTCAGCACATCCAAACTATAATATAAATATTTAAAATAAAATTATATTTATGTTTATTTATTGTGCTTCTTTTAATTTTTTAAAAAGTGTAAAAATGATATTACAAACATATTTTATTTTAAATATTTACTTTTGATTTCTAGCTTTGTGGTTAACAATTTTCTGGAGCATTCTCACAATAAATAATCAAATCACTCTGATTATTTTTTTTCCAATATCCATTTTTTACATGTATTTAAGAACCAAAACACTCAACAGCTTAGGACGGACAAATCTAACAAGCCTAATCATTAACGTTTAAAGAGTATTTACCATCAGGGCATTAATCACAAATGATAGATGAGAAAAATTATTTTTGCACTTCTCCTGTTATGCATTCTCTAAAATCAACTTTTAAATTGAGAGATAACTACTTTTATTCTAAAAATAAATTACCATTGTAATCATAAAGAGCTGGTATTGTTTAAGATAATATCTAAAGAGTTGAGCTTTCATTTGGAATATAAGAAAGACTTACATTAAAAGAAAACTTTCCTTTCTAATAAGTTACTATAATTCCTCCAAATATATTCATTTTTTCACTTTTATTTTACATGTTAATACTCAAAGTAGTTTACTATATTATCTCTGTAGCACTTTAACTATATTTTACTAAAGGATCATACTTAAAATTATAATTTTCTTCATCTATTATCTAAATATCATCCAGTACTAAATAATCACCACTTCTGAAATTCTTAACAGTGATAAATTCATCTTAAGATAAATTTCCTTCTTCAACAATCATTTTAAAATCCTTATTTATATTTAGCAATAATTTTCTAAGTGTTGAAGCTATATTTTAGCCATACAATATACATCCATTATCTTTAACTGTATTGTTATTAAATTAAATTAAATTTTTCTAAATAATACGCGGTATTATTTGCTAATAATAAATTCCTCCACCAATAGATGCTCTATTATTTAAAATATTAGTTCTTTTTAAATTTAAGTCACAATTATTAATATAAATAGCACCACCTAATCCTTAGATTGCAATATTTTTTTAAAAATTACAATTTATTATAGAAGAATTTGTTGACTTTAATTAATTTTATTCTAAAAATACTGCTCCTCCTGATTCAATTTATGATTCGTTTTCAAAGAAATCAGAGTTTGAGATATATAAATTTTGAATTTGATAAAGATACAAAGAACCTCCATTTCCTAAAATAGATTTATTTATCTAAAACTTTGATTCAGTTATATATAATTCGTCAATATTTTAAACATTTAAAGCACCTCCATTTAGCTAAGATATTTAATTTATAAAACTACTATTTTAGATTATTAATTTTAATGCAAAATTAATTAATATATTGCTTTATTGTTGAGATATATTGTCTTTTAATTATAAATTACTAAATACTATGGAAAATCCTTCATTTTAGTTTAGGAGATAAATCAAGTTACCTAAATTTCCTAAAAATTTTGATTATTCAATCAATAGATTGTTAAAGTTTATTAATCTAAGAATTTAATACCCTTAGCTCAAATTTATACTCTAAAAGTTACATTCAAATATCCGGATATTAGAAAGTTTAGAATTAATAAGATTGGTGGCTGTCTAATTCAAATTTTTAAACTGAGAATTAAAAATTGTAGATTAATTAGCCTATATAATAAATCCGATATTTTAAGAATTTGAAATATCAAAATATGACATTGTAAGATTATTTATAGGATAAATATAAGTTTTTGTATAATCTTAAGTCTACAAAAGTATGATGTCTTATGCATCTCTAACAGTAATATTACTCAAATTTATATCATAGCATCCTTATAAGCTTAAAATTTAATTTCGATTTGTTTGTAAGATACTTAAATAGCTAATATCTGTTTATTATACAGCTATTGCAATGATAATACTTTCAAATTGATTTGTTATATTTTAAAAATTCAATTTTTTAAAGAAAATCTATTAAGATTCAATAATGTAAAAAAGAGAGCTGAAAATAGAATTGTTAACATTTAAATTTTTGATAATAAAATTTGAAACATTTTCAAGCGAAAAGAATGTTTCATTATATATGTTAACATTATTTATAATAATGTTATCTAATATCACTTAGCTACAATTTTTAAAAATTATTAAGGGTTATTAAAAATTTTATTGATAGCTTATGATTGATTAGAAGCTTATGTTAGAAAATATCACTTTTGGAATATTTTCAAAAATAACTTAATTTTATATGTTTATTAAATTTATGTTATATAATAGTATTTAATTAATATTTTTATTTTAGTTCAACATTAGCTTATTTGTAATATTTAGTTATGCATCATGAATAACTAGTTCACCTATATTAGGGTCATCAAAAATACTGCCATCATTCCATATTAATTAATTGTAATTTTATGTATAAATAACTGTTTCTATTTGAATTTATTAATTTATTAAATTTGTTATCTTATGTATTTCTTAATCATTTTAAAATTGAATTTATACTTAAGATACAGTTTGGTTTGATGAATATGCATTTTATTAGATGCTTTAAATTTATTAAGAAATCATATAAGAATTTTATGATAATAAATTTACTATACACTCACTTTAAGGTTGATAAGGTATCAAATAATAAATGACATCGCTCCATGATATTCCTTGTATTTGGAAATATTTTTAATTATTATTATCAAAAATTATACTAGCACTCTAGATATTAATTCTTTATTTATTCTTCTAAAATAAAATTTTGAAGCTATTATTATTTTATTAAAATTGAATAATGTAAACAGAGTCTTATTAAATTAATAAAAATGTATTTTATTAATTAAAAGACTTTATATAATCAATACTATTAAATCCAGAATTAATTTGAAAGCTTTATTTAGCTAAAGTTAGAGAATTATAAAAATAAACTGAATTAGGACAAACTGAGTAAATTAATTGACCATCAAAATATATTTTAGCATTTATAAGACAAGGGTTCTGAATTTAAGATAATAGCTTCAAATTAAAATCAAATATATAAGTTTTTGATATATTTGAAACACAGAAAATTATCCTTCTATTTCTATCAATAACAACATTAACAATTTAATAATCTATTTAAGCAAAACTAATCACATTAAAATGAGTAGTATCAATTATATAGATGGTTTTTTCTTCATTTTGTATTATAAAAACTAAACTTTCATCTGAAGTGTCATAATAATTTGATTAATTAATTTCTTCAAATCTATCATCTAACTATTTACTATTATCAGAGCTTAACTTTATCATGTAGGAAATTTTAGTTGTACCTAATTTTAAAATATTATTTTAACTAAAATTAGAAACTAATATTGGATTAGTTACTATAGAATTGTTAAATGAATAGATAATATTATTTTTTTAGATCAATATTTATTAGTAATTATTCTATATATTAGCAACTGATGTTAAATTGTTATTATTAATTTCATAAAAAGCTATCTATTTTGCCTATTAATTAACTAATATTATTGTTTTATTCATAAAATCGAATAAGATATCCGTAAAAGTTTATTTTATTTCATATAAATTTTAAATCTAAAGCTTATTTTATTAAAGATTTATCTAAATTTAATAGATTTTAAAAGGTGTTATGAAAATGAATCTTGATTCATCGATCTTAAATATATCACACTTCTATAGTGAATAAAATGCCAAATCTAATAATATTTCATCCTAAAAGATTCTTTCTTTAAAGAGTAACAAAGAACTGGTTTACAAATTATAAGTAACTATAAAGTTATTAAATTAGATATATTAAACGGAAATTTAATTGATAAAACTTGTTTCTTCTTAAACTAAAGTATCAATCAAATCATACACTAAAATAACACTATCTTATCTTATAACGAATAAAGCATTTATCTATGGAACTAATTATGTTAAATTAATGCTTGAATTGTTCTAGTTGAATTTATCATACAAAGCTTCATAATATATCATATCAGGATAAGTAAAGGCATGGACAAATTACTGAGTTGAAATGTAAATGAGATTATTATTAATATCAGGTATTATTTAAGTAATTTGACTTTAATAGATTGGCACAATTTTAGTTATATTTGAGAGATAATAGTAAGTATATATTTAAGGAGTTTAATCAATTAAAATTATTAAATTATTTTAAGGAATGAAACAAGTCAAATTTTTGAAAAAACTAGATTGAGTTTTGTACTAATACTTTTACAAAGCTTAGTTATAATCGACAACTGTTATTAAATTATTACTACCAATTAGTACAATTAACTAATTATTTTAAAGATCATAGTACATTTCAGTGTTCGGAGAAACATAACTGTATAATTAATATTCTATTTATTAAGAACCTTTCTAATAGTATTAGCTAAAAATGCTATGGGGGTAAATTATAAGCTAGTTCTGTACATCAATTATAGGATTGGAATTCAAGTTGTTTCTGTATGATAAGTAATCAACCTAAATATAAAAAAATATTTTATTAAATTAATATAATCTATGATTTTTAATGAATTTACTAATTAAAAAGAGCCAATTGATCCATCAGTTAAATTAAATAGTTTCAGGTAAGGAGACTATGTAATGATTAAATTATTTTGACATTGAATTTAAAATGAGAGTGTATATTTTTTTGTGATGAATGGTGTAATGTCACTTAAATCTAAAAATACTCCAGTTCCATTATTTCCTTGATACTAAAAATTAAAATTATTTTATAAATAAGTAAAAAAGTAAATAAATAAATTACTTTAAAAATAAAAATTTAATTTGTGGTTGTCTAAACAACAAGTTATTGTTATTAATAACATATTTCAATTCTTTTTATTCCAGTAAATTTTTATACCAAATATACTTATCCGTTTGCTAAGTTAGGGTTGAAAATTTTTACAGATCCATCTATTTAAGAATATATAAAGATATCTTAATATGCATCTACTATTATTTGTGTAAAAAAATCAGCAAAATTAAATACTTTAAGTATTTAATTCTTCAAAACATGCATTTTTATTATCTATTTTTTTATTGTATCATAATAATAACTCAACTATAAAGTTTCACTAAACCAAGTTTTAATTAGTACATAATTACTTTACCTTTAATCTATATTTGATATTGGAATATTTTAAATATTTTTAGTCATTTTTAAAACATTATCTGATATTCTAAAATATGTTAAGTCATTTATATTTGATAATATATTATTAGTATGCTCAAAAATCTAAGTATTTAATAAGATAAAAAGCCTATATTGAATAACAAATTTTCTAATTATTAATATTTCTTAATTTTCATATAAGATTGTAGGAGCAGAATTTGATATTATTATTTGCAATTAATTTGTTTTGAGCTAAATTAAATCAAATTAGTAAAAAAAGCTTGAGCCAATAAAAAATAAAAATCTATCAATATTAAAGACATTAATATTTGTTAGATAATCAAATGGAATAATTATTTTATTAATCAGTAGTAATTATTAATTGTAAACTCGAATTTCTTTATTAATAATAATAAGAATTTATCCTTAATAAAGAAGGCACTAGAAAACTGTATTTACATAATCTAATTAAATTTAATTAATATTGTTGATTGACTATATATCTAATTGGAATTCCTAAATTTATTAATTATTAATAATTAAGTAAATTGAGTTATTTAAAGATACTGGTAACTATCCAATTTGGCCATTTAAAACATTATTTGAAAAAAGTAAATTATTTACAAGTGTATTTTCGTTATTTATATAAAATTCTTGCTTTAAAGAAATAAGGTCGAATCCAAAAAATTATCCTTTTTAATCTATAAAAAGCAATTTTTTATTTTAAAAAGTAAAGAAAGTCACTGTTCTTGCATATGTGTCGTCAAATTGATAGAATTCTTTCACTTTAGAATTCAGAATGGTATTATACAAAGTGAAAGGTTATCTCTAAAAAAGATATCCTGGCTATTCAAAATAAAAGGTATCAGTTTATGATAAAATAGGAAAGCATTAATCATTGATATTAAAAATGATTTATCCAAGTAAAATATCTTTTATTATTATTTAACATAAGGAATTTTGAACCATTACTAAATAAAGACACTTATTATTTCCTAAATACATTTAGTTTGACTTAATTTAAAATAAATAATTATCTTAATTAGATCTTAAAAAACTTCTTTTAATTTAAAAGTTTTATAAATTTTACAAATAGTATGTGATATAAGTCACCAAATCAAATTATAATTGATTTCAATCAACTAAAATACAAGTATTACTATCGCTTATTTATAACTAAATTATGGAATCATTTTATAATATTATTTCTTAGCTTTGTTTACTTGAAGTAAGAATTTTTTTCATCTCCAAATTCTAATCATTTATTTCAAATTAAATATAAAAAAGTATATTATTATAATTATTTAAAATATATAACACCTAATTCTTCATAATTATTAAAGATATTGACTATAAATCTTGATCTAAATCTAAATTATACTTCATAATAGTTGATAATGAACTTTGTTTGTATTTTTAATAATTTAATTAGTCAATGGCTATTAAATTGGTTAAAGCTACAATTATTGAAGTTTAATTAGTATTTTATGATTAATAAAACGTAAGAGTAAAAGAGATCGATCTAATGTCATTTATAATTTTATAGATCGGTAGAATATTATCTTTTTAAATATAATATATGATTGAATTTTAAATTCCAGAAATATAAAATAACTATAAGTCCTCATTAAAAAAATTTAAATAGGCATAATCAATATTTATTTCTAACAATATTTTAGTGGATAGCGAGGCTTAATCAAATTGGAAAAAATATCCTTATGTTTTAGAATCAGTAGCAAAAAAAATCATATTTTAGAAGTTTAAAACCTATATATGGTAATATTATTTATCTAAATTAATTATTTTATTTTCTTTTCTAAAATAAAGCACCGCACTTTAACTTTCCTTTAAATTAAAAACAAAAAATATCAACTATAAAATTTTAAATTAAAAATTTACATTTTCATTATTATAGCTCTCATACAAATAAATTTGCTAAGAAGAATTTATGCTCATATATTTATAAATATATAAATTACTTGTTTCTATAAGAATCTATTCATTATTTAAATAGTCTAAAAATGTAAATCCTCCTTAATTCTTCTGTAAAACTAATATATGATTCTCTACATCTAGTTAGTAAAGACTATAAAAAGTATTAAATTCATTACTTATATCGAATTCTATTTGATAAGTTAAAAAATTGAATCCAATTAATTTTTGCTTTGTTTAACATCCTCCTACATTTCTGTCATAAAAATTTGATGAACCATAAAAAACTGTTTTATCTAAAGGATTTTAGACTAATAGATTTGAATAAATAGTCTCAAGATTTTAATTATAAAGGTAGAACTAACATATCGACTCCCCTATTAATAGAAAACCATTATCAATAAAGGTCTGTACTGAAATTTATTAGAAAAAATCCTTTTTTTGTCTTTCTTGGAAATAGTTGCAATTCTAAATCGGTTCACACAGTTTAGTATTTAAATCTTTTATTTCATTTTTGTTGCATTAATAAGAGCATTATTTTAAAAATAATGAATAGTATTATTATTAATCGCATGTATCATCATTTAAGAGACATCCAGATTATTAATCTAATTTCAAACTTTCAGTGCATTTAATACATCTTTAATTTTAAAGACATTAATCACAACCTAAAACTGAGCAAATATCACACGTATTTGTTTTTTGGTTTATATACATTCCCAAACCGCATTTTTCTTAGCAAGAATTATCAACTCCCTATCTATAATAGTTATTCATACAAGTCAAGCAATCATTTTAAGTTAATCCACTACATGTGTTACAATGATCATCACATTTTAAACATTTTTATGATATAAAATCATAGATTTCTCCAGCATTAAGACAGTTTTAGCTACAAACTATTTATATATAAATATAAAAAGTTAAAAGTTTTGTGAAAGAATATTTGCTTTTTTGTTTTATCATATATAAATTTTTTTGCCTTTTTTTTAATTTAATTAACTATAATCAAAAGTTAGCCAATAGAATTTTAGATTTAATAATATCAATCAAAAATTAACTCAGTTAATAAATAACAAAAAACTTTCAATAATTTGTAATATAATAAAATTCAAATGTATAATCCTCCATCAAATAAAAATTCTATTTATATTTAAATTAATTTTCATCTAATTTAATAGCTGTTACTGAATTTTATATTCATTATGAATATTTTTTTTTCAATCCTAATTATTCTCTTTATATTTGATTTAAAAATGCTTACGAAAATTAATCAAAATAATGAAAACTTTTTTCAAATTTTGAGCATTTATTTTTGTTTTATAATCATTAATTTTTATAAAGCAATAAATAAATTTTTTTAAGGAAGCAAAAATATTTTATTTATTATTTTTTAATCATTAAATATTAATAAATATAATACTTTTTGTAAATTTAACTATATAGAGTGAAATGCCTAGTTGATTTACAAAAAGCAAAATGTAATATATCTTAATAGTATAATAAATAAAGTTAAATAAGCTTAAAACAGCTTTATTTTTGAGTTTTTTGAAAGCTTTATATTGGTAAATTGTAAAATTTGAAATAATATATACCATATATTCTTATATCATGTCATTTTTTTTTGCAAAAAATTTGTAGGGGAGAGGGCGTTAAAATTTTTTCAAAAAAACTTAAATTAAATTTTTAACAAAATTTTTCAAATCTAAGTATTTCCATTATAATTAAAAATAAATTTAGCTTATTTTTATTAGTTAATTGCATGATAGTTAGGAAAACTAAATAATTCATATTAAAATCAAACCTAGTAAGTTAGCTTAAAAAATAAATATAATTATTAGAAACGTAATAATTTAATAAAATATTTAAAAGAATAATTTTCTATTAATAGGTTATTTTCATATTTATTATTGGTTATTTTGAAGATTGCTATAAATTATAATAAATAATAAAAATTTTATAACTAGATGTAATAATTAACCTAAAATAAATATAAAATATCTTTAAGTTTGAAAAAAGTATTATTAATCATAAGATTTACTTTAATTTTTAAATTTCAAAACAAAAAAATAATTACAAAACATAAATAGCAGTATCACGATATTACCTTTTTTTTTAATTTTAATTTTCATTTAGTAGCTATTTGATTAAAATTTGAATTATAAATTCATAAATTATAAATAATTAATATAAATTATTTTAATTTCACCATTGAGCTTAATTTATTTATTTTTCAACTACTTCATCTTGGTTTTAATCTATTATAATAAAAATTTATATTATAAAAATAAAACATTTAAGTTAATATCTACCTTAAAAATTTATCAATCTAAACTAAAAATTGTTCTATCTCGATGAATTCTAATAAAAATCACTCGTTTCTTATCTATAAAGGGTGGAATCTAATTATAATGTTATTAACTATTAAAAAAATTATTTAATGGATAATAATACCTTGATTTTTAAGTTTTGGAGAAAGCTAATATTTAGTCTAAAGTGATAGTGGTTGTTGTGATTGCTTTAAATTATCAAATTCACTGTTTATAGTTTCATAATCAGCTTATTAGCTAAAAAGCTATACCTTAAATTAATTTGTTATTTTTCGTGAATTAAATATCATAGATTGTTATGATTATTTTAAACCTGTATTAATAGCACTTGATCTTTCTATTCTAGTTTCATATATACTCTTTAGTTAAAGTCTTAATTTTTTAATTTTCAAAGCTGTTTTAAATCTAATAGTAGAATCTATTAATACAAATTTAAAAATCTAAGGATATTTAGTCTTCATTTTATAAAGACACTCTTAAAATAAGTTTCTGTTTTACTTATTTGGAGAAATAGGCTTAACAAATGTTAAAAACACCAGTTTCAATATAAAATATAGATTTAACATAATTATAACCAATTAAAAAAGAATAACCACAGTATAATATTAGTCAGTTATCAAAGACTAAACTAAGCAGAAATTCATAGTTGAAATACTTATTAGTATAGACTAATTCTCCAATTGATTATGTAGCTAATGAGTAAACGGATTAATTCTCATCTAAATGTAATTGTACAATATCAATATCTAATTAACTATGCAAGTCTTATTTATTATATTTATATTAGTTATTAAATAAAATTTGGTTACATAATATTTAATTTACCTTTAAAGAAAGATACTCTTACAAAAATATTGAAGAAATCATAACAGCACTCTTATACAACAATCTAACAAATTCCCAGTAGTAGTATTAGTTCTTATATGGTTCATAAATAAACTAATAAGAACTCTTTTATATTTTAGAGAGATTTAAATTAATATTTTATCTTACTTTATGAATAAAATAAAATGGGATGGCAACACATGCCACAATTATAACTGGAAAGCTAAAAATTAAGTTATAAAAAAAGTGTTCAGAAAAATCCCTACAGCTTATCAAAGTGTCGATTTAAGCATATTTTTGATTTCCAATATTTATACAATTTATTGATTTTATTAATACGAATATCATAGATGGATAAAAATAGAAATAAAAGAAAATCATCGTACTTTTCTAATACCTCTAATGAGTATTTTTCTTGTAAAATACTTTTAATAAAATGTTTATTATTTAATTAAGTAAATAAATAACAAAAGGCAGACTTAATGAGCAAATTACTTTAGCAAACCACTTAGGAATTCTAATTTCACTAGGATAAAAGCAATCAAATATGTTAGTTTATATAAGTAAAGGATTTCCTCCAACATTTGATGAAAATTAAATAATAGTAGGAAATTAGAATGAAAGGCTACTTAAAATAGATATTACTTGCAAATGGTCAATTAGAATCTTTGAACATACTGTAGAATTAGTCTTATATACTAATAAAAATAAAAATAATATAATATTTTTAAATTTAATATATTTTTACCAGAATTGCTGAGATAAATCAGACCCATCATTTTAATATAGTAATTTTATAGATCTCTTTCTATTTAGTTAATGATCTTTCTATTACATATGTAGATGTATAAAGTTAGAAAAATTATGAATATTGCTTATTCGAAACCTGCTAATACTAACATATCTGAGCATTTGGAACAATTAAATGTTTTGAATGTAGTCGAGTATCTTTATCCCCAAACATTACCAAAAAAATCACATTATTCACACAAAGGACCAACATAGCCTTCAGCACATCCAAACTATAATATAAATATTTAAAATAAAATTATATTAAATATATTTATTTCACTTCTTTTTCAAATTTAAAAGAGTGTTAATAATATTTTCATCTAAAATTAAAAAAATTTATAAAAAAGAAATAAATACTTTTGATCTCAAGCTTTGTGGTTAACAATTTTCTGGAGCATTCTCACAATAAATAATCAAATCACTCTGATTATTTTTTTTCCAATATCCATTTTTTACATGTATTTAAGAACCAAAACACTCAACAGCTTAGGACGGACAAATCTAACAAGCCTGATCATTAACGTTTAAAGAATATTTACCATCAGGGCATTAATCACAAATGATAGATGAGAAAAATTATTTTTGCACTTCTCCTGTTATGCATTATCTAAAATCAACTTTTAAATTGAGATATAACTACTTTTATTCTAAAAATAAATTTCCTTTATAATCATAAAGAGCTGGTATTGTTTAAGATAATATCTAAAATTTTGAACTTTCATTTGGAATATAAGAAAGACTTACATTAAAAGAAAACTTTCCTTTCTAATAAGTTACTATAATTCCTCCAAATATATTCATTTTTTCACTTTTATTTTACATGTTAATACTCAAAGTAGTTTGTTATATTATTTCTGTAGCACTTTTACTATATTTAAGTAAAGGATCATACTTAAAATTATAATTTTCTTCATCTACTATCTAAATATCATCCAGTACTAAATAATCACCACTTCTGAAATTCTTAACAATCATAGGCTCATTTTAAGAAAAATCTCCTTCTACAACAATCGTTTTAAGATCTTTATTAATGTTTAGCAATAACTTTCTAAGTGTTGAACCTATATTTTAGCCATACAATACGCATCCATTATCTTTCACTGTATTGTCATTAAATTAAATTAAATTTTACTAAATAATACTCGGTATCATTTTCTAATAGTAAATTCCTCCTCCAATAGATGCTCTATTATTTAAAATATTAGTTCTTTTTAAATTTAAGTCACAATTATTAATATAAATAGCACCACCTAATCCTTAGATTGCAATATTTTTTTAAAAATTACAATTTATTATAGAAGAATTTGTTGACTTTAATTAATTTTAATCTAAAAATACTGCTCCTCCTGATTCAGTTTATGATTAGTTTTCAAAGAAATCAGAGTTTGAGATATATAAATTTTGAATTTGATAAAGAAACAAAGAACCTCCATTTCCTAAAACAGATTAATTTATCTAAAATTTTGATTCAGTTATATATAATTCATCAATGTTTTAAACATTTAATGCACCTCCGTTTAACCAAGATATTTAATTTATAAAACTACTATTTTAGATTATTAATTTTAATGCAAAGTTAATTAAAATATTGCTTTACTGTTCAGATATATTATCTTTTAATTACAAATTACTAAATACTATGAAAAATCCTTCATTTTAATTGAGGAGATAAATCAAGTTACCTAAATTTCCTAAAAATTTTGACTATTCAATCAATAGATTGTTAAAGTTTATCAATCTAAGAATTTAATATCCTTAGCTCAAATTTATACTCTAAAAGTTACATTCAAATATTCGAATATTAGAAAGTTTAGAATTAATAAGATTGGTGGCCGTCTAATTCAAATTTGTAAACTGAGAATTAAAAATTGTAGATTAATTGGCCTAAATAATAAATCCTATATTTTAAGAATTTGAAATATCAAAATATGACATTGTAAGATTATTTATAGGATAAATATATGTGTTTATATAATCTTAAGTCTATAAAAGTATGATGTCTTATGCATCTCTAACAGTAACATTACTCAAATTTATATCATAGCATCCTTATAAGCTTAAAACTTAATTTCGATTTGTTTGTAAGATACGTAAATAGCTAATATCTGTTTATTATACAGCTATTGCAATGATAATACTTTCAAATTAATTTGTTATATTTTAAAAACTCAATTACTTAAAATAAATCTACTAAGATTCAATAATGTAAAAAAGAGAGCTGAAAATAGAATTGCTAACATTTAAATTTTTGATTATTAAATTTGAAACATTTTCAAGTGAAAAGAATGTTTAATTATTGATGTTAACATTATTTATAATAATGTTATCTAATATCACTTCACTACAATTTTTAAAAGTAACTAAGGGCTATTAAAAATATTATTGATAACTTATGATTGATTTGATGGTTATGTTTGAAAATATCACTTTTGGAATATTTTCAAAAACAACTTAATTTTATATGTCAATTAAATTTATGTTTTTTAATAGTATTTAATTAATGTTATTATTTTAGTTCAACATTAGCTTATTTGTAATATTTAGTTATGCATCATGAATAACTAGTTCACCTATATTAGGGTCATCAATGATACTACCATCACTCCATACTAATTAATTGTAATTTTATGTATAAATAACTGTTTCTATTTGAATTTTTTAATTTATTAAATTCGTTATCTTATGTATTTCTTAATCATTTTAAAATTGAATTTATACTTAAGATACAGTTTGGTTTGATGAATATGCATTTTATTAGATGCTTTAAATTTATTAAGAAATCATATAAGAATTTTATGATAATAAATTTGCTGTACACTCGCTTTAAGGTTGATAAGGTATCAAATAATAAATGACATCGCTCCATGATATTCCTTGTATTTGGAAATATTTTTAATTATTATTATCAAAAATTATACTAGCACTCTAGATATTAATTTTTTATTTATTCTTCTAAAATAAAATTTTGAAGCTATTATTATTTTATTAAAATTGAATAATGTAAACTGAGTCTTATTAAATTAATAAAAATGTATTTTATTAATTAAAAGACTTTATATAATCAATACTATTAAATCCAGAATTAATTTGAAAGCTTTATTTAGCTAAAGTTAGAGAATTATAAAAATAAACTGAATTAGGACAAACTGAGTAAATTAATTGGCCATCAAAATATATTTTAGCATTTATAAGACAAGGGTTCTAAATTTAAGATAGTAGTTTCAAATTAAAATCAAATATATAAGTTTTTGATATATTTGAAACACAGAAAATTATCCTTCTATTTCTATCAATAACAACATTAACAATTTAATAATCTATTTAGGTAAAACTAATCACATTAAAATGAGTAGTATCAATTATGTAGATGGTTTTTTCTTCATTTTGGATTATAAAAACTAAACTTTCATCTGAAGTGTCATAATAATTTGATTAATTAATTTCTTCAAATCTATCATCTATCTATTTACTATTATCAGAGCTTAACTTTATCATGTAGGAAATTTTAGTTGTACCTAATTTTAAAATATTATTTTAACTAAAATTTGAAACTGAGATTGGATTAGAAACTATAGAATTATTAAAAGAATAGATAACATTATTTTATTAGATTAATATTTATTAGTAATTATCCTATATATTAGTAACTGATGTTAAATTGTTATTATTAATTTCATAAAAAGCTATCTATTTTGCCTATTAATTAACTAATATAAATGTTTTATTCATAAAATCGAATAAGATATCCGTAAAAGTTTATTTTATTTCATATAAATTTTAAATCTAAAGCTTATTTTATTAAAGATTTATCTAAATTTAATAGATTTTAAAAGGTGTTATGAAAATGAAGCTTGATTCATCGATCTTAAATATATCACACTTCTATAGTGAATAAAATGCCAAATCTAATAAGATTTCATCCTAAAAGATTCTTTCTTTAAAGAGTAACAAAGAACTGGTTTACAAATTATAAGTTACTATAAAGTTATTAAATTAAATATATTAAACTGACATTTAGTTGATAAAACTTGTTTCTTTTTAAACTAAAGATTCAATCAGATCGTACACTAAAATAACTGTATCTTACCTTACAACGAGCAAAGTATTTATCTATGGAACTAATTACGTTATATTAATATTTGAATTGTTCTAGTTGAATTTATCATACAAAGCTTCATAATATATCATATCAGGATAAGTAAAGGCATGGACAAATTACTGAGTTGAAATGTAAATGAGATTATTATTAATATCAGGTATTATTTAAATAATTTGACTTTAATAGATTTGCACAATATTTGTTATATTTGTGAGGTAATAGTAAGTATATATTTAAGGAGTTTAATCAATTAAAATTATTAAATTATTTTAAGGAATGAAACAAGTCAAATTTTTGAAAAAACTAGATTGAGTGTTGTAATTATACTTTTGCAAAGCTTAGTTATAATCCACAACTGTTATTAGTTTATTACTACCAATTAGTACAATTAACTAATTATTTTAAAGATCATAGTACATTTCAGTGTTCGGAGAAACATAACTGTATAATTAATATTCTATTTATTAAGAACCTTTCTAATAGTATTAGCTAAATTTGCTATGGGGGTAAATTATAAGCTAGTTCTGTACATCTATTATAGGATTAGAATTTAAGTTGTTTCTGTATGATAAGTAATCAGCCTAAATATAAAAAAATATTTTATTACATTAATATAATCTATGATTTTTAATGAATTTACTAATTAAAAAGAGCCAATTGATCCATCAGTTAAATTAAATAGTTTCAGGTAAGGAGACTAAGTAAAGATTAAATTATTTTAACATTGGATTTAAAATGAAAGAGTATATTTTGTTGTGATAAAAGGCGTAATGTCACTTAAATCTAAAAATATTCCAGTTGAATTATTTCCTTGATACTATAAAAATTAAATTACTTTAAAATAAGTAAGCAAAAAATAAATAAATTACGTTAAAAATAAAAATTTAATTTGTGGTTGTCTAAACAACAAGTTATTGTTATTAATAACATATTTCAATTCTTTTTATTCCAGTAAATTTTTATACCAAATATACTTATCCGTTTGCTAAGTTAGGGTTGAAAATTTTTACAGATCCATCTATTTAAGAATATATAAAGATATCTTAATATGCATCTACTATTATTTGTGTAAAAAAATCAGCAAAATTAAATACTTTAAGTATTTAATTCTTCAAAACATGCATTTTTATTATCTATTTTTTTATTGTATCATAATAATAACTCAACTATAAAGTTTCACTAAACCAAGTTTTAATTAGTACATAATTATTTTACCTTTAATCTATATTTGATATTGGAATATTTTAAATATTTTTAGCCATTTTTAAAATATTATCTTATATTCTAAAATATGTTAAGTCATTTATATTTGATAATAGATTATTAGTATGCTCAAAAGTCTAAGTATTTAATAAGATAAAAAGCCTATATTGAATAACAAATTTTCCAATTATTAATATTTCTTAATTTTCATATAAGATTGTAGGAGCAGATTTTGATATTATTATTTGCAATTAATTTGTCTTGAGCTAAATTAAATCAAATTAGTAAAAAAAGCTTGAGCCAATAAAAAATAAAAATCTATCAATATTAAAGACATTAATTTTTGTTAGATAATCAAATGGAATAATTATTTTATTAATCAGTAGTAATTATTAATTGTAAACTCGAATTTCTTTATTAATGATAATAAGAATTTATCCTTAATAAAGAATGCACTAGAAAACTGTATTTACATAATCTAATTAAATTTAATTACTATTGTTGATTGACTTTATATCTAATTGGAATTCCTAAATTAATTAATTATTAATAATTAAATAAATAGAGTTATTTAAAGATGCTGGTAACTATCTAACTTCGCCATTTAAAAGATTATTTGAAAAAAGTAAGCTATTTACAAGTGTATTTTCGTTATTTATATAAAATTCTTGCTTTAAATTAATAAGGTCAAATCCAAAAAATTATCCTTTTTAATCTATAAAAAGCAATTTTTTATTTTAAAAAGTAAAGAAAGTCACCGTTATTGCATATGTGTCGTCAAATTGATAGAATTCTTTCACTTTAAAATTCAGAATGGTATTATACAAAGTGAAAGGTTATCTCTAAAAAAGATATCCTGGTTATTCAAAGTAAAAAGTATCAACTTATGATAAATTAGAAAAGCATTTATCATTGATATTAAAAATGATTTATCCAAGTAAAATATCTTTTATTATGATTTAACACAAGGAACTTTGAATCAATACAGAATAAAGATGCTTATTATTTCCTAAATACATTTAACGCTACTTAATTTAAGATAAAAAAATATCTTAATAAGATCTTATAAAACTTCTTTTAATTTAAAAGTTTTATAAATTATACAAATAGTATGTGATATAAGTCACCAAATCAAATTATAATTGATTTAAATCAACTAAAATGCAAGTATTACTATCACTTTTTTATAACTTAAATATGTAATCATTTTATAAAATTATTTCTTAGCTTTGTTTATTTGATGTAATTATTTTTTTCATTTCCAAATTCTAATCATTTATTTCAAATTCAATATAAAAAATTTAATTATTATTATTTAAGATATAAAAGACCTAATTCTTCATAACTATTAAAGACATTGATGATAAAAAATCTTTATTTAAATCAAAACTATACTTTAAAATAGCTGATAATTAACTTTCTTTGTATTATTAATAATTTAATTAGTCAAATACTATTAAATTTGCAAAAGCCACGATTATTGAAGTTTAATTAGTATTTTATTATTAATAAAAAGTAAATGCTAAAGAAATAGATTTAATATCATTAATAATTTTATAGATAGGTAGAACATTATCTTTTTGAATATAATATACTATTGAATTAGTATGTCCTTAAATATAAAATAACTTTTAGTCCTCATCAAAAAAATATTAAGAGCTGTAATCAATATTTATTTCTAAGATTATTTTAGTTGATAGCAATGCTTAATCAAATTGAAAAAAATATCCTTATTATTTAGAATCAGTAGCAAAAAAAATCATATTTTAGAGGTTTGCAACATATATAGAGCGAAATTTTTGATCAAATTTAATTATTTTATTTTCTTTTCTAAAATAAAGCACAGCACTTTAAATTTCCTTTAAATTAAAAACAAATGTATCAACTATTAAATTTTAAATTAAAAATTTACATTTTAAATATTAGTGCTCTGATACAAATAAATTTGCTAAGAAGAATTTATGCTCATATATTAAAAAATATATAAATTACTTGTTTCTATGAGAATCTATTCATTATTTAAATAGTCAAAAAATGTAAAACCTCCTTAATTCTTCTGTAAAACTAATAGATGATTCTCTACATCTAGTTAGTAAAGACTATAAAAAATATTAAATTCATTACTTATTTCGAATTCTATTTTATAAGTTAAAAAATTGAATCCAATTAATTTTTGCTTTGTTTAACATCCTCCTACATTTCTGTCATAAAAATTTGATGAACCATAAACAATTGTTTTATCTAGTGGATTTTAAACTAATAAATTTGAATAAACAGTCTCAAGATTTAAATTGTAAAGGTAGAACTAACATGTAGAATCCCCCATTAATAGAAATCCGTTATCAATAAAGGTCTGTACTGAAATCGATTAGAAAAAATCCTTTTTTTGCATTTCTTGGAAATAGTTGCAATTTTAAATCGGGACACACAATTATGTATTTTAATCTTTTATTTCATTTTTGCTGCATTAATAAGAGCATTACTTTTAAAATAATGAATAGTATTATTATTAATCGCATGTATTATCATTTAAGAGACATCCAGATTTTTCATCTAATTTCAAATTATCAGTGCATTTAATGCACCTTTAATTTTAAAGACATTAATCACAACCCAACACTGAGCAAATATCGCATGTATTTGTTTTTTGGTTTATATACATTCCCAAACCGCATTTTTCTTTGCAAGAATTATCAACTCCCTATCTATAATAGTTATTCATGCAAGTCAAGCAATCATTTTAAGTTAATCCACTACATGTGTTACAATGATCATCACATTTTAGACATTTCTATGATACAAAATCATAGATTTCTCCATCATTAAGACAGTTTTAACTAAAAACTATTTATATATAAATATAAAAAGTTAAAAGTTTTGTGAAAGAATATTTGCTTCTTTGATTCATCATATATTAATTTTTTGCCTTTTTTTTAATTTAATTAATTATAATCAAAAGTTAACCAATAGAATTTTAGATTTAATAATATCAATCAAAAATTCACTCAACTCAGTTAATAAAAGGCAAAAAACTTTCAGTAATTTTAAATAATATAAAATTCAAATGTATAGTCCTCCATCAAATAAAAAATCTATATATATTTAAATTAATTATCATCTAATAATAATTTAAATATGATCTCTAGTCAAAGAATGAAAATAGAAGTAATAAATAGTTTTCTACTTTTAAATTCAAATATTAGAGCTGAGTTAATCCTAAAATTTCGATCAGATATCGATTCGATTCCGATTTAATCTAGATCGGATTGGGTGATTTTTTATATAGTAAATAATATTGGGAAATAAAATTTTTAAAGAAGAGAAAAAAATTTTTAGTTAACTTTTTTATTTATTAGAAACTTTTACCTTGAAGATAAATATATTAAAATATATCTTAAATTTTCTACTTTAATTTTATTTTTAAATATTTAAATGGTAAAATATGTTTATTTATTCTTATCTTAAATTAAGACTAAAAAGCTTTTATAACAATGAAATTAAAGAGTTAGTTTAAAAAAATAAACTTGCATCCTATTTTGTAAGCTAAATTAATATTAAAGTGTAATTAAATGAAAATATTATTATTTAAAAAAAATATTTACTTAATATATAATTTATAAATTAATACAAATTAAATAATCAATTCATACTTTTATCATTTTATTTTAATATACTTTCATCAGTTTATTGATCTAGTACAATAAAATAATTTTAATAAAATAAAGTATTTCAATTAATTTTTATTTACCTTTAAGATTTAGTAATCTGAATTAGAAATGATTCTATTTTTGTGGACTCTAAAAATCAAATATATCTTACCTGCCTAAAGATGATTCTATTTTAATTATATTTATATTTTAAAAACTCTTTAAAAATTAAATATACCTTATTATTTGAACTTTGCTTAAAGCTAATATTTATTCTGTAGAGTTTAAGGCTAATAAGGCTGCTTTAAATTTTCAAACTCTGTATTTATAGTTTCATTTTCAATTTATTAACTAAAGAATGATATTCTAAACTAATTATTTGGTGATTTTAGTTAGGTAGGTATCGAAGACTATTATTATTTTTGTTAAGTCTAATAGACGCTAAATTTTTCATTTCCAATTTCAATATAAATTTTTAATTTGGACTTTAGTTTTTTGATTTTCAAAGCTGTAGAAAATTTTATTTTATAGTCTATTTATATAAAGGTAAATAATGATGGGTATTATGTTTTTAGACTATACAAACATTATTAAATTATATTTCTATTTTCTTTCATAGCAGGAATAGGTCTTACAAAAGTTAAAAATAGTGTCTTAAATATAAAATTGAAGTTTAAGATTATAATTAAGAATTAAAATATTATGATTGGAGTATAGAATTCATCAATCAGCAAAGACTATGCTAAACAAAAATTTAGAGTTGAAATACTTATTAGTATAGATTAAGTTTCTAATTCATTATGAAACTTGTTAGTAAATGGACTGACCTTCATTTAGAAGTAATTGTATAATATTAGAATTTGATTTATTATGCAAGTCTGATTTTAATATTTTAAAAATATAATTTGGTAAAATTTAATTTTATTTAATAAAATTAATTACTTTCAAGGATAAGGATTCTTATAAAAGTATTGAAGAAATCATAACAGAACTCTTGTAAAATAATCTTATAAATTCCCAGTAGTAGTATTAATTCTTATAAGGTTCATAAATAAACTAGTAAGAACTCTTTTGTATTTTATTGAGATTTTAATTTATATTTTGTCTCACTTTATAAATCAAGAAAAGAGGGAGAGCAATACACATCACAAATATTGCTGGAAAGCTAAATAATAAATTATAAATAAAGTGATCAGAGAAATTCCTACAACCTATTAAAGTGTCTATTTATGCATATTTCTCATCTCCAATATTTATACAATTTATTGATTTGATTAAGATAAATAAAATGGATGGATAGAAATAGAAATAAAAGAAAATCATTGTAGTTTTCTTATACCTAGAATGAGTATTTTACTTGTAAACTACTTGTTAAAAAATATTTATAAGGTAATTAAGAATGTAAATGACAAAAGGCAGACTTAATGAGCAAATTACTTTAGCAAACCACTTTGGTATATTAATATTTTTAGGGTAAAAGCAATCAAACATGTTTGTTTAAATCACCAAAGGGTTTCCTCCAACATTAGAAGAAATTTAAATTAAAGTAGGAAATTAGAAGGAAATACTACTTAAAATAGATATTATTTGTAAATGATCAATCAAAATCTTTGAATATACAGTAGAATTAGCCTTATAGACTGATATAAAAAAAATTAAAATAGCTTTAAATTAACTAATATTTACCAGAATTATTGAGATAAATAAGACCCATCATTTTCAGATAATAGTTTTATAATTCTCTTTCTACTGAATTAATAATCTTTCTATTGCAAGCGTATATGTACAAAGTTAACACCACTAAAAATATTACTTATGAGATACCTGAAAGTATTAAAGTATCAGAGCACTTTGAACACTTAAATGTATAGAAAATAGTAGAGTATCTTTATCCCCAAACATCACCCAAAAAATCACATTATTCACACAAAGGACCAACATATCCAACTGCACATCCAAACTATTATAAAAAATTTAATTAAAATTCTATGATTTAAAGAATTTAATTGATTTTTTTTTTAAATATTAAAAGTTAGTTTAAAAATTTTTAATTTATATTAAAATTTAATACTTACTTTTGACTCTATATTTTAAGGTTGGCAGTTATTTGGGGCATTTTAACAATATAGAATTTAATTGGTTTAGTTATTTTTTCTCCAAAACCCATTCTTTACTTATATTATAGATCCTTAACATGATACTGCAGATGAAGGACATATTTAACAACTTTGATCATTTAGGCTAAGAGAATATTTTCCATCAGGACATTGATCACAAATAATTGAAGAAAAAAAATCTTTTTGAATTTCTCCAATTATACATTTTCTAAAATCGACTTTGAAATTCAAAGATAATTACTTTTAAGAAAGAAATAAAATTCCCTTAGAATTATAGAGAGGAGGAATTATCTAAGACTGTATTTAAAGAGTCGAGCTTTGATTAGGAATATAAGAAAGACTAATATTAAAAGAAAACTTTCCTTTCTAAAAGGTGGCAATATTTCCTCCAAATATATTCATTTTTTCACTTTTTGCTTATATATTTATTGTCATAGTTGTTTATTAAATTATTTCATTTACACTTTGACTATAACTTAGTAAGGGATTGTACTTAAAGTATTGATTTTCTTCATCTAAAATTTAAATATCATCAATGAACATATAATCACCGCTCCTAAAATTGCTAACAATAATGGACTCAACCTATTATTAATCACCTCTTTCTACAATAAATTAAGGATTATTTATTTAATATAACTCTATCTTTCTTAGTGTTGAACCAATATTTTAACCATACAAAATACATTAATTATCTTTTACTGTATTATTATTAAGTAAAACTAAATTACGTTAAATAATATCTGGTATCATGTATTAATAGTATATTCCTCCACCTATAGCTGCTTTATTATTCAATATATTTGTGTTTTTTAAATTTAAATCACAGTTGTTTATAAAAATAGCACCTCCTAATCCTTAGATTGCCTTATTTTTTTAGAAGTTACTATTTATTATAGAGGAAGTAGTAGTCTTTAATTAATTTTAATCTAAATACACAGCTCCACCTGATTAACTTTATGTTTGATTCTCAAGGAATTTACAGTTAGAAATCGATAAATTTTAAATTTAATAGAGAAACAAAGAACCTCCATTTCCTAAAATAGATTAGTTTATCTAAAATTTAGAATCTATAATATTCAACTAATCAGTATTTTAAATATTTAATGCGCCTCCATTTTGGTTAGATATTTAGTTTATAAATTCACTACTTTAAATAGTTAACTTTTATGCAAAATTAATCATAATAATACTTTATTAATTCGATATATTGTCTTATAATTTTAAATTAATAAATAATATTGAAAATCCATCATTTTAATTTAGTAGATAAATCTAATTTCCTATGTGCCCTTAAAAATTTGATTTTTATATTAATAGATTATTAAAGTTTATTAGTTTAAGATTTGAATACCCTTCACTTAAATTTATGTTCTAAAAATAACACTCTACTATTTCGATATTAGAGAGCTAAGAGTTTATTAGATTTGTAGTTGTTTAATTTATGTTATTAAAATGTGAATTAAAAATTTAAGTTTAATTTGCTTGTATTAAAAAACTAACATTTTAAGAATCAGTAACGTTGAGCAATTCAATTTTAAGATTGCTAATAGGATATATTAATACTTTTTGATAGGGTTAAGTTAAAAAAAGTATAATATCTTGAACGTTTATAACTACTATTTGGCTCAATTAAACAATATTACATCCTAAAAAGCTAAAAATTTAGTTTTTATTTGTTTGTTAAATACTTAAAGTACTAATTTTTATTTATTCTACAACAACAGCTATTATTAAACTTTAAGAATAATTAGTTATATTTTTTAGATTTATTTGATTTAAATTGATTTAACCTGATCCATTTATTTTAATGAGAGAACTAAAAATAGAATGAGTTACATTTACATTATTTAGCATTAAATTTGTACAATTTTCAAATTGGAATAATGTTTAATTATTTAGGTTAACATAATTTATGTTGATATTTTTAAATATAACTTCACTGCAGTTTTTAAAAATTATCAAGGGTTATTAAGAATTTTAAAGTTAACTTGTGAATTATTAAATAGTTAGATTTGAAAATATTACTTTTTGAATATTTTCTAAAAAAACTTAATTTTATATGCTAATTATATTTAAATTGTATAAAAGTAATTCCTCAATATTATTATTTTAGTTCAATGTAAGATTATCTGTAACATTTAGCAAGGCATCATGAATTACTAGCTCGCTTATATTCGGATCGTCAACAATACTTCCATCATTCCAGATTATTGTATTGTAATTTTATGTATAAAATACAACTTATATTTTAATATCTTACTATTGTAAATCCATAAATTTGCTTATTTAGGAATTATTTTATAATTAAATTTACACTTTGGCTACTATTTGATTTGAAAATTTGGCATTTTATTATATCTTTTGAATTTAATAAGAACTCATATTTTGATTTTCCAAACCTAAATTATATGTACATATATCTTAAGGTTAGTAAGGAATTAAATAATATATAATATCAGTCCATGATATTCCTTCTATTTAGAAATATTTTTAATTGTTTTCATCAAAAATTATACTTGCATTTTAAATATAGATTCTTTATTTATTTTTCTAAAACAAAATTTAGATACCACTTTATTAAACTTGTAATATGTAAACTGAGTCTTGTTCTAATAAGATAAATGTATTTTATGAGTTAAACGACTTAATATATTCAATACTAGTAAACCCTGTATTAATCTGATATTCTTATTTAACTAAAGTGAGCTAATTATAAAAATAAACTGAATTTGGACAAACTGAGTAAATTAATTGATCATCGAAAAATATTTTAGCACTTACAAGGCAAGGATTCTTAATCTAAGATATTAATTTTAAACCAAAATCATAAATATAAGTAAATGATATATTTGAAACACAGAAAATAATTCTCCTTTTCCAATCAACAACAACATTAATAATTTTGTAATCTAGTTTAGCCTAATTAATCACAATAAGTTAAGAAGCATCAATTATATATATGGTTTTTTCTTCATTTTTTACTATAAAAATTAAGCTTTCATTTGTATTATCATTATAATTTGATTAGTTAATATTTTCAAAAATATCATCTAATTATTTAGTTTAATTAGAACTTAACTTCACCATATAAGTAATATTTGTGTTATCTAGTTTTAATTGGTTATTTTATCTTGTATTTATATTTATAGAAGTAATTAAGTTTCCAAAAGTGTATATAATATTATTATTTTGGATTAATATTTACTAGAAATTGCTTTACAAATTGTCAAAAAATACCAAGCTCTGACTATTTATATTATAAAAATAGACTTATTTTGTCTAATAATCAGTTAATATTAAGATTTTATTGAAAAAATCAAATAAGGCATCAGAGTATGATTAATTTATTTCTAATTGATCAATAACTTAAAAAATATTTTTCTAAAAGTTTATTTAAATATTAAAGATTCTGAAAGGTGTTATGAAAATTAAACTTTGTTCATCAATCTTAAATAAATCACATTTCTGCAATGTGAAAAATGCTAAATCTATCAAGAGCTGATCCTGAAAGAGTCTATCTTTAAATAGAAGCAAACAACTAGTTTACAAATTGTATGTAACAATATAGTTATTAAACTAGATAAATTGAATTTAGATTTAATTTATTAAGCTCTTTTCTTATTATATCAAACATTCTATTAAATCATAAGCTAAGATCACTTAATCTTACCTAACTACAAATAAAGTATTTATTTATGTTGATAGTAGTGCTTTATCAATTTTTGAGTTATTTTCATTGAAATTATCATTCAAAGTCTCATAGTAGATTATTTAAGGGAATTTAAAGGCATGAACAGATTATTGGGTTAAAATGTAGATAAAATTATTGTTAATGTCTGGTAAAATTTACTAAATTTCATTAAAGTAAATTGGTACAATATTTGTAACATTTTTGAGATAATTGTAACTATATACTTAAGGAGTTGGGTCAATTACAATTATTAAATTATATTAAGGAATAAAGCAAGTTAATTTTTTATTGAAATTTGATTAAATATTGTACTTATATTTTTGTAAAGCTTAGTTATAGTCAACAACTGTAATAGTATTATCATTTCCATTTAACACTATCAAGAAATTATTTTAAATATCATAATACATTTCAGTAAAAGAAGAAGCATAACTATATAATTATTATTCTATTATTTAGTTACCTTTCTAATAATATTAGCTAAGATAACTGTGAGGATATATTATTAGCTTATTTTATATATCTATGATAGGACTAGAACCCAAATAATTTTTGTATTATAAGTAATTAGACTAAATAATAAAAAAATTAATTAAATAGGTTAAAAAATTTATTAAAAAATATACCAATTAAAAAGAACTAATTGATCCATCTATTAAGTTAAATAGTTTGACTACAGGCGACTCAGTGTAAATAAGATTATTCTAGCATTACAGTTAAAACCTTAGAGGTTGTTTTTAGCTAATAAGTGGTGAAATATCACTTAAATCTAAAAAAATACCATTATTGTTTCCTAAATACTTTTATATTTTAAATTATATTTAAAATAACGATAAGAAAATAATTAAATCTAAATTACGTTGTATACAAAAATTTGATTTTTAGATGTCTAAACAATTATTTGTTTTTAATAAAAACATATTTCTATTCTATTGATATCAGAAAACTTTTGTACCAAAGTTACCTAACCACTATTTAGCTGAGAATTAAAGAGTTTTAGAGATCCATCGCTTTATAAATAAATAAATACATCATTTTATGCATCAACGAATAAATTAGTATAAGTTTCATAAAAATTGAATGCATTTTCAATTTAACTCTTCAAAACATTTGTTTTTACAATCTAACTCTTGTTTATGTCAAAGGTATAACTGTACTATAAATTTTCATCAAGCCAATAATAAATTAATGTTTAATAATTTTATTTTGGATCAATAGATACTATTGGATTATTAAAAATATTTTTTGCCATTTTTATCAGGTAATCACTCTTCATAAAATAGACTTAATCATCAGCTTTTGATAAAAATGTGGATTCATTTTTAAAATCCTCAGTATTTAATAAAATAAATAACTTATATTAAATGACATATTAACTAATTATAACTATTTCCTAGTTTTTAAATATCTTCACATAATAATATATTATCTTATTTATTGGTAACTTAGATGCTTGTAGTGAAACTAAATCAAAGCGGTATAAAAAGTTTGAGCTCATAAAAAATATAAAATCATCTATAATAAATGGGTATTTTGTACTTTAGTCAAATGGAGTTGTAATTATTTTGGTTAAAACTAATTGTTGGTTGTATATTTTTATTTCATTACCTTTGACAATAATAATTTATCCTTAGTAAATTAAGTAGCTAAAATCTATGTTTTAATAATCTATTTAGAGTGAACTAGAGTCATTTATTTAATAAGTGGGTAGTTAGAATTCTTAAATTAACTAATTGTTTATAATTAAGTATATTGAATCATTTATAGAGACAACCTACTTTTCTAGATCACTGTCTCTATATATGGTAGATTATAGTAAGGCAGTAACTAATTTAATTTAGCTGCTGTAATATGATTCTTTTTAAAAAGAATTAAGGTCAAATCCAAAAAAATTTCCATTTTTATCAATAAATAGTAACTTCTAGTTTTTATAATTATAGAATGATATATTTCTTGATTAATCTACATCAAATTTATAGAATTGAGCTACTTTAGAATTATTTTTGATATCATATAAACCAAATGGCTATTTTTAAAAGAGAAGTCCATATTATTAAATATAAAAAGTTTCAATAGTTGATACAGAAGTAAAGCATTAATCAAATAAATTGAAAATTATTTATTCAAGCAAAATATCTTTTATTAATATCTAACATTAGTTTAGTGAAATTTAGAAAGTAAAAAGCATTAGATTAAATCCCAAATACATTTGAGATTTATGAAATAAAGGATTATCTATTTATAAAATAGGTCTTATTTTGCTTCTTTTAATTTGGAAATATTATAAATTGTATAAGTAAAATTATATTTGGTTAAATAAATCATATCTGATTAGGTTATTATTTATAAGTGTAAGTATATTGCTATTAACTGAATATGCCTAAAATGGAGAATCATCATATAATTTTATTTCTTAGCTTTGTTTGATTGATGATATAATATTAATTTTTTAAATTTTATCATCAATTATCTAGAATTAAAATGAAAAGATCTAGTTATTATTATTTAAAATATATATTATTTAGTTACCAATAATACTTAAAGTTTGAGAAACTAATATCTTATCTAAATATAATTAATGTTAATTAATTTTAGATAGTTAAAATTCGTTGTATTAATTATAGCTTAATTATTAATAAATGATAATGTTGTTTGAGATGATCATAACTATTGTTGGTTAATTCTAATTTTATTGCTAATAGAATGTAATAAGTTAAGCATATGAAGCTAGATCATTAGTTATTTTTGCTATATTTACAACTTTATCATTTTATAAGTAAAAAACACTGATTTATTATTTTCCCTAAATACAAACTAAATTTAAATCTTAGTTCTAAAAAAATTAATACATAGTATCTAATTACATTTAATTTATTATATTAACTGATAAATTTCTTTCGTCAATTTACAAAAAGTAACCTTAGCTTTCAATCTAATTTATAGCAAAAAAAACCATATTTTCTAAATTAATAATACTAAATTAGACAAATAATAATTCTAACTCAATCATTTTATTTTGTTGTTTTAAATAAAGATTTGCATTTTGATATACCTATTAATTTATAAATGTAAATATAATTAATAAATAAAATAAAATTTAAAATTACATATGAATTCTTGAAGTACGAACAGATAAAAATCTATTTAGAAGTATTTATCAATTCAAATTATGACAGCTAGTATTTGTTTTCTTCACTATAAACTATCTATTATTCTATGTAGTCATAAATTACAAATCCTCCTTAATTATTCTGCAAAACTAACAAGTGGTACTCTACATAAACTTTAAAGAGGCTATATTATATATTTTATTAAGTGCTTAACTCAAATTCTATTTTATTTGTTAAAAAGTTAAAACCGATCGTTTTTTATATAGTTTGGCACCCTACAACATTTCTATCAACAAAATTTTAAGGGCCATAATTGATAGTTTTTACTTATGCATTTTAAATTAACAATTTATTATTAATTGTATTTAGATTTAAATCATAGAGGTAGAATTAACAAAGAAAATCTGCTAATATGAAGTATTTATTATCTAAAATGCTCATTAAAGGACTTCTTTCAAAGAAATTGATTTTTTCAGTTTCTTGGAAGTAGTTACAATTCTAAATAGGTACACAAAATTTTGTTTTTTAATCTTTTATTTCATTTTTACTGCAATCATAAGTACATTATCTGGAAGAAACTGAGTAATATTATTATTAATCACAAATATTATCATTTAAAATACATCCTTATTACTTATCAACAATTAAATTTTCGCTACATTGAACACATTACTCATTTGAATTGCATAAATCACATCCAAATACTTTGCAATAGTCACAAGTACTTGTTTTTTAGTTAAAATACATTCCCTTTTTACATTCTTATTAACAGCTATTATCAGATGAATATCTTAAATAATTATTCTTACACTACAAGCAATTATTTTAAGTCAACCCGTTACAAGTCTCACAAGTTCCAAAACATTTTAAGCATTACTGTTTTACAAAATCATAAATCTCTGCACTCTAACAATTTTAGCAATAAACTTCTTATACTAAAATATAAAAAGTTAAACACTATAAAATTAACAACTTTTTAATTTAACTTATCATTGATTTTGTTTTTTGCTTTAGTAATAAATGATTTAATATAAATATAATAAAAATTCAACTTTGTATAGCAAAAGCAACAAAATTTTTGGTTTTTATAAATATAAAAATTAGAGGTCATTACATATAAGCTTGTTAAAATATTAATCTTTAGAAGTATTATAATTTTTTTTTCCTTTTTACAAATGAGATCATGTATTTTTGTAAAAAAAAAGAAAATTAAATTTTAATTTGTTTCATTCTTTTATTAATATATTTTTTCTTCTAATTAAAAGAGTTTGCAATTTGAAATAAGTTTTAAATTTGTTTGCATAATTTATGAATTTAATATATTTTAATAATTTTTTTATGTTTTTTTAAATAATATGATATCACTTTTGTGTTACCATATCTTAAAATAAGATCTTACATATCTAAATAAACAAATTATTTTTAAAAATAAATTAAAATATGTTTTTACTTTTAAAATCAAATATCAAAAGTTCTCTAAAATAAGCTAAAATTCAAAGTACAAATTAAGGTGATCAAAATTTAACATCTTTTAGTTTCATTAATTCTTAAATGTTTTAATTGATAAATAAACAAATAAGTTAGTACTTTTGATTCTGAATTTTATAGTTAATTTTCTAGAGCATTCACCCAATAAAAATCTAATAATTGTTTTTAATTCCATTTTTTACTGGTATTTAAAAACTAAAAAATTCTACACCTCGAAAAACATATCTAATAAGAATCATCATTAACATTTATAAAGGTTTAACATGAAAATTGTAACTAAAATCTAAAAATATTCAGTTCCATTATTTCATTTATTCTATTGTAGTTAAATTACTTTAAAATATATTAAAAGCATTTAAATAAATAAATTACCTTAAAAATTAAAATTAAATTTGTGATTCTCTCAACTATTAACTATTGTTATTAAATATAAGTTCCAATTCTTTTTATTCCAGATATGATATGATATAATTTTTATAAAAATAAGCTATTACCAAGCTTAAATAAATTCATGCAAACATTTATAAATTAAGTGAAAATTCCAATTTTTATTATCATTAAGAAATAAAATAATTATTTAAAAATATTTTTTGATTTTGTTTTTAATTATATAGCAAAACATTAAAATTAATTACTAATAGTTTTGTACTTATCCTTTGTCATATAAATGATTTAAATTCATGAATTAAAATATTTACACAAAGTTAAAACTATATTTTATTTTAAATATTTACCATTTTTGAGAACTGGAATATATTCAATATAAATAAAAAATTATCTTTTCCATTAAAATAATAAAAATTTATAATACTTTTAAAACTAATTTATGAAATAATAAATATTAAGGTTAAAAGAAATTTTCTTTTATTAAAACTGATTAAAACTTAAAAGAAAATTTATATCAATAGGTGTGCGATCAGATGAATATATACCACCGATTCAGTAAGTTAAAGTTATTAATAATAAAAATAAATAAAAACCTAAAGCAGCTTTATAGAAAACTGAGGGATAATAATGGAGGGATTGTGATAGTTAAATATAATTTTAATAAAATAAAATTATTAATTCGGCCAAGTAAATTTCACTAAAATATAATTTCCCATAATCAAAAATTTCCCCCCATTTTAATCTTTTTAAGTAATAGAAAAATAATTAATTTTGTATAAATTTTATCATAAATTCAACTTTAACTTTTGTTTTAATTATCATTTAAATTGAGTAGTTTTTTGATTAAAATTTTGATTATAAATTCATATATAACATTTTATATTTATTCAAAAAAATTATTTTTATTTCACAATTGAGTTTAATTGTTTTATTTTTCAACTACTTCATCCTGGCATTGATCTATTATTATTTATATTATTTTATAAAAATAAAACATTCAAGTTAATATTTACCTTAAAAATTTATCAATCGAAGCTAAAAATTGCTTTATCTCAATGAAATTTAAGAAAAATCACTCGTTTCTTATCTAATAAGGGGTGAATCTAATTTTAATGTTATTAAATATTAAAAAAATATTTAATGATTAATAATACCTTGATTTCTAAGTTTTGCTGAAAGCTAATATTTAGTCTAAAGAGTTAGTGGTTGTTATGATTGCTTTAAATTATCAAATTCACTGTTTATAGTTTCATAGTCAGTTTATTAGCTAAAAAGTTATACCTTAAATTAATTTGCTATTTTTTGTGAATTAAATATCAAAGATTGTAATTATTATTTTTAACCTGTATTAATAGTACTTTATCTTTCATTTCTTGCTTCATACACACTCTTTATTTAAAGTCTTAGTTTTTTAATTTTCAAAGCAGTTTTAAATCTTATAGTAGAATCTACTTATACAAATTTAAAAATCTAAGGATATTTAGTCTTCATTTTATAAAGGCACTCTTAAAATAAGTTTCTGTTTTACCTATTTGGAGAAATAGGTTTAACAAATGTAAGAAACAATAGTTTCAATACAAAGTATAGATTTAACATAATTATAACCAATTAAAAAAGGATAACCACAGTATAATATTAGTCAGCTATCAAAGACTAAACTAAGCAGAAATTCAGAGTTGAAATACTTATTAGTATAGATTAATTCTCCAATTAATTATGAAGTTAATGAGTAAACGGATTAATCCTCATCTGAATGTAATTATACAATATCAATATTTAGTTAACTATGCAAGTCTTATTTATTATATTTAAATTAGTTATTAAATAAAATTTGGTTACATAATATTAAATTTACTTTTAAAGAAAGATACTCTTACAAAAATATTGAAGAAATCATAACAGCACTCTTATACAACAATCTAACAAATTCCCAGTAGTAGTATTGATTCTTATAAGGTTCATAAATAAATTAATAAGAACTTTTTTGTATTTTAGAAAGCTTTTAATTCATATTTTATCTTACTTTATGAATAAAAAAAAATGGGATAACTACAAATACCAGAACTATAACTGGAAAACTAAAAATTAAGTTATAAAAAAAGTGTTCAGAAAAATCCCTACAGCTTATCATAGTGTCGATTTAAGCATATTTTTCATTTCCAATATTTATACAATTTATTGATTTTATTAATATAAATATCATGGATGGATAAAAATAGAAATAAAAGAAAATCATTGTAGTTTTCTAATACCTCGAATGAGTATTTTTCTTGTAAAATACTTTTAATAAAAAGTTTATTATTTAATTGAGTAAATAAATGATAAAAGGCAGACTTAATGAGCAAATTACTTTAGCAAACCACTTCGGAATTCTAATTTCACTAGGATAAAAGCAATCAAATATATTTGTTTATATTAGTAAAGGATTTCCTCCAACATTTGAAGAAAATTAAATTATAGTAGGAAATTAGAATGAAAGGCTACTTAAAATAGATATTATTTGCAAATGATCAATTAGAATCTTTGAACATACTGTAGAATTAGTCTTATAAACTAATAAAAATAATAATAGAAAAGTAATTTTAAAATTAATATATTTTTACCAGAATTATTGAGATAAATAAGACCCATCATTTTAATATAGTAATTTTATAGGTCTCTTTCTATTTAGTTAATGATCTTTCTATTACATATGTAAATGTACAAAGTTAGCAAAATTATGAATATTGCTTATTCGAAACCTGCTAATACTAACATATCTGAGCATTTGGAACAATTAAAATTTTTGAAAGTAGTTGAGTATCTTTATCCCCAAACATTACCAAAAAAATCACATTATTCACACAAAGGACCAACGTAGCCTTGAGCGCATCCAAGCTATAAAATAAATATTGTAAATAAAATTGTATTTAAGTATTTTAATTTAACTTCTTTTTCAAATTTTAAAGATTGTAATATTGATATGTTCATAAAATATCTTTTTATTTGTAAAGAAATAAATTATTACTTTTGATTCCAAACTTTCTGGTTAACAATTTTCTGGAGCATTCTCACAATAAAAAATCAAATCACTCTGATTGTTTTTTTTCCAATATCCATTTTTAACTTGTATTTATGAACCAAAACACCTTATAGCTTAGGATGGACAAATCTAACAAACCTAATCATTAACATTTAAAGAATATTTACCATCAGGGCATTAATCACAAATGATAGATGAGAAAAATGATTTTTGCACTTCTCCTGTTATGCATTATCTAAAATCAACTTTGAAATTGAGAGATAACTATTTTTATTCTAAAAATAAATTTCCTTTATAATCATAAAGAGCTGGCATTTTTTAAGATTATATCTAAAAATTTGAGCTTTAATTTGGAATGTAAGAGAGACTTACATTAAAAGAAAATTTTCCTTTCTAATAATTCACTATAATTCCTCCAAATATATTCATTTATTCACTTTTATTTTACATGTTAATACTCAAAGTAGTTAATTATATTATTTCTGTAGCACTTTGACTATATTTTAATAAAGGATCATACTTAAAATTATAATTTTCTTCATCTATTATCTAAATATCATCCAGTACTAAATATTCACCACTTCTGAAATTCTTAACAATGATAGGCTCATTTTAAGAAAAATATCCTTCTACAACAATCGTTTTAAGATCTTTATTAATGTTTAGCAATAACTTTCTAAGTGTTGAAGCTATATTTTAACCATACAATATGCATCCATTATCTTTCACTATATTTTTATTAAATTTAATTTAATTTTGCTAAATAATACGTGGTATCAATTGCTAATAATAAATTCCTCCACCTATAGATGCTCTATTATTTAAAATGTTTGTACTTTTTAAATTTAAATCACAATTATTAATATAAATAGCACCACCTAATCCTTAGATTGCAGTATTTTGTTAAAAATTACAATTTATTATAGAAGAATTTGTGGACTTTAATTAGTTTTGATCTATAAATACTGCTCCTCCCGATTCATTTTATGATTAGTTTTCAAAGAATTCAGAGTTTGAGATGTATAAATTTTGAATTTGATAGAGAAACAAAGAACCTCCATTTCCTAAAATAGATTAATTTATCTAAAATTTTGATTCAGTTATATATAATTCGTCAATATTTTAAATATTAAAAGCACCTCCGTTTAGCTAAGATATTTAATTTATAAAACTACTATTTTAGATTATTAATTTTAATGCAAAATTAATTAATATATTGCTTTGTTATTGAGATTTATTGTCTTTTAATTATAAATTACTAAATACTATGGAAAATCCTTCATTTTAGTTTAGGAGATAAATCAAATTACCTAAATTTCCTAAAAATTTTGATTATTCAATCAATAGATTGTTAAAGTTTATTAATCTAAGAATTTAATACCCTTAGCTCAAATTTAAACTCTAAAAATTACATTCAAATATTTAGATATTAGAAAGTTTAGAATTAATAAGATTGGTGGCAGTCTAATTCAGATTTGTAAAATGAGAATTAAAAATTGTAAATTAATTAGCCTCTATGATAAATCCAATATTTTAAGAATTTGAAATATCAAAATATTGTATTATAAGATTATTAGTAGGATAAATATACATTTTTGTATAATCTTAAGTTTACAAAAGTATTATGTCTTATGTATCTCTAACATTAATTTAACTCAAAGTTATATTATAGCATCCATAAAAGCTTAAAATTTAATTTCGATTTGTTTGCATGATACTTATATAGCTAATATCTGTTAATAATACAGTTGTTGCAATAATAATACTTTCAAATTGATTTGTTATATTTTAAAAACTCAATTTTTTAAAAGAAATCTACTAAGATTCAATAATGTAAATCAGAGAGCTGAAAATAGAATTGCTAACATTTAAATTTTTTATTTTTAAATTTTTTACATTTTCAAACTAAAAGAATGTTTAATTATTTATGTTAACATTATATAAATTCATGCTATCTAATATCACTTCGCTACAATTTCTAAAAATAATTAATGGCTATTAAGAATTTTATTGATAATTTATGATTGATTAAATGGTTATGTTAGAAAATATCACTTTTGGAATATTTTCAAAAACAACTTAATTTTATATGTCAATTAAATTTAAATTAAATAAAAGTATTTAATTAATGTTATTATTTTGGTTCAAGATTAGCTTATTTGTAATATTTAGTTATGCATCATGAATAACTAGTTCACCTATATTAGGGTCGTCAACAATGCTTCCATCATTCCATACTAATTAATTATAATTTTATGTGTAAATAACTGCTTCTATTTAAATTTCTTATTTGTTTAAATTAAATATCTTGTGTATTTCTTAATCATTTTAAAATTGAATTAATACTTAAGAAACTGTTTGGTTTGATGAATATGCATTTTATTAGATGATTTAAATTTATTAAGAAATCATTTAAGTATTTGATGATACTAAATTTGCAGTACACTTATTTTAAGGTTCATATGGTATCAAATAATAAATGATATCGCTCCATGATATTCCTTCTATTTAGAAATACTTTTAATTATTATTATCAAAAATTATACTAGCACTTTAGATATTAATTTTTTATTTATTCTTTTAAAATAAGATTTTGATGTTATTATTATTTTATTGTAGTTGAATAATGTAAACTGAGTCTTATTATATTAATAAAAATGTGTTTTATTAATTAAAAGACTTTATATAATCAATATTATTAAATCTAGAATTAATTTGATAGTTTTATTTAGCTAAAGTCAGAAAATTATAAAAATAAACTGAATTAGGACAAACTGAGTAAATTAATTGATCATCAAAATATATTTTAGCATTTAAAAGACAAGGATTTTTAATTTAAGATAATTGTTTCAAAGTAAAATCAAAGATATAAGTAATTGATATATTTGAAACACAGAAAATTATTCTTCTGTTTCTATCAACAACAACATTGACAATTTAATACTCAATTTAAGCAAAACTAATTACATTTAGCTGAGTCGTATCAACTATGTAGATTGATTTTTCTTCATTTTGTATTATAAAAACTAAACTTTCATCTGAAGTATCATAATAATTTGATTAATTAATTTCTTCAAACCTTTCATCTAACTATTTATTATTATTAGAGCTTAACTTTATCATGTAAGAAATTTTAGTTGTACCTAATTTTAATATATTAGTTTAGCCAAAATTTTAAACTGAGATAGTGAAAGAAACAATAGAATTATTAAAATAGTAGAGAATATTATTTTGTTAGATCAATATTTGTTAGTAATTATATTATAAATTACCAACTGAAGTTAAGTTGTTATTAATAATTTCATAAAAAGATATCTATTTTGTCTATTAATTAGCTAATATAATTATTTTATTGTTAAAATCTAATAAAATATCAGAAAAATATTATTTTATTTCTAATAAGTTTAAAATTTAAAGCTTATTTTATTAAAGATTTATCTATATTTAATAGATTTTAAAAGATGTTATGAAAATAAAGCTTGATTCATCGATCTTAAATATATCACATTTCTATAATGTTTAAAATGCCAAATCTAATAAGATTTCATCCTAAAAAATTCTTTCTTTAAAGAGCAATAAAGAACTGGTTTACAAATTATAAGTAACTAAAAAATTGTTAAATTAGATATATTAAACAGACATTTAATTGATAAAACTTGTTTCTTTTTAAACTAAAGATTCAATCAGATCATACACTAAAATCACACTATCTTACCTTACAACGAATAAAGTATTTATCTATGGAACTAATTATGTTATATTAATGTTTGAATTGTTCTAGTTGAATTTATCATACAAAGCTTCATAATATATCATATCAGGATAAGTAAATGAATGGACAAATTGCTGAGTTGAAATATAAATGAGATTATTATTAATATCAGGTATTATTTAAATAATTTGATATAAATAAATTGGTACAATATTTGTTATATTTGTGAGATAATAGTAAGTATATATTTAAGGAGTTTAGTCAATTATAATTATCAAATTATTTTAAGGAATGAAGCAAGTCAAATTTTAAAAAAAATTAGATTGAGTATTGTACTAATACTTTTACAAAGCTTAGTTATAATCCACAACTGTTATTAAATTATTACTACCAATTAGTACAATCAACTAATTATTTTAAAGATCATAGTACATTTGAGTGTTAGGAGAAACATAACTATATAATTAATATTCAATTTATTAAGAACCTTTCTAATAATATTAGCTAAAAATGCTATGGGGATAAATTATAATCTAATTTTGTACATCTATTATAGGATTAGAATTTAAATTGTTTCTGTATGATAAGTAATCAGCCTAAATATAAAAAAATATTTTATTACATTAATATGATCTATGATTTTTAATGAATTTACTAATTAAAAAGTGCTAATTGATCCATCATTTAAATTAAATAGTTTCAGATAAGGAGACTATGTAAAGATTAAATTATTTTGACATTGAATTTAAAATGAGAGAGTATATTTTGTTGTGATGAAAGGTGTAATGTCACTTAAATCTAAAAATACTCCTGTTCCATTATTTCCTTGATACTATAAATATTAAATTACTTTAGAAATAGGTCAGCAAAAAGTAAATAAATAAATTACCTTAAAAATAAAAATTTAATTTGTGGTTGTCTAAACTACAAGTTATTGTTATTAATAACAAGTTTCAATTCTTTTTATTCCTGAAAATTTTTGTACCAAATATACTTATCCACTTGTTAAGTTAGGGTTGAAAATTTTTATAGATCCGTCTACTTAAGAATATATAAATATATCTTGGTGTGCATCAACACTTATTTGTGTAAAAAAATCAGTAAAATCAAATACTTTTAGTATTTAATTCTTCAAAACATGTATTTTTATTATCTAATTTTTTATTGTATCATAATAATAGCTCAACTATAAAGTTTCACTAAACCAAGTTTAAATTAGTACATAATTACTTTATCTTTAATCTATAGTTGACATTGGAATATTTTAAATATTTTTAGTCATTTTTAAAATATAATCTGATATTCTAAAATATGTTAAGTCATTTATATCTGATAATAGATTGCTCTAAAACTAAAAAATCTAAGTATTTAACAAAATAAATAGCCTATATTGAATAACGAATTATTCAATTATCAATATTTCCTGATTTTCATATAATGTTGCTAGAAGACTATTTGATATATTAATTTGCAACTAATTTGTCTTGAATTAAATTAAATCAAATTAGTAAAAAAAGCTTGAGCCAATAAAAAATAAAAATCTATCAATATTAAAGACATTAGTACTTGTTTGATAACCAAACGGAATAATTATTTTATTTATCAGTAGTAATTATTAGTTGTAAACTTGAATTTCTTTGTTAATTATGATAAGAATTTATCCTTAATAAAGAATGCACTAGAAAACTGTATTAACATAATCTAATTAAATTTAATTAATATTGTTGATTGACTTATTATCTAATTGGAATTCTTAAACTAATTAATTATTAATAATTAAATAAATTGAGTTATTTAAAGATGCTGGTAGCTATTGCATTTTACCGTTTATAAAAATATTTGACAAAAGTAAGTCATTTACAAGAGTATTTTAGTTATTTATATAAAATTCTTACTGCAAAGAAATAAGGTCAAATCCAAAAAACTATCCATTTTAATCTACAAAAAGCATTTTTTTATTTTAAAAAGTATGGAAAGTCACTGTTCTTGCATAGGCGTTGTCAAATTGATAGAATTATGTCACTTTAGAATTTTTTATAGTATTATACAAAGTGAAAGGTTATCTCTAAAAAAGAAATCCTAACTATTCAAAATAAAAGGTATTAGTTTATGATAAAGTAAAAAAACATTAATCATTAATATTAAATATTATTTATCCAAGTAAGACATCTTTTATTATGATTTAACATAAGGAATTTTGAATGATTACAGTATAGAGGTGCTTATTATTTCCTAAATCCATTTTCAGTTAACTAATTTAAGATAAATAAATATCTTAATAAGATCTTATAAAACTTCTTTTAATTTAAAAGTTTTACAAATTGTACAAATAATATGTGATATAAGTCATTAAATCAAATTATATTTGATTTAAGTTAACTAAAATGCAAGTATTACTATCGCCCGTTTATAACTTTATTATGGAATCATTATGTAATATTATTTCTTAACTTTATTTACTTGATGTAAGTATTTTTTTTGTTTCCACATTCTAATCATTTATTTCAAATTCTATATAGAAGATTTAGTTACTATCATTTAAGACATATAAGATTTAATTTTTCATAGCTATTAATGATACTGGATCTAAATATTTATCTAAATAAAAAATATATTTGATAAGATTTGAAAATGAACTTTCTTTGTATTATTAATAATTTAATTAGTCAAAAACTATTAAATTTGATTTTAAAACCACAATTATTGAAGGTTAGTTAGTATTTTATTATTAAAAAAAAGTACATTTAGAAGTAATCTATCCTAAATCATTTATAATTTTATAGATCGGTAGAATACTATCTTTTTGGATATAATATACTACTGAATTTGAATTTCCTTTCACATAAAATAGCTATAAGTCCTCGTCAAAAAAATTTAAAGAATTATTATCAATATTTATTTGTAACATTACTTTAGTTGATAGTGATACTTAATCAAATTGAAGAAAATATCCTTACCTATTAGAAACAGTAGCATAAAAAATCATATCTTATTTGTTTAGAACCTTTATATTGTAATATTATTGATCAAATTTAATTATTTTATTTTCTCTTCTAAAATAAAGCACTGCACTTTAACTTTCCTTTAAATTAAAAATAAATAAATCAACTATTAAATTTTAAATTAAAAATTTACATATTAAATATTATTGCTCTGATACAAGTAAATTTGTTAGGAGTTTATACTCTAAAAGTTATAAATATATAAATTATTTGTTTCTATGAGAATCTCTTCATTATTTAAATAATCAAAAAAGATAAATCCTCCTTAATTCTTCTGTAAAACAATTATATGATTCTCTGCATCTAGTTAGAAGAGACTATATTAAGTATTCAATTCATTATTTATATTGAATTCTATTTGATAAGTTAAAAAATTAAATCCAATTAATGTTTGCTATGTTTAGCATCCTCCTACATTTCTATCATAAAAATTTTATTAGCCATAAAAAACTGTTTTGTCTTATGGATTTTAAACTAATAAATTTGAATAAACAGTCTCAAGATTTTAATTGTATAGGTAGAACTAACATAAAGATTCTCCTATTAATAGAAATCCATTATCAATAAAGGTTTCTACTGATACTGATTAGAACAAATCATTTTTTTATATTTCTTGGAAATAGTTGCAATTCTAAATAGGGATGCAGAGTACTGTATTTTAATCTTTTATTTCATTTTCGCTACATAAGTAAAAGCATTATTTTAAAAATAAGGAATAGTACTATTATTAACTGCATGTATTATCATTCAAGACACATCCAGATTATTCATCTAATTTCAAATTTTCAGTGCATTTAATACATCTTTAATTTTAAAGACATTAATCACAACCTAAAACTGAGCAAATTTCACACGTATTTGTTTTTTGGTTTATATACGTTCCTGAAACACATTTTTCTTAACAAGAATTATCAACTCCTTACCTATAATAGTTATTCATGCAAGTCAAACAATCATTTTAAGTTAATCCACTACATGTATTACAATGATCATCGCATTTTAAGCATTGTTATTATACAAAATCATATATTTCTCCAACATTAAGACAGTTTTAGCTAAAAACCATTTATATAGAAATATAAAAAGTTAATAGTTTTGTGAAAGAATATTTGTTTCTTTAATTCATCATATATTAATTTTTTTTTGCCTTTTTTTTTTAATTAACTTTAATCAAAAGATAGTTAACAAGGTTTTAAATTTAAATCAAAAATTAACTTAGTCAATTCAAATAAAAAATTGAAAAAAAAACTCATAAATATTAAATAGAATGTAATTAAATTGTTTTTCCAATAAGAAATCCCTCTATATTTAAATAACTTTTGATCTAATTATAATTCAAATAAGATCTCTATTCAATAAAGGAAAATTAGAAGTTATAATTAATTTTTGTTTATAAAATTAAAATCTAGTCATTTTTAAACACAATAGATTAATGATTACTTTGATATTGTCTTTTAAATAAACATTAAAGTAGAAAGATATCCAAGAATAAATTGACTAATTAGCATATAAATATTTTAAATATTTTGTTTTTATTTATTATATTTAATTTAAATGAAGTTTCTTAACAATTATTTTCAAAAAGGAAGCAAATATATTTTAATTATTATTTATATAATCACTAAAAATTAGCAAGATATTTTTTGTAGATTCAGCTACTTTTTGATGATTAAGTCTAAAAAAAGAAATCTCTATTTAAATAAATGAGATAATATAATTGCTATTTAAAAATGAATCTTTTATTATATAATTCTATCATTAATTTTATACATAATCAATAAATAATAAATAATTATTGATTTTATTTTTTAAATATACATTATTAATCAAAAATTTAAAAAATAAGCTTAATAATTGACATACAAATATATATTTTGTTTTTATTTATTAGATTTAATTAATTGACGTTTCTTTACAATTTTTTAAAAAAGGAAGCAAGTATATTTTAATTATTATCAATATAATCACTAAATATTAGCATGATATTTTTAGCAGATTTAATTACTTTTTGATTATTAAGTCTAAAAATATAAATCTCTATTTAAATAAATAAGATAGTTCAATTGCTATTTATAAATTAATTAAAAAAGAATCTTTTATTATAAAATTCTATCATTACTTTAACATAATAAATAAATCATATTCTAATTTTATTTTTTAAATATACATTATTAATTAAAGACTCAAAAAAAATAAGTTGTATCTAAATAACATACAAATATATATAGCAAGATGCCATTTAAAAATTTTGTGATTTGGATGGCACTTATTATTAAATAGATTTTTTTGAAAAAAGGTTTCTGTATTTTGATTAATTTTTGTAAAATATAAGAAATCAAATATAAACAAAATAATTAAGATTTAGAAAAAAAAAATGTTCATTAGTAATGTAAAAATTATTTGAAATATCACAAATCATGATATCATGATCTGTGATATTTCAAACGCAGGAACAGCTATATTTATTAATATGTTTCATTATGCTTATCTTAAATTAAGACTAAAAAGTTTATATAACTATGAAATTTAAAAGATAGTTTAAAAAAATAAACTTGCATCTTATTTTGTAAGCTAAATTAATATTTAAGTGTAATTAAATGAAAATATTATTATCCAAAAAAAATATTTACTTAATAAATAATTAATAAATTAATACAAATAAATTAAATGATCAATTAATACTTTTATCGTTTTATTTTAATATACTTTCATCATTTTATTAATCTATTATGATAAAATAATTTTAATAAAATAAAGTATGTATTTGAATAAATTTTTTTATTTACCTTTAAGATTTAGTAATCTGAATTAGAAATGATTCTATTTTTGTGGACTTTAAATATCAAATATATCTTACCTACCAACAGATGATTCTATTTTAATTATATTGATATTTTAATAATTATTTAAGCATTAAATATACCTTATTATTTGAACTTTGCTGAAAGCTAATATTTATTATGTAGAGTTAAAGGCTAATTAGCCTGCTTTAAATTTTCAAACTCTGTATTTATAGTTTCATTATCATTTTATTGGCTAAAGAATGATATTCTAAATTAACTATTTGGTGATTTTAGTTAGGTAGGTATCAAAGACTATAATCTTTGTTAAGTCTAATAGACACTTAATCTTTCATTTCCAATTTCAATATAATTTTTTAGTTTAGACTTTAGTTTTTTGATTTTCAAAGCAGTAGAGAATTTTATTTTATAGTCTATTTATATAAAGGTAAATAATAATGGGTATTATGTTTTTAGACTAAATAAACATTATTAAATTATATTTCTATTTTATCTCATAGCAGGAATAGGTCTTACAAAAGTTAAAAAGAGTGTCTTAAATATAAAATTGAAGTTTAAGATTATAATAAAGAATTAAAATATTATGATTGGAATATAGAATTCATCAATCAGCAAAGACTATACTAAACCAAAATTTAGAGTAGAAATACTTATTAGTATAGATTATGTTTCTAATTGATTATGAAACTTGTTAGTAAATGGACTGACCTTCATTTGGAAGTAATTGTATAATACTAGAATTTGATTTACTATGCAAGTCTGATTTTAATATTTTAAAAATATAATTTCGTAAAAATTCATTTCATTTATTAAAATTACTTTCAAAGATAAGGAGTCTTGTAAAATTATTGAAGAAATCATAACAGCACTCTTGTAAAATAATCTTATAAATTCCCAGTAGTAGTATTAATTCTTATAAGGTTCATAAATGAACTAGTAAGAGCTCTTTTGTATTTTATTGAGATTCTAATTTATGTTTTTTCTCACTTTATAAATCAAGAAAAGAGGGAGAGCAATACATATCACAAATATTGCTGGAAAGCTAAATAATAAATTATAAATAAAGTGATCAGAAAAATTCCTACATCCTATTAAAGTGTCGATTTAAGCATATTTTTCATTTCCAATATTTATACAATTTATTGATTTGATTAAAATAAATAAAATCGATGGATAGAAATAGAAATAAAAGAAAATCATTGTAGTTTTCTAATACCTAGAGTGAGTATTTTACTTGTAAACTACTTTAAAAAAAATATTTATAAGATAATTAAGTAAGTAAATGATAAAAGGCAGACTTAATGAGCACATTACTTTAGCAAACCATTTTGGTATATTAATACTTTTAGGGTAAAAGCAATCAAACATGTTTGTTTAAATCAGCAAAGGATTTCCTCCAACATTTGAAGAAATTTAAATTAAAGTAGGAAATTAGAAGGGAATACTACTTAAAATAGATATTATTTGTAAGTGATCAATCAAAATTTTTGAGTATACTGTAGAATTAGCCTTATAGACTGATATAAAAAAAATTAAAATAACTTTAAATTAACTAATATTTACCTGAATTATTGAGATAAATAAGACCCATCATTTTAAGATAATAGTTTTATAATTCTCTTTCTACTGAATTAATAATCTTTCTATTGCATGCGTATATATACAAAGTTAACACCACTAAAAATATTACTTATGTTATACCAGAAAGTATTAAAGTATCTGAGCACTTTGAACACTTAAATGTATAGAAAATAGTCGAGTATCTTTATCCCCAAACATCACCCAAAAAATCACATTATTCACACAAAGGACCAACATATCCAATTGCACATCCAAACTATTATAAAAATTTTAATTAAAATTCTATGATTTATAAGAATTTAATTGGTTTTATTTTAAATTTATGATATAAATTATTTTTAATTTTTTAAATTTATGATAAAAATTAATACTTACTTTTGACTCTATATTTTAAGGTTTGCAGTTATTTGGTGCATTTTAACAATATAGAATTTAATCAGTTTAATTATTTTTTCTCCAAAACCCATTCTTTACTTATATTATAGATCCTTAACATGATACTGCAGTTGAAGGACATATTTAACAACTTTGATCATTTAGACTAAGAGAATATTTTCCATCAGGACATTGATCACAAATAATTGAAGAAAAAAAATCTTTTTGAATTTCTCCAATTATACATTTTCTAAAATCGACTTTGAAATTCAAAGATAATTACTTTTAAGAAAGAAATAAAATTCCCTTAGAATTATAGAGAGGAGGAATTATCTAAGACTGTATTTAAAGAGTCGAGCTTTGATTAGGAATATAAGATAGACTAATATTAAAAGAAAATTTTCCTTTCTAAAAGGTGGCAATATTTCCTCCAAATATATTCATTTTTTCACTTTTTGCTTATATATTTATTGTCATAGTTGTTTATTAAATTATTTCATTTACACTTTGACTATAACTTAGTAAGGGATTGTACTTAAAGTATTTATTTTCTTCATCTAAAATTTAAATATCATCAATGAACATATAATCACCGCTCCTAAAATTGCTAACAATAATGGACTCAACTTATTATTAATCACCTCTTTCTACAATAAATTAAGGATTACTTATTTAATCTAACTCTATCTTTCTTAGTGTTGAACCAATATTTTAACCATACAAAATACATTCATTATCTTTTACTGTATTATTATTAAATAATACTTAATTACTTTAAATAATATCTGGTATCATGTATTAATAGTATATTCCTCCACCAATAGCTGCTTTATTATTCAATATATTTGTGTTTTTTAAGTTTAAATCACAGTTGTTTATAAAAATAGCACCACCTAATCCTTAAAAAGCCTTATTTTATAAAAAATTGCTGTTTATTATTGAGGAAGTAGTAGTCTTTAACTAATTTTAATCTAAATACACAGCTCCACCTGATTAACTTTATGCTTGATTCTCAAGGAATTTACAGTTAGAAATCAATAAATTTTAAATTTAATAGAGAAACAAAGAACCTCCATTTCCTAAAATAGATTAGTTTATTTAAAATTTAGAATCTTTAAAATTCAATTAATCAGTATTTTAAATATTTAATGCACCTCCATTTTGGTTAGATATTTAGTTTATAAATTCACTACTTTAAATAGTTAACTTTTATGCAAAGTTAATAATAATAATACTCTAATTAGATATATTATCTAATAATTTTAAATTAATAAATTAAATTGAAAATCCTTCATTTTAATTTAGAAGATAAATCTAATTTCCTATGTGCCCTTAAAAATTTGATTTTTATATTAATAGATTATTAAAGTTTATTAGTTTAAGATTTGAATAACCTTCACTTAATTTTATGTTCTAAAAATAACAATCTACTATTTCGATATTAGAGAGCTAAGAGTTTATTAGATTTGTAGTTGTTTAATTTATATTATTAAACTGTGAATTAAAAATTGAAGATGAATTTGCTTGTATTTAAAAACTAACATTTTAAGAATCAGAAACGTTAAGTTATTCAATTTTCAGATTGCTAATAGGATAAATTAATACTTTTTGATAGGGTTATGTTAAAAAAATTATAATATCTTGAACTTTTTTAACTACTATTTGACTCAATTAAATATTATTACATCCTAAAAAGCTAAAAATTTAGTTTTGATTTGTTTGTTAAATACTTAAAGTACTAATATTTATTTATTCTACAACAACAGCTGTTATTAAACTTTAAGAATAATTAGTTATATTTTTAAAATTTATTTGATTTAAATTGATTTGGATTGATTCGTTTATTTTAAGAAGAGAACTAAAAATAGAATGAGTTACACTTACATTATTTAGCGTTAAATTTGTAATATTTTCAAATTGGAATAATGTTTAGTTATTTAAGTTAACATAATTTATGTTGATATTTTTGAATATAATTTGACTGCAGTTTTTAAAAATTATCAAAGGTTATTAAGAATTTTAAAGTTAACTTGTGAATGATTAAATGGTTAGATTTGAAAATATTACTTTTTGAATATTTTCTAAAAAAATTTAATTTTATATGCCAATTAAAACTACATTGTATAAAAGTAATTCCTCAATATTATTATTTTAGTTCAATATAATTTTATCTGTAACATTTAGCAAGGCATCATGAATTACTAGCTAGCTTATATTCGGATCGTCAACAATACTTCCATCATTCCATATTAATGTATTGTAATTATATGTATAAAATACAACTTATATTTTAATATCTTACTATTGTAAATCCATAAATTTGGTTATTTAGGTATTATTTTATAATTGAATTTACACTTATGCTACTATTTGATTTGAAAATTTGGCATTTTATTATATTTTTTGAATTTAATAAGAATTCATATTTTGATTTTCCAAACCTAAATTATATGTACATATATTTTAAGGTTAATAAGGAATTAAATAATATATGATATCGGTCCATGATATTCCTTCTATTTAGAAATATTTTTAATTGTTTTCATCAAAAATTATACTTGCACTTTAAATATAGATTCTTTATTTATTTTTCTAAAACAAAATTTAAACATTACTTTATTAAATTTGTACAATGTAAATTGAGTATTATTCTAATAAGATAAATGTATTTTATGAGTTAAACGATTTAATATATTCAATACTAGTAAACCCTGTATTAATCTGGTATTCTTATTTAACTAAAGTGAGCGAATTATAAAAATAAACTGAATTAGGACAAACTGAGATAATTAATTGATCATCGAAAAATATTCTAGCACTTACAAGGCAAGGGTTCTTAATCTAAGATAGTAATTTTAAACCAAAATCATAAATAAAAGTAAATGATATATTTGAAACACAGAAAATAATTCTCCTTTTCCAATCAACAACAACATTAATAATTTAGTAATCTAGTTTAGCAAAATTAATCACAATAAGTTAAGAAGCATCAATTATATATATAGTTTATTCTTCATTTTTTACTATAAAAATTAAGCTTTCATTTGTATTATCATTATAATTTGATTAGTTAATATTTTCATAAATATCATCTAATTATTTAGTTTAATTAGAACTTAACTTCACCATATAAGTAATATTTGTGTTATCTAGTTTTAATTGGTTATTTTATCTTGTATTTATATTTATAGAAGTAATTAAGTTTCCAAAAGTGTATATAATATTATTATTTTGGATTAATATTTACTAGAAATTGCTTTACAAATTGTCAAAAAATACCAAGGTCTGACTATTTATATAATAAAAATAGACTTATTTTGTCTAATAATCAGCAAATATTATGATTTTATTGAAAAAATCAAATATGACATCAGAGTATGATTAATTTATTTCTAATTGATTAATAATTAAAAAAATATTTTTTTATAAGTTTATTTAAATATTAAAGATTCTTAATGGTGATATGAAAATGAAACTTTGTTCATCAATCTTAAATAAATCACATTTCTGCAATGTAAAAAATGCTAAATCTATCAAGAGCTCATCCTGAAAGACTCTATCTTTAAATAGCAGCAAAGAACTAGTTTACAAATTGTATGTAACAATAAAGTTATTAAACTAGATAAATTGAATTTAGATTTGATTTATTAAACTCTTTTCTTATTATATCAAACATTCTATTAAATCATATGTTAAAATCACTTAATCTTACCTAACTACAAATAAAGTATTTATTTATGTAGCCAGTAGTGCTTTATCAATCTTTGAATTATTTTAGTTGAACTTATCATATAAAGTCTCATAATAGATTATTTAAGGGAAATTAAAGGCATGAACAGATTATTGAGTTAAAATATAGATAAAATTATTGTTAATGTCTGGTATAATTTACGATATTTCATTAAAGTAAATTGGTACAATATTTGTAACATTTTTGAGATAATAGTAACTATATACTTAAGGAGTTTGGTCAATTAGAATTATTATATTTTATTAAGGAATGAAGCAAGTTAAATTTTTTTTGAAATTTGATTAAATATTATACTTATATTTTTGTAAAGCTTAGTTATAGTCAACAACTGTAATAGAATTATCACTTCCATTTAGCACTATCAAGTAATTATTTTAAATATCATAATACATTTCAGTAAAAGGAGAAACATAACTATATAACTAATACTCTATTATTTAGTTGCCTTTCTAAAAATATTAGCTAAGATAACTGTGAGGGTATATTATAAGTTTATTTTATATATCTATGATAGGACTAGAACCCAAATTATTTTTATATTATAAGTAATTAGACTGATTAAAAATAAATAAATTAAATAGGTTAAAAAATTTATTAAAATATTTACCAATTAAAAAGAACTAACAGACCCATCAATTAATTTAAATAGTTTGACTACAGGTGACTCAGTGTAAATAAGATTATTCTTGCATTATAGTTAAAACCTTAGAGGTTGTTATTAGTTAATAAGTGGTGAAATATCACTTAAATCTAAAAAAATACCATTATTATTTCCTAAATACTTTTAAATTTAAAATAAATTTAAAAATTAAAAATAAAATAATTAAATCTAAATTACGTTGTATATAAAAATTTGATTTTTAGAAGTCTAAACAACTATTTGTTTTTATTAAAAACATATTTCTATTCTATTGATAACAGAAAATTTTTGTACCAAAGTTACCTAACCACTATCTAGCTAATAATTAAAGAATTTTAGAGATCCATCATCTTATAAATAAATAAATATATCATTTTACGCATCAATAAATATATTAGTAAAAGTTTCATAAAAATTGAATACATTTTCAATTTAACTTTTCAAAACATTAGTTTTTATAATCTAACTCTTTTTTATGTCATATGTATAACTGTACTACAAATTTTCATCAAGCCAATAAGAAATTAATGTTTAATAATTTTATTTTGGATCAATAGATACTATTGGATTATTAAAAATATTTTTTGCCATTTTTATCATTCTATCACTAATCATAAAATAGATTTAATCATCAGCGTTTGATAAAAAAATTGATTCAGTTTTAAAATCCTCAGTATTTAATAAAATAAATAACTTATATTAAATGATATATTAACTAATTATAACTATTTCATAGTTTTTAAATATTTTCACTTCATAATATATTATCTTATTTATTGGTAACTTAGATGTTTGTAATGAAACTAAATCAAAGCGGTATAAAAAGTTTGAGCTAACAAAAAATATAAAATTATCTATATTAAATGGGGATTTTGTAATTTAGTCAAATGGAGTTGTTATTATTTAGGTTAAAACTAATTGTTGGTTGTATATTTTTATTTCGTTACCTTTGATAATAATAATTTATCCTGAGTAAATTAAGTAACTAAAATCTTTGTTTTAATAATCTATTTAGAGTGAACTAGAATTATTTATTTAATAATTGGGTAGTTAGAATTCTTAAATTTCCTAATTGTTTATAATTAAGTATATTGAATCATTTATAGAGACAACCTACTTTCCTAAATTATCGTTTACGAATGTATCAGATAATAGTAAGGCAGTAGCTACTTTAATTTAGCTACTATAATATGATTCTTATTAAAAAGAATTGAGATCAAATCCAAAAAAATTTCCATTTTAATCAATAAATAATAACTTCTAATTTTTATAATTATAGAATGATATCTGTCTTGATTAATCTACATCAAATTTATAGAATTAAGCTACTTTAGAATTATTTTTGATATTATACAAACCAAATGGCTATTTCTAAAAGAGAAGTCCTTATTATTAAATATAAAAAGTATCAAGAGATGATACAGAAGTAAAGCATTAATCAAATAAATTGAATATTATTTATCCAAGGAAAATATCTTTTATTAATATCTAACACTAGTTTAGTGAAATGTAGAAATTATAAAGCACTAGATTAAATCCCAAATAAATATCAAATTGAAGAAATTAAGGAATATCTATTTATAAAATAGGTCTTTTATAGCTTCTTTTAATATAGAAATATTACAAATTGTATAAGTAAAATTATATTTGATTAACTAAATCATAACTGATTTTGTTATTATTTACGAGTGAAAGTATACTGCTATTAACTGTATCTGTCTAAAATGGTTAATCATCATAAAAATATATTTCTTAATTTTATTTGATTTATGAGAGAATATTATTTTTTTACACTTTATCATCTATTATTTAGAATTAAAATTTAAAGATCTAGCTATTAATATTTAAAATATATATTATTTAGTTATCAATAACACTTAAAGTTTGAAAATTTAATAACTTATCTAAAAATAATTAATGCTAATTCATTTTAGATAGTTAAAATTCGTTGTATTAATCATAGTTTAATTATTAAAAAATCATAATGCTTATTTGAATTACTATAATTATAATTGGTTAATTCTAATTTGATTGCTAATAGAATGTAACAAGTTTTGCTTATGAAGCTAGATCATTAGTTATTTTTGCTATCATCACAACTTTATCTTTTTATGTGTAAAAAATGCTCATAGATTGTAATACCTAAACACAAACTAAATTTAAATCTTAATTCTAAAAAAATAAATAATATTTATCTAATTATATTTGATTCATTATATTGACTGATAAATTTCCTTCGTTAATTTACAAAAAGTAGCCTTAGTTTTAACTTTAATTTATAGCAAAAAAAACCATATATTCTAAATTAATGATATTAAATGAGGTAAATAATTATTAATCTAACTCAATCATTTAATTTTGTTGTCTTAAATAAAGTTTCGCATTTTGATATACCTATTAATTTATAAATGTAAATAATAAATTAAATAATATTTAAAATTACATATTAACCTAAGTAGAACTAGCAGATAAAAATCTATTTGGAAGTATTTATCAATTCAAAGTATACTAAGTAGTATTTGTTTTCTTCTCTATAAATAGTCTATTATTATATGTAGTCATAAATTATAAATCCTCCTTAATTATACTGCAAAACTAACAAGTGGTACTCTACAAAAACTTTATATAGGCTATATAATATATTTTATTAAGTGCTTAATTCAAATTCTATTTAATTTGTTAAAATGTTAAAAGCAATCGTTTGTTATATAGTTTGGCACCCTATAACGTTTCCATCAACAAAATTTTAAGGGCCGTTTGTGATTGTTTTTACTTATGGATTTTTAATTAACAATTTATTATAAATAGTATTTAGATTTTAATCATAGAGGTAGAATTAACAAATTTAATCTGCTTATATTAGGTATCCATTATTTAAAAAGCTTAGTAATGGAGTATTTTAAAAATAATTGATATTTTCAGTTTCTTGGAAGTAGTTACAATTCTAAATGGGTAGACAAAGTTTTGTTTTTTAATCTTTTATTTCATTTTTGCTGCAATCATAAGAACATTATTTAGAAGAAACTGAGTAATATTACTATTAGTCACATATGTTTTCATTTAAAATGCATCCTTATTACTTATCAAAATTTAAGTTTTAGCTACATTGAACACATTGCTCATTTGAATTGCATAAATCACAGCCAAATACTTTGCAATAGTCACAAGTACTTGTTTTTTAGTTAAAATACATTCCCTTTTTACATTCTTATTAACAGCTATTATCAAATGAATATCTAAAATAATTATTCTTACACTACAAGCAATTATTTTAAGTCAACCCGTTGCAAGTCTCACAAGTAGCAAAACATTTTTAGCATTGCTGTTTTACAAAATCATAAATCTCTGCACTTTAACAATTTTAGCTATCAACTTCTAAAACTAAAATATAAAAAGTTAAACACTATAAAATTAAGAACTTTTTAATTTAACTTATCATTGATTTTTTTTTTTTGCTTTTGTAATAAATAATTTGGTATAAAAAATAATAAAAATTCAATTTTGTTTATCAATAGCAACAAAATATTTAGGTTTTCATAAATATAACAATTAGAGGTGATTACATATACGTTTGTTATTAATATTAATCTTTAGAAATAATAAAATTTATTTTTCTTATTGACAATTTATATCATTTCTTTTTTATAAAGTAAGTAAATTAAATTTTAATTTGTTTTATTATTTATAAATTTATATTTTTTTTCTTCCAATTTATAGTGTTTGCTATTAGAATTAACATTCATAATTTATGAATTTAATTATATAATTTTTTTAATATTTTTCAATAATATGATATCATCTTTGTTTTACTATTTCTTAAAATAGATCTTAAATATCTAAATAAACAAATTATTTTAAAAAATAAATTAAAATAGGTTTTTGCTTTTAAAATCGAATACCAAAAGTTCTCAAAAATAAGGTATAATTAAAAGTTCAAATTAGGTGATCTTTAATTTGAGGTGATCAAAATTAAACATCTTTTAGTTTCATTCATTCTTTTATGTTTTAATTTATAAATAACAAATTAGTTAGTACTATTGAATTTATATTTTATGGTAAAAAATTTTCTAAAGCATTCTCCCAATAAAAATCTAATCACTCTAATTGTTTTTTTTCTAATATCCATTTTTTTTCTGGTATTTAAAACTAAAAAACTCTGCACCTCGAAGGACATATCAAATAAGCATCATCCTTAATATTAAATATTATAATTGTAATTAAAATCTAAAAATATTCAGTTCTATTATTACTTTTATACTATTGAAGTTAAATTACTTTAAAATATAAAAGCATCTAAATAAATTAGGTTAAAAATTAAAATTAAATTTGTGATTTTCTAAACTACTAACTATTGCTATAGGTTCCAATTTTTTTAACTCTAGATATGCTATGATGTAACTTTTAAAAAATAAGATATTAGCAAACTTAAATAAATTTATACAAAAAACTAATAAATTAAGTGAAAATTTTATTTGCTTTTTTCATTAAGTAATTAAATAATTTTTTAGAAATATTTTTTTATTTTTCTTTTTAATGATATAGGAAGACATTAAAATTAATTAATAATAGTTTTTCACTTATCCTTTGTAGCATAAATAATTTGAATTCATCATTTACAATTTCAATACAAAGTTAAAACTATATTTTATTTTAAATAATTACCATTTTTGAGAAATGTAATAAATTAAATTTTAATAAAAAATTACCTTCTTTTCAATTAAAATAATACAAATATATAACACTTTTAAAACTGAAAGAATAAATATTAAGATCACAAGAAACTTTCTTATATTAAAACTGATTAAAACTTAAAAGCAAATTTATATGAATAGGTGTATGATCAGATAAATATATACCACCAATTCTGCAATGAAAAATAGATAATAATAAAAAATCTATGATACTTTGAATTAAGATTGCTATATCTAAAATATGATTTGCCATAAACAAAATATAGCCCCAATTTTGATCATTTTAAGGTATAAAAATATTGAATTTATTAAAAATCAATTCATTGAATTTCAAATTAATTAAATATTTTTAAATAAAATATTTTCAAAAAGAAATAATTTGTAATTTGGTTTTTTTTAAATAGTCTGTGATCAAAATTAATTCTAGACCATAGTATAAATAACTTTTTTATTTAAAAGATTTTTTAAACAAATTTCTGATCAATCAATTAAAAGAAAACATAGGAAAAATGAAAAATTTTATCGTAATTTATCATAATTGATTATTGAAAATCTAATCATATGATTAGGCAGATGATCATATACTAACAATACATTAAAAATAAATTTGATAGAACCATTAATCTTACTTTAAGCTCTAAATTGAATCTATGTTAAGTACTGCTACTTTAAAAGTTATTACTTTTTCATAAAAACAGATAAATTTATTATAAAAAAAATAAAATTTAAAATTGATAAAAATGGAAAGTAGACAACTAATAACTCAGCCTAAAAATTATATAACTGAATTTAAAAGAACTCATAAAAAAACTGTCATTTTCTTTTATCTAGTATCATTTATCTATGCTATATCAGGAGCGCTCTTTATATATGCTTCTTCTAAGCTTAATTCAGTAGATTTCATCGTATTTATATAGATTCCGATTATTGTTATTTCTTCTATCATGCTTACCTGTACTATGGCATCTATTTACCTATTTTTCAATCTAAGAGAGGACTCAAAAAAATTTACGATTGCAAATTTTTTATTATATATACTTTCGTTTGTAAACCTCCTGCTTGCTATTATATGTTATTTATTACATGACTAAGACACAATCTGTAATGGTAAAATAAAATAATTATATTTATTTTTATAAATTTTACATTAAAAAATAGAATATAAAATAGAGCATTCTGGTAAGTATGATGGAATTTTCATATAAGTTAATATGCCATTAGATTTTAAATTAAAATGTAGTTAAAATTTTGATTCAGATTATCTATACAATATAACAGTACTTTACCTTTAAAAAATGTGTAGAAATGATACTTCTTGCATGGATTTATCTAGCTTGCAAGTATATAATATTAGCAAGGAGTTATAACTATTTTTAGCAGCTATTATATTAGGTGCAGTAATATTTTTGATCAATATATTTTTTATTATAATATATGGAAGAAATATTAAATTAACAAAAGAGAAAATGACCTAAAATCATTTATAAAGTAATCATTCTCATATTTGAAATTAATAAAACCTTAATAAATATTTAATTAAATTTAAATAAAATAAATAATATGTAAACCTATTCATCCGACTTAATTTTTTATTTTATTAATAAAATTTTGCAAAAATTTTAATGTTAATTATAATTTTATAAAATATAAAATTTATTTGCTTACTTTGTTAATAAAAATACATTAATTATTATATTTTATTATAAAATATAGTTTTAACATTTAAATATAATAATTTTAATCAGTTTATTTATTTTCTTTTTGATATAACATTAAATTCATATGAATAAAAAAAATATTATTTCTACTATGCTTTTTATTAAATCTTTTAAATAAAATATCTTAGATTTTTTCTTTTTATTTCAAAGATTTTTTCTTTATTACAAGAGTTGAATAAGATATTTATTATCTTCTTTAGAAAGAGGAAGCAAATATGTTTTCATTGCATCATCATTATTTATATTAATTATTGCAAAGCTACTACCAAGATACATTACATTTAGCTAGTTTAATTTTATAGTTTGCTTATTAGGTCTAAAAACCAACATTCTTCTATTTTGCTTTAATATCATTTGTTAATCTTACTAATTGAATTATATTTCATTTACAAAGAAACTAGAAGTAAGTAATGTCTAAAATATTTTTTTTTTAAATAAATTTTTAATTATATATAAAATAAATTACAGTGAATCCTATTCCGCTTAAAGCCATAGGTACAACAAACTAATCAGTCAAAAGAGTGCTTAGAAAAGAAGCACCTATCAAACTATAAGATCTCACATCGTTTGATTCTTATTTGTATATTGTTTGAAATTCTTTTTCATTTAAAGCACTAAAATTTTAGATTTACTTTAACATTAAATGAGGTTTATACATTTTCATACATTTCATTAAGCTTTAAATAGACTATGACATCATTTTTAGCTGTGAATAAATCTTAAAATAAGCTAGTTTATAAGTTTAAATAAATTCGAAAAATAAATTTAGAAGTTAAGTGAAAATTCTAATTGTTTTTATAAATAAGTAATCAAATATTATTTACAGATATTTTTTTTAATACTTATAAAAATACTAAAATTAATTATTCATAATTTTGCACTATCTCCTATCTCACATAAATAATTTAAAGTCATTCATTTAAATATCAACATAAATTAAAGAAAATTAATAATTAATCAAAAAATGATATTATATTTTAAATATTTATAATTTTAAGTGTTTTAGTAAACATAAATAAAAATAATTTTATCAATTAAAAAAATACATATTTAAAACTAATATATAAAAAATAAAAATTTAGATTTCTTTATCAAAAAATTAAATCTTTGATTAAACATTTTTTTTTTGCTTTCATTTAATTTATAAAAAAATATTTATTATTCCTTTAATATATATTTCCTACAAATGAAATAATTATTGAGAATAGCTGTTATAAATATTTTAAGTAAATAAAATAATTAATTTTGAGTACAGCTAGAAAACAACTAACAAAAAAAAAAGAAATAATTAAAAACCAGCAATTGATAAATCACAAATAAAATATTTTTTTGTATTATTAAAATGTAAATAAAAAATTTATTTTTTCTTTTATTTATTTAATTTAATTTCTTTTTAGAAGAAAATGTTTTCATTCTTATTGTTAAAAAATAAAGTTGAGCTTATATTTAAATCATCATTTTAAATAAAATAAACATTTTAGTTTAAATAAAAAAGTAAGTGGTCTTAAAATTTTTAAAATTGCAAATTATTAAAAAGATTTGATTAGTTGTAAAAAGAATATTTCAAAACTTATATAAAAAAGAAAGGTGTTAAATGAGTTATCTACTATCAAAAGTCCGCTCAGGTAAATAGTTTTTGTTATAAGTTGACAATATTTTAAACCATTTTAATAGATAAATAGACTTTTAAATATTATAACATAAGTATAATTTTTGTTTTTACTATTTTAGAAGGTGAATCTCGTATGAATGAAGAAAAGAAAATTGCTGATCGTAAAAGAAACTTAATAGTGCTTATATTGAGATACCTAACAAACATTGGGTATATAGAATCATCTTAAAAGCTTGAATCAGAATCTCATATAAGCCTTGACAGCTGGTAATAATCATGATGATATGTATTTCATTATTCAATATCTAACAATCATTATAAAAAGATTATATAAAAATAATTATAAAATAACAAAATTTCTAATATAGGGAAGTAGCAGACAATATAGATTTGTATTAAATAATTATGGAGTTTGAATAATACTATGATATAAGATTTGGAAAGCTTCCTAAGCTAGTAAGAAAGGTTAATGATGACTAAAAAAAAAAGATGCCATCTTTTCCGAAGATATCTACTCCAACAAAAGCATCAAGCACTTCAAGCAATATAAAATAAGAATTATAAAATAACAGCAATTCTAGCGTGAACAGCAATTTAAATACAACAGGATCTTCTACTTAAAGAGTAGGAAGTTAGCTAGGGGGTTTACCTCCAAAAAATTTAGCGCAGAATGCAAATAAAAAAGTCAAATCGTAAAATAGCAGTTTGGATGAAAAAGGAGTAGACCAAAATAACACACTTAATATGGAAATTTAGGGTTAATCAGCTCTTGTAAAGAAGCATTTTAATTAAAAAAATAAAGAAAATATTCAATTATAATTAGGGAGCTAAAAAAAATGAAGAAGAATCTACTGAAAATAATTTTTTTGATGTTAGAGTATTAAAAGGAATGCCTGATTTTGGTGATGTTTAAGAATTAAAAGAATTAGCTGCATATTTATAAAGGGATATACTAGTTGAAAATCCAAATGTTAAATTTAAAGATATAGTTGGACTTGATGATGCAAAAAGATTGTTAAAAGAGGCTGTTTAAATTCCTTTAAAATATCCTCATTTTTTCACTGGAATATTAGAACCTTGGAGAGGAGTTCTATTATATGGACCACCAGGTACAGGTAAGGTAAGAAAATATTTAAATAGAGAGTTTATCTTATAAAATTTATTGTTCAAATAAATAGACTATGCTTGCAAAAGCTGTGGCCACAGAATGTGGAACAACATTTTTTAATATATCTGCCTCTTCTGTAGTAAGTAAATGGAGAGGTGAATCAGAAAAGTTGATAAGAGTCCTCTTTGAATTAGCTAGACATTATTAGCCTTCAACTATTTTCTTAGATGAATTAGATTCTATTATGTCGTAAAGAAAAGGAGGAGATAGTAAGTTTCTTCTAATTTCAAATAAATTATTTTTTTCAAAAATTTTAATAACAAAAAAATATTTAATTTTGTTTATAATAATTAAACAGATGAACATGAAGGAAGTAGAAGAATGAAGACAGAGCTTTTAATATAATTAGATGGGCTGATGAAAAACAAAGAAAGAGTTTTCTTATTAGCAGCAAGTAATTTACCATGGGATTTAGATGTAGCAATGCTAAGAAGATTAGAAAAAAGAGTAAAATATTGTTTTAATTTAAAAGAAAATAAATTCATTTAAAACCAATTTTTGAAAAATAAAAGATTTTAGTTCCTCTTCCAAGTAAAGAAGCAAGATAAAATATGATTGAGTAATTTTTACCTGAAGGAATAGCATAAGATTTGAATTATCAAGAAATTAGTGAAGCATTAGAGGTAAATATATTTATTTAATAAAGAAAACTATTTTTTATTTTTATTTTAGAATTATTCAGGCTCAGATATAAAATTATTGTGTAAAGAAGCAGCTATGAAACCATTAAGAAGACTTATAAATTAAATTGAAAAATCTAATATAGAATAAGAAGATATGTAAAAAAATCGTAAGCAGAAATTTTAATAACAGCAATCAATCAATCCACAAGAAGGTATGTTATTCTTAATCTTTCAAATTTAAATAAGGAGTTTTTAATAAATAAAATCAAGTAAAACCCGATCCTGTCACTAACGAAGATATTGTTGAGGCTCTTAAAACTACTAAGCCTTCTTCTTTTATAAAAACATAAGCTTATGAAAAATGGGCTAAGGAACATGGTTCAGTTTGAACTAAAAATTAAAAAATTTCAATTAAATTTTTCTAAAATTTAGAAAAATAATATAAAACATAGAGATAGTTTATATATATACATTTCAATTATTTGTAAGATAAAGCTTAATGAGCATAAATCATCATGCATATTTCTTCAACTTATTAACACAATTTAACATATAATAAACTATTTTAAGATACCTTAGAAAAGCACTTACATTTATTTTAAAAGCTAAATTAAAAAAATAAATTCCATTTTAGTTTAAATTGAATATTTAACATTTTATCTAATTTGAGACATATTCATTAATAATGAAATAATTAATAATATTAATTAGTATAGAAAATATTAAGAAAGAGACAATTTTTAAAAAAATTGTATTATTAATAATTTGAAATTTAGATTAAATTAATTAATCAAATCCAAAGAAACAAAGGTATTTAGAACAAATATAATTATTACTGTTTATCTATATTAATTGTGCAAAGAATTTAAATTTTTAATTGATTTTTAAAATTTGTAGTATTTTTGATGATAAATAAATAGAAAGAAAAGGAATATAATAAATAGCAATATTATTGAAAAAATGCTTTCTAATGTAAAATTATTTTTTAAAGTGATAGTTAAAATAGGATTTAAATTAATAGGTAAATAATGGGTGTTAAGCATAATTAATATTACTTTTGTTAGCAATAAATATTTTGATTGGAACAGGTGCTGCTGTATTATTTACATACATGAGTGCTAATTCTTGCTCTAGAGCATTTTAAGCCGCAGCTGGGGCTTCATATACATATATTCTTTTAAGTTTTCTTTAATTGACTGTGACTTATACCTGGAAACAGATACCAGTTTAGCTTATGTTTTTATTGCATTTATTTGTTTTTTTGGATTCTATAGTCACATTGGCATTTTCTGTTACCCAATCGTTTTGCGGGTATAATATTTGTATCGCAGGTCTTAATGAAACAGGTAAATAAATGATTTATAAGTTAACAATTTAACTCATAGATTATAATAAATATTATAGAGTTCTATAGCTGGTTTAATGGTTCAATTGTTAAAAGTTAAATATAAGTATCCTGCTATGATAGTACAAGTGTTGAATCAGAAATTTTGAGAGTAGCGAAGTAATATTAAGGTAGTGCATAATTTAATTATGGGGATCAATATAGCATAAATTACGGATGGCCTATATCAATAAGTGTTTTAATGATGTTGATTACTTTTTTAACTCTATTAATCACATACAAAGCTATATATAGTTGTGATGGGTGTGTAATAAGAAAGTCTGATTTTTAAAAGACATATTTTTAATTTTCTGATGATGAAGATGATGACGAAGAAAGTTGAATAAACAAAATCAAATACAATTAATTATTATGATTTTGATATATAAAATATTAAAGACAAAGTCATTCAGAAAATAAATTTTTTTCTAAAAAAGCTAGCTAGATATTTATTCTAGATTAAAATTCTTATTCTTTATAATTCCAATAATAAAAAAAAATAAATTGAATTCTATACAAAATAGTAAAAATATATATTTATTATAACTTTGTAAATTGCATATTCTCATTTTTTTTAGTTTACACTTAATATTATAAAATATTGAATATAAACTTTTTATAGGTGGATCTTGCTTATTTTATGTTAGTATCTTTTTGCCTTTATAAACTAAATCTTTTATTACAAATTTTATTTGAAGAATGGCGATAATTACTAAATAATAATTTTTTCTAAAATAAAAATATTTTGTTTGGTGTTTTTTATTTGAATGAATAAAAAAATATATCTTTATAAGGAATTCTATAAATTAACAAAGCGGTTTGAGTTTTATACTGGATCTATAATAATCTATATACATTTGTTTGAAGGTTTACATAATAAAAAAAATTTAATAAAATTTAGTTAGCTAATTAATTATATTTCTTTCACAAAAATCTGTAAAATTCGATTATTACAACTTATTTTATAAATCACTTCATTATTAATTCCAAAGATACGATTAATAATATTTATATGAATAAAAAGTTGTTTATCTTACAGACAATTATCAATCAAACAATATACTTGAATGAAATTGAAAATTTACTATTTTCTATGATTAAAAATTTAATTTATGTGATTTATAAATGAAACCAATATTTTAGTATGAATTTTATTGAAAATACCTTTCCTATTAAGCACCATTTAAATAACAATAAAATTTTCAACTCTAATGGTAGCTGGCTCTATACAATTTTATTAAGTCACCTTAATTCATTATAAAAGCTTTTATTATATTGAGATTTTGTGATTATAAATTTACTGGACTTTATTTTTTATAAATTTAATAATTAGTCAGCTAAACGTACAGTTAAAATTAATATTTGATTATTTGTTTAATATGATTGAAATTCTAACGTTAGACATTATTTAAATAGCTAAGAATATCTCTATAAATTTAATAAATCTTAAAATTAAAAAATAAAAAAAAATAGAATCTTTAAAATATTAAAAAAGGAAACATGTACACAAAGGTAAATAATAGAAGTTTTCATTATTGCTAATGCTAATAAATATTTCTTTTTAATTAATTAGGTTAAAGGTGACAAAAAAGCCCTATTATCTATACTCTTTATAGTGCTTTGTATCGGTATTGCTTTTGCATCAGGAGTTATATTTTCTTATATGGCTGATAATGGTTGTTCAAAAGTTTTTATTGTTGTAGCTTGCTTCAGCTTCTTTTATTTTGGTGCAAATCTTTTACTCTTTATTTCACCTAGGGCTTGGGAAAGAGAAGCAAATGTATTCTGGCTATTTTTATTCCTTGGAGTCTTAGTTGTTTCTTTAGTTGGATTAGGTTATTCAATTGCATAATCTGCTTGTGATCTCACTATTTGTGGAAGAGATTTCTAAAACCATGCTGATGATTTTTGGTCTTACTTCAATGGTAATAGCAAAAAGAAAAATTTTGAAGACCGTGTCTGTGGTAACACCAGTGATGATTATATTACAGGAATGGTTGTAGCTGCTATGGGAACCTATGAGTAAACTTGCACTGGAACAACATTCTATATGAAGAGAGGATGGCCTATTTCTTTCACTGTCTTGTAATCATTAGTTAGTTTAATCCAATTTATATTGACTTTCACAAACTTATATACTTGTGGTGGTTGCAAGCCTAAGCCTGTCAATAAAGGTGTATCTTATTGAAGTGAAATTAAAATTAATCTTACAGTATTAAATAATAAATTATATTTGTTTTGCTTACATTAATATTTATCTACTAATTTTGATATGTATGATACTATTTCATTTATTTTCTAATCAATAATTTTCTGAATTTGAATAAAATTATTATCATTTTCTGGTTTTTGTGGCAAATTAGTAAACTTTATGCATCAAAAACATACTGAAACAATTATTTAGTTTTGGTAAAAGATACATTACTTTATCTTACCTTATTCAGTAACTTAATTAAGATAGATAAAAAATTTCATATATTAAATTTGTTTAGACTATCAAATCAAAATTTTAAATTATTTCTTAGCCGCACAAAATTTTGTAATTGATAATGCAAACCAGAAGAATTTTTGAATTATAAAAATCTAAAATTTCTACCATGACCTATAAAACTACAACTTGTATTATTGTTTTCAAATAGATCTTAAATATTATAATAAATACAAGTATCCAATTCAAGTAATTTAATTAAATGCGTAATCAATCATCATTAATTTATTTCATGTTTATTTTTACTATTTTTAGAAAATAATAAAATTTTAACCTTAAAATATTTAGATAAAATACTAGGTAGTTTTTTTCAAAAAATTAGTAATACAAATAAATTCATAGCTAGCTTTCTGAATTTAATATTATTTCATGATCAATTAATAATCATAATAATATGAAAATATTATTAAATATGTTAAATGTAAATAAGCTTTATACATTAATTCTTACTTTTTTCTTCAAAGATATTTTTAAATAAAGAGAGGGAAATCAATATTGATTGGTTGATTGAAAATATATCAATCATTAATTTTTGTAATAATTAAAATAGAAGATTTTTTTGATTTAAATGCCTGGGTTACTCATTTTAAAAATTAATTTTTATTCAACTATTGCTGATATACATATTAAGTAAATAGTCATTACTTGGTTTTTACAATACTTATTTAAATTATTATCTTATTTATTTTAATTTTTATTGATTTTTCATGCATATTTCACAGCTTTTATAAAAATTGTTGTTTTAACTTCCATAATCAGAACAATTTAATTCTGCCTCTATCAAATGATATAAGTGCTACTAATTTTTACTGCTCTGATCATTTTCTTTACTCTGATTTAATATATAAACATTAAAATTAATTAGATTTAACAATATATTACTTCTTCGGTTTCGGATGTATCGAATTCTTCTTCTTCAAAATACATTTGATTTTTTATTAATGTATTCATCTTTTATTGAAATTAAGTTGAGATTACTTACAAATGAAAAAAAATTACAATTTTTTTAATTATTTGAAAGGATTATTGTTGATTTTCTTCATCTCTTAATGCCATGGTTAATACACTTGCCCAAGAAAGTGGTTAAGAATATGTAAAATTATTTTTATGGAAAATAGATAAGATAAAATCGCCATGATCTTACATTAATTGTTAAAATTCCTATTTTATAAATTATTTTTATAATTTTTAGCTTAAAAATTTAGATTTACATTAACATTTTTATCACCCTTCTTTGATTTTGCCTTTCTCTTCTTTTGATTTTCTTTTTCTTTCTAATAAATATTTTAAAATAATACTAAAATAAACTATAAATAGACTTAAATTTTATACTTTTATAGATTCTGAGTTCAAAGAAGGTCCACAAAAATAAATATCACTATCTTAAGTGCAAGAATAAGCAAATTCAAACTTAGATGAAGTAGATCTAGGTTAAACAATGTGCACAATTTAATTATTTACAAAGTATTAAGTTTCAATTTCACCATTTGAAGTGTTATATATTATAATCTTTTTATAATAAAATAATACTTGATGTTCAAGATTTTTTAATCACTGTTAATATCCAAAAATTTTTACTCTATTATCCTCTGAGCCAGTAATTATGCTTTCTTCGTTGTTCATAAATAATGCTGGAATATTATATCCTTCACAACGATGTTAAGTATATTCTTAAACATACCCTTTAACTTCATTTAAATCTGATTCATTAAATGTAGGCTTTTAAAATATTGATTAATATTCAGTAGAGTTTAAATTTTATTTACAATATATCTTATATCCCATAATCTTAGAGAGCTGTCTCTACCTGAAGTTAGTATATTGTATTAATTTTCACTAAAACAAGCAGAATTGAGTTTCTTGTTATGAGAATAGAACTTTATATTAAATATTTTATTATTTTTAGATTATTTTAATGAATGCTCATATTTTAAAATAGAGCTATAATTTTTATTGTATAAAATATCCAAAAAATAAAAAATATCAAATTCTAATAAAAGCTCACTTTCAAAGTAGGCTTATTAGTATCTCTAACATCATAAATTTATATGATAGAATCTCTAGTTCCAACCAAAAATTCTGATGAACTTGATTTGAATCCTAGAGCATTTATAGTATTTATATTTTCTTAATTTCTATTGTGCTTTATTCTGTATAATACCTTTTTCTTTTCTAAATCCCAATAATAAACATTTGATCCAACACAACCAGAAAGCATTTTTGTATTGTCTTAGGATATAGAAAGGCATCTTAACCAATCCTAATGTTCTTCTAAACTAATTTTATATAAAAATGTATTTAATTTTTTTTTTCTCATTTACTAAAATAAATACCTATCAATACATTCATCATCTTTCCATATTTTAATAGTCTTATCTAGTGAGCAGGTAGCTAATAACTCATTTTATTATTATCCTGAGAACCAAACCTAATAAATATAAAATGCTAAATCTTATTTGACTAAATTAATTGATTAAATTGACATACGATGCAAGTAACTATTTCATTATGACCTTATAATATTCCAAGCTATTTCTAATTTAAAACTCCCCATATTTTAATTTAATGATCCTCTATTAATATTTAAAAAATTTTTATTCATTTTTAAAATTTAAAATGATCATAACATGTTTTAAAAAGAAATTTAAACTACATGTTGAAAAAGCTAATTTTTCCCCAAATTTATCAAACTGCATAGCATAAATGCAATTTTATTGTGCTACATTTTAATTTTATTCTGGAATTCCGTTTTGAATATATTTTGTTTACCACAATTCGCAAATATTTTCTCTTAAAACTTCAGATGATTCTGTATCAAAATTCTATAAACAATTTTTCTTCATCATCTTTATTTATATTTAATATAATTTCATATTCCAACCTTAATTATATTTAAAAAATATCATACCTGTCTGCTAAAATTGTAAACATCATTTTTTCTAAGCTCCGTATATTAACATGTATGATTTTTATAATTTTCCTCTATCAAATAACTCTAACTATTAGTTTTAATGTGTTAATAATGGCTTTGTTTATCAAATATGTGTATTACTTGATTGCTTAACTATTGTAAACTCTATCCATGCTAGCTTTTTTTATAATGTAACTTCTAAAATGTTTTAATTGTGTATGCTAAATCTTTAAGTAGTCTAAAGCTCTATCTTTAGAATTCTTTTAATAATTAATTACTTCTATCAAATTTTAATTTTTACTATAAACTAAACAATCACATCAAATTTTTGTTATATCCTATCAAAATTTAAAATGATTGAAAACTATAATTAATACAAAATTTAACTCAGATTTGCTTTTAAAAATTTTAAAAGGTAAATTAAAAATATTTTACTAAAAATAAACATTTTTATAAATATTAAAAAAATGTAAAAGAAAATAATACAATTAGAATTATTATTTCATTTCTGATTGAATTTTAAAAAAATGATTCCTCCGAGGTTTGAACTCGGGACCTTCAGTGTGTTAGACTGACGTGATAACCACTACACTAAGGAATCGCATCTATAGATTTGCTAATTTAGCATATTTTATTTGAGAATTTGCTAATATTTCAAATGAAAATTGTTCAATTTGAATCTTACAAAAAGCATAAAAATTTTATAATTTATGAGGCATAAATAAATAATATTTATTAATAATAAACATAAATTTTATAAAATAATTTCTTACATAAAAATGAAATAATTCATTCAATATTAATGTTTTTTAGAACAAGTCTTTTGAGTTTTTTTGTTACTTTGTAAACATTTTGAATTTAATCCTATCTCCACTACTATTTAGCTCTGTTTTTTTTTTTTGATGATAATAGATAGCATGAAGAAATATTTAAAAAATAAAATAAGTTAATTACCTTAGTTAAAATTTGAGGGATTTAACTCTATCTAGTTTTTTAAGCTCACTTGCTATTGGCTACAACTCGAAATTCAAAGAGGCTCTATCATATTTAAGATGATTGAATTAATATTTTAAATAATAAATAATTATTTTACTTAAATGCTAAGCTCAAAGTGCTTAAATTAGTAATACCCTTACATATTTATATTATTTTTAAGACATCATTTTGATTTAGATCTCTATTTATAATATAAAAAATTAATTTTTTAAATTATATTTAGTGAATAAAAATCTGACGTATGGCTAAATGTAAATGCTTCTAATAGTTTTAAGCTTGTAATTGTACTTTTTAAGTTATCAAGAGGTATAATTTATGTAATATGCCTTTATTTTAAATAATTTTAAATCTAAATATTTCATTTTATAGTTTTTTTATTACTCTAATCTTAATTTCAATGTTTTTAGATTCTTAAATTAACTAATACTTTCAAAAAAATTGACTGCTCCACTTTCAAGAGTATTTTCACTTTTGGTAATTATTTTATTAGCTTTTATTTTTTTTAAGTTTAAATTAAGTATACCTAATGTTAATATCTAATATTTAAAGATTATTTAACTAAGGTTCATTTTGCACTTAAAGGTAATCAACAACTTAATTTCTTTTTAAATTAAGCACAATTTGTTTAAGAAACGAATTATTTAGGAGGGTTGTGTACAAAGTATTAGCACCTGTTTACTAAATCTAATTTTACCTTAATTAAAAAAAATATTTATATAATCTTACACAAATTGTATTTATTTACCCAAGAAGCAGCTTAGCACATTTTAAGTTCTTAAATTATTAAAATGACTATGAAAGAGCATTCACACCCTTAAAATCTATTTAATTATATCTTGTAGAAATGTGAGTAAATTATATAATCAGAAGAAATTATTTACGATAAATCTAACTAAATTTCTTAAGTAAATGCATAGATGTTTAAATATTTAACCAAGAGGACCAGAATATTATCATTCATATAATTAAATCTAATAAATTAGTAATAAGATAAAGTATACTCACTTTCAAAATAATATATTGTTTATCTAATAAATAATTTAGTATCTTATTTATTTAATTTTAATTACCTTAAATTTAATGAAAAAACCTCTAATTTATTGAGTTAAGTAGGAATTTTATCATTTTCATCATCTTCATTAAGCTCAATGAGAGATTTTAATTTGTTTTTTCTAAAATTATTTTTAATTTTTATCAACAAATATTTTTACAAAAGAGTTTACTTACTCTAATCCTAAGCCATATAATTTTAAAAATTTTAATTCTTTAACACAAGAAATGAGACTAATAGCACCTAGTGTATCAATTTAATTTTTCCTGTTATTTTTTAATAATTTTTAATAGCTTTGGATGTTAAACTATATATTTACGATAGATCAACTGTAATATCTTATAAGAATTATTATATTTTTAAAGCTTTAGATATTTAGATAGCACCACCATCGCTAATTTAATTACTTATAAAATTTAAATGAAAGACTTATAAATGCAATTATTGCTCAGTCAGCTTGATAAAGGGATCAAACAAGAGTTCAATCGAGTAATTATCGAAAGAATCACATCTATTTTAATATTAATTTTCAGTTTGGGATATATTTAATCAAGTTTATTACTAAATCCTTGCGAAAAGGCACTAGAACCCACTAATGTTACCAAAAAACTTTTTAATCTAGTTGTTTTCATTATCAACATTTCCCCTAGCAAAAATAAAATAAAATGTAATAACAATCTTAAATTTGAAGATTTACTATGTAGTGATAACTATTTTTTTCAAATTAGTATTCTCTAATATGCTAGCGACATGAACGCTTTCAGTAGAAGTAAATTATTCCAGCCTTATTTAAATTATTCCAAAAAAATATAAATTTATATATTTCGTTGTAATTTTTGATACAAAACGTGAAGTTTAACAATTCTTAAAAACTGTAAGTGAAGAAAAGATTCTGCTATAACTTATAAGCTTTTGAAGCTAATGTGTCTTGTTCTTTTTTTAAAAAAGATCTTATTTAAAAATAAATACAGACTTACAACCAAAAATAAAGAAATATTTATTTACTCCACTCCCAAATCTAAAAATTCAGTGTTTTGGAAATTTTTAATTTGAGTTTTGAAAGCATTTGATTATTCATCATTTATAAAGGCTCTTTATAGCAATATAAGAATATAATAAATGTTTTATATCTATTTATTTTTTTATTTAATATACTTAAGATATAGAATCAAGTCTGTTTTATCTTGCTTTTTATAAATCTTTGAATATAAGCTTTAAATTATTTTAGAATTTTGTTTTTCTTTAGAGCAACTTATTCCCATTCAAGTTTATTTTTATTTATTTTAATTAATAAAAATTTAATTATAAAAATTGCAAAGTAAAAAATTTAGTAAAGTCAAAAAATATTCAATAATTATTAAAAACTGGCTTTTTAAAAATTTATTCTAAATAAATAAATGTCTGTTTACTTTAAAATGTAAATTAAAATATAAACATAAATTCTACTTACTGATTTGACTATATAAATTCAATATAATTTTTTTGCTATTTTAAAACATATAAATCTTAAACAGAATCTAACAAGTATGAAATTACATTTCATATTTTCACTTATTTTTTTCATTGAATTTTAGTACTTTTTCTGATGGTTAGTTTATTTAATTCATATTTTATCTTGAAGAAAATATCAAATTAATATCTGAGGAGAAATTTATATTTGGTCTTTCAGTTGGAGAGATTATTTTTTTATTTGCTTCAAAAGAGTCTGAAAAAAAGTTAAATTATTTTTTTGTTGCTGATTTTTTTTGAGGGGTGTTTATATTCGGTTTACTATTCAGGGTATTTATTACAATAGCATCATGATTTGAAAAGTTGCTATTAATTTTCAATAATTCTAATTATGTGGGCAATTAATTTTTTGTTGTATATTGACCTACAAGTTAATCTTTTAATAATTTAAAATAATTGAAAAATAAATATTATTTTGTTTTGCAAAAAGATTACTATTAATTTGAGCTTATGAGTAGCTTGGAGAAAATTCCATCTTATGAGTAGGAAGAGATTGTAGATTAAGTTTTAATCTAAGAAGTGGTAGCTTATTTTCAAAAACTATGTGCTAAACCTTCTTCCATCCTTTATGGAAAATAATGCAGCTTTTTTGTTCTCTAAATATTCTGCCAAAAAATTTAGGAGTCCATTTAATTAAAAATTAAATGGCTGGATAAAAAAACTGCTTTTGGTTAAAAAGGATTTTTTCTCGAAGAATTGAGTGCAAAAAGAAAAGAATAATTCCTATATTCAAAATGGCGACTAATATTACTGAAACCACTTACAGTTTTTAATCATGTGTGTAGTTATTAATGACTCCTAGCTAATAGCAAATTATCATAATGAATGCTACCATAAAGTCTAACTTGTTTTGGATTTTTGTCCTGTAAGGTTAATTTGTATTCGTTAAGACAAGATAAAGAAGTGAAAGCAAGCTAAGAATAACTGATCTAAAGAGCTACTATTATGAAAAGTAAGTAGATGCCACATAGATTAGTGTACGATATGACATTCTAATTATTTCCCAATAATATTTCTTGGGTTGATATTCCTAAAAGAAAAAGCCAAATTTGAGATAAAATGAAACTTTATATAAGTTTAATCTTTGCTTATATAACTTGTAAAAAATGAATGAAGGAAAAACAATTGTAATGATGACTAATACTGGTAAAGATATTTTATATGCATATAAAATATGATAAGGTGTTTGACATTCAAATTAGCTGTCAGCTAAAATATAATATTTAGTACCAATTGACTGACAAGATATTATATTAACTATGATCTCAACTAAATTTAAGTAAACTGAGTAATACACGTACATTCCAGCTGTATAAATCATCCTATTTTTAAAATTTATTATATTTATCTTTTATTCAATAAATTAGAATAAAAAATTTAGTGATTTTCATTTTAAAATTGAATAGATTATGTGTAATTTTTTTTCACTTTAAATTTGTGAAAATATTTTTTTAATTTTAAAATAATAATTTACAAGAATATTATTTTTAGAATTTTTTAGGTTTTATACTTCCTCTTCTTGATGCAGATGTAAATTGATGAGAGGATAACGGCTAATATAAAATAAGCAAAACTATTAATGTAAAGCCATATCAACCTTAAATAAACTATCTCTATGCTTTTGTGTAGTCCTAATTTTATGAATGCAAAATCAAGGGAGTAAATGCAAGTTTCTAGAGGATTTCCTATAAATGTGATTGTACTTATAAATCCGTCAGGTATTTTAAATCTAAATTAAAGTAAGACTTATAACATTTAAAAATAACCTACAAAGAATTTAACTAGAGAACTAAACCCACTTTTGCTGAGAGTTACTTAAAAATTAATTATACCTGCTTTTTTCAAGTAATACATCCTTAGTTAGTTAGACATTTATTTATTAATTTTTATCACAGAAAATCCTTGGTACACACTAAATATTAATACTAAAAAAACAGTAATAACAATTTCTTTTGCAAATCCATCTCTTTTCTCAAATTTACTACAATTATATCTACCACTCTTACCATAGTAATAGTCTTAGAATATAAAATTTGAGTAGTCACAACTTTCGCACCTAGGCCCAAAACCTCCTTCGCTGCACTAATATAAACTATTAGAAATCAAATATTGAATTATTATTTTTTATATATAAAATTGTTTACTTTGGATCATCTCTTGTGCATTTAAGTGGTTAATTAAAGCACTCCTCAATTATGTCTGTTCCAGGCTCATTCCAAAATCCTTACATAGCTATTATTTAATTTCCTTCACATGACAATGAGTAATCAGGACATATCTAACATTTTTAATCTTTACTAATAGGCTTCTATAAAGAATAAGTGTTATTTGAGCAAAGATTGCATGAAAAATATTTTTTTTTTAATGAATTTTAGTATTCTTCTATGATTTCACCTTCTATGCACTCTCTGAATTCCACATCAACAGGTAATGACAAATTAGTGATATCAGCTTTTAAGCTCATAGGTATGTATTTCAATGGTGCATAAATATAAAATGAAGACTTTTATTTAGGAGAAAGCAAAAATGAAGATTCAACTTCTATGTATTGATAACCTTCATCCTCATTTTTTTTTATTGCTCCATTTAATTCTATTTAGTTAGAAATAGAATCAAAAATTATATCATCAGAGTATATATTTATTATTTTATATTATTTGAGTTCCTAAATCAAATCAGTAAACTGTTCATCAATTACTTTTAGATTAAATAATTGCATAACAGTATCGTTTTCGTCGTAATATTTTAAATTATTTCCTTGCTCATCAACCCATATAAATTTGACCTATTTTGTGAAAATAAAATTAATTTTGATTAATAAAAAATTTAGTCAGAAAAAATGAAAATTGAAAGTTAAAATCTATTGAAAAAAAACTTGAAGATGAAATTTATTTAACATTTTAAAATATTTGTTCATACCTTTTGTTTAATTGACAACAAACTTGATGAAAGCAGCTAATAATTCTAATCTTTGATGATCTATATTTTTTTTGGATACATTGTATAATCACTTCCATAAAACCTAACACTATTGTCTGAAATAATGCTCTCGTTTTCCAAAATTAAATTTGGTATAAAGTTGGATATGTAACGGATTCCTCCCCCAACTTAAGCAAAGTTGTTTTTAATGACTGATTTCTTAATATCATGATCTTTAAAATTTTTATCTAACTCAATTTAACTCATAAGCAGATATATACCTCCTCCAGAAAGGACGGCTTTATTATCAGTTACTTCTAATTAATAAATTAATATATTTGAATTGATAGCATATATAGCTCCACCATTTAAAATACAAAAATTTTAATTTAATTTAACATTTTATAGCTTTACTTAATTAGCATTTATGATATTAATTGCTGTTCCATTTCCTCTTTAGTTTTAAATATTTTATACTATTGTATCTTGAATTAGAATAGAACTACTTGTATAGTAAAAAGAAATTTTTATTGCAGAATCAAAAACATAGTAATTACTAATTATAGGGTTTATTATTTTTATTTTACTAAGCTATATTTATGAATCTTATAAGTAAAAGCAATTTACTATGTTTGTAAAATTAATAACTTATATATTATAAAAATTTAATTCTTCTATTTAACTAAAGCTAATTATGTTTTGAGCATTTTAAATCAAGCTAATGTTGAAATTTTTAACAAAAGCTTATTACATTTTTTATAGATAATAACATGAAGTAAATCCTGATACATTTTTAGCAACAAAATTTGATAGAAAAGCGTGACTTACTTGTAGTTGAAACAAATTATAATAGGCTACAATAGCTTTAGCAGTTCCTTTTGGTTTTATATTTCTGATTGTTACATCTTCTATATTAACAGTTAAATTTTTTGAAAATTGCACTTGTTGAATATAATCATATGTTTCAAAAATTGTGCTATTTATTTTAATAACCCTGTCATACATACAATTTTTAATTTAGACCCTTGATATGTTTACAAAATTTAAGGCTAAGAAAATATCAAAAATTGAAATTCTACGATCAGCAGATTTTTCAAGGGGAATCGTAGTTAACCAATTCAAGTTGGTTGCTGTAACATCAGAAATTGTCACATTTTCTATTTCAATTATAGATAATAAGGTAATGTCAGATGCAAGATCAGACACTTTCAAGCCAGTTAAATTTAAAGATCCTACTTTTTCAAAGTTTACAAACCCTGTGAATGATCTGATTTTTGAATCAATTATATTTATAAGTCCATCATTTTAATAAGTATCATTTCTTTAATTACTTGAACTTTAAATAAAAATATTGCTCATGTTTGCCTAAAAGTATTTTTCTATTTAAAGAAAATTCTTATTCATTTCTTAAACAAATATTACAAAATTTTGGATGTATAAATAATTTTAAGTATTTTCTTCACCAATAATTACAAATTTATCAGCTTTTTCATCTATAGTAACCTTATTTATGTAAATATTCTTACACATAATGATAAATGTTGATCTCTTTATTAAAATGTTTAGCAAATTTATAGTATTAAAATTATTAAAAATAATTTAATTATAAATAGCAGTTTAGTTGCTTTAATGTGAATCTTAGTCTACATATAAGTCTACTGTCCCATTTTTGAAAGTCAGATATTAAAACAACTAAGGATTCTATAAATTTACTTTATTATTCTAGAATATTTTTATATTTTTGTTGTTAAGATTGTAAATTAATTTCAATCCATCAATCAGGTTTTCTAAATAACTTTTTTCAGGTATTTAAATAATTTAGTTGTCATATTAGACATTAAAAATTATGCTGTAAATTTTTGAATGAGATTTTTAAACAAGATAATCTATCTATTGAGATTATTCTAATATATTTGAATATAGATTATCGACTTATATGCATTAAGAAGATAGGCTTTTTAGAGATGAGTCACTATTCAAAAGTTTTTGATATTGAATTTATTATTCTGCATTCTTGTCTAAATTTTTTACTTCCTTTCTAATATCAAATACATTAGTTGCAGTGACTCCAATCAATCGAATAAATGACCTATTATTGTCCCAATAGTAGCCAGTATAAAGAATTTTAATATGAGTATACTCTCTATAAAAAATTTAAACAATCTCACCGTTATCTGGTCTAACATCATAAAGATAAACTCTATGAACATCCCATATTATCAGAAATTTCGAATCATCAAAAAGTAGTGAATTTTAAATAATATTAAAATTTTAATTCTGAATAGAGTAAATGTATTAAACTGAATCAGAGGTTAATAGGAACATTGAAAGCTATGATTTAGATATTACTGCAATGTGATCATTATTAATTTTGGAAAGTTTATTTTAATTTCTTGATTGAAGATTAAATTTATTTAGAGGTTCGATTTAGTTAATATTGGATTTTTCTTCATTTAACGTGTATCTATATACCATAAGTGTATTGCTTGTTATTAATAGCAAATATTAAAATTTTTCTTCTAAAATTGCATCTTAAATACTACCAGATAAAGTATCCATTTCTAGCAATTTATCTAAAGATTCATTGTATATACTAATTTTCTGTGATGTTCCCAAAATAAAGATTGATTAGGCAGTTTTATCATTCACTATGATATCAAATAAATTTATTTTATCCACTGAGTAATCTTCAGGAAGTTTAATGAAGACATTCTCATCAACTACAAAATAACCATTAGAGTCTATGAAAGCCAAATATAACAAGAGATCCTGTGAATAAAAAACTGTGTGCAAAATTTTTCCTAAATCTATATTTGTGGGAAGATTTACGTGTTTATACACAACTTCATATAAGTGTGTGATATTGTTCATTTAAATTCTAGCAAATGTTGCACTTTTACTAATATCATTAAATTTCAAACTCCCTTCAGGTATATTTTTATCATAATTAGTTATTGGCAAATATTAAATAATTTTTTCTTTGCTGAAAATGACAGCATAATTATTAAATAAACAAGCAAAATTGAGTTTTTTTATTAAGCTCTCAGTTGGAAAGTCAGGGTTTTTTTCAGGGTCTACATCTTCTGACTATGTTCTTAATTCAATATTATACAAAATTTGGTGGTTATTCTAAATAATTCCATCATCTAATTAAAGCTTTGTCTCTGTCTCATCATCAAAATCATAAAAGAAAATAGAATTATAGTATGAATTATAAAATATAATCCATTTATTCTAATATTAGTTAGTTGTTTTATTAGTATAGCCATATAAATAAGGTCCTATCATTATGTCATTAGCAAAAGAATAGCTATTTAAATTAAAAGGAAAAATTAATGAAAAGTCTATTACTTATATATAATTATTATTTTTATTATCAATTATTATTCCATAATCATTAACATCATCATAAACAAAATCTAAAGTTGGTAAGACATACAGAAGATCAGAGCCATCTTCAATTAAAGAAATGATTATATTCTAAATTAAAGCTATTCCTTTTGATTTCTAATACCAATTTTATTAGGTAACTGACTTAGATTAATTGTTAAAAATTAGTTGATCAGGTCTAATTGAATATGTTTTAATCAAACTTTAAGTATAATATGATATGACCTATATTTCATATCTTGGCATATTGGTTGAAGTCAGATTAACCAACAATATTAAATGCTCATCAGTACATAACTAAACGTTAAAGTTTTTATATTAACTTTATACATTATAAGTGAAAAAGGGATCGTTTGACTGGGAGAAGGGTTGATTGAATCCAACAATCTTCATTGTATAAGTTATTAGCATTTTATTAAATCCAGTACAGTCTATATAATACTGACTGCTAAATTCAATATTTTCAGCTTCTTAAAATGATATGATTGATTCAAATAGATAGTTGTATATTTAGAGTATTTCATAATTTTAATGCTCATTTAATGTTATAAAGTAATTTTATTCAAAAAAGTAGTTCTAACTGTTTAGTTTAAGTGTGGTTTGATATTAGGTATAGTTGTTTGATTTATTATAAAAAAATATAGTTTGGTATAAAATAACTATTATCTAGTTTTCTTACTCAATGAATAGCTGTTTCTATTCTAAACTTCCAAAAAAATTATTTACTGATCTTTCAACCTTAAATATATCAAATATTAGCTATGGGTATGCAGTGAAAGAATTGTTTTAATAATTATAGATACCTTATCCGTTAATATATATTATCGGACTGTATTCTGAAAAAGCTAATTTACACTATGCAAGAAAATCACCTTTTATAGATCCTACATTTATAAATTAGTAATCAAATTTACATATTTATGCAAGATTGAAATCATTAAAAACTTAGATTTTTGAGCTAATGTTATTTACATCATAAACACTTAGAATATTTTAATCACATATAATTAAAGTATTATATATTTCGATTATATTAGCTACAAAGTATTTGCAAACTTGATTTATTTAATAATTGAATAACTCTTCATTTTAAGGATACTTAATAAGTTATATGTTTATTAGATAGCCATCAGCTTAGTCTAGTTATGTAGAGTATTCAATCATTATGATATTGAATTTTGGATATATGTTATACCTTTTAATTATTTTTTATTTTGAATAAAATAGAGTGTCACCAGATAATATTCGAGCAAAATTAGGAAGAATTTTTTCTTAATAAACAACTAAATTTTTATAAATGAGCACTTCCTATAATTCCATACAATTAAAAGAGCAGCCTATTGAGAACTATTCCTAAATTTATCCAAATATTTTTTATTAGAATAGCTATACACTCCTATACAAACCAAAGTGTTGCTCTCCCCATCTACTCATTGATTTACATTCTTAAATTGTTGTATAAATCTTACTTTACTCAATTTTTAAGCCATTTATTATAAATTCAGAAATATACATCTCACATAAACCAGTAGACATATCGTCGTTACTCATATCATATTTTTAATCTTCATCTTTTAATAATTTAAATCAATTTTTAAAATATTTAAAAAAAAAAAATTAAGTATATTGTATATTTGTGAAATTCTATCCAAAAATTGAAAAATTTTTATTTTTTCAAGTCAATATTAATTAAAATTAAAAAAAATGAATAATAAACTTACTGTAAGAAGCCATAACTATGAGAATGTTTGAATCTGCAAATTTATGAGTGCCATCTACAAAGAAGATATATGTATTCAATTAATTGAAATCTTCTAGTTGTTAATTTACGCTTTTCAAGGGTTTAAATTAATTTATAATTTAAAATGTTTTTAAATTAAAGAAATAGTAAGTATGATTGTATTTAGTATGTTCGTTTTCCGAATAAATCTCAATATACTCATCTAAGATTAATAAATTATAATCAACTTTAACCTAAACATCCCTTATCTTACTTTAAATAAGATGCTCAGTAGAATTGATTTGTTAACAATCACTCAAATTATATGTTAAAAAGTGAGTATTTGTAATACAGAGAATCTCATCATCAGAAATAAAATTAATAGATAGATATTCTTATGGAATTTTCATACCATAGCAGAAAGTAAAAGCTTATTTTTCTATTGCAATAAAAGTATTCTCTTATTAATTTTAGTTATTAATCCAAAAATTTTCAATAACAAAATAATTATTATTTTAAAGGCAATTACCAATAGAATTAGTATTAGATAGGATTACTTAAGAATTTTATTAGAAATCATTTCTTTTGTAAATGACTTAATTATAGTTGTTTAAATTCTATACTATGATTAGACTTGAGCTTAAAAATAAAATATCTAAGTATTATTCTATGAATAAAACATTAAACTGAAAGTATGAAAACATAATGACATACTTCATGTCTTTAACTCTTAAACCAAATACTTTGATTTCCCTATCAACTTAATTAATGTAAAGCTTAAGCTTCTAATATAACTCTAAATTCATCAATTCAGGATGGAATATTTCTACGTATTTGATAACCTTATTGTCTTTTATTAAGATAAATACAAGATTTCCATAAATATTTATTGAAACATAAAAATGAATTCTTCTTATTTAGTCAACTACATAACCACTGATTAGAGTAGTAGTTTAACCAAAAAACTTTACAGGAGAGTTAAAGCAATTTTCAACTAGATATCTCTTCACTTATAGCCCTTATATTTCAGCTATGTTATCTTCTTAGCCTACAACTACAGTCTCTTTATCTTCATCATTTGTTGGTTATCGTATATGCATTGAAGTCACTTTACCTTATTTTAAAGCAATATTTTTTACAAATATGAAATTATTGTCATATACACTAACATAACTCTGAGTAAAATCTTTTGAAGCAATATATACATAAGGATTCAAGTAAACAATTAAAAAGTTATTTCCTGTTATAACTATTTCATGTAACTTTATTTATTTTTTGTAAATGATCAAATCTAAATCATGCAGTACAATAAGGTTTTCATAATGAAATGATACTTATCCTAATTCTTATATCACAATAGCTTGATTATAAGAATCCAAATTTAATTAATAAACAATCTTGAATTCTTTAATATTATAAATTGAGTATCTTTATTCATCAAAAAGCAGAGCAAAAAGAGATTAGGATTACGAATAATAAAATTAAGTATAGACATTCTAAATTATATAACTGCTATTTCTATTTGTAGGAAACGACGCTTTATAGACTAAATCTATGGTAGATAATTCATCATTTACCTTTAATTAGAAAAATTGTACTGTTTAAAGTGTCGCTAATACCAATACATTCTGTGTTTATTCTACTTTAATGTCTAAAATTAACTGACCAACATAGCTTTTAGCAAGAATATTAGAACTTTGGAGATCCTGTATTATATCTTTTTTTAAAAATAATGTGAATTAATAAAAATTCTCTCAAAATTAATTATTTACATTCATCATTTTGGGCTGTTATTGTCAATAAAACAGTTTAAAAAGACTCTAAAGAAAAGATGTAAGATTTTTTTACATTTAAAATATCCTTAGGCTATTAAATCTTAGACTTTAAAGATAGAGGCTTGCCCTCATAAATTTCTGTAAAGGTTGTGTATAATATAAAGAGTTACTATTTAAAGTAAACAATTTTAACAAGTTTATCATTAATTTATAGAGAGTCTTCATATTAGTAATCTTTAATTCTATAAATATTAGCTTATTTTTCATTATAGTAAACAACACTTTCCTTCATCGTAGCCATCTTTATACCATTGCTATTTTCTAAATACATTTTAAATTTTATTTAAATTTATTTGCCTAAAAAAAATAATAATTTTTGAAATTAATTTCTAAATTATCTGAATTTAATAAAGTGAATAATTTTAGTGACCATCTTTAATTAAGTTAATATAATTTAAAAATAAGTAGAAATATTAAATTTACTATTAAGAATATTAAAGCATGTTTCTTTCAATTAATTAATGAAATTTTCTTTCAAACAAAATGGAATAGCTTAGCAATATTTACCACTATAATTTGTTGCATATTAATCCTAGCAAACAATTGTATCATTAATAATATCTCCCTTATTTTCATCTCTGTATGCAAATGAGTTTTGGGACTAATATATACATTATTTTCGATTATCAGAAAGTTTAAATCCTTTTACACAAGTTTAGCACTAATCCACATCAAAGCATTATTAGCAGTAAAGGATGCTACATGTTTTGCATTATCCATTCTAGCTAAAGTAATTTTAAGGACATTTATCAAGACATTCATTTTTGTATCTGTTAAATCTGCACTTTAAGCAATCTTTAGCAGTTGGTCCAATACAAGATAAACATTAGAAATCACATTTTCTACATTCTTTGAAACTTATTTAATACTCATCTATTTTACAGTAAATTTTTGAGTCAAATGCATCTCCTTTTGCAAAGTATATTAAATTTAAAACTAAAATTAACAAAAAAAACATTTTTCTTTTATATGATTGTTTGGTTAACTAAAAAAAGCTAATTATTTTTACAAAGAAAAATTTGGTACTTTATTAACTATAAAAATATAATAATTAATTAATAAATATATTCAGTAAAACTATATTTAATTTTACAAACTATTAACGCTTATTATTTTATCTTATTAATTAAAATATGTTGGAAATAAATAAATGTTAAAATATTTATAAAGATTCAAATATTATAAATAAAATTGATGATATTTAATAAAAATTTAAGTATATAAAGTTTTGCTGTAATTTTATACATGTTATAGGGAGATAGATAATTGATTTATAATTAAATATGTATTGTGATTTCTTTTTTCAGATTAATAATTGTATCTAATATTTTTATTACCACCAAATTTCAAAATTCTTTTTTTTTCAATATAATTTATTTATTTTTTCACTATTAAAATAAAAATAATTATAGTATTTGTATAATAATTTAAACATAAGAAACAAAAACTACTTAGATAAGATGATCTGATAATTAAAAATAATATAAACATAAGCTCTTACACTTAAAAAGTTAGCTAAAAAATATCAAACAGAGTTTCAGTAATTAATAAATTACTGTTCTTATAAGGTATTTTTTAAGGATAATAGCAATCTCATTTTAATGTTGAACATTTAACTATAATTAAAGAATTATCAGTTATAAAAAATAAATATTTAGAAATTGATGTTAAAGATTAAATATGTTTTAAAAAGTGGTAAAAAATTTGAGTATTTTAAATAATTAATCCAAGTTAATGTTATGAAAATATTATTTAATAGTTTTAAAGATTAAGAGAGACTGTTAATTTATATTGAAATGTGTATTTTATATGAATTGGTAAATATTTATCATTAAAATATAATGGTAAACTTTTAAATTTTATAAATAAATAATAAACACACTACAATATCTAAATTACAAAATAAAATTAGGATAATAAAGGAAAAAAATAATAAGTTTAATTAAAACTATTTATTATAATTTAAATAGAGATTTTGTTGTTTTATTTAATTATGTTCAAATCTATTTTATTATATTTTAATATTATTTTTTAAGAGGCGATTATTTGTTTGCTTGAATATTTTCTTAAAAAGCTGATTGCAGTTTTTTTAAAATTGAAGATTGCTCTATATTTATATAAAAATTAGTATTATTAAAAGGTAGTAGTAAAATTATTAATTAATTACCTTTATGTTAAAATTTGAATGAATCTATTTGAGAATCAAATATTAATTTAAATTGATTTGTAAGAAAATAATCTTCTTTGTAATATCTTCTTGACTAATCAACTTTAACATTTTCTAAAGGCTAAAATATTGGGTCAATCGTTATCTAGAATACATTTTCTATAAGCTAACTATAGTATGATCTCTAAGAATTATCAGTCACTTTTATATCATTAGTTGAATCTATCAGCCATATTTTAAAATTTTCATCTAAAAGAAGATCTAATTCAATTATCTTTTTAAAAAATAACAAATATAAATACTTTATTAGTTGGTAAGATATCTTAATTTACTTAAAATCTAAATTATTTATTTGTAGGATTAATTGACTGGTAAGTACTCTTCACTACATCTATTAAGATTTACTATAAAAATTATATAGTGCATGTTGTTAATACCAAATAAAAAAACCTTTATTTGAGGAATGGCTTAGTCTTAAAACGAATAGTATGGATTAATTTTCTTAGCCCATTTATTTATTAATTTTTCTAAATCTTCAATATTAATTATTTAGTTTTCTTCATAAAAAGTTTCTAAAATTGAATTTCTATCCTAATTGAATTATTACTATTTATATCCAACAAAATGAGCTTCCATGTCATTGAATCCTTTATAAGGTTTCCTGGCTACTTATCCATATCCAGCATTATAAAAATAAACTATTTATTTAAATATAATTAACATTAATTAATTTAAGTTAAAAGAAAATAATAATTATACCTTTCAAAATACCATTATAATTAGTTAACAATAATTAGTATTTAATTCTAAATTTTTTATCTTAAAGTAATAGAGGGTTATTTATATATTTTTGGACTATATATGTTATTCCATTTGGTTATAATTGAAGTTATTTTGATATCATTTCTTCAACTTATGAAAGTTTCAGTAAAGCTAATATGAATTTTTAAGAAATTATTTATCAAATAAACTTTTTAAGTAAAATAAAATACATTTGCTAATCTATGTCTACTAATAAGTGTCAATAGTTTTAACAATAAACAATGAATTCAAATCTATTTAGATAAAATTCTGATCTCTTTGTTTAATTTTTTACAATTGCTACTGATCAAAGCTAAGTTTCTCAAAAGCTTCTATTTCTTTTTATATATTAGAGATATATTTATTCAGTCTAATACTTTCAGAATCATATTTGCTTTCAATTAAAAAGGTTTCTGGAATCAGAATATTATTTTTATCAATATTAAGGTATTCATAGTATGAGCTAAGCTAAAAATAAAGACCCTTTTTTACAGGAAATTAATATGAATTATATTTATTTTGATATATAATTCAAAATGATTTTATTAATATTACTTGGTTCATATTCAGATAATATCCATATTAGAAATGATTATGAATTTTAATTTCTTTGAGGTTATTGATTTCCCATAAATACTTATTAGATAAGAATTGCTAGCTTTTATTATTTACTTCTTCCATATAGGCAGAAACAGTAATAAAAGGAGGAATAATTTAGTCCTAAATTAAAATGTTGTGAATTTTTTTCTTTTTGAAAGAAGCAAACTTACTTTTTTGTTAGGTGTGAAAGATGTAATATATTGGTAATCTACTTAGTTTACTAATAGCTTCAAGCCTGTTTAATATGTTGTTTCTTGCTTTGCATCTACTGCAAATTAAATTTATCTAGGAGTCTATGTATTTGAAGCTTCACCTTACTTATTTAAGGAGAAATTATTTTTAATGTAATATTAATTCTAAATCACTTATTTTGTTAGTAATTTTTAACAATAGTTCTAACTTTTAAACTAAGTCCACACAAAATTGGCACTTTCTAAATATTTTTGATTATAATGCTGAGTATTCCACCACGGTCCTATATATCAATAATTAATTAAGGTTAATTTATATTTTATAAAATTAAAAAATCTCTTACTTCTATCAAGTGAGTCTTTAATAAATTCACCAAGATCAGAGCCATCATCTACTACAGCAAAGTGGAAGCGATTCTTATTAAAAAATTTTTTGTCCAAATCATGTACTGAAATAGCATTAGAATAATTCAAAACATTATAAAAGTCTCTATTATTTCTAGCTACTAAATTATCATCTTCTTAAACACATATACGAAGTATTTTATCAACCTTATAGTTATTATATTTCAGAGTGCTTTTTGATGGAAGCTATTGACTTTACATCATCAAACATTTTGAATTTGCTTGATTCGTTTTTACAGGAGATCCTTTTGCTGATTTAGTTTTAGGAGAAAATGATTATTATCTTACAAATTTTCCATTATTTGGAGAATCTGTTATAAGTTACATGTTTTGTTTTGATTAAGGACTTTTACTACCTGATTAAATTGATCTTAACTTAGGCGAATTAGATACTTCGTAGCTAATCTTCCTAATCGGACTTTTTGGACTTTTTGGAGATTCTAATAGAATTTTATTACTTAATTAACTTTCCTAAAATTCTTGGTTTTCTTGAATTTTGTATAGACAATCAGATTTTAATTAAATTTCTTGTTTATTCTAAAAGTTTTGTGAGGATAATTATTTCGCTTTTTATCTCTCATTATATGTTTACACTTACAAGTTTTTAATCAATTTATATTATGTCAAAAGAAATTCAAACAAAGCACTTTTTTTAAATCCATCAGCTGTTTTTGCTCTTTTCAGAAAGTCAATATTACCCAATAGAATTAATACATTTTTTTCGAAGTCCTATTTAATTAATTAAGTAAGAACTTTTATTAGTTTTTAAATATTTGTATGATAAATTAAATACCTGCTAACAATCAAGTAAATATGGATATGGATTGACATTGCTTTAAAGTATGACATATAAAAGATTTATCAATTCTCTTAATATTATATTAAAAATCCTTTATCTTGCTTACTCATTTTCATATGGATCATTAATATCATTTAAGAATAGTTGTAAATTTTAATAGGTTTCAATTTTATTTAAGAGTTATTTAGTGGAGCCTTTAAAAAGCACTCTCTATTAATTATCACTTCCTTAGCATTCTTTCATAAATTCATTTATATTAAAAAATTAATTTTCATCTGCTTCTTCATTTTATTTATTTTCGATTCTAGAATTAAAAAATATATTTAATATATTAAATATGTAAGTTTAAATTACATAGCCTTATTTGTTGATTGCCCTGCTTTTGGATCAGCTAACATTGACTAAGTATTTATTAAATATATTAATTGAGATAAAATTTCATTTTAAAAAATAGCTTACTTTATCTTAAGCATATTAATTAATTTATGAGTCTTCATAAACATTAATAATAAATTTCTACTAATCTTATTATTTATTATTATTTTACATTTTTTATGATGAAAGCTAAAAATCTTATTTTTTTAAAAAAATATTTTTAATAAATTTAAGATTTCTTAAATATAGTCAATATTGATAGTTTTTTATGACAAATTAATTAAGAAAATATATGAATTTTGAGAATTATATTTGTATGATGAGTTTGATTGATATCAATATTTTCTTTCTTTAACTAAACAATCCAGTGAAATATTTCTCATATAAATATTCTAAATAGATCAATGATTACTTGATTAAAGTAAACCAGATTTACCTTGGCTCTCTAAAATTCTTTAAATAATAATAATTAATATTATTTATATGATTTTAAGAAAATATTCAAAAATCTGTTAATAATTAAGTGAAGAGTAACATGAATAAAAGTAGAGTAAAGCTATATAAATTTACATAGATTATTAGCTGTTAATATCAGTGTAATCAATCTTGTTATTATTATGTATTTTTATTTCTCTGTATCCATCGGAGTCTACTGTACTTGTATCAATTTACTAATTAAAAATTTAATATTAATCTATATTATATGCAAATATTAGAATTACATTTTAGCTTCCTTCTTTATTTTTAGCTAAATTAGACAAATCAAGCGCTTTAATCTAATAATGATTCATCTTTTTTATATCTAGATATTATAAGATACAGAGTTCATTTATGAGTATAGATAGGTTACTGAATGCAATAACTATAATTTACTAATTTTAAAATTGTTATATCTGTATATGCTTCAGTCTTTGTGCTTTATTTCAGTCAATTACTAAGCGGAATTGTTATATCCTCTTTGCTTACAATCAAAAATATTTTTAGTTATCTTTTGTTTATTAATTTTTGAAGATAAAATCTATAAGTTTTAATCTTTCAATTTTTTATTAATATAACTCAAATATATAGACAAAATTTATTTTGTTTACTGAAGTTTTAAATAATATTCACTTAATTGATATTAGCTTATTCATTTATAGCTTCTATTTTATATGAACTATATAATTTATTATTCATATAAGATATTTGTAGGTAAATATCTAGCTTACTACATTTATATATATTTTTTTAGAAACAAAAAAAATAAGAATAAAATTTATTTTCCTATCTTAAAAAAAAATTTTAATATTAAATTATTTTAATTGTGAATTTCGTATAAAATAATATTTATTAGGTAAAATAATAATAAAATTAAATGAAGTAAAAAAACCTAAATCATTTATAGATAATTTCATTCAAAAATTGTACAAATATAATTTTGGTTTTCTTTCTTTCTATACAAATTTAGAATTTTAGTTAAGAATGTAAATTTTTTCAAGCATTTATATGTAAGAAAAATATAAAAATAAAATTAAGGGATATATTTGATATGTAAAAGTTATTAATAAGTAGAAAAAAATTTTAATGTTTAATATTGCCTAAATGTGCATATAAAATCCTGTAAATTGAAGAAATAATTTGAAAATAATTAAAAAATTGATATTTTTAAACATTACTTTATTAAAATGTGTGAAAAAATAACACTTACTGAGAATATTTAATTACTTCGAAGATAATTACATAAACAAACAAATTATTTGTCAAAAAGAAAATAAGAATACAAATTGCAAACAAATAAAAAAGATTGAAAGTAAATTAATTAATCATTTGTAGGCTTTTTGTTCATTTGCAAGTAAGAAATTAAAAAAGCTGTTAGGATTAGATTTAAGCTCAGATACATGGCCGCATTCGATTATAGAACCTTTTTCCATAACTACAACTCTATCGAATTCGTGAATATTTTCTAATCTGTGTGTAATTACTAGCAATGTTTTATTTTAGCAAAAAGAAAATAAAGCTTTATGAAGTTCCTAGTCACTTTTTGGATCCATATTTGACGTTGCTTCGTCAAGACAAACTATATCAGTATCTTATAGAACTATTCTAAAGAAATTAATAATTTATTTTTAACCATTCGATAGATTACTACCTCCATCATCAATTTAGAAATCCAAGTCTTTTTCATATGAGTTTTCCGCTTACTTGAGCTTTATTGTTTCAGTTAAATTGCTTTATTATCCTTAATTTAACTCATTTGGAGGTTGATATGTATTATCTCTTTTTATGCTTAAGTTAATTTTGCATAATTTATTTTGTATTTCAAGGGAGGATATTTTGTTGTCAGGAACTAAATTACCTTAAAGAGATGATTTATATAAGAAACCAAACTGTGGTATAATTGATAGCTGATTTCTTAGTTCTGTTAAAGATAAAGACTTTATATTCTTATTATTGATAAATATGTTTCCACTCTAAACTTTATACAGATAAAATAAAGCATTTAAAATTGATGTTTTTCCTGATCCTGTTCTTCCACAAAAGGCTATTTTTTCACCTTTTCTTATCTTCAAATTGATATTATTAAGAGCATAATGAGGTTATTATTTCTTTACATTTTTAAAATCATTTAACATTTGATTTTATATGTTAGTTTCTTAAATATTATTATTAATTTTATACATTTCTTAATCTTGATTATTTTGCTAAGCGTTCACATTTTTTATAGAATTTTAAGTTTATTCATTTGTATTTGTTTGTGGTGTTTCACCATAAGCCATAAAAACATTTTCGAAAACAATAGAAAACTATTCAGATTAAGGATCATTAAAATTAATTGGAAGATTTTTGATTTTTTCTAATTTCATGATTGGAATTTTCAAATTTTCTTGTTCATTAGAATAGTATTATCTGACTCTTTCAACACTTATCATGCTTTCTTCTGTATGACAGAAATAATATATTAAATTTCCAAAAACTTCACAAAGTAGAATAGAATATGTTAGAGATAAGGCAATCAAGTTCCTATTAAAATCAATATCAAAAACAAATATTATAAGTATCGTCAAAGCAATAAAGAAAAAGAGCATATTGCTGATCATGAGCAATCTAATAATCATCCAAATTTAAATGGATGAAGCTACAACAAAACTATTCATACTGTTTGATAGATTCTTCAAAAACTACTCAACCATATAAGACTGTTTCTTAAATGATCTTATTATTGAAAGACCATCCTTTGTCTCACTAATATTCGTCAATACTTTAGCTAAATTCAAGGCATTCAATCTCTTTATAACTCTATTAGCTTCTCTAAATAGGTTAGATATTAAGTAACCTATCCCAATAGAAAATACTATAAATAATGACATCCAAGGAAATTATATCATAATACCGATAGGATAACTATTTATTTATATTCAATTATTTAAAATTTTAATATTGCAATTTAAAAATGAATACCTTAGAGAATATGCAAGCTAATCTACTAATTCATTTACACTCCAAGTAAGGTAATCGTCAATTAAATTTATGTCTTTTGAAATTCTAGATATAATTCTACCAACAGGATTTTGATCAAAGAATTTCATGTGGCTATACATTAAACAAGTATTCAATCTCATAAAGGTTGCTTGACAACTGTTTAAAGAACATAATACAAATAAAACTCCTTTTAAAGTAGCAACTAATAGGAAGAATAGAATCAATGCTTATAAAGTCTCATAAAACGAGTTAAAAAGACTATTGATGAAAGGGAAGTTTTGCTTTTCATCGGTAGTTTAATCACCAAGCCAAAAATCTATTAGAATTTAAATTGCTTTCAAGAGTAGATGCATTCCTACAAATAAGATAAACAGTGAAAGTTTCATATCATATATGTACTGCTAAATAGTTTTATTTGAAATTTCACCCAATTCTAATTTTTCTTCATTTATATCTACATCGTAGTCATTTAGCTTCATAATATCAGCATGCTCATTCTGTATTTATTGTTAAATAATTATTTTTGGTTTGGTTGAATTATGAAATTTAAAAGATATGATATTACCTTTGGAGATTTTGAAGTGTGAAATGAGTGTTTATTACTTTGATGAGATTTCTTTTTGTTATATTAAATAAAATTTGAGTCCTAGTCTTCTAATATTTCATCCTACTAATCTAAATAGGAATTTATTTCTGAGCAACGCTTAGAAGACTTATAAATAAGCTGATCAAGATACTTATCAACTTAACTTTAGTCTGTAATTATATTTCCATTATTTAAATAAAGTATTTAAGATATATATTTTCTATCTTGTAAATATTTGTAGTGACTGGTCACAAAAATCATAGTTTTATTTCTTTCTTTTAATAAAAGCTAAATAATTGCGTTTTAGTAAATATTTTCAGCAACATGAGTATCGAGGCTGCTAAATATATCATCAAACAAATAAATATCAGCATTTTAATAAATTGCTCTGCATAAACATATCCTCTATCTTTATCCACCGCTTAAATTGCTTCCTCCAGGTCCAACTATTTTATTGTCACCATTAGGATGATTGTTTAGATCATTCTTTAATTCACATGCTTCTATACAAGTATTATACCATTTCTCATCTAGCTTATTGCCAAATAAAATATTTTCACGAATGCTTTTATTTTATAGCCAGTGATTTTGTGAAACATATGCAATTTAACCACAAATAGTTACTTTTCCATCTTTATTGTTTATTCTATCTAAGATATTCATTTCATTCAGAATACTTTAAAGAAATGCAGATTTTCCAGATCCTTTATAAATTGAACAATAATTTAAAATTAAAGCAGAATTTTCAAAGCAAACTTACCTATTTCACCAACTACAAAGTTAAGTGTACCTTTGTTAATTGTAATCAAAGGAACATTTAAAACAAATAACCCACTATCGTTTGAATTTGTTTTTTCGTTTTTAATCAGTTACATCTCTAAAACGTTTTAGTTTAAATCATTCTTATTTGTTTATTCTCTTTCATCATTGTTACAACCATAAGTAAAACTCAAAGGATAAATCTATACTGCTATCTAATTATTAAATTCTCTCTTTTAGCTGTATCCGTCTTTTTCATCAACTAACATATATTTATTAGTAAAATTTTGGTCTTCTATTCTCTAATCTATGTATAAATATTATTTTCATTTTAAAAGAATTATTTATATGTTAAAATAAGTTGTACATTTTTTTTCATCTATCTCTGTCTCATTTAAAAAAGACTGAATTCTTTTGAAAGAAGTATTTTATCTTGCCAATAAACTGAAGCACCAAGGTAGATTTAGCAAAGGGTATTAAAGGAATCCAAACAAGGCTATCAATGTAAAGACATTTGAGTCTTTAAGGCTTTTCCCTTCTTCTTCAGAAATAAAATTTGTTAAGAAGGAGTAAAGCATAAAATAACTAACACAATTCCAAAATATAGTGTTAATACAGTCTAATGATTTTGTCATAATGATGTGTTTATATTCTTTACTTCTGAAATCTAAAATTTTATTTTCAAATATTTTTTCCCATCCTAAAAATTTAATACTTTTGATTCCCTCTATGACATCTTGACTTAATGCCACTCTTTTATCCATCCAACTATACAGTTTCTCATACTACTTCTATTATGAAAAAAATATTTAAAATCATAGTTTTTAATAAAAATCATATTTATTTTTATATTAATTTAGTAGTATTTTGGAATAAGAAATATAATTTGGTATAAAATTTTATTTTTTTTTCATGTATTTTCAATTAGTTTGCTCATTAGAGAGCTTAAGTAGAAATTTCATTCAAAAATTAATTACTTATAAGAAATATGCAGTAATAGCATTCAGAAAAACAGCTACAAACAGAATATACATGCCATAAAGCATTGCATCTCCAATCCTGTAATAAATTAAAGAGAGGACTAAACCTATTGTTATGACACCACAACCTAACTCTATCATACCCCAATAACTTTATTCTAACTCTTAACAATCTACTGTAATTAAATTGTTAACATCAGGATTACTCTATTCATCTTCATTATTATTAGTATTATTCTCATTTCCTTCATTATTATTTTGAGGTTATAGTTCTATTTACGAATTTATTGAGCTGCTGTAACTCAAGTGAATTCTTAAAGATTTCTCATAAATAAGATATTAAAAGAGAGTTTAGCTTTAAGCTTTCCAAATGCATTGATACCATTCATATTAGGAAAAAAAGGCACTCTTAAGAAGAAACAAAAGTAACAGTGAGCACAATAAAAAGCATATACTAATTTTGTTGCTAGTGCTGAGATCTCCTTCAACTTTAATCAAATCTGTAATCTAATCCATAAGAAATATACTAAAAGTTGCTGCAAGATTCTTGCCAAGATACATTAAAAAACCAATTAGCATGCTTCTACCTGTTATCTTACGAGTAACAGAAAATAAATTTATAGACTTCGCTTTACTTTTAGTATTATAGAAGTCCTATTTTATATGATCTATCTGCTTCACTATCTCTTCTGAGCTAACCTAAGATCTAACATATTATCTCACTTCTTCATTTGTGATTGGTTCTTTAGAATACTTGATTCTTTTGATTAGAGATGATAAATTGGAAAATAAAATATCTTTTATATATTGTTAAACTTGTTTCATTTAAACTATTAATTAATTAATCAACAATAATTATTAAATCTTACTAAATAATATTTATAAAAATTGCTTATCAGTATTTAATATAATATAAATTAGATTTGTACAGCTGTAAATTAAATTAGATATTTATATTATATGCTCACTATTTCGATTAGTTTAATTATTTTTAAACCTTTTTTTTCTATTTTAGGTGTCCTAGGATTTAATTTATATTTAAATATTAATTTATACCATAAAAATATTGAGTTTATCCTCGTATTGTAAATTAATGTAACCCAAGATTTTTAAGGGCTATTGAGTCACTTTCTAATTAGAACTTTCAAGAAATCAGTATTTATATTTTTTAATTTGTAATTAATGTAAGCCTAAACAAATTATCAAATTTTATGAGCATATATTATAATTAATTCTTTTGCCCTAAATTAATAATAATAATAATAATAATAATTTATTTAAAGTAGGTAAATTTATAGGTCAAAAAAAACTAAAATTACATCAATGACTAATAATATTAGTCAAAATTCTTTGTAATAAGTGCAATATTCTTTAATTTTTTTCAATAATTTTAGAAATTCTTTTGTTACCCTGTGAATTATTAAGTAATAGAATTATTTATTTTACTTTCAAAGCAGTATAAAAATTTATAATTTAAATTTTTAAAATGTCTCTATTAAAAGAAGTTTGAAATAATTTCATAAGTTTATTCAAATTTATATTTATTTAGAATCTAAATAAGATTATTTAAAAAATATAGGTCCCACTGGGATTCGAACCCAGGTCAAGGGATTTAAAGTCCCCAGTACTAACCACTATACTATGGAACCGATCATATTGTTTTTGATAATTTTTGAGTTGCTGTATATCTTTGTATATATCTCATACTTAAGTTTTTCTTTAATAAAAATTGTTATTAAATTTAATATAATTTAATATTATAAATACGCTCAAAAGCGCAGAATATATTTATCTTAATATTACAGCTTTCAATAAAAAAATTAAAATGAAACATAAAAAATAGGTCCCACTGGGATTCGAACCCAGGTCAAGGGATTTAAAGTCCCCAGTACTAACCACTATACTATGGAACCGAACCTACGAGTTTTTATTAATGATACTTTAATATAGTTAAAAAACAGATTTATTTGAACAGAAAATAACTATTAAAAAAATATTTTTATTAACATAAATATGCAAGTATTAAAATTCTTCATGATGAAAACATTAATTTAATAAGCAAAAAAAATAGGTCCCACTGGGATTCGAACCCAGGTCAAGGGATTTAAAGTCCCCAGTACTAACCACTATACTATGGAACCGAACCTGAAATTATCAAAACAAACAATTAATATATATAATATTTTAAAATTACAAATAATTCTAAAACAAACCCTTAAATCAAATTAAATAAAAATTGAATCAAATTTATTTTATAGAAATAATCATTGATTTATTGCATTTTTTTAATAATTATATAAAAATAATGATTTTACTAGCCATACCAAACATTTTATAAAAATAAAAAAGCAAGGTCCCACTGGGATTCGAACCCAGGTCAAGGGATTTAAAGTCCCCAGTACTAACCACTATACTATGGAACCGGATCTGTTAATTTTAAAAAGTTTTTTGCTCATATTTTATAGATATGATATTAATTTTAAAAAGAATTAAAAATATTTTAATAAGTTTGTTTTCTAAAATAAAAAATAAATAATGTGATCGAAAGACATAAAAAAATTAAAGCAGATAAATTAAATAAATAAATAAATATCTAGGCTTGTCAAAATTATTAATTAATAATAATTTAGCATTAATTATGTTTATATGTATTTACAAGAATAATATTTAAATTTAAACTTTATATTTTAAATTTTTTTAGCAGTTCAAATTTTGTTCATTACTTCTAGTTTATGAAACTCATAATATAAGGGCTTTCTATTATGTATCTAATTTCTAATATAGTAAGTGCGTTTTTAGAATCATTCATAGTATTTTGTATTGAGTTAAAAAATAAAATTAGGGCAAGTTAATTGACAGTGATTAGAACTCCAAATTAATACAACAGTAGAATTGTTTGTATGTCAGTCATATAATTAAAGAAGTCTTTACTATTGGTATACACAAAATCATTGATTATATTTAAAATATTTTCAATATAGTCAATAGAAGTATTCAACTCTAGTAGTCTATATTTTTATAAATATTATTTTATTTATTAGTTTCTTGATACAGGATCTTAGATTTGATGAAGAAGAAAAATATTGTTTAAGATATTATAATAATAAAGCAAAGCAGTTGTTAAACCTTTGGATAACTACCCATCAATTAGCGTATTGCAAATATGCTAATCAAAATTAGTTTAACCACTAATAACATATTAAGGATAGTTAGATATTGGATCACATGCATTTGATTTCAAAATAGGAAATAAAAATTAGTCATATTCATTTTATTGGTATCTATTTTAAGATACCTGCTTTTGTACTACCTGCAATAATCCATCAAAAGCTTACATAGCTTATTTCAGAATTATGGTATATCTTTCTTAATAAGACTTTTATAAATTTTCTTCACCTGGATTTAACAATGAATTAGCATAAAGTTCATAAATAGACAAGGTACTCATGAAAGCTGCTTTTGTATTTTGAATAGCCCCTAAATATATTTAATAATAAATATATAATTATATAATTGCTTTATATTATTAACTAAATTAATTTTAATCTTTAATCAAATCCTAAAATAATTAATTTAAAACATTTGAAGAACCCTTTTTAAATTACAAAAAAATATTTATCATAAATCAATCATCAAAGATTTTTTTTATTTATTTTGAAATTTGTAATGCTTAAAATTTTTTTATTTGATTAATTTTGATTTTTAAAGAAAAATTTTTTGCCAAAATTAATGAAGATTTATAATAAATGAATAAATTAACAAATAAATTATAATTAAAATAATTTACCTTGAAGATTTTGATTATTATTTTACTGATCGATTAAATTATTTGTAATAATCAGATTAACAATAGGGTAAATGATCAAAATGACATATAATATTAATGAGAAAAAAACAATTTTAATAGAAAATTTGCTTAACGTAGTAGTTGAAGAAATCGACTTTTTTTTATTCAAAAGCTCGCTGCTTTAATACCTTCTGATAGTTTAAATTTACACTGAATTTTTATCAGATATATTTGAAAGGCAAAATAATAAATTTCTATGCATTTCTCTTATCCATATGATATCAATTGTTGAAAAAAGACTGTAAATTTTTTATTTGTAACTTTGGCTAAAAGTATAAGCAGGAAATACAAATAGCACAAAAACTGCACAAATCGATACTATACATATCAACATAAGCAAAATTTCAAGTTTTATCTGATTAAAAGTATCTGTGACTGATTATTGTTAAGAATTTTAAATAACAGAGAGCAAATTAGCTATATTTAAAAAGTTGCTATAAGCATTATATTCGATTAGAGGAGAATATTATTTCATACTTCCATATTGATATAAGTATTGAGAATTTATATAGAGGATATATATTCCGTAAGCTGTAATATTAACTGATTTCGTAGTTGAGTAAGAAAATAAAATATTTGTTTTATGTTCAGTTATGATATCCATAAAACTTAAGTTTATGGTTTTTTCATTTATAATTTCAGAGAGATATGATTAAAGAGATTTGAATGCCTACGTTCCATTCGTAAGTTATTCATGTTAGTATAATTACTTATTAGGATCATTAGTATAACCATATATGTCATTATCAAGTAGTCTTGCTGTTAAATAACTCTTAAAAATTTTGCTTGTTTGCACTCTCAGGTTATTTCCCCATGATATGTAATAGAAATTTTTTGTGTTAAGATCAAACTATTTTTTAAGATCAACAAACACTACCAAAATTAATATTAATAAAGTGGCTTTTTATAGAAATTGAAATTAATTAAAATTTTATTTCGATATTAAAAAAATATTTATTTACCAAGACAAATCATTGAGAGATACTTTACCATCAAAAAAAAGAATGGTTGTTTTATTGATTTAAATGTATTGTAAATTTACAATTTTTATCCTTTAAACTATGAATTTATTGATGTCGAAACAGATTAAATGTTATTATTCATAATTGTCTTTCTTTGAGTGGAGTATTAATTCATAGTCTACATGTCAGATGATTAATACTAATCTTTTTAATTCTAATCTTTATCATGTTCAGATTCTACATCTTGCATTAAACTTTGTTTAGCGTAAGGTTGCAGTTACATCTATAATTCTGGCATATCTACGTGATTATTTTTGCCATTGTTTGATAGCAAAAATTCTCTATCGGTTGTTCTTGGCGTATTCTAAACAAGTAAATTTCCATTCTAATCTCCATTTTTAATGAATCTCGGAGAATGAAATGTAGATAAACTAAACACATGGTTTGCGCTATTTTCTACATTTTCTGAATCGTTATTATGTAAAAGCTCATTTTATATTTTCAAGAGTTTAGAATTTCTCGATTAGCTCCTACAATAATAAAATAAAGTTATTAATTATTTTTTTAATCATTTCAAACAATAAAACTAAGTGATCTATAAAAATAATAAAAAAACATACTTTTTTCCTTCTGATTGATTTAATTCATTAAAAATGACTAATTCTTTATTCTTAGATTATCTAAATATATCAAAAGTAGTTTATTCAAGGCTTAGATGTGGGTAACTTTATTGTTGATTAACGAAATCAATTTTCTAACTTGACTAGAATTGATCACCTTATAAATATTGTCTGAGTTAATTAATAGAGTATGAAAGAGAGCAATATTTTTTAAGCTATTCTATCAAAAGTTATTCATGATAGCTATTGATAATCGTTTCAGGAATCAAATGCTTGATCATTTCAATTTAAATTGTGCATTAGTCTAAAAATTCATCATTGATGTACCAAAGTTTGAATCGAATTAAAAAAATTTTATTTTTACTGAAGCTAAATTCTCCTTATTCCATTAATGTATGAAGATTGCCTCCATTTGAGAATTGTTATTTTTTTGCAAAATTAGAAAGAGATTCTTGTTATTCTCTATCAGGAAAAAATCCAAAAGTTTCTAATATTTTAGGCTCATCTGTTTCGTTCTCTAATAATAGTTTTATAGGCTTCTAATTTTTCTTTTTATTTGAGCTATTTTAAACAATATATGGTAGAGTTGGAAATATTCTGCTTAACAATATATTTTAATATTCTTTATTAGGTCCAATATATTTTTGAAATATCCTTTGGTGTATATTTTAAGAGCAGGCTTCTATTTTTAATGGAAGTTATTTCAAATTTATAATTAAAAAATCCTGTTTTTTGTAATTGTCTATCATTGTTATTAATCCAATTAGCCCAAGCTCATTCTTTAATGAAGTATAAATTTAATATTACTTAGATATTTAAAAAATAAATCCTATTTAAAATTATAAAAAATAATTGTCAGTATTATCTATCTATGGTTTTATTCTTTTAATTAATTGATAAATTGTATTTTTTAATTACCTGATTTATTTTAAGCCAAAATAGGTTATTGATCAAATGAGCTAAACGATTAATTAGTACCTTTTGAAATATACCTTTTAAGTATATTATTATGCTGTAAAGAGACTCCAGAGGGCATTAATAAATTACAATTATACCCAATAATATTTTTAGGGGTTATTTCAAAAATGTGCTCAAAATTTTTAGAAACTTGATTTATTAACCCAAAGGAAGAGTTCAAAAGAGAAACAAATATAACAGCTGCATTCTTTTTGAAAAGCGATTCATTTAATTTTTTCATGCTCTTGAACTATTTTTATTTTTTCTAAAATATTTCCCTTTTTTTTCAAAAATAGAAAAGAATTAACTAATTACTTAATTTATTTATTTATTTACTTGCTTTCATAAAAGCTGATATTAAGTTAAAATATGGTAATCATGTTTTGAAGAATAGAGCAAAATTAGTTTGCTTCTAACACCTCTATTAATGATTGCTCCACCAATTTTCTGCCTTTGAGGAATTTGGTAACCTTTTTCTCTAACGCTTAAATATCTATTAAATCTTCTGTTATGTATTTTAAGATATCTAGCTTTTGCAAGATACACTCAGTAAGCTCATACTAGCAAATTTTTATTTTTTCTTCATATTTGAATACTTTGTCTATTTATAGATTGCTATTTAGCTCTTGAGCACTAATATTTTTGTAAAGGAGATACTTCAAATGAGCTATGTCATACGAAAGCAAATTCTATTTTTTCTGATTGATCATTTCATAAATTTAAGTGTTTATCAGCAAATAATTTTTAACTCTATCGTGTAAAAAATACAAATAGCTTATATGCACATAGCTTAAATTTTTTCTTGTTTTTAAATAATTTTCAAATATTTATAATATTTCCTAATCAATTACTTCCCTTCTCTTTTCGAATATTTCAGATATCGCTATTTTTAAATCATTATCTATTCCCTAAATTACAATTGTATAATTTAAATATGTGTTTGTTTAATATTTAAATATATTTTACGCTTCTTATCCCTTCGCATTGACAGTAAGGAGTTTTAACACAATTTTTCATATGTCTTGTTAATAATTCGTCTTAAATTAACTCATTTTTATGATCATGAATCTAACTTGTAGTCAGCTCACTAAATCTTGATTTATTAGCTAAATCCCTAATTAAAAAATCTATTGCATACTAAGGTACATCTGTTTCGTAATTAAGAGTCAATGGTACTAAGTAGAACAAATTTTTAATAAATTCAACCTTATAGTTATAGTACCTTTGAGAGAGCTTAAAAGCGAGTATTGGAATTATAAAAATTTGAAAGAAAATAGAAACTATGACGCTAGTATTAATATAAATAATAATTATTATGCTAGTAAGGAAATTGAATATATTCAAGTATAAAAATATTCTATTTATCCTTTAATCTATGTAGGGAAAAGACCACCAGAATTTAACTAAGCCAAAAATCGATAAGATCAAAGGAAATACAGGAAATATATTGTTACTCTGTATAAAGTTTCTCATTATAATTCCTATAAAAATTAGAAATATTTTAAACATCCCTACTAAACTAGAAGCTCTTTGAGACAACGAATCAACATTAGTGAAACTCAATTTTTGATGATGCAAACAATTTATAAAACCTATTAATTCATATAAATAGATATTATTTTGTATTCAAAAATATTTTGAAAATTTAATATTTATATATACATATACTTGGATACAAAAAACATAGTGTATTTGTAAAGAACATTATAAATATTAAACTAAATAATAGAAAAAATAATAAATCTTTACTTATTATGAAAGTAAGAATGATATTTACTACTCCTACTGGAGATTTGCTAGCTGCAGAAAAGGCGAAAGAAGGAACTACTAAAACAGCCGTATATAGTTGAATGATTATACTAAACAATGTAGACTTATAAAATTTAAATTCTTTTCTGCAGTAAATTGCATATAGAATAAGTAGATAGAGCAAGATCAATGAATTAAAGGCTAGGAAAATATATGTAATTATCAAAGCATAAGATGAATTTCTCGACATAATTGTTGTACTTTTAATCCATTCAAATTATGGATCCTTTTTCGAAATAGTATTAACTAAATCTTAGTCAAACATAATCATTAAATATTCAATATATTCTAAGGTCATCCATAGTAGAGATAATAAAAATGGTCTGTTATATTCATAAATTAAACTAGGAAAATTATAAATGTAAAAATTCTAAAGCTTTTTGCTTTGTAGAAACTTTCCTATTATCATTCTACTTTTGGTTTGTTGTCTGATATTTTAAATTATGAATTCAAATTATACTATTTATTATTTGATAATAAATTAAATACAAAAAAATAATTGATGCTTATTTGGTTTTAATAATAATTTATTTTTCTGTAGATATATTAGTTAACTTACTATTTTCTTAATTCATTCTAATAAACAAAAATGAATAAGCATAAACCAGATAGATATTCTTCATTGTTAAGTGATAAAATTAAATAACAAACAAAAATTTTCAAGAATTAAATAAATTCCTTTCTATTTTATTATTGAAGATTATAAAATTCGTACTATTCTATTTTCTTTTGAATATTATCTCTACAAAAGTGTAATACATAGATAAATATTTTCATATATTCTCAAAGCTCAATAATATTATTTTAAAAAAAGCGAAATCATAATCTTAGTTCTAAGAAATTTTATAAAAATTGCAAAAAAATCCACTTTTTTTTAAAAATCCCACTTTAAAATAGATCATATTAAATTTCTTTTTCGTTCTGGAAGGCATCAAAAAAATAATGTTACAAGTAACAAATGTAATATTAATATAAACAGTTAGTAATAGAAAAATAAAAATTATCAATTAAACTTCATGTTCAAAAAATTGTAAGATTTTATGTTAAAATCAGTTCTTGAATTATAATTCAATAATAAAATTTGCTCAATATATTTAATAACAAATTATATATTTATTTGATAGATCTTTGTTTGTTTTTCATTTTATCTCAAAAAAATTTATAAATTTATTATCATTTAATCATTTTTAGTTGAATTTTGATTTTATAAATTTTGCAATTATTAACATATGATAAGCTTTATACTTTTATTAATTTATTTGATAATAAATAAATAAAAAATAAGCCTAAAATTATATTTTAATATAAATCAAAAAGAAATTAAGTTATCTAGAAAATATTCAAAAAAAATATCTTAATTAGAAATAATTTATGAAATTGAAATTGTGATTGTGAAATGAATTTAATGTAATTTTATATAAAATTTATCAGAATTTGCATTTTTGATAAAAATTAATAAATTTTCATTTTGATAAATAGTTTAATATATAAGAATTTTCAACAAGATAGGTTATTTCGAAAATTGTTAGAACATGCTTTGCTCTTTTTAGCTAAAATGTAATATCCTTAAAATATTTTACTAGCCCAAATTGGTAGACAATCGCTAAAACAATAAATTGATAGACCATCAAAATTTTTTAAACCAAATTCATCTGAGAAAAAAATTAATCATTTGTCTCTACTATAAATTTAGTTAACCCTGTCATAAATTCTATAATCATTTCATAGAGATTATTAACTTGAAATAAGTCGTTTTTTTATATAAGTTATACAAGAGCACTATATCTCTTTTATTTATCATTTATTTGATAAATTTCATAAGCATTAACAAAGAAGTCAGAAAAAATATTTATAGCATTAAGTAGCCCACTTTGCAGAACCGAATTGTAAGTAGATGTGCAACTTTAGTAATTTAATATAGTTTTATTAAAGTATTATGGATAATTTTTTAAAACTGCACAAGCATCGCTTGTTATGATATTGAAAAAGAAATCAGTATATAATTATTGGTTAAACCTACCTTTTTATTGTTATTATTAAATACTTGTTTAAAATTGAGACAGTGTTGTTGGGCCTTACTATAAAACACTTAAAAATCTCTACTGATACTTAGGAAAAAGGTCATAATCATTGCTAAGATTTAGATCTGAATGAGCACATAATCCAAAAGTTGCAATGTTGCTTGAAATTTAAGCCTTCGCAGTTTGAATTAATCCTATAATAATTCATTTTATTAAATAATTATCATAATAATATAAGTATTAATTTTGAAATATTTTAATCATAATCAAAAATAGAATTTAATTCTTTATTTTGATAAAAATTTAGAATAATATTTACTTAAATAAATAATGTTTTTAGATAATAAATTTAAAATTTCTATAAAATATTTTATTTACCTTGTAGTGTTTGGTTTTCGCCTGATTGAGAAGTTAGAGTATTAGTAATAATATAGTTAACAACAGGATAGACTATAAGTATGATGTAGACAATTAAACATTTTAGAATTAAACTAAAACTATATTTGGGATATTAAGAAGAAGATGAAATTTTTTTCTTTTTGTTAATTAATTCGCTTTCTTTTAACTAATGATTTTTTAAATATTAACTTGTTCCAAAATGAGATAGATTTTTTTGGTGAGACTTGGTTTTATACTAGATTATTTATTGACTTGCAATTAGAATTACTTTATGCATTTCCTTAATTCTTTATGGATCAATCGTAGAAAATAAAAAAAATATTCGCTACTTTTTAAGCTGAGAATAAGCAAAAGTAGGAATAATTGTTAGTACAAATGCTAAAGAGATAACACAAATTAAGCAAAGCAGTGTTAAGACTATACTCTAAATTTAATTATTATTTGTTTAAATGTTTTACTCTTAAAGAGACTAAATGTTTGCAAAGTTCTTAACTAAAACTAAAAAATTATTAAAAAGGTTAATCATGATAAGCTTATCACTTTTGTTGGGATCATTCATATTATAATTTGCAAATTAAAACATATATATGCCATAAAAGTTTAAAGCAGGTTACACTCTCGTTTCTAAAGTAGTAAAATCTGTGTTATTGTTATAAAAGCTTACTGGTAAGTTTTTTTCAGTGATATATTGCAATAAAAACAAATCAATCATCGGTTCTTATACTATCTCAAGTATTTGATCTTTAAAATAAGTATTTTAATCATATTTATTCTAGTTAAAAATTGGAGATAAAATATTTCTATTATTATACATTCCAAAATCTGGAATATTTGTAAATTTTTCAAAAATATGGTTTTTGAAAATTCTACTTATTGAAATTCTGATATTCATGCCCCATGGAATATAGTAGAAATCTTTAGTTTATAAATCAAACTTATGCTCAAGGTTGAAAAAGAAGACAATAATAATTATCCCTACGATTACTAAAAGTAAAAAAAATTAATATAAAATTTACATAAATATATTCAATTTTAATTCAAAATCAAGCTAATTAAATTATTGCTATTGCCGTATAAAATATTTTTTTAGATTTTTTAATTTCCAAAAATCATTTTTATTTAATTAAAAATGAAATTTTCTTTTATATATAAATATAGGTCAGTTATTTATCATCTTTAATATTAAATTTGCTCTTAATTCTTTCTTAATTTTTAATAAATATATGGATCTTTTAAAAGTATTTTTTTAATTATTTTAATGAAAAAATTTTAATTTTGCTTGAAATTATTTTAGAATTTTTGCATATTAGTTTATCTAATAAAATTTTTTTGAAAAGATAAAAAATTTACTTAGTGAAATAACTGCTAGTATCAAAATCTAGTTGAAAACTCTACTTCTACTTGGTTTTTCAAAAGAATTTTTTATAATCTTTTTTATTGAGGTGAATTGATTGTTTCTGGATGATGAAACAGACTGTTAGTGCACAGCTTAAACTTCGTCAGACAAATTTTTTTATTCGTTTTATGCTTCAAGCTTTTCGTTGATGTCTGAGAGTTGTTTAGAGTTCATTTTTTTTAGTGATTAGCTTTAAGTATAATTTGGTGTTATCTACTTCATACTTAATGGTAATAAATCAAAATTTTTTGATCCTCGAGAAGAGTGAATTATTAACTTTTAACTCTCTTTATATTTAGGAGATTACAAAGAAGTTTAGCTTAATATGTTGGTAGTTTCGTTAGATCGTAGATCTTTAGATCCATGTTATTGACTACTTATTTACTAATGTTCAAAATTCTTAATCCAACTTTCTTAAGCAACAATTTGAATTTGCTTATGTGAAAACAGTGGCTTATTATGCTTCTCTTTGGGAGTCATAAGATTATCTATACTTCCTATATCTCTTTATACAGATAATATGTTATCCTCCTTTTAAATATCAGCATCAAAGTGATTCAGATAGTTTCTTTGAGATATAAATTAAGTATCTCTGTCTGTTTAATTCAAAACCTCTTCTTTTTCTTCTGAAATTTCTTCTATTTAGTTTTCATATTACTTTTTAATTGTGTTTAAATTTGTTAAGCTTTAATGATGATGAGAATACTTATCAACAACCTAATTTATTTTGCTAAATAATTAGGTCTGCCAGTCATTCATAAAGAAAAGAGATTAAATTTCTTCTTAAGAAAAATTGCAATTTGGACAATACTACTTCAATTATTCCAAAAATAGCAAGTTAATACTTTAAATTTATTACTCTTAAATTTCAATTTTTTTAATAGTTTTAAAGACAAGTTATCCTACATTCAAAAATTCATCTATAGTAACTTGAACTTTGAATTAAACTATATAAATGTCATTCAGATTTAATGTAAACAGCCCATTTCTAATCATTTATTCTAAATCGTAGGGTTTCAAAAACAATCTTGAAATTCCATTTTTTCTAAATTTAGGAAGAAATGCAATTGTTTCTATTTTTTTTGACTTAATGATTTAAGCTTTTTTTGCTATCCCTTAAATAGAATTATTATTATCTTATTTATCGCCTAATCTTTAATTAAATTCTAACATAGTTGCTTTAATTACATGTGGTAGAAGAGGAATGCATTAAGGCATGAATATTTTTTTGTATTCTTCTTGCTTTTCGATATATGGATGGAATAAATCAATATAGATTTAAGTAGAGGCAGCTTACACAAGATTATTATTGATTACATCTGTAATCACAACATACTCATTTAACGATTTATTAACTTATATCAAACCGCTTACTCCAATTTAATTAAGACCCATTAAACTAATTTGAAGATTTAGTTAGATTTCAATTAAAAAACCTTTTGATTTTTTTATTTTTGAAAGGAAAAGTTAATATTAAATTTAATTATTTTGGAATAAATAAATACCTTTAGAATTGATAGCATACAATGGTTATATATCTTTAATTTTTTACTCTTCAAAAAAACCTCTTTCTACATATCTAGAAATTATTTTATCATGCTACATACCAATGCTTTTCGGCATTAAGATTGCAACATTTTTATCAAGTATATTTCTTTTCTCGTACTAAAAATTTAATAAGAAACTATTAGAGACGTTTTTTATATGTGCAAACTCATCTTTAAGTAGTGATATAAAAACAACGGCTGAGTTTTTGGAAAAGGCAGCTTAGAATATCTTCTGATTTGGCTTTTTCTAGTATTTAAGATTTTGCAAAAATTGTTCCCTATTAAAAAATAAAATAGAAAAATTAATTAAAAATGTGTGGTTATTTTTGTTAGATAATCATTAAATTAAAAAGTATATATATAAATAAGTTAAAATTTACCTAGAGTCATCAAAGCTCAAGCAGCATAAATAATTAGAAATTAAAAAATTGAGATATTCATTATTTGGGTTCACTTTATATAATTACTTAAGCTTTTTTTCTAGTTCATCTCGTTCACTGCATAGTTTTACACCTGTCTTTTCTAGATTTTGTAGTTCAATAAAATCTTAAGAAATGCATTTTAAGAACTCTGTTTTTTAATCCATTAAATTTAATTCTTATTCAGCTACACTGGAAATACTTTCATCAAACTGTATTACATTATATATATTTAGTTCTGAAGTATTTTTACCTTGATTCGAAATCAAATATTCTAAAGTAGAAAGATTCTACATTGACATGCTCTTATTATAATTTTTATAGTATTCTAATAGTTTTATGTTAAGAAGAGCTGCATTTTTAGAGCATTGCTTTAAGAAGTATAAATGGCTTAAATGAGTTGAATTAAAATTTTTTTAGTGATTAAGAAATTTATGAAATAATTCATTAATATAGTCAATTAGAAAGATTCTTCTGAAGCTGCTTTCAAGCAAATATTCTTTGATCATATTAGTTTGGCCGATCTAATTATTGTGTTTTATAAAATACAAAGTTTTTAATTTTTTAAAAGGTTACTCAAAATTTATTTATTTAAATTTTTCATTTTAAACATAAATAAATTTAAAAATATTATTTTCATTTTTTTGATAATTTTAAAAGTATTTTTTTAAGTTACCTCACTAATATTTTAGCAATAGCAGAATGGTCTTTTGGTACATGACTAGATATGCCAAAAAATAATTAACTCTGTATGAATAGCGCTATCATCTTCAAGCATTGACTTTCTAGATTAAGCATTAAAGTCTTACCAAATTCGTCTAATATAAAAATCAAACTGAGAAGCATTTACTTCAATTTTCCAATTAATATCTGTAGAATGCTGGAGAAAAAAAGACTGTTCTCTTTTAATTTTAAATTACATAATTTTAGCTATTGCTTTGAAGGACAAAGGAGTTGATACCAGAATCAAAAACAATAAAAAATCAATATTTTTATTATATTGTGCTATCATGATCATAATGCACCAAATAAAATTGGATAATACAATTTAAGTTTCAAATATTTATATCATCTATGAGTAATAATTGTTCATCAGAATTAATCGAGTTAGTTTTATTGAAAGTACGATTAAATAAAAAATAGAAATGAAACTCTTATTTAACAAAGCGCCAGCTGTCAAGTAAATTAAATTAATCACATATTAAATCACTTCTTGATAGGAATTTTATATTGATAAATGATCTTTTACTTCAAATGAGTATTTTGATTGATGTTTAGAACTAAAGAAACCTTATAAAAATAAATAATTAAGATTAATAAATAAATTTTTTGTAAAATAACTCTTATTTTAATTGAATTAATAGGGAAATTAATTAACAGTAGTAAAAAATACATTTTAATTTAAGTACTGGTCTTAATTGAATGAATAAGCGCTAAGTTTTTTATATTTTTTAATTTACACTCAAAATTTATTTTCAAGTAAAAAAATTATAAGTAAAAATTAATTGTTCTAGCTAGTTGTAAAAATAGTGGAATTTCTTTTTTTCTAAAAATTTTAGAGTATTTAATACATACCATAGTAATTAAAGTTATTTCATGAAATAGAATTCATATTCTTAGTTTTAAGCTAAATTCCTCTACATTTACCATTGTGTTACATTTTTTAATTTTTAATTTTTAAATGATTTGTGCTCTTATTATGAAATTCAAACTTAAGGTTTATTATTTTTATTATATTTGATGTATTCATGCAATATTTAAACAAAATAGGGGATCTATCTATCTAATTTGTTTTCATATTTTTAATGTGTAATGATAGGTATTTTTAAAATGAATTAAAAAGTAGATTTATTGAAAATGAATCATGATAAATAAACATTACCTAATAATATAGTTAAAGATATATTTATATAACTAAAAGCGTCCAAAGCAACTAGTGAGTAGAACATTGAAGGTATTACTATAAACAAATTATAGCCTTGAATAATTACACTAAGTATAGGCTATTTTAAGTTCTCGTATGGTTTTATTAGAAATTTTACTAAAAGAGTAATTAAATAAGATACTATAACAATATTAAAACCAAAAAATATAAAAAATATTGTTTTATGAGATATTATATGCTCACTATATATTGAGATATATCGAAAATTCTACATAGTATAGTCTTTTAACTCCAAATCTTTAAGGGTATTCTCATTCATCATTATTAAAAAGAAAAAACAATAGTTTAGTAAAATTCCTGCATAACCAACCCAAAGAGGTCTGTCCCATACCTTCAGTAAAGTCTATTGATTCTTTACATAAAATTATTTAAGCTTTTGAAGCCAGAGAATCTACTTAAGCATAGCAAAATGTATTGATTTGTTTCTTTTATGGTTTTTAACTTGTTTATTTAATCTTTTTGCTTTTTTTAATAATATAATTTAATTTGTTAATATCAACCAATAATTAAAGCGATTATTACAAATATTAATAAGTGTATTGTTTTTTATGCAAGGTAAATTATGTAATTTAATAAACTAGCAAGCATATTATTTTGTTTTTTAAATATTTTTATTTCTAATTCAATGTTTTTGTTTCATCAAATTGGCCTTTTTAGAAGTTTCTTTTGTTAATTAAATTCATCTTATTGCTAAATAGGTATTAATTTTACTTAAAATTTATATTATTTCAATAAATAATTATTCTAATGAATATAATAAAAATTTAATTTGTTTAACATTATGATCAGCCATAATTATTAAAATAATTTTTTATTTTTTTTTATTTTATCTTTGAAATTAAAAATCAAAAATATCTAACAAGGAAGAAATTTTGAGTAAGTTAAAAAAAAAGTAAAATAGAAAAATTTATTCAATAAATTATATAATCATTTGCAAAATAGGTTATATAAATTAAAAAACCCTATATTTTTGTTGAGTTATATTTTCTATTTATTAAATAAATCTTAACCATAAATAAATAATTAAAAAGAACGTTTTAATATTAATTAATTAAAAACAATAAAAATATCTTATTTTTCAAAAAGCTAAAATTAGTTAAAATTGAGCTGAACCCCTTACATCTATCTACATGCCCTTTAGCTTAATTTATATATTTTGTTCTAAAAAACTTTTGTATCATCTATATTATACACAACTGGGATTTCATACAAAAAGTATAAATTTAAAAATAAACTCATTAAAATATTTTAAAAATTATGGTGGATAATTTAATAATTTTTAACATTTACAGGAATATAAATATTCTATAGATAAATATAAGTATAAAGACGATTTAAGTTACATTCAAATTTATTATTACTTTTTTACAAAACTCATAATATAAGGACTTTCTATTATATATTTCATTTAAATTATTGTAAGCGAATTTTTAGCTTAATTCATTGATCTAGAAATAGATTTAAAGAAGACAAAAAATGCCAAGTAATTTGCTATTATGAGCACTATAAACTAATAAATTAAAAGAGCAATCTGTATGTTATTCATGTAACTAAAAAAATCAGAAATATTACTATAAATAAAATTATTTAGGATATCTTAAACTGTTTATAGATATTCTGAAGCCATATTTAAATCTAAAAGTCTATACTTTTATAAATAATTAGACAATTCTTATTATTTACTAATTGATTCTTTATCAAGGTGAAGGATAAATATATTGTTCATAATATTGAGAAAATATGATAATGAATTTAAAAGTCCGTTGCTTAGCTAACCGTCAATCAGTTATTTGCAAGTTATCTCATTAAAATTAGTTAAATTTTTATAAACAAGCTAAGGATTATTGAATATTGGATTACAAGCATCTTTTTCAAGAATTTAAAATACAAATTTATTGTAATTATCCTAATCATATCTTTATATTAAATCTTATTTTTACACTATCTAAGTTAGATTTTGATAAGATTACTGAGCTAACTGTGCTAACTATTTATATTTTTATGAATATTAAGCTTAAAAGTTATTTTTATTTGGATTAAGAGCAGAGTTTGCATATAAAGAATATGTTGTGATAATACTAACAAATGCAGCTTTTGTGGTCAATATAGCTCCTATTAAATATTTTAACCAAAAAATAAGGATTTATTTTAAATAAAGTTAAAACTTACCTTATAGATCTTAGTTGCTGTTTTACTGATTAATTAAGTTGTTGGTTATTATTAAATTTATCACAGGGTAAATCATTAAAATTATATAAAAAATTGTTGTACAAATAAAAATTTTAATTGAAAATTTCTTTAATTTTGTTGTTGAAGAAATTGATTTTTTTTTGTTTAAAATTCCGCTATTTTAATACTTTCTATAGGATTACTACAGTGTGGTATTTTTATCGCAAATTATTAAAAGGCTCTAATTAAGATTTTTATGAATTTCTCTGATTTAGGTTATATCTATAGCAGAAAAAAGGGTATAAATTTATTACTTGTAGTTCTAACAAAAAGCATATGCAGGGAATACTACAATCACAAATAAAGTGCATATTATTACCATCACTATCAAAAGAATAACCAGAATAAAATATATTTGATTAAAGGTATCTAAAACAGATTGCTGCTAAGACTATTAAATAAGAGCCAATAGGCTTGCAATACTAGAGAAACGGCTGTAGACACTGTATTCAGTTAAAGGGTTATACTGCTACATTATTAAAAGCTAAAAAACAGATTAAAAATCCATTAACAAAGTATATATTCCTGAAGACGTTATGTTTGCTTATTTTTGAAGGCTGTAGTAGAATACCGTTGAGTACTACTCAAAAAGGATTTGCATGAAATTAAGTTCTTCCATTTTTTCATGAGTTAGTTGAGTAATAAATTACTAATATTAATTATAAGACTATGCAGCATTTGAAAGTATTTAACTCTAGTATAAATTTAAATTAGGATCGCTTGAATAACCATAAAGAGGATTACTTAATATCATTTACACAAAAATGCTTTTTAAGCATTTACTTCTCTCAGCTCTTAAATTATTTCCCCATGAAATATAATAAAAATTTTTAGTGTTGAGCTAAAAAGATGTTCTTAAATTGATAAAAACAACCAAAATAAATATGAGAAGAGTAACTATAAAAATATTATATTAAAAATAATTAATTTTGATTTAAATTAAAGTTCAAAATTTACCGAGACAAATTATTGAAATATTTCTTATTACTAAGAATAACAAAGGCTTATTAATTGATTTGAAAGTATTATAAATCTGCAATTTTTCTACTTTGTAAGATGAATTTATAGATGTTGATACTGATTGCAAATTCTAAGGTAAAGATTTTTATTACGATGAAATTTGGTTAAGCGTTTCTAGTACTGATGATTTATTTTATTTTTCTTCCTTCAAACTTTAGCTCTGTTCATTTTCTGAGTCAGTATCTTCAATTGAATTTTATTTCTCTCTTACAACATTATGCTTTTACATATTTTACATACTTAACAAATTATTTTTACTATTAATTTAGTAAGCTATTTCTTTTTCTGAAGTTCTAGCAGTACTTTGTAAAATAAACTATTACTCTCCCAAAGTATTGTGTCTTGGGGAGTAAAATGTAGACATACTAAATATATTGTTAGCAGTGTTTTCTATTTATAAGCATTCCGGCTCATTGTTTTGTAAAATTTCATTTTAAGTTGTTTGAAAAGACAAAGTTTTAATTCTGGCCCTATAAAAATTAAATTAATTTTTAAGCAAAATATTCAAAAAAAGTTAAAATAAAGTCAAAAATAATAATTTATTCTAAGTGTGTTTCCTAAGTAAAAATAAAATCTATTCATTAATAAATATATATATTATCAAATAAATTTATAAAAAACTAGATGAAAAAGTATATTTTGTTACCTTTGTGTTTTAGATAAATTAATTTCATTAAGAGTAGCAATTTCTTTGAATTTTATTTATTTTAACTAATCAATAGAAGGTTATTCAAGTACTATTTGGCTTAGACTCTATTAAAATTCAACACTAGGATTTTCTTAGCTTTACTTGATTTATAAATATTTTCTTAGCTTGCTATTTGAATAAGTCAAAGAGCAATAGTCTTTAAGTTAATCCAACATTAAAGTCTCATAGTGAGAATTCAAAAATATATCATTAGTTAAAATCTTTATTGATTAGATTTAAATCGTGCATAAATCTAAAAGTTCATCGTTTTATTGCCACATCTTAAATTTAATTAAAATTAGTTTGTTATTGTTTAAACTCAATAAACCTTGCTCAAATAAATTTTATATATTATCTTATTTTATGAGCTAGACTTATTTTACTAAATCTGTTGGTTATAATTTTATTTAACTTTAAGGTAAGAATCCAAAGGTTAACATTACCTTATGCTTATCTTCTTCAATTTGATTAACATAATTTTACAAAATAATATTTTTAGTATTTTTATGATGATTTTTTTAGAGAATCTATGGTAATATTGGAAATAATCTATTCAGATATATATTTTGATATTCTTTATTTTACCCTAAATACTTTTAAAATAATTTCTCGTATATATTTTATGAGCATGCCTCTATCCTTAAAGGAAATTATTTTTAGTTAATGATTAGAAAGTCTGTTTTTTTGTAAGATTCTTAGCAAGAAATCAACCCAATCAACCCTATCTCATTTTTTTAAGAAATAAAGACTTGATATTACTTTCTTATTTAGAAGAGAAATCCTTTTTGTTTTTATAATAATTTAATAAAATTACTTTTAAAACAAAATTATTATTAATTTACTTATGAAAATAATCAATCAATATTAAATTTATGAACAATTTAAAGAATTACCTTATTTATTCATGGCTAATAATGGCTATTGATCTGAATTTGATTATAAATTGCTCCCATTAGTTAAATATTTTTTTAAGATATTATTATGCTGTTTTGCAAGACTTGGAGGCATTAAAACACTACAATTCTACCCTATAACACCTTTACTATTTAATCCAAAAATTCTTTCAAAATTTTTAGACACTTGATTGATTTCTCCAAATGAGTGACTCAGTAAAGATATAAAGATAGCAGCTGATCTTTTTTTAAATAATTATTGGTACAACTTTACTTTACTTTTTGAGGTTTTAAAGTTTAACTCGAAAATATCCCTTTTTTATAAAAATTAATTTATTTTACTTGAAAAACTTAATATAAATTTTACTTATTTGGAAAAAAGCTGATATTTTATTCAAAAATTAAAAGTAGATTTGAAAGCTCTTAACAAAAGCTATTTAATTCAATTAGCTATCTGAAAGATTGTTCTAATTTTTTACGAAGCACTAAAAATTTAGAAAATATAATTTATATTTGATGCAGATCAATTACATCTTCAGTAATTAATCTAAGAAATTCTATTTTTTAAATGATGCAATCAGCCAATTAAAATTTAATACTATTTATTTTTTCCTCATGCTTAAACACAACATCTAATTTCAAATGATTATTTTACTACTAAATGATGTTATTTTAATACAAAATGTATTTTAAATGAGCAATGTCATAAGTATTAAGATTTTTTTTATTTTTGTAAATTAGTTCATATATTTATGTATTTAGTAGTAGATCATTTTAGATTTTATCTTACAAAAAATATAAATAGCTAAAATGAACGTATGTTAAATTATTCTTTTATCTAAGGTATTTATCAAACATTTGCTATATTTCAGAATCAAGAACTTTTTTTCTTTCAATTTAAAAATCACAATTTGTTCTTTTTTAGTTATTTTGCATTTCCTATAAATTAAAATTATATCAAAATTTATTATTAAAAATTAGTTGCAATTTATATTACCATCTTCATTTTATCACAATGACAATAAGGCGATTTAGTGCAATTCTTTATGTGACTTGCAATAATTTCGTTTTCTATAATTTCATTTTTATGATCATGAATCTAAAAAGAGCTTAGCTAGCTAGATTTTTACTTCTATGCAAGATCTCTAATTAAAAAATCTAAAGCGTATGAGGGGATTTATTTAGTTTTATTTTAGCTTTAAAAGAAATTTTTTATTTTCTCAACTTTATAGTCATAGCATATCTCAGATATTTTATAAGCTAACACTGCAACTATTAGAATTTATTAAAAAATTGAAACTGAGATATTTGTTTTAAGGAATACTAATATTAGAATGCTAGTAAGCAGATTAAAAAAGTTAAGGAATAGAAATAATCTATTGATGAGCTAATCAATATAAGAGAAAGAAATCCAAAACTTAACTATTTCAGTCACAGAAAGCAGAAATGGAAATATTATAAATATGTATTTAGACTAAATTTAATTAATAAGAATGAGACAAAATAGTATCAAAAAATTTTTGGAAACGGAAGCTAAATTAGAAATTCTGTCTGATAAGTGATCTAATTTATTGAAACTGTGTTTCTGGTGGTGGAAACAACTTATTAAGCCTATTTTATAATTAAATTTTCTAGATATTTTAATCTGTAATTACAAAATTAATTAAATAAAATTTGAATAATAGATTTGTAATGTAATCCCAAATATTAATTGATTTTTATGGATATTTATTTGCTTGCTTTTAGCAAACATGAAACTAAAATTTTTATATAATTCATAAATTAAAATGGTTACTTAACAAAATAGTCATGAAGATATTTACTAATCCAATAGGAGATTATGAGGAAATAGATACAGCTAATGAAGGTATAACTATTGGGGAAGTATACAATTGTATCACTGCGCTAAAAAAAACAGACTTATAAAACTAGAATTATCTTAAGCAGTAGGAAATAAAGAGACCAATTAAATATAAAAGTATACATGAATTAAATCCTAAAAAAACATAAGTTAATGTTAAGGAGTGCTAAGAGTTTTTTGACATAAAATTTAATGTTTTAAGCCAGTTTAGCTGCGAATCTTTTTTTTACAACTCATTAACTAATTCAGAATCTAACATAATGATTAAGCACTCTAAGTATTCAATAATTATCCATATAAAAGCTAGTGAGAGCGGTCTTCTGTAATCATAAATTATTGAAGGGCCATTTTATATATAAAAGTCTTTTAGGTAGCTGTTTTTAAAATATTTTTATATTATCATTGATTGCCTTTTGTAATAAAAATATTACTTTCACTTACAAATTATTAGCTAAAAAATTAATAATAAATATTTTGCTCAGATTTATAATGTATTAAATAAGTAAGAATTTTTTAGTTTCGCTAAATTTTGTTAACTTTTGTAACAATATATTTATTTATACTTCTTTAAAAATAATAAGTTTTTTATAAATAAACATCTTGTTCAACCATTTTGTTTTTTATATATTTAAAGCTAATATAGAGTTATATAAAAAAAAACAAATCATTCATTTTGGCATTACTCAAAAAGAATTTATAAAATAATCTATATTATCAATCAACAATATTCTTTAAGTAATTATAATTATTCATACTTACTTACTCCTTATATTATTGTTTAAAAATGTTTTTTTAAATTAAATTTTATTTTTTTTATGATATAATTCATTTTATAAAAATAATTATTTGTGACCTTTCTTTTTTTTATTATTGTGCTAAATTTTTTGTATTCTATATGTTCTTCTAACATTTTACCTAATTTAATTAAATATTACTTGTTCGAGCTTGTATCAAAAATTTAAAGACTGTAACATTTAAATTATTGAAATATACATATCAAAAAATAGATAGAATCAACTTAATAAAGCATTAAACAATTAATTTTTGTTTAACATCAAATTATTTTATTAAAAAATATTAATTTAAATTCATATTTTAATGTCTCTTTACCAATTTAAGCTCATTTGCATTTTGCTAACTAGAAAAAACATTCAGTATTAAATTATTTATCCTTTACCAAACAATTCGTAAAAATAATAACAAAAAATTTTTAATTAAATTTTTGTAATCATAAAATTTTTTTTAAATATGTAACAAGATCAAATGTGATTTATTACTTTAACTTAAATATTTTTAGGTAATTGAATAATAATTTAAAAGATTGAATTTACATCTAAATAAAAATGTTTATATTGAAAATAAAATAGTTAAATTGGTTTTTTATTTACGGCATAAATAAATTCACTCCACACAATTTTCTCTATTCTTGTGCGTTAGTTATTATTTTTAGCAATTTTGACTTATAGAAAAATAAAAAGTATTTAATTGATATAAACCGAAATCTACTAGTTTTCCAATTTTTAATTTTGGATTGAATGGTGGAAATAATTATTTTAAAACCTTTTTTCAATCTTGCTTTAAGTTTTTAAAAGAGAGCCATATTTACACTTTACATAATTAACTTATTGTATTTATAAATTATGTAAATAATATGCTTTAAAAAAATTTACTTATTAAATAAATTTTACATATATTATCTAATTCTGTTTTGAATAGTACTTTCTTATTATAATTTTAATGTTCCTCTTTTTTATTTGCTTTCTTTTGTTTTTTTATATTGAAAAACTAATTTTGTATAATGTTTCATTAACAATACTAAAATAATTATTATTCATAAATAAAGGAAAATATAATTAATGTTAAATTTATTTTTAGTTAATTAATTCAAGAGAAGTTGCTTGCCTATACAACTTCTGAAGGAAAAGATGATTCTTTTCATAACAATGCTATTTCAAAGAAATAAATTGGAATGAATAAATCATCGATAAAATTTAGTTTACCTATCAACATAGATTAGAAAAGCATATAAATATTTTAATAAAAGTATAAGCCAGAGAGGTAATCTACAGCAAAGTATCTTAGCTAATTAAAAGGTTATATTTACTAACTATTTCATAATAATTTAAATTTTCCTTTATTCCATATTTAAAATATTAATTTAATGGAAAATGTTTTTTGTGGCAAACATTAAAATTTTAAAGAATTTTATCCATTTCATAAAATTCTTATGCATATTGAACAATTTTTTCTTTTGTAAGTTCTTTAGACATTATGATTTTATAATTAAGAGCATATTTTATCATAAAATTTCTACTCAAGACTATTTTGATTTACAGATAAAGCTAAAGTTCTTTTGTTTTTATAATCTTCATTAGTTGTTATAAACTTTACCTCAAAAATGATGTCAATTCCCTAAATTAAGACTAGATGTTTTAATTTATTTTAAACTATAAAACATTAATAAATAACTCTTTCCTTTAATCAAATAATTATTTTTAGAATTATTAATCTTATATTCATAAGTTATGAGATAATTGTAGTACTTAAAATAGCTCATTAACTAATTTGATTTAGTTTAAAAAACTAGTGTTTTTCATTTTATTTTGATGTTTGATTATATGAATTATTTATTTTTAATAATCTTTATTAATAAGATTTTCAAAATTTAATCTAACTTTATTTTTAAGCTGTTCATTTGTCTAAATTTCTTTTAATAAAATATTGATTAGTATTGCAAATCCAAAATTAATAAGGTATTTAACTCTTATATGCTAAATTTTAAATGCAAAAAATATATTTGATAACGAACGAAATTATGATTTATATTTTATAAATTTATTTGAAAACAAATATTAATGTTATTTTCATTCAAATCATTTTAATTTATTCAAATAGTGATTTTTGTACAATCAAATAAATAAATATTAAAATAAAATAAACATTATTTTTTTAATTTTTTATTCAAATAATCAAGCGAATAAAAATATTTTATTGATTTATATCCTTTTATAAATAATTAATTTATAAATTATAATTTTCCTATAATACTTTTAAATTAATAATTATTATTTCTATTTAAATATAACTTTGTTAATCATATAATATTTAGTAAAAAGATAATTTTTTAGTATTTCATATAAAATAAATAAATTTATATGTACAAATATTATCACTGTTTAAAATAATTACGTATGTAATTGTTTTCATACAGGTATTGAGATTCAAAAATTGTTAGTATATTTTTAGACTAGTCTAAATCTTATTATAGTTTATCAAAGTACCTGAATAATAAGAAGTAGTAAGTTATGAGCAGAATTATGAATTAATATATCATTAAAATTGTTTAAATTTGTATCATATTTGAAAAAAATTGTTAATTGCAATCTAATATAAACTAAGAAAAGGAATCAAACATTAAGATAATCATCTCAAAGGTATCACTTAGTTCATAGAGATTTACTTATTGGTTAAAATATTTTGAAACAGTATCTAGCCATTATTACTTATTTTTTATACTATCAAAACTTTGTGCGAATTAAAAAGGCTCAATAAATTGCTAAATAGTTGTTAATAAACCACTTTAAAATACACCATTGAGTAATTTATTGCATTTTACATAGTCAAATGCATAATCACTTACTTGATAAAGCGAATAATATTTATTAAAAATATCACAGCTATTTTACTCAAAAGATTTAAATAAATAATTTTAATACAAATCCTAATTATATCTTGAAATATAACTCTAACTTGTAATATTTTGTTAAAAACTAGAAAGAATTTAGGAATTTTGAGATAAAACTGTATAATACCTAGCTTTAAAGCTAGATACACTTGTTGTTTTTAGGTTTGGATACAGCTATGCAACGAGATAAACGCTAAAAGAGCCTATATTACTTGAAAATTATGCTTTTATCTTTTGTAAAGTCGCTATTGTGAATTTATTTAAAAAAAAAATTTTTAATATTAAAAAATCTAAATTAAAAATTTTATTAATTTAATTTTTTTTACCTTGTAGTTCTTAATTAGAATTAGACTAGTTAATTAGATTAACTGTTATGATTAAATTAGTGATAGGATAAATCATTATGAGTATGAAAACTGCCATGATTATTGAATACACTTTTATGTCGTATAATTTTAAATTATTAGTATTTGATATTAACTTCTTCTTTTTTTCTAAAATTTTTACTTAAAACTATTTAATTTAATTGGAATTATCACCATATCCTTTTAAAAATGTAGATTTTATTTTATCTGATAAAAGAATTTAACTTGATTTAAATAGAGAATTGTTCATTTGCAAAATTTTTATTGGATCTATTGTAGAAATAAGATTTAAAGCTTTTGCTTTAGATTTTTAATTTTAATAAAAGGCAAAATAAGAGCAAATCAGAAACAATCCACTCACTACTGAGCTTATGATTAAAAGTTACTTAACTGATTCTAAAATATCATCGAATGATTCACTTACAGATTATTCTTATATATTTTACAATATGTTTAATGTCACAGTTTAGTTTTAAAAGTTTTCAAAAAGAAAATTCTCTGCCATATCAAAGGCTCCATTTTAGAGCTGGTAATAAAACATAGCTTAACTATGCATGAGCATACCGTAAATAATAGGAACATCTATATAAACGTAGTAGGTTTCATTATAATAAAATTTAAGATTTGTGTATTGCTATATCATATATTAGTTTAAAACTAAATCTTCTCTCTTTTCTTCAATGATATTTTCTAAATTTTTTTTATATACTTAACTAAAATTATACATTCTTTATTTGAATATTGAAGATTAATATGATTTGTTATCTGTGCTATTATAAAAAATAGGATTATTCAATAAAAAATTCAATTATCCATCTTTGTTAATTCTACTAATTAGGACTCTCATTTGAATAGGCCACGGTATGTACTCAAAACTCTTAATTTATTTATCAAATTTGTCTGAAAGTTCAAAATACTTTTGAAGAATTATCGAAGCTATTCCAACTTTTAATTTAAATTAAATAAAATCTTTAATTAATTTTTTATAATTTAAGTTGCTTACTTAAAGATAAAATTGAGAATATTTTCATTATCATGAAAGTTTTAGATTATTTCTTACTTTAAATTTATTTTATAAATGCCTTTTTAATACTTTTTTCTTAAAGATTTTTTTATTTATTAAAATTTGAACTATCATGAGTGTTCTGGAATTGGATCTGATAACTTGGCTAATCACTTTCCTTACAATTAAATTTTTAATATTAGCTCTCACTCACTATTTCACAAGACTTTTTTAAAATACAATTAACAACTTTTTATCTTTCTGTGCTTTGGTTATTCAGAAGCTGCACTTATTCATTATACAAACTTCTTGGTGAAATAAAAGAGCTTGAACTTTAAATTATAGCTTCTGTACTTTTTAAAAAGATTGTATCATTCGCAGTAGATGCTTAAACACGCTATTATGATTAATTAAATTTAACATTGCTTTATGATAAAATTTTTGAATTGCTGTTAGACTTTTGAATTATTTAATTTAAGCCATTATGATAATCTTAAGAAATTTCTTTATTTCCATTTTATTATTGATCTTCAATTTATTTTAATTTAGGAGTATTGATTGTGCTAAAATCTATTATTTTGCTCCTACTTTAGCAAAAAATTTCATTTTATTCTTAAATTTTTTCATTTATTTTTTATTGTAAATTGTCAACGATTTTTGTTATTCCACTTTCTTTAATTTTATTATGATTACTTAAGATACCTTTAAGTTTAATATTAACTGATTTCATTTCTGAATCTTTTATGAATTTTTAAGCTTATTCATTATTCTCATTTGAAGACTTTAAAATTTCATTGAAACTTTTCTTTGTTTCTACTGAATCTGAATTTTAATTTAAAAGCTCTATTTTGTTATATTTCTCTTCCTATTAGAGGACTAAATTCTGAGAAGGCTTGAAAGACATATCAAAATTTAATTATCTCTAGGATTATTAAGAGTTTATTTAAAAAAACTACCTATGAGAGTTAAGATTGTTAATATTAAAATATTAATCTAATTCTTCTATCGATAAATTAATTGCTCCATAATTTAAAAACTACTCTTTTAAATCCATTTTTATTTGATTTCTTTTGAAATCAGCTAAATTTAATTCAGTGCAAGAATGAATACAAATTTAACAGTACTCTAACTATTCTTCTCTCAGAAAAGAAACAATTAATTGGCATTAAAATAAATAGTTTTTATTAGAGCTAAAGTCAAGATTTTTAATTTTCTGAATTAACTTAGCCTTGTATTCGCTCAATTTTTCATTAAATTGACCTTCTTTTTCTTCACTCTATTTATCCTTTATCAAACATTAATTTGGGTTTGAAGGGAAAAATCCAATCATATCAACAATTTATGTTTTATAAATTGCAGCCTTATTATCTGATATATCTAAATGTTTAATAAAGAAAGGTAAAAGAGGGAAAATTTTCGAAGCTTATATTTAGAAGTAATCTTCATCATCTTTAAGAGGTAATAATACTTTAAAAAGATTTTTCAAAGCACATTATGAGTAACTATCTATCCTCAAGCTATTTCTTTTACTTTTCATGTCAAGTATTAAATAATTTTCATTTAAATTATTACTTAAAGTAATCAAGCTACTAATACCAATATCTTCTGTCCCTACATATCCTACTTAAAGCTTCATTGTTATAGGAATCAAAACTCCTTTAAAATAAATGATGTAATGTAAAAAAATAATTTATTTTCTTGAATTATTTAATACGCTTTTTCTTTTGCTTTTAAAAATAGTGTAAGCTTAAAAATTTAATACTGTAAATTTTATTGGATTAAAACTTACATAAAATTAAACTAAATGATGTATTTATTTACTTTACTTAGTTCTCGCCAAAAGTGGACTAATACGATAGACAAAATTTTCTTTCACAGATCCTCTATTTAGAAACCTATAAATTAGGTTATCATGAGAGTCTCCTAAATTATTTGACATTAACATTCTACAATTTTTATTTTAACATTCTTAAATTGTGTAGCCAAATATATTTTCAATATTTTTTGAAACTTTTTGAATATTTCCAAATTTATTTTTTTAAACTGAAACAAACACAGCTGTAGATTACTTAGAATACAGAAGCTCTTGCATTTGTTTATCAACAAAAAAATCTGCTTTTCTTTCGCATTTCTCTGCAATATCTTTTTCAAACCATTTCCTATTAAAAAATTAGAAACTAATTAACTAACTAATTATAAAGCTGTATGAATAATTTTTACTTGGAATCACTAAAGCTCAAATTAATTAGGTACTCTTACACTAAGTACTAAAGAAATTGACTTTCTTTGTTTTATTAATACAGAGACCCGATTTCTTAAAAAAATTAATTTCTTTTAATTAGAAAATTAGCTCCTTCTTTTTCCAAAATCTAGATATCTATTGACTCATTTGAAATTATTGATAGAAACTCATTTTTTAGGTGTAACAATTTAATCAAATTTTTATATACTTCAAATAATTTTTCATCGTAAAGGATAACTTGATTTATGCTATTTAGTCTTTGTTTTCTAATGTTTCTGTATTAAAGATCTGTAATCAAACCTTTGTAGTCTAAACTGATATAATATTCCTTATTATTCATAAACTCCACAACTTTTCTAAAAGTTAACATTTTATTTTGCATAACCTGATCAACAAAATTTAGATATGAAATATGAACCTCATGAAAAGTTTATTTATGTTGTTAAATGTAGCTCTCATAAATATTTAATATATAGCTCTGCATAAATTATAACATTAAATCCACACCTATATAATACTCATGATACAATTTTGCATCATCTACCTAATATTTTATACAATAAAAAAATTAAAATAAACAACCAAAAAATATTCTGAGTAGAAAAAATTATTTTATCTCAAAAAAAATTGATTATTCAAATAAAAGAATCAAAATTTTACATTAGTTATTTACTCGCAAAAACAATAAGGTCTCCTTAAGCAAGATTAGTAGTGCTCAAAAATAACACTTTCGAGTATGATTTTGCTATTATCAGAAAGTGGTGGCTTTAGTTATTTACTGATTAAAAATCTGATATGAATATCTATTTCATAAGGCTTTAATGAGGAGAAAAAATTAGATTAATTTGCGGATTTCAAAAAAAATATTGAATTTATATTATTCTCCCTTTAAATTTGCAAATTTGAAGCCAGTTTAATTGCTAATACAAATAGTGTAATTAAAACAAAAAAAGTTCTTTTTCCATTTACATTGATTGCCAAACAAATTATTAGCTATCCTAAACACACTACGCTGTTTAACTACAGTGACAACTTATTCACAGTTCTGTCTAAAAAGGGAAGGAAAAGATATTCTTCTACTCCATTAATAACAGCACAAAAAAACATAAAAAATAAAGACACACTCTAGAATCCATTGTATTTCAGAATAATAGAAAAATAAACTAACAAAATCTGCACTGTCTATAAAATGCCGTTCTTCCTAGATAAATGATCTTAAACTACTAAGTCAAACTTACTTCCTATCTTATTTGATATTAAACCTAATAATAAAATAAATTTAAGCATCCTCAAGTCAAATAAATTGATTTTTTTTTAATATAAAAAATAAAATTTGAATGTAACTTGCATAATACCTAAAAAAATTATTAACGAAATAGTATTCATATCTTATAAATTTGTTTCTTTCAGATTAATTTAAATTAAAAAATTGCAGCATTGATAAAAATAAATTGTTAGTTTTAAGAAAGTAACTAAATTTATTAAAATAAAGGAATAACTAAATGAATTAATTCTTACATAATAGCAAAGAAATTACAGAATTAAGATATCCAATAATCGATTAGCTGAATATAGAATAGAAGGATATTGGCATAAATAGGATATATTTGTAATTCTAAAATAAGATACTTAATATAAGTGATTTTCTGCTTTTAAAAGGAGAATAGCAATAGACTATAAAATATATTATAAGTAGTAAAATGATCAATAAATTAATAGAAAAACAGATTAAACATATCAAAAGATTTTTTTCAAGTGCTTTCCTAAAGATCAAAACATGATTAAATATATTCAAATTATTATCTGAGCCACTTAACAAATTAAGAATATCCTCATCAATTAACAGAAATAGCTAACAAACGTAATAGAATAAAAGACTTAGGACAGATAAAAAAATTCCTTAGTCATAGCTCTTTAGAAGTCTTTGAGAATTTTCTATATAAAATTATTTATAAACATTTTTCCTAAATATTTTATTGATCATTGTATTCACTGTTTTTTTTTTTTAATTTTTATTTTTTAAATAAATTAATATTACAATAAATTTTGACACATCATCAGCTCATATTTGTGATTATTAAATTCGACTTTCTAAATAATTTTAATTAAAAATTTACACTAACGCAGGAACAAATAACTTGATTCTTATGAAATAAGTAATTGATTATTCTTTAAGTTATTATCATTTTTTTATTCTAAAAGATTACTTTAATTTAAATATTTTCCAATTCATAAGCTTTTCCAAAATCATTTTATGCTGAATTAATATTTTTATACATTTTACATAATTTTATAAATCAAGTAAAGAAAAATTTTGATTATTTACTACACTTAATAATAATATAATTTAGTATCAGTAATGGCGTAAATATTTTGTTAGTATTCATGATGAACATAATATGTTATAAATTTGTATTTTTGTATATTGTATTAAAATTAATTTTAGTGGCTAATCCTATTTCGTTAAATATAAAAGAAATTACAATTTCTATGTATATTTATTTAGTTCTTTACTTACTAAATAATACAATAATTTATTAAAAATTTAATTTTGCAAGTTGCTTTAAATAAACTATTAATCCCTAAATTAGATTTCGTTTTAATATTGGGATACTTGATAATATTTATCAAAATAAAGATTTTTAGATATAATTATAGATTTAAATATATCATTCTTTTTCTATTTCAAATAGCTACATTGATATTTTTTTTTCTACAACTGTACCAAATATAATCTGAAAAAAATTTTTTAATCTTAATTTGAATTTTATAATCAAATATTGAAAAAATAAAGTACATTTTCAAATAATTATTATTTTCAAAAATTATATATTCATTTACAGAATATTATATACAAATAATAAACAAAATTAATATAGTTTTAATAGAAACAAAATTACTAGATTAAAGTAAATATAATATGGCTTTTCTATCATTGTTTAAAGTAATTTAAGATATAGTGGTTTTCTTATAAATGCTTAGCCTCAATTAGACTGAGTACTTTTTTAGTCTATTATATACTCTCTTGTAAAGAGTTGAAGTAGAAAAAGAATAAGTAATAAAAGGTGATTGTTAGTATTATTATTTAATAAATCATAAGCCAAGTTTAAATATTTTACATTGAAGAGAAAAAATCATTATTTGTTTTATTAATAAATTATGACAAGCTATCAAACATTAAAACCATCATTTCAAATGTCTCTTTGATATCAAAAAAGTTATATTCGTGGTTGAAAAAGTAATTTATTTGTTTATACCATTAATTATTATCATGAATTGATTCTAATTAATATATTTGATTGTATGGTTCTATAAAAGAATGTATAGTATTCATCAATCCACTTTAAAATACACCTTTTAAAAGCTATTAACACTTATTATTGTCAAAGGTATAATTCTAAACTTAATAAGTTTAATAATAATTGTTAAATATTGAACAGCTATCTTTCTCAATCGATTAAAATAAGAATTTATCAAAGATATTTTATTTATACCTAGAATAAGACTATTATTATGTGATATTTTAATGAAATCCAGAAACTACAGCAGCATTTTAAGTAATCACTTTATAAAATCTAGTCCTATAACTATCTATTGGAGTTATTTTAAGAGAAGGATATAACTATGAGACAAAATATAATGAATATGCACCCATATTGCTGGCAGATTAAGCCTTCATATTCTAAATAGTTGCTTTTTTATAATTTAAATATTATTACTATCAACAAAATATAAATTAAATGTAAAATATTGCCTAATTTATTGACTTAATATCTCTATTTAATTAATTAAATAATTTAAAGGTGGGTTAAAAATTATTTTGTTATATTCTTTGAAAATTTCTTTTTATCAAAAAATATTTTAAATGAAATTTGTTAAAAATAAAATTTTAAGCTTTCATAGCTCAACTAAAAAATAAAAACATTCATTTAGCAATATTTTTTGATAAATAATTAATTATATTTTACCTAATAAATTTTAGTTATTGTTAGACTAGTTTATAAGATCCAAAGTAATTATCAAGTTTGTTATAGGATAAATCAAAATCAAAATAAATATTCCAAAGCTTAAGAAATATACTTTAAAGTTAAACAAAGGCAACTTATTTGTTTGGGAGGTGAGTTTTTTTTTCTTAGGTATGGGTGTAATCTAAATATCTTTTTAAGCTTTAGTTTTTTTTACACGAAAACCTTACAAAAGGAAAGCTTAACTATTCTCTGAAAGGAGAATTTGGCTTGATTAAATCAGTATATTGTTCATTTCGTGAAGTTTTTATGGGTCAAGAGTTGAAAAAAGTTTTAAAATTTAAGTTTTCTTTATTTAGCTATAAATATATGAATTGTAAGAGAGAATTAATAAAACTCCACTAATGATAGAGATAATTATTAACAATTATTAAACTACAGCTAAAATTGTACTAAAGCTATCAGTAACAGATTATTACTGAATATTTTACATCAAAGCAAGAGTAGTAGTTTGATTCTAAAAATTCTAGAAAAGAAAAGCCTCAGCTAATGCAGAGCTAGGAACGTTTTAAGTATATTATTAAATTGACTAATAATGAAAAAGCATATCATACAATAGCTTTACTTATAAAGTTGTTGAGTCTTTAGCACTTAAAAAGTATTTGATTGCCACATCTTAATTAACCATATATTAGATTAGAACTAAATCGTTTCTCTTCTCAAGGTAAATTGAATCCACTTTTGTTTTGTAAAAATAAGCTAATTTTGAAATATAATTATTATACTCAGACACTTTTTGTTATTTATCCTAAACCTAGTTAGTAAAAATAGGATGATTGACCAAGATCTTAAATTGTTCGTTTGTAAATGTGCGAGTAAGTGTGACTCTTGCATCCATAGCCCAAGATATATAGGAAAAGCTTCTTATTTATTTGTCAAACTAATCACTCAAGACAAGATACTCAGCTATCATAACTGAAAAGATTGAAACTATTTTTAAAGGAAGGAGAATATTATTAATTAATTAATTATTTTATTTATTTAAAAATTAAGAGTTTTATATTTAATATTTTTACTGATAGAAATAACTGTGAAAATTTTGATCAAGATGTAAAGAGGTGCTGTCTTTTTTTTGGAAATAGAGTGTATAATTATTTTTTTTTTAGATTTCTCTGTTGATAATTTTGAAGTTGTAGAAATTGACATGTTTTGAATACTTTTTATTTCTCTTGAAAGATCAATTTCATCTTAATCAGAACCAGCTGATTCTTTTACAGATAACTTAGACTCATAGTATTTACTCAGTATTTTGTTATTTACATAATATTCATCATCTTTAGCTTCTTTTCCATTTAAAAATAACTATTTAGACTTCTATTTTTTAGCAAATTATAAATCTTGAAATTAATCTCCATTATTGTGCAAAGAAGCTTAACTGATTAAGTTTGTTTCAACGCTTTTTAAGAGATTTAAATCACTTGAAGTAGGTGATATTGGGTTTTTTTTGTTGACACTGAAATTCATTAAGTGGATTAATTAAGAATTTATTTAAGACTAGCTTTCACTCGATATTTTTTTAATAATTTTAAACGAACCTTCTAAATTTTTAAGAGAGATTTCTCTATTACTTTCTGGATTGTATTATCTACTTTTTTATTAGCTTAATTCATAATCTAAGGATAACCCTGAATTAATTTCAAAATTTTACTCTACCCTGTTTGAATTTAAGCAAACTTCTTAACTTTCTTCGTTATTTTTTAAAAGTATTTTCTCAGGATATTGTTCGCCAGTATTTAAGTTTAACTTATTAATTTAATTATTATTTTTGAGTTTTTATGGCAAGTATTAATTTTTAATTTATCTTGAGGTTTATTTAGAAAAGGAATTCAAATTTATTTGATCTCCTATTGAAATAAATCTTTTTTCAGATTCTAAAGCTCGAAAAGTTGAAAAAGATTCTTACATTTAATCATTTTAATTTAATAATTCTTAATCAAAATTTACTTTTTAAACTGCTACTTTCCTAGCAGATTATATTCTTTTCAAAGATTGATTATGAGAAAAAAGTTTGTTTAAAGAAATGTTTTGGATACCAAAATATTCATCTATCTCTTCTAAAGAAAAGCTTATATCGCCAAATTCTTAAAATTACTTTTTAATATCTAGCTTTATTTAACTCTTTTAAAACTCTTACAAAGTTAATTCATAAAATGAATCTATACTAATTTAGCAATATTAATGTGATTCTTCAGATAAAAATTAAATTGAAAGTTGGCATTAAAATAATGTGTTGCTATAAGTACTAAATTCTAATTTTTTTATGTTACTAACTAATTCACTTTTATAATCATAAATACTCTCCTGATTTTAGCTAAATAAATCAGCATTTTAATTTTTTTTGATCAGTAATTTTTAAGAGTTAAATGGAAAAAAACCCATCATTTGAACATATTATGGCTGCTAATTTTCTTGTTTTAAATCATGGATATTTAAGTTTTTTATAAAAAAAGGAAGTAAAGGAAATATTTTTGATGCTTAAATTTTGAAATAGTCTTCTTAATTTTCAAAATAAAATATTGTTTAAAACAGCTATTAGAAAACGCTTTAAGTAAACCCATCTATCCTTAAACTGAATCCTTTACTTTATAAATCTAAGACTATATAGTTTTAATTATAGTCTTTATTTAAAGTTATCAAACCACTAACTCCTATATCTTCTACTCCAATGTGAGATATTTAAAGCTTCAATGATATGGGTATAAGTAATTCTAATAATAAAATATAATTTATAAATTTAAAAATAAGAAAAAAAAATACAATAAATAATCTAATTTTAGTAAAGAAAAAATATTACTTGATTTTGTTTTTGCTAAAAGAGGATTTAATTTATCATTAAGATTTTTTAAAATAGAACCTCTGTTTATCATATTTTAGATTAGATTATCATGAAATTTTCCTAAGTTAGATGTCATCAGCACTTTACAATTTTAATTTTAGACTTCTTCTTTTGTATAGCCAAATACTTATTCTATGTTACTTGAAATCTTTTTAATCAGGCCAAGTTATTCCTTTTTGATTGAGACAAAAATAGCTACAGATTTTTTTGAAAATAAATAATCCTTCAAAGAACTTTATTGAAAAGAAAGTGTTTCAGGGTAGTTTTGATGAGAAATTCTTTTTTAGAAGTGTAACCTAAGACAAAATTAAAAATATAATTAATTAAAAATAATTGAGTAAATTTTACTTTGATCCGCTAAAACTTAGAGCTGCCAAATATGTTTATATGAGAAGCTGTAAAAGGTAATTAGATTTATTTTGGAAATATAATTTTTCAAAGTCATTAAGTAGTTCTTCTCTTTCAAGTGTAAGCTAATTTCCATATTTTTCTAGAGTAATTAAATCAATAAAATCTGCAGATAAAACTCTTACAAGTTCATTCTTTTTTTACAATATCTATATCATTTTGTAGTATGTGATTTATATTTGCTCCTCAAATTTAATAACCTAATTTATAGTATTTTGATTATCATTTTTCAAAATACAGAACTGCATATTACAAAGAATGCTATTCGAAATAAATGATAAATTTTTATTTCGCGTATTCTTTAACTCTATAATTTTTCTGAAGGTAATTAATTTATTATGCATACATTCATCTAAGTAATAAAGATAAGAAGCATTTAGATCCTCAATAAAACTCTTACTCAATTAAAAATAGCTCTCATACAAATTTAAGACATAGCTATGCTGAAATTGTAATCGTAAAGCATTTCCCACAAAATATTCGTGAAATAAATTACTTTAGTTAAGCTAGATTTTATAAATAAATTAATAAATAAATCAGAATATTTTTAAAAATTTTTTTAAATAAAATAAAAAATATTATGTTACATTAAATAAATTATTTATTATTAACGTTCTTAAATGAAATTTTAGTAAAAGAATTAAAGAAAATATTATGATTGAAATATACTGGTTAAAAATTAATAAAGAATAAATACCTCAAAAATTTTCTAACAGAAACAGTAAGGACGTTTAAAGCAGTTTTAAATATGCTTTATGGCTAAATCTTCTAAGAATTACTGTTAGTAACCTTTAAGATAATCTGGTTATGAAAACAGCAAATTCTAGTAAGAAACACTTCTGATGTGAATATCAATGATATGAGGTTTTAAATTTTAGTAGAATGCTTTATCATATATTGAGTTTCCTATAAATATCTAATTTATAGAGTCTATTCTATATTTATATAAATTTTTTCCTAACTAATAAATTGGTATTGTAACAATTATTGTTATTATAGTAAAACCTCTCCAGTTAATACTGTTAGCCATTAATAAAACCGAAAGCCATAGCAAATTTATCAAATTAAGTTGTATAGATAATTATTATATTTTATTGTCTAAATATGGAAGAAACTATATATCTTCAAATAAATTAAGAAGAATAGCAATAATTATGAAAATTATAGACACTGAGTTGTATTGATTGCTTCTTAAGATAATAGAAATATAAATCAACGCAGCAACCAATAATTAAAAAATAGAGTTTTTTCTTGCAAGATGATCTCCTACTTTAAAATGATATTTACTTCCATTTTTTATAGAAAACAAACCTTTTTTTTTATGCAAATAATTTCAGGATAAATTTTGGAAAATGCTTGAAAAAATAAGTAAGTTGATAAAAAATAAAATTCCTCGATAAAAATTTGCTTTCTTATTTGAAAAATAAAATTAATTAGAAATTTAATCTTTAAAAATCTTTATGTTAGCTATTAAATTTACACATATTTACTCATCTGATTTTGGATTTTTGATAATTATAATTTGCAATCAGTAAATACAATATAAATTTATATTAAAATCCATACTCAAATAAAATATCTATCTATTTAATTAAAATAGGATGTAGAATTATGTTATTGAGTAAATAGATTATCAAATCTATATAGCCTTATATCCATCCCAATGAATCTAAAATTGAAAAACAAATTTACATATTATTAAGGTCATGATAGAGCTTATATACCCAATGATTGTTATCTAGCCTTAGATAGAGTAAAAGCAGAGAGGAATAAAGAAAGTAGTCTTGAAATTTTATAAAACGGCACTAAGAAAAATGGAATTCTTATTTCTAAATTGAGTAAAAGAATACTTCAGGTAATAAATAATAGCTAATATAATAACTAAAGCGTTTAAAGAGATACATATTATTGAGGTATAGAGATGATTTGCATAGGTATTTCTATAAAGATTTATGTATTTTAGAATAGCTACATTAGAATCAGAGGTTTCAAATTTTTCTAAAGATTCATCATCAATTACGACAAGAAATAAGTTGAAATGATAGAATAGTAGGCTTAAAACTGATGGCAATAATCTCTGCTTGTAACCCTTAAAAAGGCAATAAGAGTTTTCTATATAAAATTATTTCAAGTTTTAACAGCTAAATATATTTTTTAGCATATTTATTTGTCTTTTTATTTCCTAATTAATTTTTTTAAAAATGAAAAATTATTAATTATAAGAAAAATAATCTTTAAAATGATATATAAAATACAAAATAAATAAATTAGAAGCATTTACTATTCGAGTGTGATATATATTGTTGGTCAATATTTTATTTTTAGATTTATTTAATCATTTTAACACCTTACTTCTAAATTCATTTAAAAATCCTTAAATTTGTAATACAATCACTTAAAATACATATTTTCTATTCTTTCTTTATGTCCAATAGTGGAATTAGTATAGTTTACATTCATCATTTATCATAGTTAGGAAAGATAATTTATATTACTCAGCATTAATTAAGACTATAAATTAATTATAAAGTTAAAGAATTACAATATGTGTAGGCTAAAGAAGAAAAAGAAAAAATAAAGAAGTATTGAGTGAGCATCTAAATTTCTGATTGAAATTATAAATAGTGGATGGATATCTAAAAGCTAAATTTTTACTTAATTAATAAAAATACAAAATAATAACAATTTGAATATTTTACATTATTTGATCTAATCGAAACATATATCCATCCATATAACCAAATAAATTATGAAAAAATAAATATTTATTTATCATTTATTAAAAAGTTTTAACTTTCTCATAAATAAATTCTAAATACTTACTTAAATTTGTTTGAGAAAAATTCATATGAAATTCAATTGGTAATATGGATAAAAGTAATTTGTTTTATTAGCACCAGAAATTTTCAAAAGTTAATTAAAATCTGATTTTTGATGATTAAAAAATTAAGTTTTTTTATAAGTGCTGGTTTATATTTTTCTAAACCACCTTAAAATCAATCATTAATATAATAGTTAATTTTTAATTGAGAATGTACTCTTGCTTCTTTACATATTACTCTACTAGTAAAGTGATTTAAAAATTTTAAAGTACTACTAATGAAAAACTTAGGAATTTTAATATTTAACTAATTTCTGACTTCAAAGACTAATTTCAGTATATTATTTACAGTATTATAATAGCCCTATTGAAAATAATAAAAAACCTTATTCTTGTTACAGGATTTTTAGATTGTACATGAAGTGCTTACAATCAAAAAAAAAATTTGATATTTTTAATCTTACAAAATCTTTTTGCTATTTATAATTAATGCTTAACTTAATAAATGATTCAAATATTTTATTTCCATTTAATTAATCTGCTTAAGAAAAGAAACAAAAGTGTCCAAAGAATAAAAAAGTAATTTATCTTAATTTAAAATTCATTGGCTTTCTTTGGATATGTGGTGATATTTTAATTAAATATATAAGCAAGAATTAAATTATTCTTTGATGGTGAATTTGATTAATACCTTTATAATTAGTAAGTTTAGCAAATGCTTAGATACAAAAAGGCATGATCAAATTTATTAATAACCATTTTAAAAATCAACCATATTTCAAGATAATTGTTGATATTTAAATAAAAAAATTATTTATTATTTATATAAATATTATTTTCTTTTTATAATATTCAATTTTTTTGACACTTATAATTAATTATTTTTCTTCAATAATAAATAATTGTAAAGTTACACAGAAAAAAGATATTTATTTATAAAATGTCAAAAGGATAAGTTAAAGAAAGCTTAATAAAAAAAAATCAAAACCCTGCACCATCAATTTAAAATAAATAAAGCACTAGCAATAGGGGTAGCACTGCGAAAGTATTTGCCCATAGCTTAATTATTATTTTTATGCTGCTTCAATGGGCAGGAATATTACTACACTTACCAAAAGAATATAACTATATTACAAAACCTTCTGTTGTATTGATTATGTTTATTTATACTCTGTTCTAGCCACACTACGGCGCAAAAGCATTTAAGTAATTCATGGCTATAGGATTCATTTTCTCTGCTCTTGGTGATATTTTCCTTATGTTTGATGGATAATAATTTTTCTTTTATGGTTTAGGAAGTTTTGCTACTGCTCATATTGCTTTTTTGGTAGGCTTTTTGGAAAACTCTTCTTTTGACACAAACTAATTTGTAAACTTTTCAGTTCCAATTGCTGTTTTGCTTTTTGGCTATGGATACTACATGTTTATTTTTTTGACTTCATAAACAGGATTTCCTGAAAAGTTGAAAACTCCTGTATTAGTTTATGTCATACTCATTTCAGTAATGTGCTTTGCTTCTTCAATGAGAGATAAGACTTCCCCTAAAAGCTATTACTTAGCTTTCATTGGAGCCATCTTTTTTGTTTGCTCTGATAGCATACTCTCCCTTAACATGTTTATCCCAGGCTTTAAATCAACAATTATGCAATTTGCTGTCATGTTCACTTACTATATTGCAGAATATTTAATCTTTGTTGCTTCTCTTACTCACTATAGCTACTTTAAAAACCGCGAACATGAAAAGAAAGATTGAAATTAAAAGTTGATAAATACTTAATAATTAATTTTAACTAATTCTATTCTATTTGCTATTTTATGTGTTATTTATAATGAATTATTTGTATTTTAAAATATTTATGGAGGAATTTCATTTTAAAATATTTATTGAGGAATTTCATTTTAAATTATATATCTAAATAAATGAGAGCATTAATTAATAAAGGATATTTTAAATATTCATAAAGAAGAAGAAAATTTTAATAAATAATAAATTTAAAAAAATTAGATAAATCAATTTTGGAAAAGAGAAGAAAAAAATTAAATTTTCGAAAGCAAGCATCAAAAAATAGAAAAGATTATTTTATTTTATTGAAAAATATTTATAATCTAATCTATTTTTATTTAAAAAAGCTTCCATTATTAATAATTAAGCTCATAAAACATCTAATTGTATACTTCGCTCCATCGTTTAAGTTTTTAATTCCCGATTTAACTGGGCATGAAAAATAATAATTAGATCAAACGAAGTTTTTAAAATGATAATTTATAAATGCGATGGCTAGAAAGTAGCAAGAGATGAAAAGCTTAAAACTCTTTTTTCTTTATTTTAATTTATATTAATACATATAATTAGTATTTTTTTAAAGATAGAGATATGAAGATAATTATTTGATTGAGATATATCGATTGAGATGATTGGAATGCTATTTATTTTTAAAAATTTTTAGTAAAAAGAAAAAGAAATAAATTCAGATCAGAAAGAAAGAAATAAATTTAAAATCAAAATTAAATTAAATCAAATAAAAACAAAACAAAACCTAAACTAAACAAAAGAAAAGAAAAGAAAAAAATAAGATAAAAATAAAAATTTAAAAACAACATAAGCAATAGATTATGAGCATGCAAAATAACATATATTTATTTTCTTACAAAATTTTTATATTACAGTTAAAATACATTCATGCATACATACATAGTTTGTTTTGAAATATTATTAAGTATTTATATTAGATGTATTAGATAAGCTTATTGAAATTTTATCATTTATAAATAAGATAAATAATTTACAATAAAAAATATCTTTCAATTTATTTTTTGTATTTTATGAAATAGTTTATTATTCAAAAGAAAATGAATTTTAAAAAGAGAAAAATAAAAGTTATTGTAAAATTAAAATACACTGTATACTCTAAAATAAAAACAATTTGTAATAGATAAATTCATTATTTGAAGTATATGTATGGTTAAAATAATTTTTTTTTAAATTTATTAACATTTTTGATTTATTTATTTTTTATTTTTATGTTAGTATCTAAAAAATTTTTTAAAATACATTCAATTTTTTTAATTTTTTCAAATTAAATGTATTGATTTAAAGTTAATCGAACTTCAATCTGATCTTTTAAATTTTAATCTAAGAAATGAAATCTATCGAATATTTGATACATAGATAATATTATTTAATTTTATTAGTCGATAATCTGTAATTGATTATCTAGAATTTACAAAATTCAAAAATGTAAATTTGTAATAGATAAATTCATTATTTGAAGTATATGTATGGTTAAAATAATTTTTTTTTGAATTTATTAATATTTTTGATTTATTTATTTTTAATATTTATGTTAGTACCTAAATAATTTTTTTGAAATTGATAAATACATTCAATTTTTTTAATTTTTTCAAATTAAATGTATAGATTTAGAGTTAATCAAACTTCAATCTGATCTTTTAAATTTTAATCTAAGAAATGAAATCTATCGAATATTTGATAAATAGATAATATTATTTAATTTAATTAGTCGATAATCTGTAATTGATTATCTAGAATTTACAAAATTCAAAAACGTAAAAGTGAATAAAATTAAAAAGATAATAGAACAGAACGTATTCCTCCTAACTAAGTATTTGGATAAAAAATTAAAAATTTTGACTATTACTAAATCAAAAGAACTTGAAATTGACCTTTATGTATAAACAAAACTATAAAAATTTATTTCATTAATATTTAAATCTTAATTTTTCTTAAGTGTTTGAAATATTTCATTTGCTTATCAACTTTTTGCTACATACATAGATAGATAGATGATACATATTTTATACTTTCACAATTTTGGGGTAGGGTTTTGGAAATATTTTGAAAATGGATTATAAGCTAAGTCTTATTTGATGAATAAATCACTCCATTATACATTTTGATTTTCAAAACGATTTAATCTAAACATGCTATATTAGTCTTCATGTCTGCCATGCTTGATCATTCTAGCAGCTAATCTACCTACACCACCACTGTATTTGAACCCATGAGCACTGCAAGGACTCAAATATAATATATTTTTGTCATTTGGATCAAAATCTATAATGAAGTTTTCATCAGGGGCCATTGTAACGAAGCACTCCTTCTCATCTATAACAGGCTATCTTCCAATGTTTGGTAGGAACTCTTTCATCATGTGAACTATCCTTGTTTTTTCTTGAGGTTCTACTGATCTAATAGGTCTATCTGGGCTTTAAGTGATATTGTTGTGCTGATTAGGAGAGAATCCAACTTTAATACCTGAACCTTGGTAGTTAGGGAAACCATAAACATAGTAAAGAGGATTTCTATCTACTTCATACATGAAGATAGGACAATGATCTAAGTCCATATTCACATTCTCTGGTACCTTAAACCAAAATAATTAAATCTTACGAATTTCAAGAGGAGCATTTATAATTTGAGTATTCCACATTCCACAAGAAAATACAATCTTCTTGGTTCTAAATTTACCACAGTCAGTCACTACTTCATAAACAGTTTCATGAACAGTTTTGCTACCTGGATCTTCCTTAGGAGGAGGGACAATTGAGTGCGATATGTAGCGAGTACCTGTTTGAACACGGCCACCATAACGCTTAACTCCTTATTCGACAAATGATTGAATGCAATTTTCAGGGAATAGTACACCTGCTTCTTAGTCATAAACACCTACGATGTCATCTTTACCTTATAGGTCAAATTAAGGATTTAATTGGTTTATTTGTTTAGAATTTAATATTTTTATAGGCAGATTCTTTGCTTTTGCTACATGTAAACATTATTTAACAAGATCAGAGTCTGGCTTACCCATAAAGAGACCTCCTGTTTGCTTGAATATAGGGCGATTAGCAATCTTTGAAAGTTCATCAAATGCTTCATAAGCCTCAGTAACTAAGTCAACGTAAACTGGGTGCTCAAATACCATTTTTCTTGTGATTCTTGTATCACCATGAGAGCTACCCTAGGTATGAGCTAATTCAAAACGCTCTAAACCTAAGACCTTCAAACCCTGTTTAGCTAAATGGAAGAACGTTGCTGAGCCATGGGCACCAAGACCTACAACTATAACATCATATAAAAAGTTGCTATTCTAAGGAGTGTTCATCTTATTTAATTTTAAAACTAGCAGTTTTCCTCTTTTTTTTAAATTTTGTTGGCTTTTTTGTAAATTTTTGATTAATTTTTTTAATAAAAGTTGATACCAATTTGGTGAAAGAGATACTCAATTATAAATAGGTTATTATCTAAGATTCTGGTTTTTTTAATGATGACCATTATCTATTTTTCTTTTATTAAATATTTTGAAATAACTATCTAATTTATTAGTTGAAAATTAGGAATGCTAGAAAGGTTGTCATCAGAAGTATAAACATATATGAATTATGAGATCATTTGTAGAAATCATCCCGTCATATAATATCTAAAAGTCATCAAGATAAAAAAAATATTCATTCTATATTTAACTTTAGGATGATAAATAAAGCAATTTATTAGTTAAATAAATATAAAACTTGTTTTTGGGGCATTCAATTTTGCTGATAAATTATTCTATCATAATACACCTTTATTTTTTTTTATAAACTTTAAAGGAAAATTTTATTTTCATTTTATTGGAAAGATAAAAGATTGATATTGACGTAGTTCGTCTATTTTTGTATCCTGTGGTCTAATTATCGAGAGGAAAAATTAAATTTGTTATAGAAAGAAACTTAAACAACTAAAAAATTTAAAATAACGAAAAAAGATAAAATTAAATAGTTAATAAAAAAACCAAATAAAAAATTAATAGAAATAGTTGTGATAAATAATATAAAGATTAAAAAATTAGTTGATTCGCACGAAATTTTATAAATTATCTAAAGTTATTGTTTAATATAAAAAAAATTCAGTTGTTTTTTGAATTCGCTCAAATAAATATTGTTATTTTAAAAATATATTTTTAATTAAATCTAGTTAAAGAAAATCTTCTTTATAATTATGGAAAAGATTTTGTTTATCTAATTTTGAAAAACAAACTTTAAGCATTCATTTTTATTGTCAAAAAAAATAATATATTTATATTAAAATAATCAAAATTATTCAAATTATTTTTAATTATCAATTTTATTTCAATAATAATTAAATTTTTATTTGATTCATAAAAAATTTAACATCAACAATCTAAAAAATATTTTAAACTTTATTTAAATATTAAATAATTTTAATATATTGAATTTTAATAAATAGATTAAATTTTATTCAGTTAATAAGCTTATAAAAAGTAAACAAATCTTTTTTTAATTTTAAAGAATTTTATAAATAAAAAAAATTTTTTTGCAAAATCTCTTTTCAAATATCAAAGTATGTATCAATCTTAAATTATTTATAATAAATTATATAGCTTGGCTTTTTAGAGATATAAAATAAATTTAATTTGTTCTTAGATATTTTCAAAATTTATTTAATTTAAAATTATTTTTATAAAATCACTTAAAAGATAAAAAAATTATTTAAGTATTCTTTTAAAAATATTATAAGTAAAATTATTTATAAAAATTTGAATTTCATAGAAATTAGACTTTATTTTAAAATTAGGGAGAAGAAAAGCTTTTAATTTTTAATAAAGATAAATAAAGTTTCTACATTTATTTAATTAAAAATTAATTATGGAGAAAAATCAAGAGAAAAAAATGAATGAAAATTAAATTCATAAAAATTTAGAATAATGTTTAAGAAGCTAATAAATATGTTTTTTTGTTTGTTTGTTTATTTATTTATTTGCTTGCTAGTTTGTTTGTTATTAATTTGTATGAAGAATATGACCACTCTTTATTTTGTTTATTTATTATCAAAAACATGCATATAACTCAAATAAATTAAAAGTGGGAACAAAAGTAAAAGAAAAAGAATCTAAAAAGAAAAGTTAAGAAAAATAAATTAAACAAAAAAGAAAGATTAGTATCTTAATAAAATACTGCAAATCAATATTCAATCGTAGTTTAATTAGGAGAATTTGTAAAAATAAAAGGTTTTGATAAATGTTCAAAGTAGCCAAGAATAAAAAATTACTAGCTTCAAGGTATTTTTTTGTTTGAATTTACAACAGAATTAAAACTTAAAAAAGTATACTTATATGGCGAATTTATATGCTAGAGTTGAGCCAACAGATTTCAATGTTGGATTGATTAAAGCCTTTTTTTATTAGTTCAAGACATGCCAAATTATTTTTTTGGAATTAAAGGCATAATAATTTAAATAATAGAAAAAAGAATACTTTAAGTTAAAATTATTTTTTTTAAATAAAATAATAGTGGACTTGCTTTGAAAAGCAGTTATAAAGTCTCTAACTCTACAGTTATCAATAATTTTGAGAGCAGAAGTTTTAAGAATAAAAAAAATTTGGTAAATAATAAACATATAAATTATTATTTTTGAGGATTTCTCTGGAAATTTGGCATTAATAGAGTGAAGCTGATTTATTAAAAATGAGCTTTAAACTGATAATAAACATTTTGTGAATATATTGTAAAATGAATTCTTTAAAAAATAGTATAATGTTGTTGCTAAGCGTTCAGGTGATGTTGCTTTCAGCTACTTGAATGGCGAGTATAAATAGAATGTAAAGATTTTTATCATTAATAAGATTTAAGCTTTTAAACAGTTAAGGAGAACTTTTTAATGTTTATTTTAATTATAATAGACTTTGGATACACATATGATAAAGGAAATCACTCGTTTTTTAGAAGTAAGTTAGTTATTTTAGTGTTGATTCAATTAGATTTATATAGAGTAGATAGATAAATGCATAAATTTAGATCTGATACAATGCAAAAAATATCTAGCAAAATAAATAATCATTTGTTTGTTTGTTTAAGATATTATATTTTCAAATATCTTTAATTAATTTATAATATCTACATAAAAGTCATATGAAATCGACTCTAGTATTAGAGCAGTATTTTTAGAAAATTCTAAGGAAGCTGGTGTTTTCTCTAAAGGAACAGACTTTAAATGTAAAACCTCTACACACTCATATTCCCAATCAGCATTCTTAAATATATTTTATTTGCATATATACAGTTTTAATGAAGAAGATTGCTGAAAAAGAACCTCATAAGGCATTCGATTATTTGCGTGAACTTTATGATTTCGCTATTTTCATTGGAAAATACAACAAAGTAATTATTAATTTAAGATAAAAGCGATTTAAATCACAAATTCTACTAATTTCAAAAAGCCTTTATTGATCAATATTAATGGACTTATAACTGGCTCAGCTGCAAGTATTTTTACAAGAGCTCCTTTTGCACTTGGTAGCAAAAATACTAAGTGGAGATTGAATGAAACTTCCTTAGGTTACATTCCTGATGCTGGTGCAAGCTACTACTTGAGCAGACTTAATATGGAATTAGGTACATTCTTAGCTTTAACCGGATGGTAAATTGATGGCTACGACTTGAGTAGATCTGGTATCGCTTTTGAAAGAATGTTTGCTACCCATTAAAATATTGAAGAAAATTGGAAAGTCGCCCATAAGAAGCACGATTAAGAAACTACTTCTGAAGATTTATATGGACTCAACAAATTCGTAGATTTAACTAAACAATTGTACTATAAAGAAACTTACTTCTCATAACTTAATGAAGAAGTATACAACAGAATCGTAATCAATTTATTTTAAATTATAAATAAATTAAATTAAAGAATAATTATTTAAATTTTTTAAATGTATTATTTTAATAAAAAAAAGCATAAACAAGGAGAAATTTATTATAGAAATGAAAACAAAAGATTAGCTATGGCTGAAATTTTATATAAGCATCAAATGCAAGATAGAGCTAATTTAGGATTCAAGGCAGATGATTTATTCAATAGATCTCACGAAATTTTAAATAGATTGCTCCACTATGAATAATGTGTCATGTTTGATTTAGGACTTGAAAATATTGAATTATAAACTAGTGGTACAGTTACTAGTCTTCCTCTTTTCACAATTGGAAGATGCTTCAGTGCCAACTCTATTGAAGAAATTATTGAAAGATTAAGAGAAGAAGATACTCATTTCTCTAGAGCTTGTATCAAGTCTCTTGAATCTAAATCTCCTTTAGCTTTGAAGCTTACCCTTAAACTTCTTAGAGAAGGTATCAACTCCTCTTGGAAGGAATGCTTCGAAAGAGAATTTAGAGTAGCTTGCCGTAGACTTCTTGATAATGAAGTTATGAGATGTATTTAATCCGAAATTGTTGAAGAAGCTAGAGGCTTCAAAGATTGGGACTACAAAGTACTTTCTTAAATCAGTAAAGATCAAGTTGAAAGTTACTTCAGACCTTTGGTTGAAGAAAAGAGATTTGAAGGTGTTTCTGAATATCAAGGTGACTTAAAAGAAAACTGCTTATATCCTACTAAAGACTTTTACAGAGATTACCCTGACACTGTCAGATATTACTTAAACTAAGACAACTTAAGAGATGCTTACCAAAGAAACTCTCAAATATATGATGTTGAAGAGTTCTTGTAAAGCCACAATATCAACAGCAAGAGTCCTGCAATTAATATTGCAGATCTTAGAGAAAAATTCTACCTCATGGAAAAGCTCAACAGAAAGAAAATTGAAAAGCTCAACCGTTTGAGCTAACTCAGTGGCAGCGAATTCAGCATCAAGAACTTCTATGAAGTTAGAAAGGCTGCTATTGATAACTTATTCTCCAACAAATAACTTGTTGAATAAAAAGTTGATGAATTTTCTGCTTAAGTTTTTGAAGATTTCAGAAATGAGCGTCTTTAATAAATTAAAAAGATTTCTCAAGTTGCAGCTGTTGAAAAGAAGGAAGATTTCTTTATGAAACTCCGTCAAAAGATTATTGATGAGAGATTAGTTGAATCTGATAAATTAGAAGAAATTACCATCAGAGATTATCCTGGTCTTCAATATCCTTTATTCTTCCCTTTTGATAACAAAGACAACATTATTGAAACACATAACCCATACGTTAAAACTCTCTTCAAGGACGTTTTGAATCAAATTAAAGTTGAATCAAGAGTAATAAATTATTATCATAATTAATCCATTACATTTTTTAAATAGATAGATTGATTTTATTTTAAATATTTAAATTTTATTAAATTTATTTAGGGCACTCTTGTTAAAAATTACAATTTCGATTTAAAAGAAATTGAAAGTATCATGGAAGAAAAGGAATTTGGAAAGAAACTAATTGATAGATTACATTTACAATATAGTGATAGAGTTAATTGGTTTAATAAGGCTAGAGAATAATATGAAATTAGATACGGAGACTACAGAGGAAATTTAGTTGATAAGTGGTACGAAAGACTCATTGAATCTGGATACAAGGTATGATTTTTTTTGAATTATTGATGTAAATTTAAAATAATAATATCAATAAATAAATAGGTTGATGGTATTAGAGAAATATTGTAAACTTAAACTAACGAATAAGTTAAATAAATTATTTAGAATAACGTAACTGATAATCTTAAGGATTACATTTATGAATTCTTATCAGATTTAAAAGTAAGCAAAAGTATCTTCGAAGAATCAGAAAATACTCAAAATTAATAATAACTTGCTGAAGAGGTTTTGAAGATTTCAAAGGAAGGAATCAACCAATATTCCAATTTAATTAGCTTAGAAAATGGATAAAAACATAACATCCAATCAAACTTTGCTCTCAAGCCTCATGAATAAGCTCTTGAACTCTTCAAGAAATACATTAATCATGATGAAGAATTAAAAGAAACTCTCACCATCCTCTTAGAATCTTAATAATCTAAGAGCAAGAACTCAGTAATAATTTAATTTAACAAATATCAAAATTTAAAATGTTTTTTAACTATCTATTTAGATCATTGAAAAAACTAGACAAGAAATGCTCAAGCTTTTGACTTAGATTGTCTAAAGTAAACTTGAACAAATTTATGGTAAAAATAACTATAAGAGTTGCTTAGTAACCGAAAATGGAGAAAAATATTACTAATTTGATCATGCTTTCATGTCCAGATTTGATAACTACATTACAGAAAACTTGGAATTCGATATCCAATAATATCTTTCAACTCACACATTATTCATGTTTGGTGCTTTAGGTCTCCAAAGATTAGAAAATCTTTTCAGAAGAATTTACAACGCTTCTAGAAAGGCTTAAAAGGGTGATCAAGAAAGCGCTTAAGAATCTGCTGCAAGCATCATTTAAATCTTAAAGGATTATGGTTTGGAAGTTAACTCCACAGAAGAATTGGAAGAATTTACCAATTATTTAAATAACTTGACTTCTACCTTTGCTAGTTTATATGTTGGTTATAAGAATCACCTCATTTTCTCTGAAGACAAAGCTTTAGAATTGTAAAATCGTACTAAATTTATTAAGGTAAAATAAAAAAATTACTTTTGATAAACAATTTATAATTTATTTTTTTTAATTTAATTATAGGAAAGAGAACAAGATGAATTGAGCTTTTCAAATTATGCCATTATGGCCTACGAATAAAAGGAAAAATTCATTGATTAATTAAGTGCTTTAGGTTCATAATTAGATGAAAAGGAATGTGAATTTAAGGTAGAATTCTCAGATTAAATTAAATCTGTATAGAGACTAGTTGAAAAGCCTTTAAGAGATGGAGAAAACAAAGAATAAAGAATTTAATTAATTAAATATTAACTCGAAAAACTCGATGACTTCAAACTCCCTAAGAAGCTTATTACTGGTTTTGTTCTTTATGCTGAAAAGCTTGATAGATTAACTTAAACTTCCATTCACGGAAAAGCTTATGTAAATTTTTAATTCTTATATTTATTTCTTAATTTAATCAATATTTTTAAAAAAAAGTATGTCCCTGAAAAACTTTAAATTGATCCTGAAGAGGCTCAAATTCCTGAAGTATTTGAAGATTTAGATTCTAGAATGACTGTTCAATAATGGTTAGATGCTAAAGTAATTTAATAATTAATCTTTAATATCTTCAATCTTTTATAAAACAAATTTAAAAAATAGTTAAAAATTTTTATCAGAAAAATCTTCAATGCTCGTTACTAATAAGAAAAGATATTGAATCACCACGATTTATTAATGCTTGATTACGAAATCAGTAAGTTCTTAATGCCTGAATCTCTTAAATAATCAGTAAATTATTATTAGATTTTGAAATTTTTGTTTATAAAAGTTAACATTTTAATAAATAGATGTACGAACAATTAGACAGAGATATGGAAACTTTGAGAATATGCAGAGAATACTAGGTTAGTGAAAGAAGCAAGGGTGAAGCTGAAATGCAAGAATTCTTAAAGAAAAAGCAAATGGAAGTTGGTAAAATTAGAAATCCTAAAGCTGTTGAAAAATTAAATGCCTTCCGTATTTGGAGAGAATAAAAATACGCAAACAGAGATCCTACCGCTGCTGAATTTGAATAAATAATGAAAATCGAAGGTGAATTAATATTAGAATCAACTCTTGCTCCCTATGGATAGATTGAAACAGATAAAGAAATAGAAAAGACTTATTTACATTTACTTGATATTCAAGATTTCTCTGATCTTGACACTACAAGAATTACTAAAGAAAAGACCCTCACTGAAGAATATAGATTATCTATTGATCATTTAAAGAACTCTATAGTTACTAAGAAGGGAGATCATTTATATGACGACATTAATCTTTTCATTAAGCAAATTTCAGTTTGATGCAATTATTTAACTTATATACAATCTAATATTTAAATAAACTTCTTAAAGCACTTTTAATGCTTCAACTTAATGTAAACTTAATTTTTAAATTTCTGTTTGTATGTCTAAAAACCATATCTTCATTTCCTAAATGTCAATTATTCGCACCTTAATGACTCCATTGGTTTATGCAATTTTATAAAATTGAAGCAAATTTTTTGAAATTAAAACTTACAAATTACTTACTTACTTACTTACTTACTTACTTTTTTATAAATGAAATTTAAATAATACAATAGATATATATTATCACAAAAAAACATTTAATATCATTTTATTATATTTAAAAATGACTGAAATGTTAAAATTTAAATATAGCTCTAATGATTTTAACAATTTTACCAAAAATTAAGGAATTAATTTTAAAGTATAAATCTTTAAATAAGATGAATTTTAAAAAATAAATATAATATATTCACTTTATAAAAAGATAGATCAAACTTATATTAAATAATATTTAATACAAAATTAAAAAATAAATATATGCTGTATAAAGCATATTGTATAATGATACATTAGTTAATAAAACTTATTATTGCATTAATAATTTTGGAACTTTGAATTCTTATTTATTGCTCATATATTCTTCTTTAATTCTAAAAATTTCTTTATTAGTTTTAATAATATTTAAAATTTTTCTTGCTAATAAAACAATATATAAAATATATTTTAATTTATCAATTTAAATTTATATTAATTTGGTCATATTATAAATTAAAAAAAATTATTATTATCAGTTTACTCAAGTTTAACCAAATTGGTTGGTAGGTAAAATACAAACTAACTATTTAACAAGGTGCTTAAAAAAAATTATAAAAATATCAAACCATAATCAACTATTCAGTCAATAGCTCATAGTAATTTGCTTTTTTTTGTTTCCTAAAAAAATTTTTAAAATAACTACTTTTATTTAAATTTACCTACCCTAGTTTTTATCAAAATTTTAGATGATAAGATATTTAGCATTATAGACAGATATTAATATAATGTTTATCCTTAAATATATTGATAAAATCGAAAGTAAAGTAGGTTTATATTAGATAGCATTTGGCAAGTAGTGATAAAATTAAACTTGACTTAGGTAACTTAATCAATTTTTTATAGAAATGTATTAAATAATAAAAATACTAGACTTAATTAATTAATTTAACTGGATAAAGTAATTATTTTAAAACTTTAATTAAGTTAAAACAAATAATTTAACTTTTTTTATCTTATATTTCTAATGACCATATCTTCAATAAAAAAATGAAAATAATTGACTCTAAAATTTGATACTAATTTTTTTTTAATTATTTAAACTATTCAAATTTCACTGGTATTAAAAAGTTAATCTAATATAGAAAAATTTTCATGAAAATTTAAATTTAAAATTAAATATGCTTAAAGAAATACAAATGCATAAAAATAAATAGGATATACAGATAATATCTATTAAATTAAAATAAATTTTGTTATCATTTTTAATTCTACTCTAGGAAATACAATTTTCTTTCAATTAAGCATTCTAGTAGAAGTTATAGTGAGTAAAATCTAAATTGAAACTAATTTAGCTAAATTTTACAATCAGATAGATACATTTGTTTATTAAATTAAATAAATAAATATCAATATAGATTTGGCTTTTTACAATTTAAAATATATTTTAGTTAATTTTTTGTTAAGTAAACTAATAAAATCATTTTTAATTATTCATTTTTTTCTTATTTTTAATATTGTTTTATATGCTGAAGAAGCTTTTTTAGGTGTGTAATATATTTTTGATAAAGTATTGTAATCAATAGATCTCAGATAAGATTCTTAATTATTTTGATTATCAGTATTTTCTAAGGAGCAATCAACTAATTTGCTTTATTCAATATTTTATCTACTAGATTAAAAGTTTCTCATTACTTTAATTAATTTTTTTGAGCTACTTGAGCTTCTAATCAATTTTCGCTTTGTTTCTTATTCAATAATATACTATTTTAGATTTTGGTTGGCTAAATTATTATTTTATTTATTATTTAGGTTATTCGATTAGAAGTTTTAACAGTCTACCTAATCAGGAATAGCTTTAAGATCTCTAACCATCTAATGTGCTTTTTCTAACAGGTTTTTATACTCTTGTTCTTTTAAATTTATTTTTAAAATAAAATAAAAAACAAAATTAAATACTTTTCTAAGCAGAAATGGCTCTTTGTTTATTTTGAGCTTCTGTTGGATTGTAAACTAAAACTTAATTAGAAAAGCTTAATGAAACTTTATTCCATGTTGAAATTTCCTTTATATCTGTATTCGAACCTTTTTATCTAATCATTTTTTAAAAAACTTTTTTAAAATTAGCTTTAATTGCTTGCTCCATGTTTCCATATAGTAATCTTGGTCTTTAAGATTCTTCTAAAGGTTATTTTCTTTTCACCAAAATTACTTCATTTTTATTATTATTATTTCCTTCCTCATAGCTTCCTGATCTATACTTTTAATTCTAAAGACTTTGCTTCATAATTTAAAATATGTTGGCATCATTACTTCTTATTTGCTTATCCTGATTAATTTAATATTTTTATTTAAAAATTATAAAATTTTAATAAATTTGACATAAAATATTTACTTAAAAGCTTAGATTAGCTTATGATTAAGCTCTCTAAATTGAATTTCTTTTTGCTTAACAGTAAAATTATTTAATTTTATAAACTATACAAATAAGATATACTTTCAGGATCTATGAATTGAACAACACTTTATTGATTTATCATTTGACTTTTATTTTCTTGATTATCTATCAGATTTTTATTTTCTTAGCCATCAATATTTTACGCAGATAATTTTAAATAGCTTTACTATGATTAAGAACGAGCCATTCTTTTGGCTTTAACATGTTAGGTATTTTACTTATAAGCATCCGTAAAAGAATTTATTTGAATAGGAATAGATGTTCTTGTAGTAAACTCACTTGTAGAAGCTATAGAAGAGTTTGTAATTTACTTAAGCTTTGACTCTTCACCTTGATTTTGCTCTAAATAAGCTTATTTTTTAGTAATTCTATAAGGTTATTAATGGTTTATAAATAATTTAGATGATTAAGATTATATTTTTGATCTGAGGTATTCCTTATGTTTAGAATTTTAATAGAAATAGTTCTGAAATTATGTTAATCTAAATTTAATGTCTTAAATCCTTTGCTGTAGAGATTTTTCTTTTATCTCTAATTGTTTTAAAATATATATTTTAGATGACTCTTCAAGCATAACTCTATATAAAAATTCATTTTTATCTATCCTAATAGCTATCCCATTTAACGAAGTACATTTTACACTAAAAGTTCTCTTAGTGCTGTTTTACAGAATATCTTCTTCTCCTACCATAGTTTTTTCTTCTAAAATACTGATTTTCATGTCTTTTTTAAATGTTTCATATTTATTTAAATGCTCATTCTCATCAAATATTTGTATTTCATCAGCTTCTAAATTCAATCCATCTATATTTTATTTTCTTGAAAACATCTTACTTTGCTAAGATATAAATAAACTACGTTACAAAAAGATATTTAAAATATTTATAAATTACCTCAAAATCTCCATTTCTGATAATGTAAATTGCATCTATTTTATCACCTTCTTGGAATATGTATTAGTCTTTTACATATTCTTTTCTTCTAGAGTTTAAGAAAAGGTTTTTTAATTGATTGATATTCCAAGAAATAAAATAAGGAAGATTTGAAAGATATTCCATTTCTTTATGAAGTTTCTCTTCTTCGAACTTTTTAAGAACATCTTTAAAGTCTTTTTTCCCTAAAATTGCAAAAATGCAATCCTCTAAACATTAAATAGTTGCTAGTCTAGGTTAGTTATTTAATAAAGCCATTTCACCAAATTAGCAGCCATCTCTAAGTACAGCAACTTAAAGCATTTATATTGATTTTTGCTTATTATGAGGTGTTTAGCCTTATTATATACTATTTTCTACAATCGATTTGCTGTTCTATTAATTACTGCTAAAGGAATTAGAATTATTTGCTTCCATTTCATTAATCATATTTTCGAGATTAGCATCAGTCACATTAATTTGATTTTTACTTGTATAAATATTTTGCTATCCAGGCATTTTTATAGACACCGAAACACTTCCATGCAATATCAAATAAAATTTTTAACCATATTCTCCTATATTAATATATTTAATTATTCAGCTAAAGTTATTTTTATGCATTTATATACCTATTTAAAATACTGTTTATCCTTTTTAGTACACTTCTAATTTCATACGTTTGCAACATTAAACGTGGATATCTGCCTAACCTGCTTAAATATAACCATCGAAAAATGGGAGTGATGAAGTACTTTCTATTAATTGTTGAATTTCTTGCTTTTTCCTACTGCTAGGTTCTTTATAAATTGTTTCAATGGCTATCTTGAAAAAAGTAATAAAAATTTTTAAAATCTGGAAATTTAAAGACAAAATGAAACTAACCTTCTTTTTCTTATCAGTAACTGTAGACAAAATATGTTGAATTATTTTTTGATCCTCCTGAGTATATTCCCTAAAATAGTTGATTTATGAAAAATATTTACTTTCAAATATAAAATATTAAGTGTTTTATAATACATTTTGTTTCTATCAATATACAAAATAGAGACAAAATCTGCTTATTACTAGGTCAACTTTTAATAACTATTTTTTTATTTTGTGGTAAAAAGATAGATCTCTAAAAATATAAATTTCTCATAAACTAAGATATAAAATTTGTAGATAAAAATCAAAAATATATAAAAAGCATTTCTAAATCAGTAATCACTTTTTACAAAATTATTTGTTTGTTTGTTGTGAGTGAACAAGGTAGATTTATTTATATAGGAAAGAGCTAGTTACTCATATATAATTAATTAATAATTAATTTAAATATGCAGTATAAAAATACTTATAATTTAAAAATTGTTAATATAATATATCTTGAAATAATTTATATAATATAATTGAATGTTTTGCTTGTTTAATCAACTACACTTTGTCTGGTGAAGTAAAATTTCTTTAATTAATTGTTACTCTTAGCCGTACTTATCTATCATATTTTAGTAAGCTTGGCTTTTGAAATTTTAAATAGTTTTTGATTGTGATATTTTTTTTTATGGCTAACTAAATTAAGTTAATTCTGGTGAAGTCTTCAATGTTTATTAACTGAATTATATAAACTTTTGAGATGAATACCTATTTAAATTTTGCTTTTATTAATCTTTTTCTGAATCTTTTAAGTGGTCTCTGTCAGTTTTTGAAATTGCTTATGGTTTAAGTTTAACTGAGGGGCTTTTTTATTGTTTGTCAATCATCATTTAATGTTATTTTGAGAATGATTCTCTAACTGAAGGTATTAAACTATTTAAAGATGATGATTATTATGATTCCTAAGTTATCTATTTTTATTGATTTTTAGACTACATTGTTAACTAAAAATGACTTTTTGTGCTTTAAATTTCATTATCTTTTTGAGATCTTTAAGATAGCCTTTTTTCAGCAAGATCTTTTGATTATTTTTAGCATGCAACCTCACTATTTGGTTCATAAATTATGCTTAATGTTTTACAAAGCTATTGAGTCTTTTATTTAGTTGAATTAAGTTTTCTAAATTATTTTATTTAATATAAATTTCAAAAAATATTTTTATTTTAAAATTATTTACAAATCAGAGCTTAATGTGATAAATTAATTTTCAGATTTATTGTTTGCTTTTGAGCTGATTTCTTCACTTTTTTACTTCTAATTTAAATTGATATTCTATTTTTAACATTAAATTAGATTAGGTATTAAAATTAATTTTAATTTACTTATGGAGAGCTAAAATCATTTGAATTTCTTATAAATTTATCTTTTTTTTTAGCCAATTCTTTAAATGATGAAGTTTTGCTTGCTTGCTTTTATTGGAATAGCTGTGAGTACTAAGAGTTTTATTAATAGAATTAGAGACTTGTATTTTGAGTGCTTTGTGGAGTGGCAGGAAGAGAGACAGCCAAAGCCAAATGCTTATCTAAGATCAATTAATGAAGATTTTATTAAGAGCTTTATTGAGCTTAAAATTAGTTATTATTTTATGGCTCATTAATTTAAATTTATACGTGCTTACTTTAATTCTATTTTGGATTTGAGCCTTATTTTTCTAAAGAAATTTATTTAGGAGTTAAATTCATTTTTTAATCATTTTGAACAAGCTAATCAATTTTTTATTGTTATTTATTTTTTTAGCTGAAATTTTAATTCTAGGACGGCTTATTAGGCGATTCCTATGTACTAAAGTGTTTTTTTTCTTTTATCTAAGTTTAATTCATTTTTTTGGAGGTATTCTCATTTCCTTCATTCTATACAGTAAAGTAATTCTAATTAAGAGTCATATTTTGATTCTTTTTTCCCATATTTTTAGTATTTTTGTTAATAAATTCTTTGTTTAAATTAAAGAGACAAATAGGAGCACTGTTATTGTTCAAGCTATTATTGTTATAATTTATATTTTTTGTACTCTTTTCTTATTTCTTTCTTAAATCAACTTAATCACTATAACGTTAAGATTGTGCTTTATTTTCAATTACCAAGTTTTATTAGTTATTCATTAAATTTACAGAGTTAGCTTTTTATTAAATTTAGATTGTCTAAATTTTTTTTTAGGATGATAACTAAATCGGTTCTTTTTTTTATGAAGCAATAGGTTTTTAGTTTGATGAATTATCTTCTTGAACATTTTATTCAACTATTTAAATTATTTAATCTTATTGCTTCTCGTCAAGCATATGATGAGTATATGATTGCAATCTTTAATCAATTACTTCGTCTTCATCTTAATCTATATATTTAGCACTTGAGACTGCTTTATGGCCTTAAGTAGTTGTAGAAATTGCATTCGTGTAAGCTGTAAAATTAGATTCACTTGAAACCTGAAAATTGTTAATATGATAGAGTGAAGCTATTTTGTTACTATTTAATTTTTCTCTATTCCTATCAATTATAATATTTGCAAAGTATTTGTTTTCATCTTAAATGAAACTGTTTTCGCTTAAAATTTCTTTAGAAAATTAAATTTTATCCTATTCATACTAAATAGTATTTGATGGAGAATTGTTTTTCTATTCCTAAATCTAAAATTGTCTTTACTCTTTAAATTACTAAGAATCAGTCTAACAGATATTTCTTATCATATTATCTTAAGTATATGATCTCTGAATAAATCTTTAGTTATAAATTTTATTTTCTTCTTCTATTTCACTGTTATTATCTTAAATTTCATCTATCTATTCTTTGCTTATTTATTTTTGATAATCAAATTAAAATAGCTGTGTAGAATTGTCCAACATATTTTATTATTTATCTACAATCGAATCGCATTGAGGATTTATTTCAGATTGTTATATTTAATCATACTGTCTCTTGTATATGTTGATTGTAAAAGCCTCACAATCCAGATCATTTTATTCTTATTAATTGTTCAATTATGTATTTTCATAAATGCGTTGTTGATTAAATTTAGATTAGTTATTAATTTTTTAATAATGCGAAGGACTACTTTTTTAGTTATCAAATTCGTCAATTTGAATTTCATGTATGTCTTAAAGTTGCATTTAATTATTATTTTAAGATTATTTTTTATCAGAGTCGAAGTTACCTTATGAGAGGCTTTTCCCTTTTTGCAGTTCATTAGAGTTATCTGAGTATTTTCTTTGATTTTAATTTTATTTTTAACCACAATCTAGCATGCTTTTCCTTTTTAAAACTTCTGTATCAGTTTTTACTCTATTAGAAGGAGAGTAACTTTAGTATGTTTCTTTTTACAAGTGATTAAAATCAAAAATCATGCTAGAATAGTCTTTTTATGGAATCTTTTGAGCTTCTTATTCAACTCCTTGATATGATTATTATTTCTTACCATTCATATTATTTAAATTATATTTTTATTTTTAAGGAGAATTTAATAAAAATTTTGATTAAGTTAAGTTCTGAAACGCTTAAACGTTACCACCAACTACTTTGTGATTTTAGGAAATTTATTTTGATAATAGATAGTGGTTGAATTTTGACTCCTAAATAGATTAAGATACATTTTGATTCATAGACTTTACACAATTATATGCCACAGTTTATTTGCTTTGATTGTTGGGAGTATTTTTTTCGGTCTTAGATTGATCTAGCTTTTTTTTAGAAATTAACGAATTAACCTAGTTGTTGCTGCTAGTGCATGATTTTTCTTTTCTTTCTTTATACTGAATGAGTTCTTCTTACTTAATTTCATTAGTAATATCTTTTTTACTGCTTGGACTTTAGAACTTGTTAATTTGCTAATTTTGCTAAGCTTGAATTATCTTTTTTTCAGATTGTTTTTGGTTCGCGTTTTTATTAAATAGCTATAGCATACTTTTAGTATGAATATTATTTTTAGGAGCAACTTCTAATTAATTATTTTGCAATTGTATATTACTCATCATTTAGTGACTATATTTTTCTAATCTCTCTCTTAATTTTTGAGCTTTTTATTCCTATTTAGAATTAGCTGATAATTTCGTCATAGAATTAGGCTAGTTTATATTTTACGGTAAAACTGCAACACTAGAAGTTTATTTAGCATTTTTTGTGCTTTACATTTCATTTTTTTGCAATAATTATATTTAATTACTGAATGTAGACTTAGTAGGCTGCGTTTTAATAGTTCCGCCTTAACTTAAAATCTTTTGGCTTTAAATAAGATCTTTGCTTTAAACCATGCTTAAATCAAAAGCCTATGCTGTGACATCACCTCTCGAATCTTCAATCTTAGCTATAGGAGAAAAATCTTCTAAGTAATTAACAAGATTCTTTTCAATCTTATCCAAAGCTTCGAATTTTTCTTAACTATTTTTTTATTCCAAAATGAATTTAAAAAAAATAAATCTATTTTAAGATGATTTTATTAGTTTGTTGATCATATTCATGCTTTAAAATAAAAAATAGGCGCGTCATAAGAATGCTTATACTAGCCTTAGATACATTTAAATTTTATAAGAATGAATAGAATTTATTTTATAAAAACTATCTTAAACATTAAAATGCTATAAAAATATTGTACTTTATTTTTAACTGCTCTGGAGCAAAAAAAAGATTGAAAGGAGTGTTTGGAGTGCTATCTTTATTATAAATGTTAATTTTAATCTATTTAGAAAAAGTTTTATGAAGATTTATTTACTATCTTCTCTTGTTTCGATTTATGATAATCTCAATAAAGTATTTTCTCTATATCCTGCTTGACGTTGTTGATTGAATTCTTTTAATTTTTTTTTACTTTCCTGTTTATGCAATTAACTTTAAGAATTAGCCTCATTATTTTCTAATTATTAAACAGGAATATTTTCCTAACTCAAATCTTAAGACTAGCTAATATGGTTTTCATATGGTAAGGACCTATCTTCGTTTTAGATTAATTCAAATTCCTAAAGATGCTAAGGCTGTTAACTATCGATCTTATTTAATTAGAAATCTTTTAGAATTTTTTCTTACTCGTCTTAAGAAGTACTACTTTTATTTTCACTCATTCTACCTTATTAAACAAAAAAATCTATATTTATTCCAAATATTAATCAATTTGTCAGTATTAATTTGATAAAAGATATATATATAAGCTTATTTATTATTAATATAACTTTGATTTTACATTTAATTATATGAATAAAGTGTAATTCAGTATTATTCGCGTACTATAACTAAATAACTAATTTTGAAAGATAAATTTTAACTTACCACTTTTCATTTGTAAGTATTTTACTAAATTACAAACATAATCATAATTCCTTAAAATATAAACTTTAACTAAATTCCAATTCAATAATATTAAAGGGAATTTCATAAGTTTTGAAATAAATCTTAGATCCTAAGCCCTTCATTTTTTGTTTTAATATTTTTAAATTTTTAATTCAGAAACTAATAGTCTTTTATTAGTAATTTAAAATTTTATAAAGACACCTTTAGAAATAGGCCCACAAAAAATTTAAACTACTTTTACATCTGAAAAATGTAAAAAATATATAAAAAATTGAATAAGTTTGATAAATATAAAAATTCTATTCTTTTTTAATAAAGAGAATAATTTTTAACTTAATTTTTAATTTTATAGAAATAAATAATTTTCTTTTTATATATTAAATTGTTTACAATTTGCTATAATTCTAATGATATAATTTAATTAATTTTATCTTCCTTCCTTTATGCTTGTTTTTGATAAATATTTTAGTTAATTTTTGTTTCAAATATTTTGTAAATTCTACTTTAAAAGTTGGTTTTGTTATTCCAACATATTGTTTTCTAAAGCAATTTAATTTTTTTATAATTATATTTTAGGTATTTCTTGTTCTATTTATTAAATTCTTTGAGCTATCTAATCTTTTTATGCTAGAGCTGGCCCTTGTTTTGCTTAAGGGCTTTTTTAAGTTTTCTTTTACACTATTTGAAGATATTTAGAAAATTACTCTCTGACCAAAGGAGGAGAAGTTTGTGTTGGCGATTTTGATTATAAAGTTTATTATTATTATTGTTGTTATTACTAGTTAGTTTTTTACTGCTAACTGGTTTAATATTTATTATTTAAAGTGCAAAAACTAGCGTTTTAATTATTCTTTTATTATATTATAGAATTTTATTATTAAATAGTGCTCGATTCCTTTAAGAGCTTTAAAATGTAATCAATGTTTGTATCGTAAATGCTATTTTATGTCTTAGAGTTCTATTTTTAAATTTCTTTACTCTTGCTTGCATTTTTCTTTCTATTTTAAAAAAATATATTTTAATATTATTTTAAAATTCTAATCTTTTGTTTACTGATCAGGGTAAAGTTTATTCATAATATTTTCTGATAAATCATAGTTTGTAGATTGCTAATCTCCTTAACTCTACTTTTATATATATAATTTTTGGTTATTATGTTTATCTTAAACCAAATATGATAATTAAATATGATTATCAATTAAAAAAAAAATAAAAAATAATAAATTTGAAAATTTTACTTTCTAATTTTAAAAATCATTGGAATTTCTTATAAATTTCTATTTCTTATTGGCTGCATCTCTCTGAGAATAAATTCTACCTGCTTACTTTTACTAAAATAGTTGTTGGTATTAGGAATTTTAAGAATAGAATTGCTCTTTAGTATTAGTTTTAGTGTTAGTGTTAGAATTGCTATTATGAGCAGTGTTAGAATTTATATTATGTATAGATTAATTTTAATTTGTTGCATTCTTCAAGTAATATTAATTTTAAGTAGTTATTTAACTTTAGGAGCCAATTTAAGAGTCGTTTGGTAATATAGGGTGAGATCTTTGAGTTTAGTAGCTATATGAATTTTAATTTCCTTTATCAATTGAATGTATTGATTAGGTATTGCCTGCTCTTTTAGATTTCTAGCTAATATCAATAATTTATTTCTGTAAATTTTAAGCTTATCTTTTTAAATCATTTAAAATCTGGTTTTTATTTACCAATTTAACAGGTGAGTCTTCTTATGTAAAAGGTGATTGTTGCTTATTATTTTATTTTCTAGATGCACTCTAATTTTATCCTTCTTTTAAGCTGTAATAGTTTTAATTATACGTGTTACTATTGCTATTTTTCACATTTTTATTACTGCTTTCTTTACTTAAATTGTATAAGCAAATTGGATTATTTATATTTAAGCTGTTATTACTGCAATTAGTATTGGTTTTATTATTTAATTCTGTTTTCTTTCTAATATCAATTTAATCACTGTAGCGCTGAGAGACAGGTTTTTCATTGTTTAAAGGATGAAAATAATTATTACTTTTTCTTAAATCAATATGATTACTACTGTTATGATTATAATTATTTTATTATTAGTATTATGTTTATTTTTGTTACTTAGGTGATATTTATGTATGTCGATTAGGAGATTCTCTTGGAATATAATTTGTGCTTGCTTTTCTTTACTTTGGAGGTACGTTATAGCTTTTTAAATCAATTTATTATTGATGATCTTGATTTTTACTATGACTTTCTGTAGCTCTTTGAGATATAAATTATTATTCACTGTTATCTATAATTTCATCTTCATCTTAATCAATATATTTTGCACTTGAAATAACTTTTTAACCCTAATTTGTAACTACTGAGAGAGCATTTGTGTAGCTGGTAAAATTTGAATCTCCTGTCAATTATTGGTTATTGTTGTTGTTATTATAATTATTGTGAAAAGGAGTATTTTTAGGGTTATTTTTTTACTCCTTTAAGTTAGTTAGTTTATAATAATTTGAATGACTTTGATTAAAACTATTTTCAGTAAATTCCTTGGTATATTGAATATTGTCCTTACTGCTATTTTAAGCTTACACATAGTCTTTATTATAACAGCTCTAAGGTTAATTTTAACTGAATAAGCTTTATTCATTTCCTTTTTGTGAAGAATTCTAAGCTGAGATATTGTTGAGCATATTATCTTGCGTGTATGATCTCCTAATTAAATTTTGGCTATTATTTTTTCCATCTTCATCTAAATTATTATTTTCATTCTAAATATAATTTTGGTTATGCTAACTTTACGATCTATTAATATGGTAAAGCTAAGGAAACTCAAGCTATTCATCTTCATCATCTATATTTTTATTTTTTTAGGCAGAGAATTTATCAGACTAATTTTTATAAATATTAATCTCAAACTCATCTCCTTCATCTTCTTTTTATTATTTATCCATTTATTCTTAACTCTAGTTATAATCGATGTTCTATCTCACAAAATAGTTATCTAAACTATCTCTGTATAATTATCTTAAGCTTATTAAATCTAGTTTACTCTAACCATTTATATTATTTTTATCATTAGGTACCTACACATTTGCTGATTGGTGACTACTATAAGAATCTCTTCTTTACTGATTAATGTTTTCTTAGGAATAACTCTTTTTTAGAGAAACATTATTCATATTATCAGATAATTTTCTTTGACTATTTTTATCAGACATTTATTTCTTACTCAAATTTTATTTATATGATTCGCCTACAGTTGTTCTAGCTCTATCAGAGGGTGATTAACTTTTTTACTTACTATATTAATTAGTGCTTATTATATCTGAGTACCTTTAATATGGAGCTTCTCTATGGTTAGTACTCTTAGAATCACTTATATTTGGTTAGGATGATCTCTAAGAAGGTAAATTTCCTAAGAAATTATTTTACTAAACTTTATTTTTCTGTGGAGAAGTTAATAAAAACTTTGCTTAAACTATATTTTGATGTTTTTTTTGTGTAGTTTTATCAGGTTAATTTAAAGGCTGAGTCATCTTTTTTTGGATTTACATTGAAATTTATTACTGTTATTAAATAGATGACTACAAATTTTATTTTTGCTTTACACTACTACTTGCTTAATTCTATTTATTTGCATTATTTGGAGTTGTCCTTTCAGTTTTTGAATATTCTTGTTTTTTAGTAGAACTATATGTAGGTTTTTAGTAAGAATTGCTTGATTTCTCTCTTATTTGTTCAACTTGAACCTCAAACTATTTTCCTTCATTATTGTTTAAAGCACTTTTTTTGGCTATTGGAGTAGAAATTTTACTACTTTTTGTAGATCCTTTTTTATTTTACGTCAAGTTGCTAACTGAGTTTTTTGATTAAACAATTGAATTTTTAGTATTTTATTTTTGTTAAGCTGCATCACTTGAAGTCTTTTATAAATTTATATTATTCATCATTTAATGACTATATTTCTCTAATCGCTCTCTAAGTTTTTAAGTCTTCTATTCTTACTTTGAATTATTACTCAATCGAGTCAATGTAGGAGGTAGTGGAGCATTTGAAATTTATTAATTTGAAAAGGGACCTTAACTTCCATTCTTGCTTTATTCTTTATTTTAATGTGAATTAGCTAGATTGCTAAAAGTAGATTTAGTATTTCTAGAGCTATAACTACCTTAATTATTTTAATTTGAACCTATGTGCTAATCCCTACCTTAAACCATACTCAAATCAAATATTTATACTGTCATATCTCCTCTTGAATCCTCCATCCTTGAAATCGGCGAAAATTCTTCTAAAGATTTTAATAAATGCTTTTCTACTTTTTCATTCCCATGATTTTAGCTTTTATATAGATAGATAATATGTTAGACAAAGTAAAAATAATATATTTTAATTATGTAATTAATATTCTTCATGCAAATATTTTTGAGAAGTCAAATGTGATTATCTTTTAAATCTTTCACAAAAATAAACGAAATAATGAATCAACAAAATGAAATTTGCCATTTTTTTATCTTTTTTATATTCATATTACTTCAATTTTAGCTGTTCTGGAGCAAAAACTAAATATGAGGGAGAATTTGGAGTATTGTCTATTTATTTAAAAATATTTATTTATCTTTTTGTATTTAAATGTTTTTAATTATTACTTCCATCTCTAATATCAAATTGAGAGAGTCTCTGCTTAACATGCTCTAATTCTATCCTTTACTATACTACATTTTCTCCTACATTACATACTTATACTTATTGGTTAGCTAGGTGATTTATATGATTATCTTTATTATCATCACTAAATTGCATATTCGGTTGATATTGATTAACTAATTGATATTCTTATTAATCTTATAAGTCATGTTCCTATAAATTTATTTATTGAGTCTAAAATTAATTTTATAAATGATTAACTTAGTATTCTGAGTCCTCTTCATCGCTTGTAATGCTTCTCCTGTCACTAATAACTACTTCCTCATAATCATTTCCAGGACTACTATTTTTACTATCACTCATTATAGTTGTAATATTTATTGAATTAAAAAAAACTTTAAATTTTTTTGTAGATCTTATTAATTCAATTAAATAACAAACAATAACAATATCTAAATTGTTTGTGTATATTGAATAAACCTGGCTTATTAATTTATTTATTGCTATTTAATTATTCTATCATTTTTTTATATTTTGAATTTAATTCAGTACTGTTTAATAAATTAGTATATTTGTTTGGTGCCAAATAGATATTTATTATTTAATTGATTGTCATATATATTACCTTTAAAATTAATATTTTACTTTTAAAAAATTCTATTTTTTGGAATATTATTTTTCTATCTATTCATTTATTTCCTAACTTTATTTTATTTAATTACATTTTATGAAAATATTCCTGTTAATTAATTAACTAAAGTTAGAAGTAAATAAATTGCTTTCATTTCATTAAATTATAAAATAAGTGTAATCAATCATAAATTTAAATAAATTATCATTTAAAATTAATTTTATTTTTTTAAATCAAAAATAAAAATTGATGATATTTATTTACTTATTATTCTAAATACAAAAGAAGTTAGAACTTTATATTAAAAAACCATATAAAAAATAAATGTTTTTTATTAAGTTAATTACTTAAACATAAAAAAATATTTTAAATTTTAATTATAAATAAAAAATAATATAACTAAATTCATAATCTATGCACTTATCTTACCATATGTAAAATAATATCTTCTTGCAGCTTTTCTTCTGGGATCATGGTTAACATTAAATTCATATATTAAATTCTTTTAAAAAGGAGAATCCAATGAATAATAAATACTGTCAAAATTACTAAAGTAAAAGCGGTTCCTGCATAAATCAAATAGTTTTATAGGAAATTTTATATACTCAATGAAACTGTAGAAATGCTATCATTTGTCATTGTGCTATATACATCAAGTAATTCATCTTCGCTTTAGAAGCTATATACAAAACTTTTTAGATGCGGCATTCCATTTAAAAATATAGTTAGCTAATCTACAGGTGGTTAGTTTGGTGCTAAAACTTCTGGATATTAACTGACAAATTACGATTTCTCAGTAATTATTTAAGATATTCCTAGTTCTTATGTAGAGTTCTAGCAAGGATATGTCACTAAATATTAACAACCTCTACCTTCTTAAATATCTTTCAACTAAGATAATATACTAGTTGGAAAAGGGTTACTACCATAAAGGACATCAGTAGTTTACTAATTAATTTAAATAAGTTATTTAATGCTACTGTTAACTTAATTAAAGTAGTCTTATAGATTTGTTATTTAATATTCTGGCCAAAGCCCATCTAAAATATAATAATCAAAGGACAAAAGTTCGGTTGCTATCTTCAAATTAGTCATAATTATATGCAAATTAATACTGCTCTAATTTACTTGAACAGGAATTTTGAGCTAGCCGTTACTTTGAGTTAAATAAATAATTATGATCAAGAAATATATACAATTAAATGTAGTTAAAACAAGAAGTGTTAAGAATCTGTCAATAATTCTTAAACTTTAATTTATTATTTTCGATTGAAGTAAAGAAGTATTCTTCACAATTTTATTATGACTGTTGCTACCTTAATTTTTTTAATGGTAATTACTTTTTGATATATTTTTCGTCTCTTTTAAGTTCTTGTTCTTATTATTTAAAAATTGAGATAGTTTGCTATTTTAAAAATTAGATTCAGAAACTAACTATTCCTTAACTATATCGTTTGTATTTGTCATATTATTAAAAGAGACATTATTACTTATAGTAATTTAGCTCTCTTATAATTCTTTTTTTGCCATATTTTTATTTTTAAAAGCTTAACTGGATGTTTTCTATTAATTTATCTTAGAATTAAATGTGCTGAGGTAGTTTTATCCTTGGTTGTTAGTGGATCTTGCTATGCTGCTGTTTAAGTTATTTTTTTAAATTTGCATGTTAAAAATATCAAAGTAGTTGTAGTTTAACCAATCAATACTTTCTATTTTTACTAGTTGCTTGCAAATTTAGAGCTTGCATTTTTCATTTTCAGCTTAGTCAAAGCTTATCCTTGTGACTACCATCATAATTCTTTCTTCATAAAAGTTTACAGCCTTTAGTAATGGCAGAGAAATCAAAGAAATTAATATGATACCGAGAAGAGCACAAATAACCACAATTGTGAATTTGTTAATTAGACTATCAACAGCATTAAGAGTATCAGTAACTAGGAAGTTTACAGCATTTATCACTTGTGTGCTAAATTAAAAATAATTTTATCTTAAATATAAAAAAGAATCAGCTCTATCTGAATCAGATCTTGAATTACTTATTCCATTCACATAATACTATTATTGAGTAAAAAGTAAATCAAAAGAAATATTTATTTATTAAGATAGTCTTAATACGTATATTTAGTAACTTTAATCTTTTTATGCATTCTTAAGCTACTATTGTTGTTAAAGCTATATAAGTTGTTAAGAGTATTCCTAAATTAAAGTATTGTACTCTTATATACCAGAATTATAGTAATCTGCAGAAGCTGTAGAAATAGTTCCTTAAGGATCATATAGGTATCCCAACTAAATTTCTAATTCAATATAAAATCCAAATAATACTTTGCCATAATCTCTTAAAAATTTGCGTGGTTATCTTAAAATAGTAACGTTACTCGAAAATATCTAAATATTTATTCAAATTATTAAAAAATTAAATATTATATAGCTTTTAAAATCAAAAAAGGGGTAATAAAATGTAAAAGTATCAAGTTTATAATTTTAAGGTAATTTTAAAATTTGATTTTTCAATTAAATTTCAAATATTAAAAAATTTTAACACCCCATCAAAAGATAAATTTTATCTTGTTTTTTTGCATAAAATAATAATAATAAAAATAATTTTAATTATTTTACTTGCATATCAGTCTAAATTATAATCAAATTTATAATGTTCAATGATAGGAAAGATATTAAAAAGAAAATTAAAAGCATCCGATATTATAAAGCTGATTTAGGCATCTTCTACCTTAAAATAATTTCTATTTTATAAAATTTGATTAAATTATCAAGTTAAATGACTCTCAAAAATCTAAACAAAATTACCTTTTAGAAACACTCCAGCATAGCTACCTTAGGTTTTAGAAGAAGAACTAACACTATTTCTATTTATACTGTCTAAACCTTTTACCATTCCTTTTTAATTTAAAATTTTAGCTACTGCTTCTTACTAAATAATTTCATTAGAAGTTCCGTCACCTTCAAAATCTTGTTTTTTAGATGAATTAAAAGTACTCTATTATTTTTTATTTTCCTAAAAAGATGCTTTTTATTCCTTATTATTAACTAAGATTTAGAAATCTTTTTAGCTAGGGATTTATTATTTCACATTTAAATCGCCTTTTTCATAATTTTATTCTTCTTTATTCATTTCATACATTTAATCTAAATTAAAATTTTTTAGTTATAAATTTAAAATAAATAATTTTACAGCTTTTATTATCTTGGTATCTTTAATTATATATCTCTGTTGCTATTTGTGATTTCGTATTAAGATCGTTAGTATCCATTGTTGTTTACTTAATAATTGGTCTTGCAGATAAATCTGCAAAAGTGTTAATATTAGATTTTTGCTAATCTAAATCGATAACTTAAAAAGGTTAGAATTATTAATTTTCATCAATATTTTGATTGACTAATGTATTAATATATTCTTGGTTTTTTGGTGATGGGTCAAATATTTATTAATTATTAAAAACTAACTAAATTTATTAGTTATCAACATCTTAAATATTTTATATAAAAACCTTTTTGGCCTCTTCTCTTTGAGTTTTGCTATCAAGAATATCCAAATTTTTGGAGGGTATTTTATCATTAGAAGTATCATTCAAGTTTTCAAAGTCAATTTCATGATCTTATCTAAAAGTCATGATTGGATTTTAATTAATTTCTTCGTTTTTTTAAACCTATTCCATTTATTTTTATGCTTTTGTATCTTGAGCTATTTATAAAACTGTTTCAGTAAATTTAATCTCTAATGCCAAACTAAATGCAGATAAAGTAGACCTTTTCTGAATAATTTTTTTTATGTGATAATTAGGATCAAGAGACATCACTTAATTTATAGAAATATCAAAACTACTTATAACTTTTTCTATTTACGGATTGCAAGAATCTAGGTATTCCGTACTATTTCTGTTACTATAAATCTATTCTATAGCTTTCTTCAAAATTTTTTCATATCTTCCATTTTCGCTTTTATTATCACTCTCAAAAGACTAATCTAGACTTTAATCTGAAAGCTTTAATTTTTTATTTTTACCCTTTTGCTGATTCTTTTCCCCATCAATTGCTGTTAATTAAAAAAAATGGATTTAAAAAGTAAAATTTTAAAATTTGTTTTAATATTAAAAATAATTAAAGAAAATTACATTATTAGTTATTCATGGAGAGAAGAGAAATAAGTTTTTTAGGTATTTTAGAAAGCTGCTCTTTTATCTGTAATGAATATTATGGCATATAATCATCGATACTAAAGCTATGCTAAAAGTTAATTTTATTAGCTTCACCTTGCATTTAACTAGATTAAATATTTGAAGTAAAAACTTTGCTTTTTTGGATACTTTTTTAATCTTATAGATTAAAATTTTACTCAGTTAAAAGGTTTAATCCATTGGCAAACTAAACTATAGAAGTAGTCGAATTAAAAAAACTTGCTAAATTATTAATAAACTTATTTAAAGGCTTTAACTTAGCATGTTTAGAGCATACTTTTGTAGAAGCATCTCGAATTTTAATTACAAAAAATATATCTTAAAATTCTTCTATATTGTTATTTTATTTCTTATTCTAGCTGTTAGATTATGAAGTTTTTTTATTACCGCTGATAGACTTAGTTTATTATTCTGTCTGATCTAAAAAGCAATACTAAATTTCGTAAGAAAAGTTCAATTTGTATTCAATAGCATTCTAACTTTGCTGTAGAGGGTTTACAGTTTTTGTAAATGATTTTAAATTAAAAAGATTACTTTCATCCTTGCTTTAATCTCCAGCGCTTCTTACAGAAACGAGAGCCTCTGATGATTGAAAGTGCGCACTATTATCTTTTTCAAAGTCAAAATTTTCAAATTGTTTTAACAACTGCAAGCAATATTTGTCTAAAATATCAATTTTATTGTAAACTGATTAGGCTTAGTTTTAATTGTATTTTCTACTTAAAAATTATTTAAATTTTCTTAAAGCCAAATATGGGTTGGAGAAAAATTTCATCGATCCTTTATCTTCGATCAATGAAGTCATAGTGGAGGCACTTTTTGTTTGATTATTTGTTACATCATTTTCATATTTAATGCATACTTTGTCTGCTAAAAACCTATTTTTGATATCTTCTAAGATGGCTTAGCGATGTTTTAAAATTCTTTTAATAATTTTTGGAAATAGCATGAGAGCATTTAAATTTTAAATAGCAACTTCGCCTTTTGGAAAATGGCGAAATTATTTAAAAAAGATTTATGCAATATTTGCAGTAATTCCAAATATCTTTCCACTTCTATTAAAAATGATATAACTCTAGTCCTCAACTTTCTTAAGGAGTATTCCATGCATTCTAAAATCTTCCATAGAAGTTAAAAAAGAGAAGTTAAAATGTACTTTAATAGGATGAATATACCCATCTTTCATCTTCATAAATGTCTACACTACGCTGTCTCCGTTTTAAGACCTAACTGTTAGACCTTTAATATAGCTTTTTATTAATGAGTTATGAACTTTTCCAATAAATTATGGCATGAGCTCATTTATAGAATTAACTTTTTTGAAATCTTCAATTTAGTGGTATCCAAAAAACTATGCAGCTTTTTGATCTCTAACATTTGTAATTCTACCTAAACTTTCAGATAAGCTTATTTCTAAAATACAAATTTCTCCTTTGATTAAATTTGTGTTTTTGAGTGAGTCACTTTCAGCTAAAGAATCCCTCTTTTTTAAATCTACTATCAACAATTCTAAATTCATTGCTTTATTACAATCGTTTGCGATGAATAGAAGGAATATTTGAGTTATTCTTTAGAACTGTAAATTTAATTCTACTTCAGGGATAGAATCTTTTATTGCTTTCATTTATTTTAAATAACGATCTCTCAAATTATTTACTTCTGCCATCAATTTCAAAGCATCATTTTAAAAGTCATTGATCGTTTTATATCCCTTTTGCATACAATTCCAGTAATTATATTTTTTATCTATCACTAAAAGAATTTATGGGATAAAATCATGGCACATTTAATCAACAGTAATAATCGAATAAATTGTAAGTTCACTAGCGCTTTTATTTAGCTTTGAACGTCTTTCCTATTTTTTTGTCTATGAACTTCCTTTTTTTCTGTCTTCACTGTTACCAGATTCTTCCATAAATGAGTCTATTCTTTCTTAGATTTTTACTGCAATAATTTATGTAATCATTTTGAAGTAGATAGAAAATGTATTTTTTTTTAGCTGAAGAGCCTTGAGCTCATAGTAAGCTCTCACAGGATTATTTTGATACTTTAACATGAACGAAATGTATTTTAAAGAGAGTCTTTCGTACTGTATAGAATCTTAATTGATGCATCTCTGGCTAAACATCCATTAAAATAATCCATCTATAAACTAATAGACAATACCCATATTTATATCATTCTCCATTTAAATATGATTTTCTTTTTCACCAACATCTTTTTGATTTTCTGTAGATTTTTTTAAAAACTAATCACTATTTATTTTCATATTTAGTAAAGGGTTTAAATGGCATTAGCATGTCGGTATCTTGCATTCTACTTAGTGTAGTTTATAAGACTTCATCAACTATATTTTAGAATCTTCGTTGGTAAAACTCTTCTCTGCTAATTGTGTAATTTGTTCAAGATAATAATCAAAATCTAAAATTACTTTTTCTGTTTCCCAAACTCCTTTTAGAATGTTTTAGATCTTATAGCTATAAGCCTACTTAAGGGTGGCTTCTAAAACAACACTTCCAATTATACTCATGTAAAACATTTCGTCACCATTTACAAATGTTGTGAGAAAATAAAAGTTTGCTAATGTTGTTGCTATCTCAAAATATGCTAGTATTTTCAAATAAAACTGAGATATGTCCTAATTAGTAAATGGTAGTGACACAAAATAATCTAGAATGCATAATAATCCATAAAATTGAGTCAAAATATGCTTTACTTAATCTAAGGCTTTTGAGTTACCTTTAAATGCTATGAAGATAATGACAATTCTTAAAATGGTAAGAAATGTAAAGATATAAGTTGATTTCCTTTTTAATGCATTCTACTCAATGAATTCATAATTTCTAAAGTAGACATTTATTATTAGAGCAGTAAAAATTGACAAAATAATCCCCGAAGCAGATAAGATAGATTACCAAGTAGGTATGCTACATTAATTTGTATTATTTTAACTTCTTTAGACAGATAGAATACTTTTGCTGCTACAGAAGAACAGAGAGCAATTAAGCTCTATAAACCATTAGAGGAATACATTTAAGTATAAAGTAAAATATATGTTTAATATTTCATTTATAATTATGAATGTAGACTTATGCTAAAAGTAGAACTCTTTAAAATAATGCTTAACTAGTGTCAAAAATGTAACATATAAAAAGTAAAGATACATAAACGCTTAAGAAACAATGTAAACTATGATTGCCAAGCTGTCACTTTACTTTAAATTCAAAATATTGACTATAGATGATAAAGAGCAAATTTAAAAAATCGATTCTAGTTTGTAATTATCTGCATTATTTCCAGTGTAATCGCCAAACAAGTAGACTATAATCTAAGTAAAAGAAATCAAAATAATGAACTTGTAAATGGCTATTGGAATTTATATCCTCGGTTTATCTTCTATAATGGAAAGAATGGTGTCCTAGTATTATGTAAAAAAATTGAATTTAGTCATTAATAAGACCTAAAATAGAATATATGATTTAGCTTTTATATTCTAAACTTTTTTGAGGAATATATTTTTTTCGTTTTCCTTTTACTTTTTTTAAACGAATAAATTACTTTGTATTGATATTTAAATTAATAAAAACAACTATTTTTCTTAAATGAAACTAAATAAAGTAGATCTATTCAAATTCAATTATATATCTCAATGGTTTTAACATATTTTCCAACAATTTTTACAAATAAAGCAATTGATTTATCTATATTTAAATGGAAATTTAATTGACTCAAATAGATATTTGAATTTTTCCAGAAAATCTAAATAGCACTGTATAAAAAAATTTTTAAACAGACATATTACTGTTAATTTATAAAAAAAATAATTAAAAAAGGTTTAAATAACATATATATAATAAATAGAAAACAAAATCCAAAAACTACTTTTCAAATACATTTTTTTGATTTTCAATCTTGTTTTATTTTTTTCATAATATTTTATATGTAATTATCAAAAATTCTTTCCATATTTTAAAAATAATTCGAAAATGGAAATTTAAAATTTGATTGGCTAAAAAATATAAATTTCTTTATTTTTTTAAAATTTTTAAATTTATTTTATATATTTCCAAAAAAAATTCTTAGAAAAAAAGAATTTATTAATTTGTTTATTACTATTAATTACACAATAAATTATACTTGATATATTTCCTTTTTATTTTTACTCAGCAAATAATCCAGAAAAAAATAAATGAGTATTTTTAATTTAAGTAATAAATTCAAATATAGCTATCTAGACATTTAAATAAATTATGATTAATTAATATTTTTACTTTTATCAAACATAAATTACCATAAATAATTTAAAAATTATTTCTTAATTTTGTTTTGTTTAATTAAAAATAAAGATTATTTTTTAAATATTTTAAACCCTTATTTCATTTATTTGAGTGTTTTTCATTTAACTTATGTTTTTTTCAGATATTGAACTAAATTTTTTAGCTTTCCTATTAATAAATTTATAAAATTAAAATGAATTTTTTGCAATTTTCACTTTTTGTTATTTTAAACTTTCTTGGGTTTTTTACTTTATGAAAATGCCTAAATTTTCTATTAAAACATGAAATAAATAAAACTAAATGAGATTTTTTAAATTTTGATAAAATTAACCTATAAGATTACCTATAATCAAACCTTGATGATAACAAAAATTTAGATAAAAAAAATGCTAAAGTAAGTAGCTTAAAAAATTATATGAGCTATAAATAAACTTCAGATTCAGAAACTGATAACAACTAATTAATTAATTGATTCTAAAACTCCAAGATATTGAATAGCTTGTATTAATATTTAAAATATTTAAATTTAGACTTAATAAGACAATAACATGTTTTGTTAACAAACATTTTTGAAATAATTAACCAAATAGAATGCTAAGATAGAATTAGAGTTTTTTAAGTAAATTCAAAATATTTGAAAATTATCAACTAAATATTTAATAAATAAATTTTAATTCTTGTAAATGTAATAATTAAATTTGAAAATAATTAAATAAAAAAGTAAAATTAATGAAATTTGTTGATTTATACATTTTTTATACATAACAAAAGTAAAAAAAATAAACTTAAGTTTTTAGCTCATATAAATATCATAAACGATGAACTTATCTTATCATATGCAAAGTGACATCCTCTTACAATTTTTCTTCAGGAATGATTGTTAAAAGTAAATTCATTTCTTATATTCTATTGAATAAGAAGTGCCAATGTATTGTTATGACTAGAAATATACATATTGAAAAAATAGAACCTGCAAAAATAAGATAGTTTTATAAAAAATCTTATATAACTAAGGATACTGTAGAAATGCTATCATTAGTTAATGTACTGTAAAAATCGAGCAATTCATCTTCACTTTAGAAACTATATATAAAACTTTTCATATGAGGTTCTGAGTTCAGAAAAATAACCAATTGATCTACAGGAGGTTAATTTGGAGCTAATACCTCTGGGTATTCAGTAACAAATTTCGTTTTATCAGCTATAATCTAGACTATTCCTAGCTCTTAAGCTAGATCTTAGCATTTATATTTTGTTAAATATTAACAACCTCTACCTTCATAAATATCTTTCATCTAGTTAAGAACATTAGATGGAAAAGGATTTTTTCCATAAATAATATCAGTATTCTACTATTAGAGCTGGTTGAGCTATGTTATACTTTAGTTCATCTAATCAAAGAAATTTTATAAACTGGTTATTTAATAGTCAGGCCATAAAGTACCCATAATATAATAGTCAAACGATAATAACTCTGTTGCTATCTTAAGATTAGTCATAATTACATGCAAGTTGATGCTTCTTTGATTCATTTAGACAGGTACCTTCAATTGATCATTACTCTATGTTAGGTAAACAATAATAATTAAAAAGTATATGCAATTCATTATTGTTAGAGATAATAGAGTAATAAATCTACCAAATACATTTAAGCTTTAGTTTGCTATTTTAGATTAAAGTAAATAGCTATTTTTAGCTTTGGAATTTTTATTTTTACCAAGCTTAAACTGCTGCTATTGTTTTTACCCGCCATCTTTAGGTGTGTTTTACTTAACTGCTAGTAAACTTTGTTATTGTATAAGCTAAGATTATTAATTGTTAAAAGAGATAAAGCTTTTCTCAATACTGTTGTTTTAAAACATACCGCTATTCATCAATTAATTATTTGATTGATCCTTTAGCTAATTAATGACATTTTTTACTTCATTTGTATTACTTTTTAATTTAGTAGATTTTATATCAGGCTTATGATGACTGCTCGATGCTGCTAAATTATTTTTTTCTTTTTCAGTTTATGATTGTATATTGAATATGTCAAAATAATTATAATTCAGCCAATTCAATTAGTTAATATCTATTAATTCCATACAAATTTAAAGCTTACATTTTTCTATCTCTGAAGCTTCAAAATTTATTCTTGTGACTATCATCATTATTTTTTCTTCATAAATATTGATTGATTTAAGAACAGGCAAAGATATTATTGACACAAAAATTATTCCAAAAATTGCAATTATGATTACTATTGTAAATTTACTAATTAGACTATTAACTGCATTGATTGTATCATTAACCAAATAATTGACTGAATCAACAACTGATGAGCTAAATTTGAAGTAATTCTATCTTAAATAGAGAAACGAATCTACTCTTTAAGTATTAGTAAAAGACATATTTAAACAATTAATAAAATATTATTGCATGTCAAACAACAGATCATTTGATATGTAAATACTGCTCTCTTATCTACCCATGTATATAGAATAATTTGACATTTACGTCGAATTGTGAGCAAACTATGCTTGCTGTAACTAAACTAGCTATATAGAATATAATTAAAGTAAGCTATTATACTCTTAAATACTTTGAATTTAATAATCATTAACTGCACTAGCCACTTTTCCTTAATCATCATATAAATATCCTTGCTAAATTTCCAAAGAAATATAGTATCCAAAAAGAGCTTTTCCATAATCTCTTAGAAACTAGCGCGGATATCTTAGCACTGCAACATTACTTGTAAATATCTAAATATTTTAAAATAAAAATAATTTTAATTCAAATATTCAAGTTTATTAGAAAGTTAAAAAGCATTAAAAGATTAGTTTCTAATAATATTAAAATTTAATTTAATTTACTCCCATATCGCTCTTGATGATCACAATATTAATTATATTGAGTAGAATAAATGAGAACAAGAATAAAAATAAAATTATCCTATATTGAACCGAAGATTTAGGCATTTTTGATTTTAAAATAATTTCTATCATTAAAATAATAAAAATTGGTTAAATATTTTATAATAAAATGTATTTATTTACCTTTTAGGAATAATCCAGCGTAACTACTTGAAGTCCTGTTAGAAGAGCTAATACTTGCTCTTTACAAACTATTTTTGCCTTCAACAATTCCTTACTGGTTTAAAAGTTTAGCAACTGCTTACTAGTGCATAAAATCGTTTGAATTATTATCTCCCTCATTACCCATTTTTTTAGAAGAATTAAATGTGCTTTGTTAATTAATATCCTTCTGCTTGCTAGATTAATTATTTATATTACTCTTTACTTGATTTTCATGAGAATAATTCAGTTAATTATCTTAAAGCGAAAGCTTTTAATTTAATTAGCTGTGAATTAACTAAAAATTGCTTTAGTCTAATTAACCTTTTCATTATTAGTTTAAATTATTAATAAAGGTTATAAGCAAACAAATTAAATAAAAACATTAAATTGTCAATAAATTACTATATTGCTATGATATTCTGTGTTGGTCTTTTTGAATTTAGTTATCTAGATATGTTTGCTATCTTTCTTGAGTATATTGATAGTTTGTCTCTATATTTTATGTATTTAATATAGGCCTTTAAGATATATTTAAAAATGATTCACTAGTTTTTTCTCTCACTAGAGAAATTTTTTTATTCATTTAAGGCTTAGCTAGCTTATCAGTATCTGTATTAAAATTAGTGTATTATTCAGGGTAATTCATTTAAGTAAACATTTAAGTATCAGCTCCTATAGTTATATTTGAAATATCAAGCGCTTGCCCAATATACTTCTTGTGCTTATTTTTATTTGGACTCTAATCATCAAATTAATTTATTTCACTAACTTAGGATACTTCTAAAATGTTTTCTTCAGCTGTTAGGTGGTTATTGTGATTGTTAATTCCAATAGTATCAATGTTGTTTATCAAAACTTTTTTTTATCCCTATCTATTTGTATGGCTTTCTAAAATGGGTAAATTTTTAAAAGGAGTTTGATCTTAGCTGATGTCTAAATCACAAATTTCATGTCTAAATGTCATTGGAGTTTACTCATTCTCATTATTAATTTACGAATGATTATTTCTTTAAACAAATTACTCTCCTTAAGTAGTATTAAAGCTCTCATATTATTGCATAAAGATATTTTCTATGAAGGCAATTTCAAGTTCTTTGCTTAATTCAAAGCCATTAGACCTTTTTTACAATATTTTTTTGATGGGATAATTAGGATCTAATAAAATTATCTAGCTTTTTGTAGTGCAACATTTTTCAATCAGCTATTGTAATGCTTAATTACAAGCATCTTAAGATTCTTTATTTTATTTTAAGCTAAAAATTAACCCATTTATTTATTGGAAAAGCTTTTCGTAATTCAGTTTATCATCATCATCGTCTTCACTTTCACTTTCGCTTTGTTGTACCTGGCTACTAGTAACAGAAGAAGTATTTTTCATTTATTTATCGCTTCTGTTTTTATGGCCAGAAATACCTACATCATCAATATCATCATCATCGCCAGCTTCAAAGTTATTTTGTTTATCTTTTAATATATTTTAAGAAAAATAAATGAATTTTATGCAAAATGGAAGTTTAAGAATTAGGCTTATCAAAATGAGTTCTGAAAAATATAAAATTTGTTAAATTTATAATTTTACTTGAATTTTGGTTATTATTTTACAAAGTTCTGACCATTTTTTTAGGAAAATTCAAAAACTGCTCCTTTGCTTACTAAGAAAATTAAGGTATTGGGCCTGACAGGAATGAGGAAAATAATTCTGACTTTTCTTGATTAACAGAAATAATAGAATTATCAATTGCTTTGTTTTCTATTTATTGCTTTAAATCACTTTTGAGTTCTAATTTATAAATTTAATTGTATATCTAAACAATAGATGTTGTAGAGCTAAAATATTTAGCAAGATTTCTAACAAAAGCTTCCAAACCTTTAAATTTTTTTTTTATAGGCCTACATTTTGTGGTTATATTTTCCATCTTCAAAAGAAAATAAATATCTTTAAATTAATTTTCATAGCTGTTCTTCTAATTTGTTTGATTTTGAATTAATGAACTATTCTATTTTTAGCTCGTTTGTGTGCCTTAATTTCTACTTTAATCAATAAAGCAAAATTATAGCTAATAATTGAATTTCATTTTATATTCCATCACAAAATATTTTTTAGAGTTCTGTGTGCTTATTGTTTTAACTCCGGTTCCATTCTTAAAAATATTTAATTCTTATGATTAAACCTATTATAATTCTCTGTTAGACAAAAGTCTCTCTGAAGAATCATGATTACTTCTATTAGTACTTTGGCCTTCTTCATAATCTTAGAATTACTTCAAAATTCTAAAAAATTATTTATCTAAAATATCTAAGTTTTCATATTTATCTTTGATTTTAGATTTAGTATTGGATTAAAGGTGTTTTTTATTCAGAAAGCTTAGAAATTTCCTTAAAATACTATAAGGATTTGAGTAAAACTTAAGTGATCCTAATCCATTCTCAATAAGAGTATTCATAGTAAAAGAACTTTTTTGTGAATTACTCTAGAGCTCGCTCTAGTCAGAGTTTGTAAGTTAATCTATCAATAATCTACTTTTTAAATCTTGAAAAATATTATCTCTGTTTTCTTGTATCCTTTTTATAATTCTTGGAATAAGGAGAAGAGCATTTAATCTTTATACAGCTACGTCACCATTAGGTAGTTCATGAAATTCCTAAAATAATATCTTTGCAATTTTTTTTGTTAAGCCAACAATTTTACCTGATCTATGAAAAATAATATATTCTTCATTTTATCTTTTTTTTAGTAATACTCCATACATACGAAAATCTATTGGTGAAGTATATGAAAATTCAAAATAGATTTTCACAGGTTGAAGATATCCATCATTCTGTTTAATAAACGAGCTTAGAGTAGTTATACCAGCTTTAGCCCTGTATGAAGTACCTTAAATGAAGCTTTTAACAATTCTGTTGTGCGCTCTTCCAATGAAATCGGGCATTAAATCATTTATATGATTAATTTTTTAGAAGTTATCTTTATTTTAAAAGCCAAAAAACTATGCTGTTTTATCATCCTTTTGACTTACAATATTTCCGAAATTCTAGGAAAGGCTCATTTCTAGAATGCAGATATCACCTTTAGTTAAACTGATATTTTTGAGCATTTCAAATTCTGCCATGGAATCTCTTTTTTTCAATTCATTCATTAATACTTCCAGATTAATTGCTTTTATAGTGTCGTTAGCTATGAACAAAAGAAATATTTGAGTTAACTTTTAAAACTATATGTTGTTATCTACCTCAGGATGCATTCTCTACATTTATTTCATTTATTACAAGAAAGCTATTCTCAAAATTCTAACTTATTTCATAAGTTTTATTGCTTCGACTTAGAAATCACCAATAGATTTATATCCATTTTACAGGTTTACCCAAAACTCATACTTTTTTTCTATTACTTTCAGGAATTAAGGAATAAACTTCTAGCTAAGTTTTTCAATCTAAAAAATAGATGAAACTGAAAGTTCATTCTTTTAATTGATGTTAAGTTTAGATTTTTTTATTTAGTTAATCTAATCTCTACTGCTTTTGCTTTAATCTTCACCTGAGTAGCTATTGCTGTAGGTATTGTCAATCTTACCCTATATATTCGAGCTTATAATACTTTAAATTATTTTAAAGTACAAAGAATAAGAATTCTTTTTTAAAAACAGAGACTTTAATTCGAAATAAGCTCTTACTGGATTATTTTAGTATTTAATCATAAACGAGATGTACTTCAAAGAAAGTTTTTCAAATTATTAAGTATTCTAATTTATGCATCTTTAAGAAAACATCCATTGAAATATGCTGTCTACAAATTTATGAATTATTCTGATATTGATTTCCTTTTCTACAGATTAGCTTTGTTCAGTCTAATCCTTTGCATTTGACTCTAAATTAGAATTTAGCTAGATTTCGTTAATTGACTTTGTGTTTAACAAGTAATATGAATGACAAACACATGTGCTTATTTTGCAACTGCTTTAGTGAATTCTATAAGCTTTTTACAGCTTTATCTTTGCTTCTTCGCTATAAATACTTTATTCAGCTAAAAGTACTATTTGTTCTAAATAGTAGTCTAATTCTGGAATAATTTTCTCTCTCTACCAACTTCCTTTTAAAATATTTTCATATTTATAATTAAATGCTTATTGTGCAGACACACTTAAGATTAAACTTCCTAATATACTCATGTAAAACATTTCTTCACCATTAATTAATGATGTTAAAAAGTAAACGTTAGAGAATGAAACGATAACTTCAAAGGAAGTAGCACACACTAAGTAAAATCTGGATATTTCCTAATCAGCAAAGGGTATGGAAACAAAATAATCTGCCAAGCTTAAAATTCCATAAATCTAGCAAAAAAGATGCAAAATCTGTTTAGAAATAGAAATTTACCCACTAAAATCTATGAAAACTATTGTAATCCTTACTAATATCATTAATGAGAAAAGAATGCTCGCTTTCCTTTTTAAAGCATTTGTCTCTAAAAACTCATAGTTTCTAAAATAGTAACTTATAATTAGAGCAGTAAGAATTGAGATTACTAGACCAAACGTACCCATTATTAATTACCAACTTTATATTTAGCAGCTCTTTCCTTCGTTATAGGAAGTGCGCTAACTACTTAATAAGCTCTTTCCGCTGCAGAAGATAAGAGAACAATTAAACTCAAGATACTGTTAAAGAAAGACATTTAAGTAAAATGTAAAATAAATATTGAGAAACTCATTCATCTTTATGATTGTTGTTTGATTTTTAGCGAAAAAATCTTTCCAATACTATTTGATTAGTGTTAATGCTGTTACATAAAAAAAGTAAACATATATCAAAATTTAAGTTATAGCGTAAAATATAATCGATAGATTATCATCCTATTTTAAATTTAAGACATTTACTAATGAAACCATTTCAGTAATATTAAAGACAGACTTTAATTTATAATTATCAGAATTTAAATCTGATTGATCATGAAAGAGATACATTAAGATCTACAAAAAAGATATTAGTATTATAAATTTAAAAACAGTTAATGGAATTTCTATCCTTGGCTTATCTTCAATAATTGAGAGAATTGTTTCCTAATAATTTCTCCAAAATTTTAAAACAAACATTTGAAAATACTTTTTTTATTGATCAAATAATTGTATTCGCCCTTAATCACTTTGTTCTACTATTGTTAATAATAATTATTATACTTCTATCTTCAAAATCTAATATTTTAATTGTTTGTTATTATCAATCAAATCTTATTTGAAATTAAAGTTTTGTTGGTTTTTAATTGATTTTTTATTTTTAGAACCCTTTTAACAAACAATCAAAATTCTATACACATTCAAATTTTATAAACGGAATTATTTTAAAATAACTTTTCATTTTATTTTGTAATTAATTATAATTAGTGCTAATACATATTTTATTCGATGATCATTTTTAAAAGAATAAGAGAAGTAAACATCCTTCATTTTTAAAAACATTGATTTTATTTACTTCATAAAAATGCTGAATAAAAAAATTTCAATGCCTTGCCGAATAAATTTATTTAAAATATGATAAAAATATAATCTTTTTAAAAATTCATTTTTTTTATTCTTGAATAAAATTTAAACTGATAATTCAAAAAAGAATATGTATTTTATTAAAAATGTTAGTTAATTCAACAAGATTTGAAGAAAATAACTAAATTTAAGAAGCAAGATAGGCAAGATATATTTCATTCAAAAATTTGTTTATTAAAGATATATTTCAACTGTTTATTAGGTTGATTAAAAAATAATACTGATCAAATATTATTAATAAAATTCAAACGATTATATGTGTTTTTCTTAAAAACGCATCTACTTTAATAATTAACAAAAAGTAAATATAGCTATTTTTAATTGTGTATTATATTTCTTTAAATTATTAATAAAAGGAAACTCTCATATTTAAAAAAATAAGAATAAAGATACATTTAAAGAATATTTTTGATAACTAAATATATTTATGTATTCAAGCTAGAATTGATAAATTATTATAATTTAATTTTCTATATAATTAATAGGTTTTTGTGTATAAATATTGTCACTTGAATTTTCTATTTTTTATAATATGTAGATTTTATAGCTTGATATGTGATTAATTCATAGATATGATGGTTAATTTATTATTAATTTATAATTATGAAGAAAAATATAAATAAATAAATCAATCAATCATCTTTTATTTTTAATTTTCTTAAAAGATCATTTCATTTTCAAAATGTAGTTATTGATATATGTATTTGTTATTAGTTATTAATCACTAATGATAGTAAAATAGTTGAGTGTCAAAAGCAATTCTTTTTATTTCTATCTTATGAAATAAAAAACGCAATAGTATATAAATGCACTGACAAGAATGAACTGAGTCGTTAATAAAACTATTTTGAGATTTAGAATAAAATCTATTTGATCTTTCGTTTAGCTACTTATGAAATCACTTAATTAAACGAGTGTTTCGTTTATTACATAAATTTATGAATAAGTGTCATCATAACTTTTCAAAACTTCACTCGAGCTCAAATTCTTATTAAATTTTTAATTTGTGATTAATTCTTAAATTTGTTGTAACTCAGTATAAATCATGTTAACAGAAACTAAAATTCCTTTAATTAGAATACCATTATTAATATCTTAGCAGCTACTATGAAGAATTTATTCTGTTTTTGATAATGAACATAAGTTACCTTATAAAACATTACTTATATAATTAGTTATCTCTGCAGAATTTAAACGTAAATCACCTTATAGATTATTTGCTGAATCTGAAAATGATTAAACAACTACTTATTTTTGATTAATTGCATTTTATTAGTTTTATATGAATTCTTGTGAGTTATATTCGACTTTGTAATTAGGATAAAATTTATATAGCAACATTCCTTGTGTGAAATAGAAATTAGCGTTAACATTAATTTAAAGATTGTTTGCATAAACTATTTTTTATGAAGTAAAAAAAATTATTATTTTGTAATTTTAAATATAAATAAATAAGTGGTTAAATTTATTTTACTTGATGTATTTAGCAAATCGCTTATTGAGTGATATAGGTAATTTGTGGGGATAGTTATGACAATCGGCGTAGACTATAAAACTAAAAATGTGACCAAAGAAAATAATAAAAATGACTTAGGATAAATCTTGAGGGGTAGAGTTGTTGAGATATTTTTTTTTTTTGCAGAATAATTATCAAACTTTTACAGTTTATTTGAAAACAATTATTCTTCAATAATCCTTTAATTTTCTTTAGAGTGTAAAGATTAGATCATTGAAAACCTCTTTACTTGTTAAGACTTAGTTTGTTAAAGACACTGGATTAGTGAATTTGTTTCTGATTATATATATGAGCCAGAGAGTGTTGCAAAGAGCTTTAATACATTTGAGATTTTTTGTATTGTTGCATATTATGTATACAATCTTAAAATTATTATTAGTGAAATTACTATCATAAAGCAACACATGCTCATCAAGCTATATTGAATCAAGTCATTAATTTAATCTTAGACACTGCTAAAGATTTTATTTTAAAATTAATCAAAGGAGTTCATATAATTATTGTAATTTAGGATGGTTATTCCTTCTTGATTTTCATAATTTTCAGTTTTATCATAATGTGAATATAGACTCTGCATAGCTTAGCTAATTATTTAAATAAAACTTATTTAATTTGTGAAAATCTCATAATTACTGTTTAAAAAGCTTAGTTTGTCTTTTAAAAAAACTACTTATGAATCTTATGAGTAGAATTAATCGAATTAAGCTTATTATTATTTTTAACTGTAGGCTTGTTTGATATTTGTTTAAAGCATATCGTTTAAAATCTATTAATTCTATTAGGAAGCAGTAGAATTCAAGGCGCTTAATTGTCCTTAACTTGAAATAAAATCTAATGAAATTAATTGCTAAACTTGGTTATTGTATAAAAAATTTGCAAAGTATTGTTTCATTTATAAAGGATAAAGAAAGTTTATTAGATATTCTTTTAAATTCGAACTGTTTTCAAATATAACAATTAGTGATATTAAAAACACTGTAAAAGATATAACAATAGCAAAAAAATAAAATATTTTAGCCCTCTTTATTATTTGATCCTCTTTCTTTTTTATTATCAGGTCTTTTAGCTTTAATATGCTCACTCTCGATAATTAAATACTACTTGCATGAGAATCTGATGAGTTTGCCAAGCTAGCTGTAAATTGTTTTAGTTTTTTGCTTTTGCGTTTTTGTTTTTATATCTCTTTCTACTTAAGATTAAACATTTTTTAAGCATTATTATCTTTTTAAACTTAAGACTAAAGTGTTTATAACTGCATAAATTTACTTTTTTATGTTTATAGTTCATCTTGTTAATTAGAATTTATTGAAATATATGATTATTTATTTGAGACACTTTAAAAATATCTTAATCTTTTACTTTCATTCCTCTATAATTTGATAGATTAATTTTTTTACATTTTAAGAATATCAAACTAGTTATCTTCTACTTCATCTTCATTGAATTAATCTGTTTTTGGAGAGTTGACTAACATCTAATTTGCTGATAGAAGATCTTAAATTTATGAGCGAGGGCTAACATAATCCTATCTCTCAGTATTTTAGCTATTCATCTAAGTTATCTAGAGGGTTATTTTAAAATTATTAAAATCCTGCTTTTCAATTAGTTAACTTGCTTAATATGATTATTGAATGCTTATCTGTTTTGTCATATTTAATTTTTGATTTGAAAACAAATTATCATGAGAAATTTATGTAGAAGGATCTTTTTAGGCAAAACGTGGACTAATAAGTAGCTGAGAGCTTTTATTCAGAGTATTATCCTTCTCCATGTTCTAAAAATCAGAATTTAAGCATGCATCTATATTTACTGAGTTATTGTTATTACAACTTTATCTTATTATGCTCTGATATTAAGCTTAAAACTTCTATGAGAGTACTTTTGCTTTTTAAAAAAGAAATAATTTAATTTAAAGAATATTTTATTTTTTTAATTAATACCAATGCTCTCCAAGTTACTAAATGCTGATTATTCTCCTTAACTTTAGTTTAAGCTAAATTATTTTTTGTACTCTATTAATTTTTCGGAGTCCACTTACTTTATCTCTTATCTCAAAAACTCTAAAGTTTCTGGATTGTTGCTAGTTTAAATTGGCTTAATATGGTTTATTTCAAAAACAAAAAATCTCATCAAGTTGCTCTAATAAAAGTGAATTTTATATTGAATTTTAAAAGGTCTCAAATTAATATATTGAGAGTCTTATAAATAGACTTCACTTCTATCAGTGATTATAAAATCATTTTAGAGTTCAAAACTATCTCTGTAATATTGAGAAGGCAGAAAGGCTAATGTTTCAAATTAGCTTTATTTGCTGTTATGTTAAAAATCCTCGTAGCCAGTAAATTTTATTTTTTAAAGTCTTGGAACAAAAAAGTCAAATGATAATTTTTATATTTATTTTTAAGAAAAAATCTTTGAGAAATAATCATCAAAAAACTGTTGAGAACATAGCTTTATTTTAAGGTCATCAATAGAAAGCATTAAGTAACTTGAATGCGAATCCTTTATATCCTTTATTTAGCAAGCAATACCTATCTCTCCATCAACTTATGAGTTGAAAAATTCCATTTTTAAGTTTATTTATATCGGAACTGCCCAACCCTGTTTATTTTTAGCAAGTACGAAAGGTATTTATTTCAAACTATTGTTAGTATTATTTAGTGTGTTTAAATATGAGGATATAAGTTCATTGTGGTTCTAAGAAATATTTTAATCCATTAAAACAGAGATATTTTATCCTTCATAGTCTTTGTGACCAAATAGTTAAAAAAAATTTTGAGTTGCTTTCAAAATTTTACCTCTATCATCTTTGTCTATTTTAGTAAAGACTACACAACTTTAATAAGAACTACTAAATATATGCTAGTAATCGTTTATTAATTATACATTTTTTGTTTTAGAAAAGTGTTTTATTAATTTACTGATCTCTTTTTCATTATCAATAGTGTAAAAATGGTCATAATAATTATGAGTTAAATTTATAACAACATGGTTCTTAGGAATAATTCTATTTAAGCTAATTACTTCCTTCCTTAGATCGAATGAAATGTCAGTCAGTTAGATCATTTCTTATCTTAAATCATTTAGATTTATCGTGTCCTGATTAACTTGGTTCATAATGCTTAATTTTTGATATAAACACTTTTGAAGGAGAAACATAGCATACTCTTTCTACTCTTCAAGCTAAATGATAGAACATAAATTAAATCTTTCTTGGAATTCTGCCTAATTACAAAGCTACATAACCCTTTCAAGAGAATTATTTATAAAAAGCATGTCCATATATGTTAAGTTATCAGTCTTTTTTAATTCATATAACTTATACAAAAACATAACTTTTGAAGAACAAACATCATTTAAAAAGCTTAAATAAAAAAGCATAAAACTTGAATTATAAGATTTCCTCTTGTTCATTTCGTTGCAAACTCTCTTACAAGCTTCATTTAAGAAGTGTTCATGATATTCCTATCTCTTGCTGTCTGAAACTATTCTACTCCATCTATCTGATTAATCCTGTTAAATTATACTTTAATTTAATCTAAGTATTTAGCGAATTAATATGTTTTACTTATACTGCACAAAAACAATTTGGGTATTTTTCACAATTTAGGTTATGCTCAACTGATATTTTTTCCAAAAATATTTAAGCTTGCTTTTTATTTGATTGAGCATAATCTGCAAAATAGTAAGCTCCTCCTTTAGTAATTGAGTCATACAACTCATACATAATTTTGTTCATGTGATTGTACCCAAAGTTACTTTCTATAGTATCTAAAAGAACAAATAAATTATTTTATTTGATAAAAAAAGATTCTTCTGTCATTTTTATCAATTTATAACTTAATGGATATAGAATGCCCATAACTAGAAAGAAAGTATTTCTCGACTCAAAAATAGTTTCAAATAGGAGAGTAAATGAAACTATTAAACTAAATGCCAAGTTAGATGCATAACAAATCCTTGCCTCCTCTTCAAAATATATTTTAAAAAGAATGCTCACAGCTAATTTGAGGCTTGCATAAATTACCCAAAGTATGTTTGAAAGTGTTTTTGATGAGATAAAAGAAAAACTAATAATCAAAATATACTGAAAAGTAATTTTAAATTGATGTATAAATCTGACTCTAGCTCTTTGCAAGAAGTCTTTTTCTTTCTACTTCAAAGAAAAATTAAAATCAACAACACCACAACTATACCCTAATTTTATTTAATTAATTAATAAAAAATTAAAAAATTATTATTGCTTTCTTTATTAAAATGAAGCCAAAAAATTATTTTTAAACTGAAATTGCAAAAATAAAACTAAATTTTAATACCAATCAGAATGCTGATGAATAAATTAGAAATAGAGATTGCCAAATTTTGAATGTTATGCATAGTACTCCAAACACTAGGGACAAATATAAGATATTCATAAGATTTCAATACAGCGCTAAATATGGTAGCACTTATTTTAAATACAATTGAGTCTGTTTTTTAAGTTAAATGGCAAATTATGTTAACAATAAGAAGAAATGTCATTGTTATATTAATTGTTAAGCAAGAATTAAAGGTGATTTGCCATATTAATTTGTTAATAGGGCTATCCATGTCTTAGATCTAAAATTAGATAATATCATTATGATTGTGAATAACAGGTCTTTGCGATAAAGTTTGATAGAGGATAAAAGTGTTCTAAATGAAGTGAACTATAATATGTGACATCCCAACTAACTTATTCCTTCTAGTATAATGAAAATCTTCATAGATTTATTTTTAAAAATAGATATATATTTAATTTAATATGCTTTTTTATTCCTTAATTTTGTTCATTTTTTTAAAATGTGCTTAATAAATTTACAATAATTATTATTTTAAGAATTACAATTTTCACAATAACAATCATAGTTGGTTTTAATTAAATGAATGTTTGGTAAGAATTCAAATAACACTTTGTCTATTAAAATAACTTAAAAAAAAAGCATGCTTTTAAGTAGAGAAAATTTAAAAATTATTAAAAAAAAATAACCAAAATAAATCTCTTTTCAGATATTTAAAATAAAATAAATTTTCTATATTATTCTTTTCAGTAAAATCTTTAAATATTATTATAAATATATCCTAATTTTAAATGTTATTATAAATTTATATTTATAGAAGAAGGCACATATATATTTATACTTAAGTAAACACAATTAATTTCATCAAACAAATTAGTGCGTGGGTAGTCATATTATGTAAAATAAATTTTTTATGGTTGATTTATAATTCAGGCAGCATTATTGATTGATTTTATTATAATTAATTTTGTGAAATCAAAATTTTGCAAGTTCTTTATTATGCATAAAAAAGCAATATTTCAATTTAAAATAGTAAAATTTATAAGGAATTAAGAAAAATTGATAAAGAATTAAAATATTTTTTTGTGGTTGATACAAAATATCAATTTTAAATATAATTTTATTCCATTCATAAAAAATATAAAGTAAGATGATATTAACTTACAAATAGAATTTGTAATATTTTTTAATAATAGAAAGGCTTACACTTATTGATGTAAATTAATTTTTGATGAAAGAACAGTGCTTATGTTTTTATCAAAAATAATAACAAATAAAAATTTTTTTCAAGAAAATTAAATAAAATTTTTTGCATCTGATTTTCTTTTTTAATAATTTTTTTTTGATCTTTTTTTGGAGATAAATAAGTTACTAACCAATCTAAATTTAGTAATTATTTATTTTTTGGTAAATCAAAATTTTATCATTAAAGAGAATGATTAAAATATGATTTTTATTTGCCATTTTAAAAATAATTTTTCAAAGTTTAATTTTCATACAAACTTATTCATAAAAAAACAATTCAAATATTTTTTAATTTGAATTACTTTGTTTTCATAAATAACAAAAAAATATTTAAAAGTATTTAAGTAATTTAAAAGAAATGACTCATTTTATAATTTTTCTTCAAATAAAATGTTAAATCCGCTCTTTTTAGTAGAAACAAAAAAAAATAAAAACTTTTGCAGTAATATAAATGATACATTTACCACTCATTTAATATAAAAGTAATTGATTTGTTTATATGTAATTAATAAGGCTCATAATTTATTAATGTAATTTACTATGTATGTATTCGTGTATAAATAATTTATATCAATCAGACTCAATGCATGCCTTGTTACTATTAGAGAATTTTTCAGACGCTTGTATAATATTTTCCAAGCCAAAAACATAAATATAGTTAGAAAAATGCATTAAAATATTAAAAGGAATAACTCTACTGATTCTGCAAATTTAATATATTAATTACTCATATCAATCATAAAATTTGTTAAAGCAGTGACTGTATTTATCATATATGTGATAAATTCATCAAATTATATTAAATCAACTTGCTATACCCATTATTTTATTTCTTATTGAACTAAATGCAAATCATTATTTTAAGTCAACTAAAATAAGGGTGGAAATATTTCAAGTAGGTACTTTGAAGATATCATGAAACCTTTTGTTAGAATATCTTATTACAATTAGTTACATTAGTTAAAATCAAAAGTAAAATTCATATCTAGATATTAAGGGTAATCTCTTAATGCTTCACATAAATTTCCTTTCATTATTTTAAAAAGAAACTAATCGTATAGATCTGAATTGTACTTTTTGTAACCACTCTAATTAGTGACAACCTCATATAGACCCTACAATTTTTATTGGTTAAGATCGAAAAATACTGGGACTCGAACTTTAAAATAATCTCTTTCAAAAAAAGCGCAATTTTGGCACATTCTTTCAAGAATATTACCCATATTTAGATATAAGTTACTTCCAAAATGAGCCTTCAAATCGTATATTGTTTCTATTTTTAAAAATTCATATTTAAATTTCTTGAAAAAAAAATATTTTAAATCTTACTCATAACTTTCAAGTTGAAAACCTACTACTCAATCAAAGAAGAAATAATGAAGTTATTAACTATAGGCTAAATTATTAAGCTTATGTATACAAATACACAGGTAAATAATAACCAAGGAGATATTTTTTTAATGTTATTCATTGAAGAAATCACTTTGTTTTTGGGATTTGTTTGCATCTTAATCATCAGTTAGTCAAGTATTATTTGTGTCTTTTGCTATTTTTATAGCTTTTACATGTCTATTTTATCAGAATTTTTCATTTATTTTTGCATCTAAAAAGTTGATTAAATAGATTTTTCTAAATTAAAAACCATTTATGTTAAGATTCTAGGTTCAAATGTTGAAAAAAGTTTGAGAATTTCTTGGTTGGTATTTTATATGTTAAAATAGACAGGCAAAATAGCAGAAATAATAACAAATGTTAATAAAATAGCTATAATCATAAGATTTTTAATAGAATTTTCTATTTAACTTAAGACATCCAAAGTGGTACTTTCAATGCTTAGTTGTAAGTCTGTATTTGGATTAAAATAGAAGATAAAATTCTCATTAATAATAGCTTCATCATTTATACTTTGGATTTCGTTAGTGCTAAATCTTCTAAAACCATAAAACCATTAATACTAGAAATAATATATTGAATTCTTTCTTGAATATGGAATTATTTGATTATAAGTGTAATAATCTTTTACAAAATTATATTAAATTTGAAACATTGTTAGATTTTTAAAGTAAGGAAAATCATCCTTGTTATACCTTATAAATTATTTATTTAACTCATAAAAGTGGTCATTATAATATACAATTCTTTCTTTATTCAGCTATGAAAATTGTATCCAATTATAGTCTGTAGGGCTTGAAAATATATTATTTGATTGAAATTTTACAAATTATAAATAGTATAATTGAAGTGAATCACAAGTTCTAATCTCCATGGGCCAGGAAACATTAATAAAGTGCTAAGTTTCTAACTAAAATTGCTTTTTGAGCTATATAAAAGAGACTATTTATAAAATTAATAGGGTTATAATCCCCATAATTCCAATTAATTATAAAAGTATTAAGCTCTTATTTAATTTTACTTTCATTATTTTTTCTATAAAAAACTATTTTTTTATATCACTTGAATCATCACTGCTTAACTAAGATGATTAATACTCTATTTGTTACCTTAAATTTTAAATTTAATGCAATTATTCTTATTTAAATTCCATTTTCTTCGCATGCTGCTTGATATTATTTTGTAAATTATCAAAATTTGGATTATTTAGTATTTTGATACTTTCATTTTTTTATTACTGATTTTTTTCCTCAATTTAATTATATGAATCCTCTTAATCTGATTGAAATGATTCGTCTTTTTTACTGAGTCCATTAGTAATCTAATAAACATTGTTGTTATTACCATTTTCAGCTTGTGATTAGTCTAATTCATGTATCACATTCAGTGTTAATAAATATGGATTTTTTTTAGGAGAATGTGGTGTAACACTATCAGTAGGTCTGAAAATAGGAGAATAAATACTGATTTGATTATCTAGCAATCTCTAAGAACTTAAAATTTATGAACCAAATTTTTAAATAGAGTCTTTTTTATTACATTCTATTTTTTACAAGTCAATTTCTTGAAAATTCGGATTTGAAAATAACTCAATATTTTCAATAGAACTTGAATTTAATTTAGACCTAGAATCTAGATTTAGTTTGCTAATTATTTTATTATTGTTTAATTATTCTATAATTAAATTTTATTCTGAATTAACAATTTATTTATATCTTTGAGTGAATCCTAATGACCGCTGGCTATTTACTTAATCTTTTTCAAATTATTCCAAAATTTTGTTTGATTCAAACTCATCTTAAGGAAAGCTAAAACTAGCTAAAGTAGAAAATTATGGTAACATTTGTTATTGCTTTTTCTTTTTTACATTCATATCTAGTGAATTAATATTTAACTAAGATTGTTTTTCTGGTGAGCGAGAGATAAACCCTTTATCAATAAAGCTGATTAAAAATTCTTTAAATTATTTCACTACTAATGACGTGCTTTAATTATTTTACATTTTATTAATGGATAAAAATTAGATGATGTCATGCGAAAAAAATTAATTCCTATGTTATTTTATTGTAAATTCTACAGAATAAACAAAATAGATTTCTTCAGATAAATGATTGACATAACCTTCAAAATTATTATCATTAAGTTATTTTGTCATTTCTTAAAATTGCATATTTTAAATAGATTTTGGTATGAAAAGTAATGTTTTTTAAATATTATGAACTCCTTCTTATTAGTTTTAATGAATTTGAATATTTTTAGAAATAAGTGCATAATAGGGCATCAATTTATTAAGATATATTTTTTTTACATCATTAGGATTGAGTATATGACTAAAAAGAATTTTGAAAAGCCTTTTATCACATATCATTAGCATTGTAGAGGGCATTTCACACATTATATAAGAATTTTTAGTTTTTATTTTACTTATCAATGCAGTAATGCAAACCTCAGATCCAGCTGATGGAAGAGTTACTATGGATTTTAATTTTATAGGTACTGCCCATCCTTAGCTGTTTTATCCTAGTAATAAACTAAAATCCACTATATTAGATTTGGGAATATTAAAAGAAGTTAAATATTATTTTAGTATCTGTTAATGACCACTTTGTAATTGATTAGGTACTATTTAATCAATTTGATTACAATTTTATTGTAGGTATCCAAAAATCTCATAGAAAGAGTTCTATGCATAAATAATTTTACCAAAATTTTTTTGCTAAATACCTACTTAAATTACACTAGATTTTTATTCAAATTAATATTTTTGAGTTATTTAAGAATGCAAAACTTCATCTTTTCTTTCAAATACTTTCCTTTCTTAGTAGGATTCTAAAAAATACTTTTCGCTTCTAAAATGAGAGAAATTTTGATAAAATTCTTACACAATGTTCAGATAAATCTAACTTTTTAAATGTGATTTGCTTAGCATTTAAAATAATTAAATCAATGTATTCTTTTTGTTTAACAGTTTAGAGCAAAGTTAATTGAGAACATTAATATCAATATAATTTTAATTAATTAAAGCAACTAATTCTAATTTTTGCAGTAAGCATTCCTGATAAAGACTAAATGATTTTGTTAAATTATCTTCATAATTTATTGCTTTTGATAAACTTTTGCTCAATTTTGTTTCTTGTGAAAAATTATCTTAAATGTAAAGACTTAAGTATTCAATGTAAACCTTTTCATACCAAGTAGATAACTTATAATTTTTACATAAGCTTAACTCTATTAGAGCTAGATTTTACCTTTTGCAAACTTCAACTAAAAAATGAATGTAAATAAATTTAAAACAAAGCGAACATTTTTCTTTGAATTAAGCAGAAGACTTTTCGATTTAAAATCTATTTTGAATTTATTTGAGGATTTGATTGATAAAGCTGCAAAGATGCATTTCTCTTCCTTTTTCATCAAAAAATCCAGAGTTAATTTGATTGTTTGTTTCCTTTATTTTTCATTTATAATAATGTAGAATATTATATATCTTTTTTGAATATTTGATTGAAATAATTTACTTACATTTTGTTAACAAAAGCAATCAGGATAATTTTAACAATTTAGAATATGAATGCTAGAAATCTCTTCTAAGAATAACGAGTAATGATTTGAAGAATATTAAACGTAGTTAATACTAATTTGATCTAACATATTTTGTATTAAGAATAAGATTTAATCAGAAACTAAATCACTTTGGAAAATTTAATCTTTGTATATTGATTTGAGTTGGAATATATAAAAATCTAAATCTGTGCTCTTTTATTCCAAATACTTTGAAATCATAAAGGAGATGGGTAATTAAACTAAGAATATTAGTACTAAAAAGTTGTCAATATTTTAATTATACTAAATTATTGACGTTAGTGAAATGATGATCAACTATAAGCTCAAGAAAAAAGAAACAATCCTAATTTCTTAAATCCTAAATATCTTCATTTTTATTTATGCAACGCATTGATACAGACCTATCACTAACCCTATCAAAGAATTTACTTTCAGATTTTATATATTTAGTAAAACAAAAAAAAGAATATATAGTACAGATTTTCCAATTTATATTTTCAGGTAAAATCCTCTTTAAAGAAAATCTCTAAATTTGCTCCCTCTTCTCAGACTATAATCAAAATCAATAAGCAAGCTACAACTTCCTAAGTGATTAAAGTTAAATAAAATTATTATAAGTATCTATAATTTGGGTTAAATACAAAAAAAGCTTTTTTCCTCTTTGTTTAAAAGAAAGATTTGATTAACTAATTTTGAATAGTAACATTATACTTTATTGATTATTAAATAAAAGTATGTATCTATCTTTTGTAAGTTAAAATCTTTAACGTATTTTAATTAATTAAATAATATAATTACCTATTAAAAAGCAAAAAACGATATTCAAATAAGATAAAAAATAAGGGTAGTTGCCTAAAGTAGCTAAGCTGCTGTTTATACTTGGAAGGAGCAAAACATATTCATGACTCAAAAAAATAACACTAAAGATCTTTTTGAAGTAGTAAGATGACATTTTAGATAATTATTTGAAATTAGAATAACAAGCTGAATCTGATATTGAAAACAAAATCAAGAATGTGTTTATAGAAAGAGTAATATATAATACTATTTGTTAGTTTTGGCTTTAGAAGAATTTTTCTAAGGTATAATACGCATTCGAATTAAAAAACTAAGAATTATACTTTTTTTATTCAATAGTGATTGGGATTACAAGCCAAAAAAACTAAATGATTAGAAAGATAAATGCTTCAATTTTAGATCTTCTATGTAATTTGATAGTGAAACTTGCCCATTCTGATAATCTAAAAATATTTTTCAAGCTCATATGTCGATGTATTAATTTATTTTTTACAGAAGTATTTGTGTATTTTTTTCAAAATAAATTTGGTCAGATGTATTTTTTTATGATTAATTTTCCTAAATTAATCCTAGATACTTGTCACTTTTTAATTTATTCTTTAAAAAATGTTTATGAAAATAATAAACAGGTTTTTGCATTTAATTGAATATAATAATGAATAAGTTGCCTAATTTTGTAAACTAAATACAAGATTTTTATGAATCATCAAAATTGTAATTTTTATCCCAAATTTCTTCTTAAATAACAAAGGTTAATTATTGTTTGAAAATATTTAGCTTTTTTAAACTATAAGAAATGGTATAATCATAAATTAGATGTTGATTAATTAATGGATGTAATACAAAATAGATAAATTTTTTTATAAAAATGTATTTTAAATGATATTATCTTTTGCAAATGAGTGGTAGGTACCTTACCTCTAATCAAATATTGTTTATATTAATTCATTCATTTATTTATTTAAATTTAAAATTTTAGCGTTTAAGAAAAAAGAACAAAAATTTATAATTTGCATTAGAAATTTTGTATATATTAATCAAAAATCAAAACTATTTGTGGTATCTAATTTTTCAAAATATGTAATCTATTTTTACTAATAAATCAATTAATAAAATTATAAGAATATAGATATATAAATTTGTAATGTATGATTTATTATTGGATTAAGATTAAGCAAATAAAATATAAAAAAGTTTTTTTTTCCAGTTTGTCAAATATTATTGATGTGATTAAATATTGCTAAAAAAGAAATATATTAATTTCATGTTAAAGTAGTTTTCAAAGACATTTTTTGTTTTCAAAACAATAAATAAATTTTTGAGAGTAACAAGGATATATATGTATAAGAATTGATAAGGCTTTAATTTAATTTTAGTTTTCAAAAAATTTTGTACAGTAAGACTTATTAAACCACAACTAAATTAAAAAAAGACACATTAAAAATGATACACTTTTATTGATTGATTTTAATAATCGACTATTAAAACCTAAATAATAAATAATAAATATTTTATTATAAAATAATTTTTACAATAATTTACAAGGTTTTCTTGGTTTTAGTATTAAAAAAATGATTTAGAGTTGGAATTTAAATCTACTTTTTTAGATTTAAATTTGCTTAATGTTAACATTTTTAATTATTTTTTTTCTATAAAAAATTATACCACCTTTTCAATTTTTAAAATACCTTTCCTATCAAGCTCATTTTCATATTTTTATCTTCTAAATCATTTATTGATATGGTTAAATATATTAAGAGATATGATTTGTAATAAAATTATTTTCTTGTTTCAGAATTTATTCTATTGATGATTTAAAGAGTTATTATTTATAATACTCAATAATAATTCCATGAAAAAAATTGCTTTTAAGTCTATATTTGATGATCCTTGTATTTTCAATATATTTGATTTAAAAATTTTTAATCAAAAAATATTAAGGAATCTCATATGTAAAGATTTGTAACCAAACTTCTTAATCAGTTTTGATTATTTTTAATATTAATTAATACTTTAGTTATTTTCAAAAATATATAATTTCGTTTCTCATTAATAAAAACATCATTTAATTTATAACAGCAAACAAATTTTTAAAAACACCTAAAATTAATTACTTTTTGTTTTGAGGTGGGGGTAAAGTTGATAAATAAGAAATGACATTATATTTAATTCAATTAGATAGCAGAGCATCTAAGAAATACACGAAAAATGATTTATATATCTAGATTATAAGATGCAAAGAAGTAGACTATACAAAAAATTATTAATTCATTTTTTGTAGAAGAGAGTGAAAAAATTCGATAAATCAAAAAGAATAAATTTCACTTTTCTTTTAATTTGACTGAAACTGATAAAGAAATAAATTTTTTTACATAAAAATTAAATTCAAAATATAATTTGATTATTTGTTTTATTAAGTGTATGATGAGTGTAATAAAGTTGGTAATTAAGTTCATAATTTTTAATTTCAAAGGTAAGATGAATAAAAATAGCTAGCCTTATATATCTGAATTATCTTAAAAAATAATTAATTTTTTGTTTTTCAATTTTTTATTGCTTGTTATTTTACATTCTTAATAGAAGGAAATTGCTAAAATTTAATTTAAGAGTAACTAACAATAAATAAATAAATAAATAAATAAATCAATTAAATCAATTTTTTATTTTCAAAAGTGGTCATTCATGTTTAATTACTCATTTATTTAATGGTTAGATGTTTTTTGAGGCAGCCAAAAATTTTTTAATTTCAAGTATTATTATTTGAAAGTGTAAACGATTAAAGTAAAAATGTAAACAACAGAAAATGATTTATTTAATTTAATTACAATATTTATGATCAAATTTAATTTATTTATTAGTTATATTTTTATTTTAACTTAAATTTTTTTTATGAAATAGATTTTTTATATATAATGAATGAATTACTCAGTGATCATTGATGTAATTCATAACATATGGATTTTGTATGACTATTAGAACATCAATTAAACTGAGTAGTTATTTGGTAGAGTATAAGGATTTATGAATAAAATCATAGAATCTCAACCAAATAAAACAAAATAGAAATATTATTGAAAAGCAATAGAAAATAAGAAGATACAGCTGAACTTTCTGCACATAGCTAAGATAATCATCGCTCATCTCGATCATAAAATTTTTTAAAGCGGTTACAGTGTTAATTAGATAATCAGTATATATATCTAATTCAATCATGTTAATTTACTATTACCATTATATTAAGTCTAATTTTGCTTTATTTCTGTCAGGTTACTCAAGAATATCTGAAAGTGGTGTAAACTATTCTAAAAGATCCTTAGTTGCTATTTAGAAACCTTTAGTTAATAATTAGTAGCGAATGTTTGAGCATGTTGAGAAATCAAACTTAAACAATGGATCTGTCAGGTATTTTGGATATTCTTGCATTGCTTCACAAATATTTCCTTAGAGCATTTTAAAAAAGAAGTTATCATAAGATTATTAATTGTATCTTTTTGTCACTACTTCTTTTTACACAACCTAATATAATCCATTCAGTTTTTATGTATTTATATTTTGATAGAGAGGAATTCTAACTTTGAAGTAACCTCTATCATAAAAAACGCATTCATCGCACAATACTTCCAAGATATAAGCATAATGCAGATACATAACACTGGCAAAATGAGCTTTCATGTCATAAATTGTTTCTTTAGATTAAAAAATTATAAAAAAATAAATTATTAAACGAAATACTAATTTAATTTACTCATAAGTTCAAGGTTGATTCTTGACTCTTAAGTTAGTGACTAAATGAGAGAATTATTCACAATAGGCTAAACTATAATTATCACATATACAAAAAGAGATGAAATAATTAACAAATAAGGGACTTTGACAATTTAAGAAGTTGCAGATATATTTTTTCTTTTAGAGCCTTGAATTTCTAATTTCTTAAGCCCTTCATCTCTTATCACCATATTAGCTTCAATTTAAGATTTTTAAATAGTGGGATTTTTACTTTTAATATATTAAATTCTCTACAAAGAAAATTGGCAGCTTTAAATAATCTACTGCAAATTTTCTGTAGTAAAAGTAGAGAATAGCTTTAAAATAGCTTCTATTTTTGTCTGAACATAGTAGTAAACTGGGAAAACAATAGCAATTAGAACAAATGAAATACACATCACAAGAATCATAAGAGTTTGAACTCCTTACTCTATTTAATCTAAAATAGTTAGAGTCCTTTACTCTATATCAGTTTACAGCTAGGTAAGAGGAACATCATAGTTTCCAAAATTTTCATTAATCATTCCTTCTTCATTAAAAGTATTTGGAAGATTGTAAGCAAATCTACGAGAATATATGTAGAGCATATTTAAGAAGTATTAAAAAGAACCTTATACTGGGTATGTAATATTTGGATAGCTGAAATCATCTTTGTTGAGAATGTAAGTAAATTAAAACTCTGTTAAATTTTTAAAATAAGGATATTTTGTTTTGTCAGATCTCAGAAAATCTATATATTGTTCATAATACACATCTTATAGGTAGACTATTCTTTTCTAATTTAAGTCAATAAAGTTATCCCATTACTAGTTGTTAATTTAAGGAAATACTTAGTGTTAGTAGAAGCGTACGTATTAAAGATAGAACACTTCTAAAGATAATGTAGAACGTAGTTGCATAGGCCAAGCAACATTTTTAAAATCTACTTTTTCTTGCTAAAATAAATCATAAATACTAAAATATGATGCAACTGTCAGTGATAGTATAATGCAGAGAGAGGCTAAACCAGCTAAATATAATACTTATATTCCAACATTTTTTTTTTTCGATAGGATCTTTTGAGCAAATATTTTTTTTGCTTCATTAGTATAACTTTAACCACTTTTTATGGAAGATTCTGCCCCTTCTTTGTAAGATGTTTAGAGTTGAAAGTTACTCTATTTTTCATTTTAGTTGATTTTATTTGACTTGACTTTAACATTACTTTTTGTTTAAGTCTTTCCACTTTTAAGTGTTTTTGAACGGTTTAATGAGCTATAAGCTTCACTAGCTTCCATTTCAAAATGATCTACTTATCTTTACAGTTATGGAATTGATGTAGCTTGATAATCATTATCTTTTAATGCTTCAACTAACTAATTTTATTGCTCTTATCTCTGTTTAGAGTTATCTTCTTATGACTGGTGAGATAAAATATTGTTTGAATTTCCTAAAGAGAGCATATGATCAAATGTCATTGAATTTATCTTAGTTGATTCTTGACGGAGAATTGAGTCTTAATGCAATAACTACTCCTTATATTGAATAACTTATTAGACTAAGTTTGAAAATCTTTTTTATCCTGGTTTAAGACCTTCAAATAGATTCTTGAATTATTTAATTCTAACACTCTCGTTCGTTATACCTTAATTTTGTTATTTCAGTGGTTATAATTGATTCATTATTTAGCTATCTTCTTGGATCGACTTATCAACTAGCTAAATTTGAGAAGCATTTGGAGATTGTAATGGATATAAAAATTTAGGAGAAACCAAATTAGTTTAAGATAAAATTCCCGTGATTTCTAATTCGTCTTATAACTAACTAGGTTTCTAATTAACTTTTTAAGGTGAAGGCAGTGTAGTAGTTTCAATATGTTACAAAGAACTAAGTGGCTAGCAGAATTCTATTTAAAAGTTAGATTATTTAATAGTCCTCTATTTATTAAAATCAGTGATTGCTTTTTCACATTACTTTAAAGATTATATTTCCTCTTTAGAATTCACTAAATTATAAAATATTTAATTTGAGTAAGTAAATATATTTTAAAAAATAATCTATTTATTAAAAAAGTAAGAAAATAAATATCTAATCCAATTTTTTTTCATTAACTTTTGATATTTTTGGAAATAATTTTTTTTTTAAATTGCATAGGGCGATTAATATTTTTAAAATTAAAATAATTCAGTTAAACAGGGCTTAATTTGTAGGCTAAGGTATATATAAATGACTGTGTTTATTGAAATATAAAAATTAAAAGTTAAAAATTACAAGTTGTATTTTCAGCAGATAAGGTGTTTCTTTCAAATTTTAAATAGTCGAACTTAATATCTATATTGCAAAGCAAGTTAAACTAATTAGTGAGTTGCTAAATTGATTCAAAAATTTCTTTATTTTTTTTAAATTTTCTGATTTTAATTATTTCAATAATATTATTTTTGAAAAATTTATTTTGAGTTTTATGAATCTAAAATTTAACTTAGTAAATGTTAAATCCTGAATTGTTAATTTTAGTAAAATATTTTTAAAGGTCTTTCAACTCCAAAGGTTTTTTCAATAAGTGGTTGATATTTTCTTTGCTAGAATTTGCTGGGAAGAACGCTAAAGATTAAATTGTTTGGTTTTCTTAAAAATAGGATTGAAAATTTTTAATGTTCTAATTTTTTTCTTATTCTTAAATAAAGCTATCTGAAAATAATAATAAAATTGGCATGACTCTCGTGAGATAGATAGAGTAAATTTAATTAATTGAAGAAAGAAATTAACTAAAAATTTATTCATGAAGTAATTCAGAGCAAAGAAAAATTCTAAACTATGTACAATCTGTCAAAATAAATAAATTCTCTGTATCAATTTTTTGAATAAGTGCGATGAATCCAGCCTAATCAGATTGGGTGAGATAATCTATTTAAAATTTCAATCTTATAGGAACTGCCCAGCCTTATTTATCTTGAGCTACTAAGAGATTTTTTGATTAAATTTAATTTTGCTAATTAGAAATATTGGTTAAGTATTCTTCTAACAATTTCTGATGATACTTAGCTATCTAAGGTGGTATTATTCTATCAATTTTAGCACCAACAATATTTTCAATACCAAATATTTTGAAGAAGGATTGTTAAACTTTTGTAATTTCTCCTAGATCAGAACCATTTAATTTCATAAATATTGTACAACTATTTTAATCATACTAATCTATTTCGAATGGTTTTTTCTACTTTTGTAAGCTAATTTTTTCTTTGCGCATCAGCTATTTGATCATGTTAACTTTATCATCAACTTCTTAATTATCATTATAAATAGAAATAATTTACTGGATTAATAATTGATGATTCTCCTTTTAAATATCAATTTCATAATCTGCTTATCTTTATTGCTTAGCTAGTTGTTGCTTCTTCATCAAGTTTCTTTCCTTGATTTGCTATTAAATGATCAGCTTCTAGCTTTAAGTTTCTTTAGATATGAAATCTCTCTTTAACTCTATGAATGATAAATTTTTTACATATCCGTTTATCATCTCTCTTAATAAATAGTTTTTGTGTGAGACTTAAGCCATTTCCTTTAATTACTAAAATAGTTCCTATTTTTCAGTGTAGAGTCTTTTAGTTATGTCTAAAAATGATTCCAAATTAATAAAATCTTTATTTAAGGTATGCACCATTTCAAGCTTTTTAATAATACAATTTTCATATTGAAAGAATATTTTTATTAAGGCTTCTTCATATTTGAGAGCTACTCCAAAGTCTTCTTATTATGAGTTATTATGATTCAGGAATTTCTATCTAATTAAATTAGTAAGATAGTACAGGTACATCAATTCTCTAAGCGAAAAACGATTAGATTATTTGATTTGTGATAAGATACACAGTGACAAAACTCTTGATTAAGAGAATTCTATTAAGAAATGGAGATAGGAAAAGTAAATACTTGAATTGTTATCTTTCTTAGATTTCATAGAATGAATAGTACATAGTTTAAATAACCTTTAGATATAATCTTCAAGGAATCTTTTCCTTTTTATTTTACCTATCTAATTCTCCCATTTTTTATCAGCCAACTATATATAAATAAGTTAAGAATATAATCTTAGAAATCAAATTTTTTATTATCTTAAATGTATGGTAAAAAAATTCGTAGTTATATTGTCAAAATTAAATCATGAAATCGAATAGATTTTACACTATTATAATCGATTTTAAATTTAAAAAAGTCAAAATAATTTTAATTCAATTTTTGATTATAAATTAATGAATCAATCTAAATGTGATTGATTGATTGCTTAAATAAGACAAATGGATTAAGAATAAATAAATAAATATCTGAATGCATGCTTTGAAGACGTATGAGATACTTATAATTTGTTTTTTCAAATTGATCTATGTAATAATCAGATTGATTGATTGTAAAGAGTAGCATTCAAACAAAAATTTAATTTAGATAAAATAATTAGCATAACATTGATTTAGTAAGCGCAATCATAATTTATAAGATAAAAATAATTACTTAATCTTTACAAAAGCATTGGGAATCATCAGAGCAAATTTTGGTATGGTAATAAGAAATTTGTTCAAGTATAATTGATGAGTCTCTTAACGAATACTCAGAATAACTTAATCTAATCTAGCCAATCAAACAATTTACTAAAAAAATAACTTTTTTTGGAGAGCTGACAAAGCTTTATTCATCGATTTAATCTTCTTATATGAAAATTTCCTGAGCATCTAAATTAGATTCATGTTTTTCTATAAGGTGAGCAATCTTAAATGAAATAGGTATTACGAGGAAAGACATGTAGATAAGTATATCTATATAATTTAATACTCTTTAAAGAGCAATCAAAAATGAAAGAAGAGTAAATAAGATATAGAAAGACAAATGAAGAAATCTTGTTTAGCTGTTGTTATAGATTTTGAAATAAGAATATGCTAAGATTGTAAAAAGGCCATAAAGTATGCAGAAAATATCAATCAAGCTAGAGTCAAAATAACCTTGAATAAGTCCTAGAACCAAAACAAAAATGTTATTTGAAATTTATATTTCAAGACAATTTCCTCTAGAAAGGTAATCTCTTTCAAAGGAGTTTAAGCTAAAATCAAAATCATTGATTCCTATCCAGCAACCTTTTTAATAAGAAATATTATTTATTTATTTATTTGTGTTTTCAAAATAGTCTATATTTCATTTAGTTAGTTAGTTATTCAGATTAGACTTTATAACTTTGAGTTATTACTAAATTAAAATTTAAGAAAAGTAAATTCTTAGTCTTTCTTTTAGATTAAATCTTAGAGATAAAGATTCTAAAACCAGCATTTCGTTTCTAATTACAAAATGAAATTTGAAATAGTAACAGTAGTAATTAAATCAATATATGATTATTTCATTTGATTTTTACATTTTCTGTTTTATTTACACTTTAATTGATTCACGTTGTTAAAATTGTAAATTAAAAAATGATCTTTCGAAGGTTACAATTAATTAATTAATTTAAAGGTCGATCCCTAGCGAGTGACCAAATTAATCTATCAGACACCAAATGCAATTTATTTAATTTAGGTGCCATTTATTGAAATGCTAAAAATTACTCTTTTTGAAATGCGAAAAAAAAAAACATATAGAATGTTTGTAATAAAAGTCTAAGTATTTACTTTTCTCAATAAATAAGAAAGATAATTTTACTTATTATAAATGTAGAAAAGATGTTAATGATCCCAATAGGATTTTAGATTAGCACAAATCCTATGTAATAGCTAGGAATTAAGATAATGTATTCATATTTATTGCACAACATGCCTAAAATTATTTATTGGACATATAAGTAACTTTGCTATTGAGTGTCATTGTTAAATATATATTTGCTTTTAGCTTTTTTCATTATGTAAAAAATTATAAAGTCTATCAAAAATAACATAATTATCAAGGCGTTGACAACTAAAACAAAGTATAAGATAATTTTTTAGTAGATGTCTTTATGAAATATCTGAATTGATTAAATAGAATTGAATAAAGATCCCTCTCGCTTGCTAAAGTTGTTTAAAGCACTCTTACTTATGAGAAACTACAAACTAAAATAAAGCTAAAGCAATAGTAGTAGAATACCTTCAAATCTTCCTCTTTTCTATGCTTTAATTGTTTTTTGATATTAAGAAATAAAGTACTCCTTCACAATCATTTCTAAAAAGGCTTGGTATTGCTTTTCAAGTTAAATTTCTCAAAAATGTATAATGTGATTACTCTAACTTTTTTAAGGTGAAATGTTAGAAATGTTTTTTGTTTTATTTTATACCTTTTTATTATTTTTATTTGATTTTATCTTTTTATCTGATAAATAGAATCTTTCCAGATAAATTTAAGATACGCAATTAAATTTAATGTATTAGTAAATAAATTAATTATTAAGTATTTCAAAATTTTATCAGATCTCAACTAAAACTTCTAGTGAATATTAAAATCAACTATATATATTTAATTTAACGATGTAATTCAATTAATTAATTTTTCAATTTCTTTCAAACCATAAATTTTTTCCAATTTTATTTAGAATGTATTAATTTAATGAAAATAAAAGAGGGGTCTATAATCAAGCTAAGCATCAATCTAGTTACATATTTACACATAGTGATGCTCTCAGTCAAAATAAATTTTAAAATATTGCCTTAAAATTAAGCTTGAAAGAACAAATATCTTAATTTAGAAAAAAATGTTATTCCAACTAAGTAGTTTTTTATGTAAACAGCTAAATAATTGCAGTGATTTTATATGTATACTTAGCTTTTAGCTAATTTTAACTTACACCAACCTTTCTTTTTAATTAAAGTAATTTCAAAAAACTAACATTACTAAAAACTAATATAACAATTTATAGATAGTATTTTAAAATTAAAAATACAGTTTACTGTTTTAAATTTGTCTTAAATTGTTATGTGATCACTTTAAGACCTTTGATTTTAAATTTAAGCCATAATAACCTTTTAAAAAATTTTCTAATGAGGCTTATAAAATATCTCTTTAAAAATACTAATAACTTCTAAAAAATAGTTTGTCATTCTTTCTATCAAAATATTACAAATATTTTTTAATTATTTTTAATATTGAATATTATTTCCAATGTAATTTCATTTTATTTTTTTAGAAGATTAAATTCAAATTGGTTATTTATTTTCTATTTTTTTTAAAGACCATATCTATATATCGAAAATACACCAAGTCATCATTGAAAAATAGGAAATTTTAATCTATAATAATTAATTTATTAAATTATTTAGTTTTTGTTCAGATTCTAATGGTATTTCTTACAAGCCCTGTTAAAAAAGTATAAAAAAGCAAATTATACTTTTCTTTTATCTGAGAAAGACGATTTAAATACAAGGCTATCAACTAACTTTATAGAATATATAGATTTACCCAATTAGTAAATATAAATTAATTTATAATAAAGCTTAAAAATTTATTTAATTCATAAAATTTTACACTTCTATTATTCTTAAAAATCAATTTTATTCAGGTTAAATTTGTAGTTGTCAATGTTTCAAATATTAGAAATAATTTTATTTCTTTTTAAATTTTAATTTAAAGTTGATTCCATAAATAATTTTTTCAATAAATAATTCTTACATTTTTTATTTGATTTTGAAATTAAATTTAAACTGCTAAACTTATAAATTAATTCAAAGATAGATAAATTAATTACAAAGGATATTTCTTTTAAATAATTTTTGAAATGATATTTAATAAAATAATCTTTTAGAATTGAAGCTTTCTACTAAATAATGACTATTGTATGCAAATTATTTTATTAGATATTTTAGAATTAAGAAAGATTTTATTCATAATTTAAATTAATTGTATTTTTATTTAGTTATTGTTTAAATATTGTTAAGCCTTTATAGCTCAGCTGGGAGAGCGTAAGACTGAAGATCTTACGGTCCTCGGTTCGATCCCGAGTGAAGGCATTTTTTAAGTGCACCTATTATAAATAATTTTTAACATAAAATTATATATTTTTTTTTATAAAAATAAAAAATGCCTTCACTCGGGATCGAACCGAGGACC